TCTTTGATGACTATAGCAAATTCCAACATCTTGATTTTCTTAGTCAAGGTTTCATTCATTTTTACTAGTTCTTGCATATCTCCCTTCAGTCCGTCCACCACTGATCCAGCTCGCGATGCCATTGTTAGATTTCTGTTAGAGGTTCAGAGGTATCTTATCTTGATTTGTCTATTGTGATAAAGATATGTTCATTGTCTGCAAGATCTATATAATTATCTATATAGACAATGTTCACCTATACAGTCTGAATATATCAGATATTGAATAGACAAAAGCCCAGATCACTGCTAATTATGAGATCAAGAATGTGGGCAATTCAAATCAGTATTTGAATATGAAGATTGATCAGAATGCTGAATCATTATCACTGTACCAGCCACTGTTCATAAAGAACCTGCTTGAGAAATTCTCAATGAATGACTGCCACCCAACATCCTCCTCTATGGAGAAGAATATTGATTTCATGAGTGATAACAAAGAACTGATTGCTTATATAGCAGAATTTACATTACATTTCTACCAATCAGAGATTAACTTTCTACAATATCTCACTTTCAACACACACTCTGATATAAGCTTTGTCACTGGCTTTCTAGGAAGATTCAGCTCCCATCTTATCTTGAAGAATTGAGTGACATTTAAATGAATTCTTAGATATCTACAAGACACTCTTGACATAGATGTGTTCTATCAAAAAGATGTGGATATAGAATCTATGATGTTCACTGATGCTGATTGAGCAGACTGTGATTCAGATTCCCACTTCATCACTGAATATGTCATTTATATAGCAGAGAGTCCTACTGCTTGGTGAAGCAGCAAGCAGACAGGCATTTTGAAATCATCTACCAAGGCTGAATATATTGTATACTCAGAGGCTGCCTATGAGCTTGTCTGTCTTCAGGAATTGCTGGAGGATGCTGGCTTTGTGCTGTTCTGACTCAATAATCTCAATGATAATGACAGTCTGATCAAATCACCAGCCAATAAGCTAGCATATATGATTTGGATAGATAATAAATCAGTGATTGAACTGATCAAAAGTGAGGCTATTCCACGCTGATCTAAGCATATAGAGGTCTGCTTCCATACTCTTCAGGATCTCATCTGCAAGAACAAGATTTTGATTGATTACATTCTGTCCGCTGAGAACACAGCAGACAGGCTGACCAAGCCACTTGGAGCAACTAGATACACCCTATGACAGCAGATATTAGAAGACACAGTAAGTGGGCAGAAATGATTATATGGAGGAAATGACTGGTTTTTCAATGATATGGGTTTTCCAGTCAAATTATGTACTGATACCTAGCTACAGGCTATTTTTTGCATGTAATCTTGCGTACAGTTACATCGGTGAGTGGGGGTGTCAGGCCTATCCGCCTTCTTATGTAATCCGCACTGTATAACGTAACCAATCACTCAACTGGCCACCTCCCCACTGTACATTAAGCAAATCTTTAAATTCTGCCACCACTATATTAAATTATTCATTAAAAAATTATATACAATTAAATTCTAGCTCTGCAAGCATCCAGAGACTCTATGTCCAGTATTCCCACACTTGCTGCAGTGTGCCAGTGCTCACTTTTTAGTGGATTGATTTGAATTCTCCATCTCTCTATTCATCATCTGCTGAGCAGTCTGAGCAGTCTGAGCTCTAGTTAATTCTTCTTCTCCGGTAAGAATTTCTTTCTGATCTATATAAACACAGTCTTGTCCTCACTTGCATTTCTGCTTCTCATTTGCAGCTCATAAAGCCTTGTTCTCTTGAGTTAAAAGAGCACTTTCATGCATAGCTAGTTGGCACCTCTGAACTAGTTGATCTAGAGCTTGGTTGGTAGAACTAGGCAGGCTTTGTGTACAATGCTTGATAAACTGCTTGAGTTTGTTGAATTGACATTCTAATTGAACAGCATTTTAGAAAGTCTTTGAGATTCAGAAGGTCTGAAATTCATGAGATGTGTCTGAGAGACTTAATGTATGTAGTTGATAATACAGATGTTTAAGAACCTTCTCTGCATTGAATGACACTAAGTCTGTGGCTCTGAATTCATTCTTAATAGTCATATTCTTCAATGTCTTCTTTCTAGCAACAGAATATAATTCTAGGAATTCCTTCTTATTCACATGATTAATGTCAAGCCTCATATCAGATTCAATTTGCTTGCAATATGCCTTCTTCAGAGAAGTAAAGCAGCTCATATCTAGTGACTGCAGTAGATGAGAAGAATGAGGTGGCATATAAAGAGCTATAATAGCATTCTCTCTGCAGAATTGATCAAATTCAGCAGTGGCATGACTTCCATGCTCATTCAGAATCAAGAGTCTATATCTTCCAACTGTATAAGTCTGAATATGCTTGTTAAACATCTCTTTCAGTCATATTAGATCAAGCTGATCAGTGGTCCAGCCATTCTCACTAACTTCAATTACTCAATCTGCTGGCAGGTTTGTATACCATGAAGTCTGATGTAGCTTGCCCTTGAGAATAATCATTAAAGACACACTCTGTTCTTTTGCATTGACTGACTCAATCACAGTCATTTATTCTCTATTTCCTGGCTGTATAAGATGCCTTTCCAGCTCTTTCTGACCTAGTGACCACTAAGATTGTTGAAATAACCTTCATAAAAAAGCCAACTTCATCAAAATTATATGTATTCTCAGATAGAATTTCATACTTCTTCATAGCATTATCTACTATTCTAAACCACCTCTTTATAATCTCTGGATCTTCACATAGAGCTTGCTGGTGATCATATCTGTGTGTGAGCCTGGTCTTCAGCTCAGAATGGCATTTAATAAATCTCCACACTCAGTATTCTCCAATGCTAGGGGATATGCTAGATTCACAGACTCTAAGTAGCTCAATGACCATATATCATACACTTGCAATTCAGGGGGGTAGGCCTCTCTCATCCATGGAGATTATCCATTGAACTAGAGCTTCTTCTTCTGTAGATGTCAATTTCTGGCATTGAGACTGGGATTTCACGCGTGGAATGCCTCCATGTAGTTGATTGGATAGGGTGGCATGAGAGACACCATAGGCCTTAGCAGCAGCTCAAATGCTAGAAATTTGCTTGATTTCATAGACTCTAATGACCAAAAGAAGTTTTCCTTCCTGATTAGAGGCTTGAATTTTCATTGTGGTTGAGAAATTGAGCTTTGATTGTTGATGATGGGTTGAAATTGGAAAGGTGGCCAGTTGAGTGATCTGGCCAGTTGAGTGATTAATTACATTATAACTTCCGCGTAGCTAGCGATCGCTTCATAATCAATCAAGCAATCTATCCTTCACATAGTTATTATTATAGTATAGTTATTAATATTATAAATTAAAAATAATTTATTTTAATCTAAATTATATTTGTTAGGCTCAGCGCCCGACTGAGCCCGACGTCGGATTAAGCTCGGCGCCCGATTAGGCCTAACCCCTATCACGTGACCACATGACCATGCGGGTTGTTATAATCTGGGCAGGCTTCAAGCACCTTCTTTTCATCCCATCAAGCTTCATATTCTGTTATATAGCAGTTAGCAATACAGAAGTTTCCTTCTTATGCAGCTTACATTTACACTCTAACAATATTTAATGATTCAGATTAATCTACTTTAATTTTAATTATATTTAATTGTTTAGATTAATCTGCTTTAATTTATAATTATCTATTTATATTTAACTGTTTATTCATTTCATATTTAATTCTCAATTTAATATTCTCATTACATCTGTTTAGTTAGATAAATGAATTGAAGTTTTTATCTTCATATCATCTTGTCTCTAGTTGATATTATAGCAAAGTTGCTAATAATATAAGATAAAATTAATATGTTCTAATCTCAATTATATTCAATGTTTAAAATTAATTTATTTCAGTTTTTAATCATCTATATATATTCAGTTGCTTATTTATTTTATATTTTAATTCTTAATTTAGTATTCTTATCATAGTTATAAAATTAAATAAATAAATTGAAGCTTTTATTTTATTATTATCATATTTCTATTTGAGTCATAACAGTTAAACTATAATAATTATAATAAATTATTTTAGTAAATTATTTTTTTCTTTTATAAAATTTATTATTATTATTATTATTATTATTATTATTATTATTATTATTATTATTATTATTATTATTTTAAATATATATAGTTAAAAACTAATAAATAATTATATATAAAATAATTTTATTAATGAAAATTTTTTTTAAAAAATTATAGTTTATAAATATTAAATATAAATAATAAGAATATAATAAAATATATAAAATATAAATAAATAAAAAAAAATTAAAACTTTCAAGTCTTAATTATAAAAGTACTCACTACAGTATAATATATATAATATTGTTGAACATACTGTTTATATATATATTTAATTTTTATATAAATTAATTTATAATATAATTAATTGTTTTTTCTTGATGACTTGAAGGCATTCTTGTTGTACAGCAAAGTAAGAAAGCGATTTACTTGCCTTTGTAATTCATGACTTTATGAGCTTTATTTATGTCATATTCTCATATTTCACACATTATATCTGGTCTGTTTTCATGCTGAGCGAGATCAGTCATTGCTCTCATATATAAATAAACTAGTTAAAGTTTCTCACTTCCCTAAATATCTCACTCACAGCCTTACAGCCACATCAGCCTCTAAATAACTGTTACCTATTCAGCAACTTCTCAACCCCTCAACTCCAACAACTTAATGATTACTTGTAGACATTATTGAATGATTTCAATCCATATCCAACTGCAACTTCTCCTGGGCTGTATTTGAATGAGCGGACTCAGCCTCAACATATCCAGTCGGACAAGCAGCACCATAGAGGAAAATCCAGCTGAAAATCAAATACTAATATCATAACACGAACAACGACAACGATAATAATAATAATAATAATAATAACAGGAAAAGCTCCGCAAAGCCCCTTCCAAAAACTGTTTTGTTCCCTCTATCCTTCAAATCATGTAGCTATCCCGCAATCATGGTGCTCTCCCTGGCCCTCTCAAGTTTTTCTTCTCGAACCTCCCCTACCCAGAGCAAAAGTACACCATCTCCGTCAAATGATTCTCCTTCATCGAAATTCTCATCCTCCTCGTCTTCATGTTCGTCCTTCCCTCAGGCTCAACCTTCGTCACCAACGCCTAAAGAAACACCAGCATCCGCTTCCGCAGGCCCTGCCTCCTCCATCGTTGAAACACTACATGTTAACCCGTTCAGCCTAGCGACCCGAACAAAATCACCTAGCGACCCAGCTACCAGCGAAAATATTGGAGAAAAACAGGAGCGTGATCGCCGAGAGCTCAACGAAGCGCTGGCTACGCTTTCGCAGCTGTTTCCCGACGTGAAGATAGAGGTTTTTCGGGAGTTGCTGGTTAGATTTGATGGCAACAGCAGGTTGCACGTGTGTGTGGAGCAGCTGCTGAGACATAGGGCTGAGTGGGTGAAAGGGAGGTGGAATGTGCCGGAACAGGATGCTAAAGCTGGTCCTGGTGCTGGAACAGAGGAAACAGGTCGAGGCGCTATTGCAGTTAACGGAAATGGGGATGCTCTGGGGAGAAGGACAAGATGGATCCCACACGAAGAGCTTTTTCAGGGCGAAGAGTACAAAGCTGCGGTTAAGGCGACGCTTTCTCAGGAATTCCGCGCGTTGAGCAGAAGTACCATCGACGCTGTGCTGGCGGAGGTTAACTTCTCATACACACGATCCCGCCCAACGTTACAAGAACTGTCCCGCAAAAGCTGGCGGGTGACATTTGGTAGCATCTTTCCGTTCAAGAGGAAGAGGGATAAAGATGAGCATCCGCTCCTGATTTGGCAAAGGTTGCCGGATGGGGAACTTGTCCCCGGGTTGAAAGAAACGGGATGTTTGGAACTAGATAGGGAATTGTACAATACATTTTTGGCTCCAAAGCTGGCTCAAAGAAAACAGGACCAGGAGGATAAGAGCCAACAGCTGGCGGAAGAGCTTAACCAAGCTGAGGCAAAGGCTGCGGAAGCTCTGTATGAATGCGCTTGCTGCCTTTCAGACGTTACTTTCGAGCAGATAGCAACCTGCCCTGTCAACTTTCACATTATCTGTTTCAACTGCATCCAGCGAACCACTCATGAGGCCCTTTTCGGCCAGGGGTGGGGGAGATCCATTTTCCATGAAAAATCAACATTACGCTGTCTGGCGCCGGTGTCAGAGGGTACGTGTGAGGGCGCCCTGGACCCGATGATTGTGAAAAGAGCGATTTTAGCCGAAAAAGCTGGGGCAGAAACCTATCAGAAATTTGAAGATCGCCTTGCTTCGGAATCCCTTTTGAAATCTCAACTGAAATTGATACGTTGCCCGCTGTGTTCGTATGCGGAGGTTGATCCCGTTTACCATCCGACGGGGAAAGGGTTTAGCTGGCGTTTCCGACGTGGGAATCTCTTCCCGACAATTATTACGATAATATTTCTGCTCGACTTGATACCCATTCTTATTCTTCCGGTTTTATATTATCTCGTATTTTCCCCGTCAATTATTTCCACGATCTTATCTACTTCACTACGAAACATCTGCCTCAAAACCCGCGCACAGCGATTTACCTGTTCAAACCCATCCTGCCGCTCCGATAGCTGTATTAACTGCCGCAAGCCATGGCAGGATCCCCACCAGTGTCATGAGCCTCTCCTCCATTCTCTGCGAACAACTGTCGAAGCTGCCCGCACGGCCGCAATTAAACGCACCTGCCCACGTTGTGGTCTCTCTTTTGTCAAGTCATCCGGCTGCAACAAACTCACCTGTGTGTGCGGGTACGCGATGTGCTATATATGCCGCAAAGCTCTTGGCCCTCCCCTTCGAATCGCCGGCGCCAACCATATTCCGCCTGCCCGCCAACAACCAGCAAGAGCTCGACATAGGTGGCTTGCCCGCGACCAGGATAACAACAATATAGAGAACGCCCCCCTTGGCGACCATGGACTAGACGGCAATTTAGGGAACGTGACAGATGACAACGAAAACGATTACTCAGACGATGACGTCAATATCGCCAACAACGCTGTACCGGCCGAAGACGAAGAACCGGAAGGCTACAAACATTTCTGCGAACATTTTCGCCTCAACCCAGGCTCCCGCTGTACCGAATGTAACAAATGCGACCTCTACCTTACCGAAGATGAAGAAGCCGTCGCACGGCGTGCGGGCGAACGGGCAGAGCGCCAGTGGCGCCTACGGCAAGGTCTACTCAATTCCTCTTCCCCGACTTCAGCTGCCCCGGGCACTTTGCCGAGTGATGCCCTGGCAAAACTGTATGGTTACTCCGGCCGCAGCGGTAGTGGGCCTGGTAGTACGCTGTATTATTCTGGGTATCCTGGGTATACAGGCGGTGCTTCTGGCTCGCGGGATGGGAATTGGAATTTGCAGCTTGATGAGGTGGATTGGAGGACGCGATTGAGGTTTTGGATGTGGGATATTTGGCGGGATGGGCGGTGGAAGGGGGAAGGGCAATTGTTGGTTGATCGGGTGATGGAGATGGTTCTGGTTGTGGACTTGTAGGAAGTGGTCCTTTTTTTTTGGACTTTTTGTTCTAATGATGTCTTATATACTACGCTACACCAATGTCCATCTCTCATGGGGTACGGGATTGTGTCTTTTAATTCTTTATATTCTGGAGTCAAAGGGTAGGGAGTATTGAGTTGGCTTGATTTGACAATGGAGGAGATGGGATTAGGTATGGGAACTGGGCATAATTGACTTTAAATGCTTTTAGTTCTCCCTCTGCTGTATTTGAAATAACATGCTCATTTCACTGTTTCTATATACTTACCGCCCCCATGTCTCTTTCAGTTCGATAATTTATATATCTACCAAACGACTCTCTATATTATCACGTGATATTGAACTGTACGTAAAGGCAACATCAAAACACTACAATAAAACGCTTCTCACCCAGCCTCAATAACTAACGGTCGATTGTTCCCGAAAATCAGTCATTGGGTAACGGACAACATCTTGTTACTTTGGACTAATTGATAATAAGCTTCTCGCTAATCTGAATACGATTTTCATAAGACCGTAACAACGGAAAGCTTTCCACGTCCTAGCTTCGACATAACCTTGATCATTCTGCGAGGGAGGCACAGGGGAATGCTCTAGAGCTTCGTTGCTCAACCCGGGGCGTGTCTGAATTTCTGACAGCGATGATGGCCAGCCGTTCTGGCGGTGGAGGAGGAACTGGAAGCACTAGCACAGGAAGTCCATTTGTCATCGAGCACGACGATGAATCAGTAGTAGATAATGACCTTTTAGAAGAGGATGAATGTATGGTTTTCTTTTTTTCTTTTTTTCTTTTTTTTTTTTTTGATGGTACCTTTAATCATTCGTCTCTGCTGGAGCTGAGATGATCCCTTCTCGCAATTCTCAATTTCATACTCCATTACAACGCAAATGCAATCAATATATACTCGCACATTTCGAATACTAACACCTCCCCCCCCCGCACTGACAGCCATCGAAGCGGACGACCCCCTCCACAACGATCACACCACCACAACCGACCGCGCCCCTCTAACCGGCAACATCGGCTCAAACTCGTCCTCCTCCGCCCGCCCCAACATTACCAGTTCATACCTCACCTCCTCCATCCCGGGCGAAGACAGGCGCGCTCCGCAAAATACCATTGACGAGACCGTCTGGGCAACGCTATCACGCGACCTGCTAGCCGTCTGGGAGAAGATGCGACAAGTGCTGTGGCCCAAGTATCTGCTTGGTGGCATGTTAACGCGCGGGGGAGGGATAGGAGCGGCGGAGCGCGGGGAGGCGACGGGCTTTGGCAATGGGCGTGGTGGCGGGATTAGGGGGTTGGTGGGACGGTGGCCGGATGCGGATGTTGTACTACAGGCGGGTATGAGTGAGGGGTTAAGGGATTGGGATCTTTGGTATGTGGTGTTGACCGGTGATGGGGTTATTGGTTATTTTGTTTTATGGGATGCGTGTTGGCTAATTTGTAGTGTCGTTCAGGGGTCCATTGATTTTCTGTCTGCTGCTCAGTATGTTTCTGTCCATGCGGGCGCAGGGTGACCAGGCGAGTCTGGTCTTTTCGGGCGTCTTTTGCATAGTGTGGATTGGTGAGGCGGTGGTGACAATGCAAATTAAGTTGCTGGGAGGGAACATGTAAGTCCCTATCCGCTTCCCCCCATTTTTTCATTGCCTTAGCTTTTCCATAAAACATCACTCCATAGTTTGTGCTGACACATTCAAAATTAGCTCCTTCTTTCAATCCGTCTGCATAATCGGCTACACACTTTTCCCCCTCGTCATTGCCTCCATCCTCAGCGCCTTTGGTTTACCTGTCATAGCTCGCATCCCGGTCTACCTCGTCTTGATATCCTGGTCACTGGCTGCGGGAGTAAGTATCCTGGGGGGCTCTGGGGTGGTAAAGAATCGCGTGTTAATCGCCGTCTATCCGCTGTTCGTATTTTATATTGGGATAGGGTGCTTGTGTTTTATCAGTTAAGGTGGGTGGAACTTTGAAGTTGGCTTTGAGGACCTACGAAGATGGACCGGATGAAGGTGAGATGGTATGTAGTGACGTGAGGTGAGGGAGATACTATGTGCCATTCGAGGGGATTCGAGGGAAATTGGGGATTGCTCTGTGTTCTATCTACCTATTTTACGGTATTAGTTTGCTGGTTCATCATTACCTTTCCCCCCATAACAATGTGAGCAGTGATGGCTTCATTTTGCTAGTTCATCTATCCCATGGTTTATCCCTATTCCTTTGAGCTTATACATTGCGTCTTTAACTGCTCCTATGCCATTGTTCCTTTGGCTAGTCGTTAGTTGTCTTTCCTGTGAGATGCTTTTTTATGAACGGTACTATATACATTGAGAGGCTATTTACTATCTTCATCTCTACACCAATAACTTGACATTTCCTTCCTTCACCGAGGTTTTGAGATCTCCAGTACAGAATCTTTGAAGTGATGTCTAAGTTGGAGTTCAATCAGTTGAATACCAGCCTTTTAACTTTTTTATATATTTTTATTTATTTATTTATTTACTTATTTATTTATTTAATAATTTTTTTTTGTCGTTGCCTGTCCCATGATCCTGTTCAGAAGCTCAACAAATGGATGAAGTTCTTCTCTATGCTCCACTCGAATGAATGAATGTAGACAATGAACATGGCCATTTGGATCTTGACTATGGGTGAATCCTCCCAACAGAAAATACATAGTTGACCCAACATACACAATGACTAGATATATGAAACCACTGAATGCCCCCATAACAAAGAACTTGAATGGTTGATGGAAGAGGAAGAAGAGGAAAACGGGGTACCTTGTAATTCAACAACTCCCTTATCTTCTCTCAACCTTTTCCTCATGTTATATACGGAATACGGTACCTCCAAGCTTACCCCTGACAGTTGCAGTTTGAGTAGATTTGCCTCCCAGAGTCTTATTCTCCTGGTCCAACAGGATAGCAGTAAAGCAATAGCTTCTTTCGGTATTTCTAGAGAACTGATCATTTCTGGAACCAAAACAATCGTTGGGATGCTCGAAAATCCACCGATTCATCGTAGGCGGTAATTGAGCCCTTGACAGAGATCTTCTCCCCCTTCTCTCAGCAGAGCATATTCGCCATTAACTTAGCCTCCGTGTACTCAGCACTGGTTCGCCATACAATAGTTTAATACAGCCAATTGCCTGTCCATCATCAGATTTTTAAATAACCCGTCTGTCAGACTCCTCCACGCTTGTCAACTCCAGGGATATCTTAGATTCCTTCTGTCCATTCGTGCCTGCGCCCCCCCTTTGTCTATAAACACTTCCTTCCATCTGGCACTTTAGTCGATGGCGAATTTATTATAATCCTATGATAGGATAGTTAGCGGCACAGTTTTTTTTCCCAACAATTTTGCAGCCCCGCCCGCGATTCACCGTAGGCTTTGATAGGTCAACCAGGGAGATTGTCCGTTCCGTTGACGTGTTGGATTACCAGATACACTCCGTTCATCCATTGGGCTCTTTGTTTCAAGCGTTTCGACTCCGGTGTCTTGATTGAGTGTCTGATCAGTGGGTCAAGTTCAGTAATCAGTGGATTTCAAATTTCCAACCTGCTGCTGGCTTGGCTTGGCTTATGTGTTTAGTTGAGTAAATCGCTGGTTAACTAACTCCGTTAAATAAACTAGTTAGCCGAACTAGTTAGTGGTTAGAACTTCGCTGGGAACAAACAACAACCACTGCCAGAACAACCAGCAAAGGGATTCTCCAGAAACAATCGCTCTGCTCTGCCTCATATATTCGCCCAAGCTGTTTTCAAGTGGAAGATCTATACATACAAGAAATCCAGACACTACGCTGTTGGGAATATCAACCACTTGGAAGAACCCCCACGTACCGAATAAACACCGCGAAAACTGTGCCACCGCCCAATCCAGCCCGACTCAACACCACGACGACGACGACGACAACAACAACAACCACTACCACCACCCAAGAACACTAGGCACAGCAACAGAATAGCTCGGGATATAGACGCAGCCTACCTTCCCCAGCTTACCACGTTGAAGGAGAAAAATATTTAAAGTCAGGCATGGATGCACACCACCTGAACGGTGTTTTGATTGGTAAGACCGCCAGCAAATCCCCCTCGGCATCCATTGATACAGAGCCTTGCTCAACCGCTTCGGATACCACAGAACCCATGGATAAGCATCCTCGAGACTCATTCCAAGGTACGCGGGACAAGAGCCCTATGCTTCAGCCTGAATCTCCGGCAGAAAGTGACGTTGCCCCCTTATCTGACTCTGGAAACACCGAAGCGTCCAAATCGGATAATGTCTTCCCCCCTTCCACCAACATACAACCTACTACCCCTCTCCAAGGTACGCCAAATGGACCATCTCCTTCCCAAGAAGAGAAATCAGAATCAGAATCAGAATTAGAAGAGCAAATATTTTTCTTCCAGTCCCATGACCATCAACAACAGCAACAACGGCTCCTAAAAGAAAACTCTACAGATAATTCCAATGTTGAGAAGGCACTCTCTAACCCGGATCAAGGACCCGCTCCCATGAACCGAGATACCGAACCCACCTCAGATAATGACGCTGCCGAACTCTCAGAAGGTACGAAATTCCACGAAGCAGAACAAGAAGAGATCAAATATCCAGTCTCTGACAGACCAAAAGATGGCGCTGGTGAGCGTCCTGTTCGCCAGAAACTCAAGGAAACCTCCATCGCTGGTGTGGCTCGCGCAGATTTGCCGCAGGACCACGTTATGGCATCACAGACAGCACCCGTGAGCGGAGCAGACAATGTGAGTGATACGAGCAGTTCGGACGGCCGCGGTAGACTACGGAGGAAACGATCACTGGAAAACGTTAATCGGGATGACGAGGATGATGATGCCTCGGGAGAACGAGGCGTGGATGATGTTGGCCATCGACGGAAGCGGTCGAGGGATTCGAAAGCGGAAGATGAGAGCGAAAAGCACGAATCGTCAGAGAGGAAGTTGGCGGCGGCGGAGACACAAGACATGGCAGATACGAACGCTATGGATTCTCCTGCCAATGAAGTTGGACTACGTACGCCAACAGAACACCTTAAATCTGTAGGGACAGACGCTGTCAATAAGATCCTCAGCCCAAAGAAGAAGCGCGGTAGAGATCAATTCGACACAGACCTTGTGAAGTCAGACAATGTCGACGAAACGGCTGAGGAAGGGGCTGCATTGGCTAGCAATGGAGACCCAGTCGATAAATTCAAGGGCACATCAATCAATCGCACAGTAAAGGGTGAACCAGAGAAGAAAAGACATCGTGACGATTCGCAAGATAGGAGCTCTCAGGTTGATTCTGATTTAGTTCCAAAAAAGGTTTGATATAACATCCCCCTGATGTCCCTATATTGATTAATTTCTCTTTCGCAATTTGCATTTACGTCCTCACATCTATATACCCAGATTACCCCACCAAACCCATTCTCGAATATTTCAGCTGTGTCCCCATTCGCGTCGATTCAGCCATCTGCCACCTCCGAACAGACACCAAAAGATGAATCTAAAGTGAAGAAACCACCCATCACCTCCGCATCAGCCTTTGCCTCATCAGCACTAGCAGCCTTTGCCGGCTCAGAGAGGTCCCCATTCGGCACCCTGGGAGCCTCTGCTACCTCAACTTCTCCCTTCAAGCCTGCATCCACTGTTGAACCTATGGCAGGCAAAGGAACCGCTGCCCCCTCTTCATCATCATTTGCAGCTTCCCCCTTCGCAGCTGCAGCCGGCGCCTCTCCATTTAGTGCATTTGGAGGCGGCGGAGCTGGTTTTGGCAAAAGTGCGTTTGCTAGTGGTTTTGGAGCCGCTGCGCCAAGGCTCGGCGGGGGATTAACGAGTTTCGCAGCCCCTGCGGGTAGCTCCGGGACTTTGGAAAGTACTGCGAAACAAAAAATTCTGGGAGCTGCTAGCTCTGACGATGAAGAGGGTGAGGAGGAAGGCGAGGGGGGAGATGAGGGCAAGCCTGCTTTTGAAGGCCTGGAGGAAGAGAAGGGGGATGAGAGGTTCCATGAACAGCAAAGTATGTTGGAGTTTTGTCCTCCTTTTACGCTCCTTTTTATTTTTCATTCTACTCCCTTTCCAACCGTTCCTATCCACATAAGAATACGTCCCTCTATGTACATGTAAACCATTCAAGTTTGCTAACTGCTCTATTCCAGCCGAAACCGGCGAAGAAGGAGAGGACACCATCTTCTCATGTCGCGGCAAGTTATTCCATTTTGACGGCAAAGAATGGAAGGAACGCGGTGTTGGCCTCTTCAAAGTCAACGTCTGGGAGCCAGCTACAAGAAGCTCTAGCGACGGTGATTCAAAGGAATCTGAAGAAGACGAAGAAAAGGCAGAAGCTGAAGGCGAAGGAGAAAGAGCGGCTGCAGCTGAAGACCACACAACACCGAAAAAGAAAACAGCCCGACTGCTCATGCGCGCTGATGGTGTGTGGCGGGTTATTCTCAACATTCCTGTTTTCAAGGGCATGAAGGCGGGGGATCCGACTGGGGCCCGGCCGTCGGGGAAGCAGGTGCATTTTGCCGGGTTCGAGGAGGGAAGATCTGTTCCTTTCTTGTTTAGGGTATGTCCTGTCATGTCATTCGTCTCTCCGCCTTCATCGCCTTCATTGTTTTCGCTGTTGTTTTTGGCTCTTTTTCTTCTGACTCAAGTTTATCTGCAGACCGGAAATGACGATGTAGCCAAGGAACTCTATGTGACCATACGAGAACTCCAAGAGAGCCTTTAAGCGGTCGTCTTTGCCACGTTTTCCCTTTACTCTCGTTCTGTTTCTTTTCTTTTTTTCTTTTTTTTGAAACACCCCCTTTCGGTTCTCTCGATTCTCTGTCTTTTTGTTTTTTTTATTTTTAAAACTTTTATTATAAACATCCTCGAAAAACAATTCTTCCACCCACCCGAATCATAGAAACCATACCGTACCGGTCTTTTCCCTTGGGTCTTCAATCGCCATTTAGGTTCCCCTTTTTCCACTTTTCGCTATTTTCGGTGGCATATTCTCCCTGTCCTGTCCCACCCTTGCGCCTCCATTTTTGTCCATTTTGCAAGACATTATTCTTGCCTATTTTCCCGCTCTTTGCTTTCTCCTTGTTCAAGTTTGATTTCGCAGCATGGCAATGCATGGTACACCGTAACGGTGAAGGAGTAAAACGGGAAGGTAAGGGAAAGGAAACATATACCTTTTTGAGAACCCTAAATCAGCAACTTTTCTGCCCTCTTAGCCCCCCCTTTTTTTTTCTTTCTTTCCGCGCCCGCAATAAATTATTATCATTGTTCTTTTTCGTTTTTATTCGTGGACTCCAATCTACCAGACAATAAATAAATTTGATTGCTTTTTTTTTTCCTTTCTCCTATGCTCTCCTAAGTTTTCCCTAATTTTATATATACGGTACACATTCCGTGAACATCTTGCCCATTTCTTATGTTGAATGTGTTTACTATTTCTAGTCCTCCTAAACCCAAGCTCTGACATTGCATTCGTTCCATACTTGCGGAGTGCAGTACAGAGAAAATCCCTACTTCAAAGTGTAACAAGACTCGAATTACTCGGAAATTAAGAAACGAACAATTGATGAGCGATGACACTGGCTTGTGTGAGAATGCTCAGAAGAGGGAATCTGAATACTCACTTCCGTGAAGAATTATCATCAGGGGACTGCTCCATTGGGACAATAGAGGTTATAAATCATAGCTGCCCTGGTCTTTCGACTCCCACTGTTTTACACACAAAAACCGGTTTATAGAGCGCAAGTATTTAGTTCCAGACTACCTTGGATGCCTTAAATGACAACCACCGCCATGGAACAATTGATTGACAACAGTTTGCTGATCGGGAGAGGTTTGAGACATCCAAGGCGGAACTATATCCCCTCATCGTTATGAAGTCTGCCACTGAATTTTGTTAGTAAGACCAGCGGGGCAATTAGCTCAGTTGGTAGAGCGTTCGCTTTGCATCCCAACCGCTTGCGAAAGGTCGTGATTTCGATTATCACATTGTCCAGTTTCCTTTTTCTGCTTTTCACATTTCTGAGCTGAGAAAGAGTTTTTGTATCTCATTCTCCCCTCTCTTTTTAATTTTCTTTTATACTCATGGCATGCTGCGTGAACAGCTGCACAGCGACTGCGGTAAGTTTGGGCTTGAAAATTAATCGGTGTCACATGACCACGCGTTTCTGAGTGACACTTAGATACCTAATTATTTGTATACATATCCATGGATAAATTTCTTCCAGCTCAGCCAGTACATTCTGAAAAGGATAATGTGAAATGATAGCATGATATTTCATTGAGCTGGGTCTCACATGACTCCAATTCAGCATCTATGAATAATAAATTGAAAAGAAAGGCAAACTATGCCTTGGATGACAAGCAACAAGCAGATACAGCAGAGGAATCTGCATCTCTTCCTTTTGCTTCGAAGCCTCCAAGTGATGGGGCAGAAGTTCCCGATATCGGAAAGGGTCGTCCAAAATCCACCTCGGAAACCCTAGCGGATGCATCCACCACCAACACTACCTTCCCTACCAAGACCCAGGATGTTCCAAGCAAGTTGACCAAAACTGTCAAAAAGCAGCGTTCCAGCACCCCATCCTCGAGATCAAGTAGTACTTCTTCCCGATCCCGGTCAAAAACATTGTCCGCCACCTCTGTCCCAGCGATTCCTTGGCCTGAATCTTTCACAATTCTCTCTCAAACGCACCGGGCACTTAACCTCGTGTACACCTTCTGCTCCGCGCGAAAGCACTTTGCGACTACGTTCGATAATATCAAGGCAGCCGTTGAAGCGCAGACGGGTGGGCGAAGACTAAGTGTTGAAGATGTGGCGAGAGTCAAAGTGCTGATCCCGCGATCTGTGAGGTTTGAGAGTGTTGATAGGGGAGTTATAGATCTTGTGGGAGTAAAAGAGGCAAAAACCACGAGGGGTGGGAAAATGTGGCGTGATTGGGAGGCTGAGGGGATGGGCCAGGACAGCGATACCAATGAAGGTGCAGCTCATCATGGTGAGAAGGAGGTGTTATTGTTCGAATTTGTGGATGGGGAATTGAAGAAAGAGATCCAGCAGCCCACTTCGCGAAAGAAATCGAAAGAAGAAGACCTTAGAATGCCCGTCTACAGCCAAAAGCATATGATGGGCCTGATCGAGAAACGAAATAGGAAATTTGCGGATGCTGTTGATGCGTTCCTTGTCAAGTGTAAGGGTGAGGATATCGATCCCGTCGAGAAGCTGGAGGCTGATAAAGAAAAGTTCATGCCTGAAATAGCCCGTAGCGGGAAGAGCACTCCTACCATCGCTAGGCTGCCGGCACAGATCCCTAGGGAGCGTCAAACAATCGCAGAAATCGTTGCCAACATAAAGGAAATGGAGTGGTATACCGGTCAGATAGTACCTGATGGCCATCGGGTCATTGACTCGCAGCCAGCTGTCTACGGTAATCTCAAGTTCGCTCTTTCACAAAGTCTGATTAATGCCTTGTATAATACGCGAGGTATCACCCAGTTCTATTCCCACCAGGCAGAGTCTATCAACAACCTTCATGACGGGCATAATGTCATCGTGTCTACTTCGACAAGTTCAGGGAAGTCCCTAATTTACCAAGTTCCAATGCTGCATGAGTTGGAACAGGACCCCCAGAGTCGAGGGATGTATATCTTTCCGACTAAGGCGCTTGCTCAGGACCAACGACGAAGCCTGAAGGAGTTACTGGGATATATCGAAGGATTAGAACATACCCTTGTGGAAACCTTTGATGGAGATACCCCTATGGAAGATAGAAACACGATTCGAGACGAGGCACGGATTATTTTCACCAATCCAGATATGTTACACATCACTATATTGCCTCACGAATCCTCTTGGCGGACTTTTCTGAAGAACTTGAAATTCGTGGTTGTAGATGAGTTACACGTTTATAATGGTCTTTTTGGCTCTCATATTGCGTTCGTCATGAGACGATTACGGAGAGTATGTGCTGCGGTTGGAAACCGCCATGTCAGGTTTATATCTTGTTCAGCCACGGTTGCAAATCCTGAAGAACATATGAGAACGATTTTTGGAATCGATGATGTGAAGTTAACAGACATTGACGGGTCACCATCGGGTAGAAAGGAATTTATATGTTGGAATACCCCCTTTCGTGATCCTGGTGACCCATCTTCTGGTCGCGTTAACAGCATCAGGGAGACTGCCTGTTTGTTCTGTCAGTTAATTTTGAGAGGCGTACGGGTGATTGCTTTCTGTCGAATCCGAAAGCAGTGCGAGCTCTTGCTCAGTGCCGTCAGAGATGAGTTCAGAAACCTCGATCGACCAAGCGTCTCAAAATTTGTAATGGGATATCGTGGGGGCTATAGCCCGCAAGATAGACGAAAAATAGAGCGAGATATGTTTGAAGGGAAATTACTTGGGATTGTGGCCACGAATGCTCTGGAGCTGGGTGTCGATATCGGCTCGCTCGATGCTGTGATAACGCTTGGGTTTCCTTACTCAATATCAAATTTACGTCAACAGAGTGGACGCGCTGGTCGCAGAAATAAGGACTCTGTTTCTATTCTTGTCGGTGATTCAAATGCCACTGACCAATATTACATGCAAAACCCAGATGAGCTTTTCACGAAACCTAACTGCGAGCTTCAGGTGGACTTGCAGAATGAATTAGTTCTCGAAGGTCATGTTCAATGTGCTGCATTTGAAATGCCCATTCACCCAGATGAAGATATAAAATACTTTGGCGCACTGCTCCAGGAGTTCGCAACCACGCGGCTCATTAAGGATAACTTAGGATTTTACCATTGTCATGAGCGATTCCTTCCACTGCCCTCGAGATGTGTTGCTATTCGCGACACAACAGATAACCATTATGCAGTCATTGACACAACAAACAATCAAAATGCCGTTATTGAAGAACTTGAGGAATCTAGGGTATTCTTCAGTATTTATGAAGGAGGCATTTTCTTCCACCAAGGGAATCCTTACTTGATCAAAGAACTCAACATCGACCGGCGTTTTGCCCGTGTTGTCCGCGTCCATGTAGACTGGACGACTCGACAACGGGACTTCACGGATGTCGACCCCATTGAAACAGAAGCTATCAGACGCATTAGCAGGGAATGCAACACCCGTGCTTTCTTCGGTGCCATCAAAATCCGCACTCTAGTCTACGGCTTTTTTAAACTGGACAAAAAAGGCCGAATCCTCGACGCGGTGGCGCTTGATAGTCAGCCAATTGAAACCCTAAGCAAAGGTATGTGGCTAGACATCCCTAAAAAGGCGCTTGAGATACTTAAATCCAGAAATCTCAACGCTGCCGCTTCTATTCATGCCGCAGAACATGCCATTCTAGCCCTGTTGCCAACATACATCATCTCGTTACCTGGCGACGTCCGAACAGAATGCAAAGTCGCCATAAAGGAACTAGGTCCCAAACACAAACAAGCAATAAGCCATGCCCGATCAAAAGATGTTCCCCCACCGCCCAAGCCTGCCCGACAGCGTCCGGCCCGACTCACTTTTTACGATGCTAAGGGGGGGTCATCAGGCTCGGGAATCGCCGCAAAGGCATTTGAATTCATTAATAGCCTTCTACAACGGGCACTAGGGCGTCTCGAGGCGTGCCAATGTACTAGTCCTCAGGGCTGCATCGAGTGTGTGTGTGATGAACGGTGCAAAGAGTTGAATGTTGTTATGAGCAAAGCCGGTGCTGGCGTGGTGTTGAAGTGTTTGCTGGGGATTGAGGTGGATGTCGATGCGTTACCATGGGGTGAAGATGTGCTAAGGGCAGCTGGTGCTGCGTCGAGGGACCAAGCGTGGTTGTCTAGTCAGGAGGGAATAGAGTTAGCTGGGGGATTGGAGACTATTGTTGAGGCTGTGGAGGTTTCTGCGAGGCCGGGTGTGGTGGCTCCGGTTTATGGGGAGGAGGAAAGTGAAGGATGAATTTTGTAGTTTGGCAAATATGGGGACTTCCTCAAGTAAAACATAGCCTTTCAAATGAATGAATGCATGGATGCACAAATAAAATGGTAACTAAGAAATGACAGGCACTGCATTCAGTCTTGTGTCTTTTTTCCCTGTTTCTTCATGGGAGTATCCTTCTCAATATGATATCAGCTTCACCATTACTAATGCCTTTGGAACTGGGAGATATAAAGAGAATAGATTAAGTGATGAACCATGTGGGGTATATGACATATAATAAAGAAGTACAGCCTTTGTTTGCCCAGGTAGAATATTTTTGATACCACAACTTATCCAGAAGAGTACCTCGAATTTAACATCAAGAAAAATACAGTTTTTACGCCCATTCTCAGACGAAGTTCGGTGAGGAGTTCAGCTCAGCTATTCACAAAAACACAATACTGTATGCAGTCCATAAAACGAAATGCAATAAAACTAATAATTAACGTTCTATCACTAGAACGAACAATTAATGAAGAGGGGAAGGAAAACGTATAGAATCGACAGCGATATATCGCCGCTCAGACCCGACGGACCCGCCATTAAACATAGATACCACAACGTTTAGCAAAAAAGACAAAGGACTAGACGTTTTCATTATTAGTTTTTTTTTCCCCACATCCTCCGTACCCAGTGGCCCCCGCAATCTCCCAATGATCTGCATTCTAGCAATCAATAACGCCTCCCAGGTAACTCTATTTCGACTGTGGCACAAACAGACCATAAAATATTATCTGGCCCTCCCTTTAACTTTCTGCCTCTTGTTAGAATCCGAGAAGATGTAATAAACCAAGGAATCTCGCGTTTCATGAGTTTCACGTGAGGTTGCATGTATATATGCGACAGAAGCAGTGCGCAAATCGAATGACCATAGAGGTGCCCTAGAGATGTCGTTTTGGGTTTTATTGCACCAAATATATACCCATAAATATATATATATATATATATATGCGCGTAAATCTGCAGCGGATTTCAATTACCCCTATGATTGTCAGTCCAAATCGTTCTGAGCTATATTTCTGCAGAGGACCAGAAGAATTTTTTTCATTGATATGTGAAAGGGAACCTCAAATACTTACTCAAAATAAATATATATATGTAAGATCAAAACTCCCCTCAACTCTGGTTGTTTCATCTGGTCATTCTTTATCATGAAGACACCTTGACCGGAGCTGCTAACGGCAATGAAGACGGGCATTGCCAACAGATAGATAGACCAGGGCTGGCTAATTAACAGAGACCGGTATAATTCAGGTTTGGAAGTCCGATGGTGTAGTTCCATGATTACATTAGAGTAAATAAACACACCCGTAGTAGTGTGAAGCACCTAAGATCTCTACCCATACCAAAGTGAGAAATAAAATCAAAAAAAGGGGGAATGGGGGGGAACATTAAAATGGGCAAATAGAAATGAGGAAACGGAAATAGTTTACCTCCAAAGCCACAGCGATCTGCGCATATAAAAATATGTGGGAACCTCGAAGTTGTACGTTTATGGTGTGCTACGGGGTTGACTAAGGCGGAGACTGGTACGGTAATACTCCGCTTATGGAAGATGGAGCCTGTGGAGAGCCTTCATTGGTGCTGCCAGTGTCGTCCAGATTCATTCGCCAGAACATCGTTTTCAAATCACACACGTCCTCCCGAAAGGTGTCTCGAGGTTTCAATTCTCGCTCTCGAATCCAGTCCCGAATTTCACGAACTAATCTTGGATAGCCTTCATCATTGGGGAGCCACCAGTGAGTCAGTTCCGGAAGTTGCCAGAAATCTGCCATTTTGGTACGGAACGCGGGCGGATGAATGTGTCTGGATGTGTAGATGTACGATCAGCGATGTGGGCACAATAATATTCTTGTAAAAGATTGTCTTACCCTAGTTGCTCTACTTGCGCCAATTTTCTCCGACACCACATGGTATGCTGTTCATCGCGCGGCAAAAATAGGGTGGACAGCCCTAAAGCATTATGAATCGACAGCATAGAGTCTTTCGGACGATTGGGCCACCGCTCCATGGCTTCTACCACACGGCAGATTTCTAATGCGAGGAATTGCAATTCTGCGAGGTCCAGCTGCTGCAAAAACACACCAGTTTGGTATTTATGCATCATTATTGTGCTAAGTACGTCAACAAGGCAGTTGTTCATTTCCCACTGCGATTCATTATGTATTCCCCCTGGCACGTAAGGATCGACAATATCATCTGGTCCAAGAGGCACCTTATTCGGGTAGGACATGACAAGGTGTTGTGGATTGGTCAAGGAATTCCAATTCTGCTGGATTTCCTCAATGCTGATTGAGAGCTCCTTGTTTTGGCGGTTAAATTCCTCTGTTGTGATGACCCCACGCGATGCCTTCGCAATCAAAGATGCCATATCCATAGCGATCCTTCTGTTACGGACACCCCAAGCCAAGTATTGTTTGTTGAGATCCCCTGGATTGTTGGCAGCATCTCCAGTGGCAGAATATTCACATGCAATGTACCAATCTCGATCCAAAATTGTTTCGTTCCCAGCTATGAGACCGGATACCACATCAAAACGGGTGTACCACATGAAGATATGACGACGAAACTCATTTTGGTAGATTTTTTCGGGCGTGTAGAGCTCGGTGAGCATGCGATGAGCGGCTTGATGATGATCAATGACACTAGCCCAATCTCCTAGATATTCCTACGAGTTGTGTCAGAACAAAAAGCATAGCATGAAGATGAAAGGTTAACACATACTTCGAAGGTTGCTAACTGAAGGATAGTTAACAACATGGCATCATTGTGGATGTTACCAGAACTAAGCGACTTCAACAGGCCCGTTACTGACTGATTATAATATTTAAGGAAGGTGTAAAGTTTGCCTTTAGGGTGCCTGATGGAATAATGATAAGCTGAGTAACCAACGACGGCGTATAGTAACGGTTCATATTGCAGAGCGGACGCGAGAAGGTCATTCTTGATAAAAGCTTCTGCCGGCTGTCGCAAACAGTAGTGTTCAAAAGTTATCTGCTGTCGGTGATATTCAAGGAAAAATCGGATGTCGTACTTGAGATTGGAAGTGACAGGAAGGTTCGAGATGGCCTCCAAGACAGGTTCCAACGATTCTGGACTCGTTTCAATGTTGCTACCAGGACTCCGAGATTCTGCAGTTCCCGACGTAATATCACTACCGGGAGAACTGCCTTTCTCCTGAGTGTTCGACGATGCGTCTGAAGGCTGACGCAGTTTCCGCCGGCTGAGGGATTGGACGCTCTTTCTTCGAATCATAGTACCCTTCTGACGCAGTATAGTCGGTGACAGAGAGATGTTTTCTTTTGCACCTTCGTTCTGTTCTGTAGGGTTTGTTTTCGAAATCGCCGTGTCACGCCCATCATTTTCATCGGAAGATTCACTTTCAGGTATTACTGGATGCTTTTCTGCAGCATCCAGGTTCGCGCGGCTTCCAGATTTTCTCACCGGTGGCGGCGGATAAACGCAATCTCTTTTGCCTTTACTGCATCCTGAAGGTATTATAAAAAACGTCAATTTAAGTACTTGAATTTCCAGTGAGGTGAGGAGAACGTACGATCACAAATCGGATGAGTTTCATCACACTGCATAGGACATCAGTAAGAGGCACTTAGCAGAATCCTACCAACCTTGGAATGACAAACCTTCACCCGGCGGGAACGGCATGTGAAGCATCCACTTCTTGTTCGTTTGTGTTTTCTTTGATCATTTTGGATGGATGCCATTTGCAAACGGGAATGGTTACCTTGAGGATGGGATATGCGTTGTTCATGAGGGTTATGCCAGAAAGTAATAGAGTCGGGATATTGTGAAGGTCTCAAGATACTAGGGTGGAGGACAAACTGGGCGCCCTTATGCATTGAAGGTGCATTGTAGCTTGCTACAAGGCCTTCAGGCGCAAAGTATGGGTTCATCTCGGACCTATGGTTTTCGGGGCCGAAAAGAAAAGACGTGGATTGTGTTTGGCAGTCAAGCTTTCTAAAAACTTCATCTCTTAGCACATCGCACTATTGCGACCGTTGTTGTCCAATTCCAAATACAAGGCTGTAAATATAGAAGGGCGGAATGGAGTCATCGAGCACTGGAGCATGCTGACACTCGTGCCCGGTACACTTGAAAACAGGTGCAGCGGAATAATAACCAGAAAAAGAAAAAATTTTGAAAGAGTAAATAACAAAGTGAGTGTGAATCATAGCCTATGGATGGTCAGGAATGATTGCAAGCCAAATCCCCATCCTTCCAACCACCCAGGTCTCAGACTATGGCATTTTGCAAGGCGCGACCAAAGAAGGACTTGAGAGATTTACGCGCTAGCAGGGAACCAAGAGGGAAATTCGTGAGGAGTTTAGAGCTGATATAGGCCAAATTCATGATGTCTGTTTTCCAAACAAAGGGAGAATGGAAGAAATTAAGAAATCGGATCATACCTTGGAGTACGGGTGATAATTATGCAAGCACCCAGGTTACCCTCTCGTCGAACATGAGTAAAATGGACCGGGATGGTTGGCAAGTCCACAGTAAGTGGGAAACCAAAGACCACAAGAGTGAGTTTCTGACGTGACTATTTGGTTATTGTCTTCGGTCGGAGCGGTCCGAAAGAGATCTGGGTGGGATACCAACAAGGAATTGGCTGAAGTGGAGTGTGGTAAAAATTTACTACCGTGGATGATAGAGCCAACCTAAATGATAATGGCGCCTAAAAGGCCAAAGGCAGCACCGTCTTAGTGGATGAGACCTTTTTTTTAAGCCAACAGCTTCGATGCAATCACTGACTGTTCTTTTAACCTTGGGCTTAGGGAAGGTCTGATAATTAGCGGGCTTATCATCAACAATCTTCCACTAATAAAACGATGCGTTTATGTACATCCTTGTATCAAAACAGTGGGAAAAAGGAGAAGAAGAAGATAAAAGAAGCAAAACGAATAACGGAAAAAGCAAAAGAAAAAAAGCAAAAGGCAAAAAGAAAGGCAAAACGAAAGAAATTCTCACCTTTAACTTCCAACCCAATATTATGCTCACTCCATCCTGTGTGCTCTTCTCTCACGCCCTCAGGTGACGCCAACGTTGACGCAAACGAGCGAAACCAGAAAACGATAATACCTCCGATAACAATGTTCACAGGTAATCCGAAAGGGAAAGTCTTGGGGAACGAAAAGATACGATTCGAGAGTTGGAATTTGAGATTTACCCGGAGAATGGAAGAGCAGAGACAATTTTGCGGACCGGTAAGCTGCCAGGTGAGGGCAGGCGGCCAAGTCATGCAGTGATGCTCCACTTGGTACAGCCCTCCACTAGGTAGGAAAAGGATGCAGTAGTTTGATAATGGCAGTGGTGACTTAGGCAGTAGTTAGATTTTAGATCTTCGGTGCCCAGTACCCAGTAGTCAAAACTTGCACTTTCGCACAGTCGGTTTCATCACGATTCAATGACTCGAGTCTTCCAGATCAAAATGCTGAGAGCCGTCCCAATCAACAGAAATGATAACTCCGAGCCGTCGAGTAGTTGAACGTACCATGCAAGCCGGACGATCTGAGTCTTTGGATGCCCCTTCTCCACTTTCGGACCAGTGGATCTTCTGTCAATCCAGATAAAACTAAAATAGTAGGTTGCGTGGATGCCACTGGATGCCACTAGATGCCGCTGGGTGCCAATGGCAAAAACGTGATCATAATAAGATTGGTACCTGGTCGAGTACCTTAACTAGTTCACTGAAGCATATTAGTTAGTCAACGTAACATATTCCACCAGATGTCAAAGTAAATTAAGCAACCAGTGTAACAGCTCCACTGTCTCACCAAATTATATTATAATACCCTGAAGCAAAATGTGCAACCAGGTAAACTTCCCCCTCTCCCCCACCTCTGCCGTGAGTTGCCAGAAATAGCATGGTCTCCAATTATGGTGCAAATATGGACCAAGGATGAGAATGCCTCAACCAATAGATGCCCCATATATCTAATATGGTACATCTATTGACCCACCCACTCATGCCCACTCGGAACCTTAGTTAGTCACTGCTCGAAACCACACAAAAACACTAACACATTCTCTCAGCTTCCCCACCAAAATTCCCGCCTAACTTCTTAGCCAAAGACCCCTACAACAATCCACCCTTAACACCCAGCTAGCGTGGAACCCATGAAGGAAGAAGCTGATAGTTAAAGAGAAAGATGGCGAGAAAGCCCATAAATACAGAGTCCATTAATGAGATATATATTTATTCCCTACCTATATCAACAGGCTAGGCTCTGCTAAAATCCCTCAAATAAAGCAGAAGTGAGAGGAAGTTAGAGTTGATATATCGTTTTTGAAATTAATCTCAATAAAAGTGTCAGTTTTCAATCCACTTTGTGATCTTGATGTCAATAGTCTCTACGTCTTATTTAGTCAAATATAAATACTGAATTATTATTTAGTAAAATATATAATTATTAAAATTTCTTTAAAATTATCTTTATTTTTTAAATATTATTATTAATAAATTTAAATAAAATATTTAAATACTAAGAATAATTAATATATTTATTTTTAAAAAATTTTATAAAATAAAATAATTTAAAAAATATATTTTTTAATATTATAACTTTTTAATTTAATTATTATTTTTATTATATTTTTAATTATATAAAAATTAAATATTAAATATTATATAAATTTTAAGATAAATTTTATAAATTTATATTTATATTTATATAATTTAAATTAAAATAATTAAAAAATAAATTATTTTTTTTAATTTAAATTATATAAATATTAAATTATAAATATATAAAATTTTATTAAATAAAATTTTTAATTTTAATTATTTTAATGTTTTAATACTTTATAATATAATTTTAAACTAATAAATTAATAAATTAATTTTTTATAATATTTAATATATATTATATAAAAATATAATAAAAATTATAAATATAAAATAAAATATATAAATAAATTAATATAAAAATACTTTATATTAAAAATATATTTATATATTAAATTATTTAATATAATAAAAATAATTAATTATATTTATAAATTTTAATAATTAATAAAAGCATTTAATTAAATTATTAAATATATATTAAATTATAAAAATAATTACTATACTTTATAATAATAATAAATAATAATAAATAAAATTTAAAATATAAATATGTAAAACTTTATATAATAATTAGTTTATAAACTTTTATTAAAAATTAACTAGTTACAGATTAACTGTTATTTAATAAAAGATAATTAATAATATTCAAAATAATCATTACCACAGAAGATAATTTTCATTTATTTATCTTTAGAATTTATTAAACTAGTAGATTATTTTCTTACAGACCTGTCATTGAGTCAACCAAAGTATTAATCAAAGTAGAGTTGAATATAAAACTTCATACAGAGCATGCAGCTTCATGAATTGAGATTATTCCTTTTCTTAAAAAAAAAATTAAAAATAAAATATAATATAATTAACGATATTCTTACGCGTTAAAATAGGTACATGAGGAAATTAAAGATATTTTGCATTTGCTAACAGGCTCTCTTCCGCAACCTCTCCAATGTGTCCCTTGATTAATCTTCAGCTGTGACGATACTTGAAATCGAGCAGATACACTAAATACTGATTTATGCTAATGCATTGCCAATAGCTGGCCACACCTGGATGTGGGTTGGGGGTATTGAAAAGATGCCTGCATCTGTTTGTGATTGGGCACTTTGTCCTAACTTTAAAAGAATAATAATGCGCTTTCTTGGGTCTCTTTTCCAAATTGACAAATAAAGTTTTACACCAGCGATCAGAGCATTCATGTCTATCAGTGCCAGTTGAAGAAAAGTTCCCCAATATCCGGGTTGAACTTTATTGAGATTTGACTGTCGCTAAGCCAGACAATAGCTTTAAAAAAATATAAGCCAAGCTAAGACCTCATTCAGATCGAGCTCTTTGAAGATCTTCTCTGCCAGACGGCAGGCAACGACCGGGGGGGATGCTGACGAAAAATGGGGTCACCATTATTAAACAAACGCTCAGGAGTTCTGACTTTTGGGGCAGCATTGTTCCAAATCAAAGAAAAGAATTTCTGCCTACCCGGCTCCAAAGTTTTTTGGGTCTAGCAGACTAACAGAGCTTATTTTATCTCAAGCTTCTTTTGTGATATGATAACATGACAACATATGATGATGCATGAGAAGAAAAAAACAAAAACCACTGCTAGAGAAGAAAAAAAAAAAAGATCCTTGAAACTGCTGCATTTCTGGAATCACTCGTTTTATCTTGATAACTACCTTGTTTCTCATTATCTCAGCTCTCCAAGAAGGAGAGAGATGACGGACAGCTGATGAGAAATAATATGTATGAGATGGATTCACACCCTTTATTTTATCTGGGCTCTAGAATATTTTTTTTTTAACCTGCCCTGCTACTATTTTAGTAAGCGTTTTAAGTTAACTTAGTTAAATGTTCCATTATTAGTCAATCTTTTCTAGTCATAAGTTCATCGTTTAGTAACTAGCTAAGCCAGTCAGCTTCTTAAGCCGGGCGCGTGAACTTTGTTGACTTTCTTGACTTTCTTGGAGGGTAGCGTCTGATGTGAGTGTTCAGCTACGTCTAATTAGCCGAAATCTAAACTACATATGGGGGGAGGCACGTGCTTAGGGTAGCCGCGGTATCCACTCCCAGGCTCCCATGGATCGGAGCCAACTGGGTGAGGGTGACTAAGCCCGGCCTGCCATGCAAATTTTTTAAGGTTGGCGCGTGCAGCTGACTGGATTGATTCATTTGACGTGATGAGACAATGGAGTGAGTGAGTGAGTGAGTTAGTGAGTCCAGTGCATGAATGATCTGGGCTTGTAAAAATCAAATGCCCCATGAGAATGGCAGATCTCCAAGATTGACAAAAAGACTCCCTTGTCTTACTTGATTATGCAGCACCAGGAATCTCATAAAAGAAAGGCCCTCAATCTTTTATTGCCGGTAGTTACCATGAACCTGCCATAAAGCTACTGCGAAGTAAACTACATCCAAACACCCATGCAACGTGGATTGTCGGTTTTCCCACTAAAGAAGAGAAGGGAAAAGAAAAGAAAAGAAAAGAAGAAGGTTGCTGTAATATTGTGAAACTCAGGAATCTGAACAGTGCGTGCTTCTAGAAGGGGGGAATTCCTCAAGGATGACAAACTGTTGATTGCCCCACCCAATGAGAAGAATAATGAATCCAACGTGAGAGTGGGATAACTTATCATCCAATGCTCATTGGAAGAAGGGATCGGGATGTAGTTACTCCATAGTGAGAAGATATTTATTTCATCCATCGATCCATTCCTCCATTAAACTGAGCTCTGAGGCTCCCTTTCTTTTCACAATCCGCACTCGAGGGAGCGAAAACCCCTAAACTCATACGAGTACCCCATTCTCATCATCAATGACATTCCATGTCCCTGCCTCACCCCGCCCAACCCCTTCCCCAAAAACAAAAAATAAAAATAAAAAATAAAAAATAAAAAAAGAAAAGAAAAGAAAAATAAAAACACAAAAAGAACAAAACAATGGGTTGTTAGGGCATCACCCTATCCTAGTGATTTTCGCGCCTGCTGCCCCTGCGCGCAAGTATCTCAACCGCCAAGCGAGACGAACGGATACGCTGAATAGTGGCTCTATATACGTCAGAGAAATGCACCGCAAACACAACAGGTACCAAAAACTACTAATAGTATGTTTTCATCATGCTCCCACCTTTTGCGAATGCTTCGTTTGGATATTGCGAACATGCATTTTTCAAGTAAAACCCAATTACAAGGAGACAAAAACAACGTAGAAACCTACGTATGGTCACAGGTTAACATCAGCAGTCTCGGAAGAGACGAGTGACAATTTAATTAAGCTTAAATTTTTTTTTTTCGTGATCCTTTCAACAGAGTTACATCAGATATTCCAATCTGACGTTGTGAAAGTAAACATTATCCTTTCAAACTCAAGGGCGCAAAAGATTTTATCAGTGGAAGAGTTAATAGGGGATAAAAGTTTTGGTCAAGTTATGCCTGAATATCGTTGGAAGTAGGGTTGCTCGGAACACGTCCAACTTCCCCACCCTGCTTTGCCATCGTTTTCGGTTCAGAGATCTGGCAGTAATTATTCAATCGGTGGGTGGTCTTGCCGCCACTTAAACCGCTCCCAATATACCGCTGCGCTTCCAGATATCCCCCTTCCCCTTGCCTGTCATGCCCCTCCCTGCCTGTTACTACATAGGCAGGCAGCCAACATACCTTGAAATGTGTGCGTGCCGTATACAATAAATATGTGCATGCCCATGAATTTATAACGGTGACAGAATTTTATCCCAACAATTTTTTTTTGAGCCAACTACATACCAGCAGATTTTTTCAGTTCCTGAATTTTCACTTTTAATGTGCTCGGTATAATCGAGAAAAGTCAAGAGAGGCCTATATGCCTACCACTTCAAATTTTTGTTCCAGTTCCAGTGTCCTGACGTGGAGCCCTTGCCAAACAAAAGTGGAACAATGTAAGAAAAAGAAAAAAACTGGTAATGATGATGATGGTGACGATGATGGGCCGTGAGAACTAGCGATTGCAGAAAGGATGTTCAAGGTGGAAAGGAAAGATAAAAAAAGAAAATGCCGTCATCGCTTCATAGTTGTTAAAAAGTTGAAATAAAAAAGACAACCAACAGGGAAATCGCGGGAGACAGTTCATGAAAATATATTAAAAATAAAACAAGAGACCGAAGAATGATCCTGATGAATGCCAGTCATACCGTTAAGCATCGTATGTTCTCACTTGACCAAAAAACACCGGAGATCCTCCCAGAAACAAATCTTCAACTGACAAAAAGCAGAATGAGTATCGTATGCAACAGCAAGCGCCCCAGAGAGAACTGATGCCAAACGCCGAGTGAAGAATAGATATTAAAAGAAAAATGAAATGACGAAAATCATTTTAATGCGCTTGAAGTCGTAGGAGTAAAATTAGGAAATTTAGGAAACAACGACAAATCATGAATCAAAAGTACAATTTGACGTGTTCGATATGAGCAAAACGGGATATTCGAGGAAACTGACTTGTAGCGAATCGACCAAAATCAAGTCAACGGGTATCCATCCAAAGGAGACGTAACTGAGAAATTGAGGCCAAAAAGAAACAAGCCAAAGAAGAGCATGTATCCTAATCTGGGCGGGAATGGGCGCTGAATGTGAATGGTTTAGATTTTTATCATCGATATGGGGTATATTAAACAATTGGCTCCGCTCGTTATGAAACCGTCTCTTGCTGGTGGTTGGTGTTGGCATTGTTGTTGGTTTCCGAGTTGGATACACCTTGACCTCTACACAATGGACAAGAGTTGCGACCAGTCGTGAGCCACTATAGTACCGTATTAGCTATTATAAATCCCAATTTGATAACATGAATAAGGACAAGTCCATACCTCGTCAATACATTCACGGTGGTAAATGTGACGACATTTGGTTAACTGTCTGACCTCCTCTGCTGCTTCGTAGTCACAAAGGCAGATAAGACATCTTTCGTTCTCCGTGATGGGGATATTCTGGGTATTCTCAGACGCATCCGCCGATTCAGCAATCAGAGCCCCACCATACTCAACCAACCGGAATATTCCTCCTGCGGAAGCAATATCTTCATGGGAAGCTACGGGTGGCTTGGCAGGACCAAGTAGTGATGACAGAAGCACCATGTCCTCATAGGTAGGGTTCTAATAGACTAAAATTAGAAACGGACGAAATCCAGCGTCCAATTGGCACTTTACTTACATCAGTGAACAAACTTGGAGTCGCGAATGCTGGGTGGTTTTCAGATAGGTTCGTTCCAACAACATATATCAACCAGCTCCTTCCACCGGACGGCAAGGAGGTGTCGGGTTCAACAACGCCGTTTCGCCTTGCTGCTCCGGAACCGAGCCCACGATGTCGGGCGGTTTCAGAGTCGCTTCTACGACGCTGGCGTACATTGCTAAAAGATGGGCTCTCTTCAGAAGACTCGTCTGGTTCATGGACAGAGTTCTCATTTAAGTGCGGCAGCACTGCGGAGGACGATGATGGTCGCCGACTCGGGCTGTTGGTTCCAGATGAAACGTTTGATAGACCGGGCTCTGCAGGAGTAGATGGAGGTGGATTGGGACCTGGAGGGCTTTCCGATAGAACTGTAGGTAATGAGCTTGCTAAATCCGATTGGTTACGGGATGCTACATGTGATCTTTGATGACGCTGACTGTCGTAATTGGCCGGAAATGTGTTGCCTCCAAGTGAGCGACGATGGCTGGAGAATCTAGACCGTCTATCAGCACGCCGAAGTAATCCACTGGAGCCACGCTCGTTCCGCGAAACGTTATTTGGTGTGATGAATGGTAAACGGAGTAGAGAATCCAGCGAGGCACGGGCGTGGAGTCCAGTATTCAAGTCGGATCCGTTGTTTATGGAGGGAACTGACCTTACTCCTACTACCACCAAAGTCACCAACCGTCTGTCCTGGGCCCCTTCAACTGGAGGGTGGTCATCAATATCCATTCTATCAGGTCCACTGTTTTGGATGTCCTCAGATGGCTGGTTGGGACGGCCAATTACTGAGCTATCTTCGGAATTATCCGGATTAACGAAGCGGAACACCCTCAAGAAATTGACGTGCGGTAAACCAGCTTCCCTCTGGGTACTTCCATTATTGTCCTCAGTTCCTGTTCCCTGTGTTTGGACAGTTGTCGCCTGCTGTAAACTTTGTATGAAGTTTTCAAGGGATCCCTCTGCTCCGTCACCACCAATAGCCTGGATATTGGGGATTGCGGGTGGGGTATTCCCAGAAAGTTGAGCGGCTATAGCCGCTGCTGCCAATTGCAGAACGCGGGACAGAGGAGTCTGCGGAGCTTGCTCATCTCTACGCGTCGATCGAATATGCCTAGTACGTGGCAGAATATGTCTTCGCGGGGATGACGAGGTACGAGAAGGTCGAGGAGGAGTGGTTGGGGAGGTTGGGTGAGTACTTCTTGTTGCAGGTGGCGGAAGGTAGTCGCCATCCTCTGAAAATCCAGGTCGAGTTGGACGACGCGGCGGTAGCATCACCGTCTGAGAAGACTCGGGCGGTACGTTTGGCTGGCCAAAAATATGCGATATCGGAGCAGCGATGGAATGTCTTACATGACTTAGTCTTGCCCGTTGACGCCAAGACAATCTTGAAGATCCAGAGTCACGTTCAGTGGTGGTAGGATCCAGGTATGTGGGATTTGGGGGTGGATCCGGTAAAAATGCGGGATCGCCTCGTGGAAGGGGGTATGGGCCACGTATTGAACGCCTTCTTGAAATTCCCCTTGAGCTTGACCCTGTAAATGATGAAAAGCGGTGCGAATGATGAGCAGATTCGGACCGATGTAGAGTTCTAGAGAGAAGACCGATTCGATGAGCACGGCCTTCCACTGGTGTTTCCTCACCACTGTTTAGCAATCCTCGAATCACTGCGTTTGGAAGGATCCTGGAACCAAGACGGGACATAGTCGACTGTCGTCTAGTAATAGAGGCAGAGGTTTCCTGCGTGGCGGAAGAACTGTGTGGCCCCATGTGTTCCATGTTTACAAGAGAGCTGTCCTCCAGATGGGATGGATTTGTGTCACTTGGATTTGAAAATGTGGCGATATGAGTAGTGGAAGGGGACAAAGACGGAGGCGCAGTTTGAGAGATCAAAGGAAGAGATACATGGCTGTGTGGCATCGTATGAACCCCACCAATAGAGTGATGTGAACGATGTAAAGAAGGATTTAGATGCTCGGGGAGATGTTGTTGTTCCGTGGGCTGATCGTACAGGTAATGCGAAAGTGGGTGCAATGAGGTATTGCTTAAGTTGCGGTTGGTGCGGTCGTGGTTGTTATTAGTGCTGTTGTAACTGGTATGCAGCGAGTCTGCGCGTTGGGACGAAGATGCTTGCCCCATGATAGAAGAAATAACCACGGGAAAATATCGGAACCTTGGAAGGAGCAAAAGGCGGCGCGGGCCGGTTCACTCTCGCATATTTGGGTAGGAGAGGACACGTCTGGCGGTGGGCGGGGAGAAAAACAGTCAGCAGGAATCCTAACAGGTTCCTATTACTACTATCAAGGCCAAATATAACACCATGTTTCTATATATGTACTGTATGTATTGTAGATCACCTTACGCGACCGCTATCTGATATGCTGGGGGGAACGATAGGAAACCAAAGGCTAAGGCCACTTGGGACCAGGGTAAAGGGGTAGATAATGGCACATGAGTTGATAGACAGAGACATATAGGATACTTACAAGTATGGAACGGAAGAAATCCAGACTGCTGTGGTTTGGAGGCAGGATGATTGGGTCTCAGTTGACCGGGGGGGAACAACGCAAAAGGAAGAAGATACTTGGGGCTCAATAACGAGAGATGTGGACTCGTAAATTATTAGAGAACAAACCGCATAAAAATCCCCGGCTTCCACGTGGGGTGTAAGCAACGACGACGGTGGAGAATCTGGTGATGCTGAAGATGTGATGTTTTGTTGTTGATGATTGATGAGGTTGAATCGGGACCAAAATCGATGCTGACTCATGCCCAACTGCAGCCCTTTGACCAATCACCTGTGGTTTTCTCATGGAACAACGCTGTTGGATTGAGCTGGATCTATATTAGGGAGTCACGTGGTTTGGGGTCGCCGCAAGTGTCCACTCACAGGTAGCCCAAGGGACGGACCGGATATATGTTGTGCCGTTGTGCCAGACCAGCCACAGCAACAAGGAGAACCTTATATGGAGAGTCGTTGTACTCCCTGGCAGAATGAACTTCCAAGTTTTTTGCCTTTTCCGGGATGCTGAGATGGGTTGGTGTGTTGGTGGAAGAGTAGGCCATGAACGGGTAAAAACGGAACTCAATTAGCGTCCCTAATATAATACTACTGGATGCTTGAACTTGTCTCCATCCTCTCAACCGCCAATTCAACTGTTCCGAGATCCTATTACCAAGGGCCAAATTCCTTGGACAATGGTGTATGTGAGACAATTCTTGGCCTAAGGAAGGTATTGTATTCCGTGGAGAGAAGGGATCCTGCTATAACACTCTCTTATCCACAACCAGCCATCACCGTTTTCTTCTTCGGCTTGTGATACTACTTAGTTCCGTATAACTAATCGAGTTGAACTGCTTCGAAAAGTAGCTCCGGATTAAGATTTATCCGTGGTGCGCTGACAATCGAGCTGGATTTTTTTTTTTAACAGGCACATCCTAAAAATGTATTTTATTTTATTTTTTAAATAAAAGATGTCAATCTTTCTCTTTGGGAACCTTTGATCTCGAGGAACAATAGCAATATTGTCTTAAAAAGCTCCACACGGAAAAAAGACTTGGTTTCTTACCTGATTGGCTCTAGGGAGTCCAGTTAGTAAGTTACATGAAAGGGAAAGAAAGAGCTGTTTGTGGCAAATGAAGACATGGTTTTCTTAATTCTTGTCTCCCACATATCAGACGACAATTTATGGAGCATCAAGTCCCGCAGTTCCGGGATCATCTTGACATGAAAATATTGTTTGGCCCAAAGGACAATTCTCTTTGTCTCTAACTGGCTCTGAAACTGTGAATTTATGTCTCCATTCTACTTCTCGCTACCACTCGCCCCATGGGAGCAACCCTTAAGCTTTCGTGCCGCCTGGTATGAGCGGCGTAAAGATGGACGAGAGCATAAGGAGCTGGGTGAGGGAAACGTAGCAGTGGATGAGATATCTAACGTAAACACCAACGATGATGACGCCAGTGTTACCAGAAATACCAGAAGAAATACTCTAGACTCCAGTCCAAAGTCATCATTAATCTTGTCTCCTGACGAGGCACACCAGTATCGAATTGCTGGCCAACCATTTCACAAAAAATTGCCTGGGTATGATTTCCCACATGCCAGGCCTGGCTGGGACAAAACTACCAGGATTACCAAGCGGGATATCGAGACAGAGCTGTCTCAACTGTCACCGCCACTCTTCATTTCTGAGCCTGCAAACCAAAGCAGTCTGCGTCTGCAGCACTTAGCTGTCATCACAACAATCCTCCATAAGTGCCTTCTTGAGGGCGATTATACAAGGGCAGGGAGAGCCTGGGGCTTGATCCTACGGGATGAGTTCGGCGGACATGCCGTGGATGTCCGGAACGGTGGGAGATGGGGTGTTGGAGCGGAAATCCTGCTGTGGAATGACAAGGACACAGTCACAGCACAATCATCAGGGATGGAAACCAAGGGTAACAGCCCACGCCGGAGACGCTGGTTCACTCGCAAAGGCTTTGAATGCGCCAAAAGCTACTACGAGCGGCTAGTACTCCAATTTCCATATCGGAAGTCTGCGCCAAGAGCATTGGGACCGCTGGACTTTTACCCTGCCATGTTCGGGCTCTGGATATCGCTTGTGCAGGAGGAAAGCCAGTCAGCAAGAGAGGAAGCCCCGGATATGATGGAAGATATGGAAGATTTCGATATGTTTCAGGATGAAATGTCAATATCCAGCAACATACCCCGCAAGAACGGTCGGAAAGATGACATAATTGCTAATGCCCGTCGCAAGGAGTTAGAAGAAGCACACCGGATATCGGTACGGATGGACGAACTAGTGATCTCCCCACCATTTTCCGATAGCTATGAACTCTTACGGTTAAGAGGGATGGTGTCTCTGTGGATTGCGGATTTGTTTATATCCTCTGTATCTCCGGACAATGGGGATGCTGGCAGCGTGGGTAATTTTGGTGATGAGAACATGTTGTCTGAAGAAGGCAGTGGTGGTCATGTGGATTCGGAGCTTGCTCGAATGGAGCACGGGCTGAGGATGGAGAGGAAGATGGCGGAAGTGGAGAAGGCGAATAGTTTCTTCGAAAGGGCGAAGAGGAAAGCAAGCAGGAAGCAATCAGCTCTCCCTTCTGATGAAATGGATGAGGGCGAAGATATGGATGTGGATGTGGATGAGACCGCTACTGAGATTTCCAAAATCATTGAATAAGTTTGAAGGTTTACAATTGCATTGCATTTTCATTAAGTGGAGGGTGTGTTCAGGTACAAATAGCCTTTACTAGGTGCTTAGTGATTGGCGATGCTGATTAGCTTATGCAGATGCTCAGTAGATTACGCCTTGAATGATGTTGCTGTTCTTGCTTCCTAACACCTAGATTCGCATTCTGCCACGGCCACCCGTCTAACAACAAAACTTCGATCCGAAACACGCAGAAACCACGCTGAGTCTACCCTGTCAAGTCTCTCATCCCCCTGTCCCACGCTGCAAGCTACGACTGATATCACATCGCTTATCTCCTCTCCAATAAAGGAGCTCCTGCAAAAGCAGTAAGCGCAGACACGGGTGATGCACCAACTTGCGCTAAGAAATTCTGCGCAATGGAAATATCATCCTCCAGAGACTCACTGACTAGCATGTCAACCAAAATGTCCTCGATCCTGTATTTGCCGACTGAGCTACTCCCATGAATCTTCGAAGAACTTGGAGACCTTGATAATGTCTTGCATCTGGGACGAGCCTGCAACAACTTTCTGGACAGCGGGCAGAATCGATTTCGTATCTACAAGTCGGTGATTGTAAGGACAATCCTTCATGGAAGAAGTTTTTATACTTGTATTGACAGCAAGTTCACACTTCGTGCAGCTCATCATCGGTACGATATCCAACTGCGCATTTTCCTGAGACAAACCAACAGTATGTATTGAACTAACTTTTCTCGGCTCAACCAAGAAGCGCTTCCTGCGTCATGTCGACCGTCAGCCAAGTTGATCTCGGAATTGCACCAAGTGTCTGCCTCCGATCTACAAGATGAATATGTACGGTGGTTTCTTATCAGTGGCAGGGGTTGCGGCTTCTGCATGATCTCTATAGACATCCAGCAATCCAGGACGCATATCCACAATTCAGCCTTCAGTATCGCGATGATAACATCTCTAGGCATGAAGTGGAAAATGCTGCGGCCAGAAGGAATTTTTCTCAGCTGGAGGTTAATCTACCCAGAGCGCCTTTGAGCCCATTTAGTGCTAGGCAGACACATCGGTTTTATAGATAATTATGTGTTCAGTGGCTTGCGATTGAAACCTTGTGCCTATGGTGAGTGTCAGTGTTCCGGAACGCAGGAACGAATCCGGTCATTTGAACAGAGTCTCAGAATCTGGACAGAAAATCCACAACGAGAGCTTTCCGGGCGACGGATATTCTGAAAGTGTTTGACTTTATCTGGGGATTTTTACTCAAAAGGATTTTCGAGGATGCCACGAATCATTTCTCTTGGCTACCTTCGTATCAAAATCTGGACGTTCACTATATCATTGATGCGGATAAAAGTAATGCGGATAGCCCAAAATGGGACAACTTTAAAAGGTTCCTTCTCTCTTGTATGTGGCCACCAAATCTGATCGAACTCATCGTGCTCAGGACCAGAGCCAGCCTTTCCTAGCAAGCAGATATGCCCGATTTTCTTAGACAGAGCTTGGCTGGTTCGACGAATGGACTGGGATTTGTTTGGTGGGAAATGGTGGATTTCCTTATGATACATATTTTCCGCCTTTTTCATTGAGAAAGATATTAGGAGACTTGTGGAGTCGCAGAGTTTCGGTAATCAGATAGATAAACTGGAATTTGGCACAGATATCGTTATGAAGTCTGGATAGAAGATGCTAGAGGAAATGCCTTGTTGTGGGATGAGGATCATAACTGGATAATGAAACGCATAATGACCGCACTGAGGTAACACCAGCTGTAATTTAGTTAAACGCAGAGTCCAATTACCTGACTCTGAGTCGGCAAATCTCTAACTAATAAGTACCTACGGAGTACCTTTTTTAAAAAAACTTCCGTAGGTCCATGAAAAGGGGACTTGTATGTTTCTGCTTCACAAACTTTCGTACTATCTCAATATTCTTGCCCCTATCTTAGCAATTCCACCCTACTCCTCCCCTTATGTTCTACAGCCTGACACGCTTACATAGGGTATTCTCTTCTGGATTAGAGTATAGACTGATTCTTCATTCCCACTATGTAAGACAATTGCCTCCTTGGACCAGTCAAAGAGCCCGCCCATCTGGTTTTCTAGGCATCTAACTTGAACGCTTCTGCAATATTTTGTAAACCATTGACATACTCCTCGATGTACAACTCGCACCCGGTATATCAACGCATTCGACATCCTGCGAAAGTCCAGTCAATTCCGTAAAACTTATAATTGTTGTCATACCTGCTGTGTACAAACTCAGAAAATAAGAAGTGCCCAGCCACTCAATACACCCATTACAAACTCCAAAAGTTAGTCATTTTTCTGCGCCACTGATCACTGATCCTTCAACGATGTGAAATTTGAGAATGATACCGTGTTAAGAGCACCACTTGCTATTCAGGAGGATGGCTCTATTGGGTTTAGATTCCAGTTGATATATGTCCGCGTTCTCTCTGCAAGCTGCAAGAACTGTGGGCTTGTTCTTCCTGAATGCCGTGATGTCACTTCACTAGAGAGATTTGTTAGTGAAGCCGCTCGTGAAAAGACAGGATAGAGCAACAAACCAATATCCTAGATCTACAATGTAGTTAGATGGTATCCGCTTCTTGCCTTAGTGCTGTTCTTCACATAGGGCCACGTTCATTTAAAAAGAGGTTCTGCAGTCTTATGCAAACATGGGGTTTGTGTGTAAAAACAGTTATTGTCAGATATCAGCCTTTAGCGAAGAAGCTATTTTAGAAACACTAGTTCTCACAGCACTTCAATTGTTATCTCTTATATGAAACTGTCACTTATGAAACTGTCATCGATATGATACTGTCACTGTTGCTCATATGAGACCTTCTCCTTATTCTTCTTTTTTTATTTTTCTCCTTTCTTTGATCAGAAATAGGGTGATTCAGTTTCTCAATATATAAAGACAGTTCAACCTCTCATACCACTTAGTTAGTTAGACAGCAGCATGCAAATGACATTCTTGAATACTTCCATATCTTACATTTCTCTTATAGTTATTTACATGGACAAGTCTGCGTCTTGGAACCTGTTTCCGAAATCCTCGATGCTGGCTAAACCGAATGGGGCCTGAATTCACATCACGTGTCAACGCGTCAAAGGACGTGCCCCGATTTCAGACCTTCCAGGTTCACCCCAATCTCATCTCCAAGGTCTCGAAAGTCTCAAAAGATAACCGGTAAGGAGGACCGTATGCATGAATCAAGATATGGTAACAATCTGAAAATACACGCTCATCGTGTATCATCTTCCCTTCTGCGACATAACTTCGAATTCCCCATTTTCCTGTTTGTCAAACCAGAACAGAGACATGGCGGTTGGGGAATATGTACGAGGCAAACATTTGCAAAATGATACACCTGCTACTCAGGGTAGTGGTCAAGCTACAATTAACCCTTCAAGGGAACTGGTCGCCAATATGGCCAGGGTTAAAGTGCCCTCGACCAAGTTAAATGATGCTTGCTTACCTGCATCTGGAGCAAAAGATAACCCTATGTCAACAACAAAATCAGGAGACGGTGTGGGATATCGCGCACAGAACAATAACCAATCGAGATCCAGAGAGGTCAGGGATATATTTGATACTGATGTGGAAACTGTTGATGATTCCACTACTACGATAGCTAGCCTCTCCCGAGGGGAGGAGGACCACAGGCATGATATCCAGGCTCCCCCAGCTGCTCGGTTGACGTCTCAGGAGAAAAATGACTTTCCATCCTATGTACCATTTCATATTCAGTATAGTCATAGCAATTCCCGCAGTCGGAATAGTTTGGAGGAAAGGATGCTAATGGAGCTTGGTTCTGACCCAGTCGAGGACGGACATGATGATCTTCAGGAACCAGTGGAACATCATACGAGAGAGGACGCAGCTGAGGCTAGAGATGAGGATGAATTCAATGGAGATCATGCTCAGGTGTTTGACTGGAACAACAATCACGCTCCCAATGGGGAACCCATGAGCTGGCAGAAAATCGAAAATGCCCTGCGTGATACGAAAACTCCTCGCCTGGTGCAAGCTTCACAGCACCAGGAAGATGCGAATCCGCAGTTTCGTCCCAAACAGCCGGAGCCCGAGATTTTTCCAGCCAGTAATACCTATACGTCGAAGCCAACACAAAGATCTTCAACTGGTAGCCGCTTCATGGCAAGATCTCGTTTTAGAACCCTAAATCTGCGAGAGGGAGCTCCCCAAGAAGGGGGCAGATTGATCGGGTCGCTCCCAATACCACAAACGTCACCAACCCTCATCGTCCCTCCATCTCCACAACCTCGGTTGGCCTCTGAACCAGAGGAAAAAAGCCCAGCAGAATCCAATCAACCAAATCCGTTACAACCAGTAACCGAAAAGCCAGGTCGATACAACCACGACGGGCTATTCGATATCACCGATCTAAGCGTTGTAGACAGCTCTCAATCCGAAAACTCGGACAACCAACCGACATACACTTCCCTACTCCTATACACCATATCCCCAGTCTCCTCCAAACGCTCCCTGACAGACTTCTCATCTGACTACCCCCAAAATATTCTGATGACGAAAAATTTCTCTGACCTTCAAGCGGAATCCTTCGACTATAACCCAGCGCCTCCGCAGCCTGTATTCCCACCTCAAGATCCCCCAATCCCTCTCACAGAGAAGTTGGCCCAACTGAAGGGGTTGACAGAGGAGCAACGCAAAACATTTTTTGCGTCCTTGACTCTTGCAGACTGGGAAAGGAGCGGCGACTGGATCATCGAGCAGTTTAACCATTTGCTGCAGAGGACTAAGGCGGCTAGACAGAAACGCCGGCAGGTTGCTGCTGTGTTTGAGAAGGAGATCGAGAGAAGGTATCAACTTGTGGAGGTGGAGGGGAAGGGTATCAGCAAGCGAATGGATGATATGAGGACCGGAGGCATGGAGGTTTTGAGGGGCGGGGATGTATGATTATTTGCTTTATTCTTACGGAATCGCGATATTTACTGGCCTTGATTATTACACATTTGCCAATCTATCCTCATGTTTTCCAACTCAACAGTAGCCCATCAGCGTCGGCGGATGCTTTCGAACGACAACTGGATTGTTAGTTGCCAGATTGCGCATTCTTTTCTGATGTATTTTTCTACATGTCTACGGCATTGAAAAAGTTTTCACTTATCTCATTGATTTAGGCGAAGGGATGCGATAATAAGATAAAACAGAATTAGAAGCCGTCGTAGGCAAAATTAAAAATATAAAGGTATTTAATGCATCTTTTCTGCCCGCTAGCCAATTAATCCGCCAATCTCAATATCTCACGCATCGCCCGAAAAGCGGCCCCATTAGTTCCACGGAGAAAAGACATTATTTAGATAATACAAACTTATATTCCTACGCATATAGCGCCGACATTGAATCATAACAAAAAAAAACCCCTTCAGATAGTCTGAGGAATAGAAAAAATTAAAATCGACCGACGCAGGACTCGAACCTGCAAATCTTCCGCAAATTCTGAACTCACAAACTGAATGGGTTCATTGGATGAATCCGGTAGAGGAGCCGGAAACGGACGCGTTACCATTACGCCAGCCGGCCTGATTATTGAAGTCAATAGGCTACTAGTGTTCTTTCATAAGTGGGGGGCCAGCTTCGGTGGACTTATGACTTTCTTCATTTCGATTCCTCGTGATGGCAAATAGGTACCTTATCATGAATAGGAACGTTTATGTGCCCTTTTTCTCACGGATGTCTATGGTCTTGTCTAATCGTAGCTAGAGGATTAAAAGCGTACATGAGTTTCCTTAAGAAAAACATAAATTAGTTACTTTTGTGCTTGTGAAATATCTGAAGATTTTTATATTCATCGCTTCCTAAATACATTTATAACCAGAGCTGGGAGGAAATAAGATAAGAACAAAAAGGAAATCTCGATGTTTTAATTCCCATGTTTAGTATGGTTAACTGCTCTTTTGGACAATATGGCCGATGCCACAACACACTGACACAGATACATCAAACGACTGAATATACCAAGATCTTACACCAGACTAAAAATAGAATGCACTCTTAAAACGCTAAAAATGAAAACAACCAAAATCCTTGGGGCACCAGACCAAAGCTAGGCGATAACCACCTAGCCAAAAAGGTGGATTACCCATGGGAGGTAGGGGGTATCAATGCAGGTCTTACATAAAGAGTATATGATAGGGCTGCTTTAAAACTGCTGAACTAACCAAGAACAGGTCGAAGTAAATCGGGAAAAAGAAACAAGTATTCAAGAGATTCTTTGTTCGCTTAAGATCAGGGCAAGCCGCTTATAGTCCGCGAGGAGTTCGGGAATATCGCTTATTTTAAGTTCCTCGGGATCTATTTCCATGAACTTCTTGATTGGTGGCTTAATGGCAGCTGGATGGGAGTCGGCGTTAACTTTTTGGGGAATGGGAGTGTTGGAACGACTGGATATTGGTTCTGATATTTTAGGCTTGTCTGCGGATACGAGGCTCTGGGTTGGATCTGGTGGGATACGGCCTAGCCCGCGGATCATTCCGGGAATATGATTGAGAGGGTTTAAAGTATTACTGAAGCTCTTCATTGCGCCGAATGGAGGATTCGGGGTTGATTGAGAGAAAATCGAACCTGTAGAAGCCGGACTGGGTGTGGATGTCTCTCCAGTTGTGGGAATAGCCTTTAGCCCACCTGCAGCGTTCTCTAAACTATCTCCACCAGTCTGTCTGGCTGTTCTTCGTCCACTGATTAAGCCTAGGAGTCTATCTTCAGGCCTTGAGTGCAGTTCACTTTTGCTGCTTTGATTGGGTTGATCGCCGGATGAACCATCTCCTTTGAGATCGTTCCCATCGCCTAGCATTGGTGAAGGACTGACTAACCGTCGAGCGTCATCAAGAGTTTTCGGAAGAATTGTAGAAATGCCATTTGGCTCCCCGCTTTGCTTAATTTGAACTTCCCTTAGCCGACCGAAAAGGAAATTAAAGCTATTGTCGAGGGTGCTGCTGATATTTTTAAATCCTTGATCTGCAGTAGTTCGGACAGCATCGTTAGCAGCACCAAAAGCTTTGGCGGAGGGTTGCAGGAGGTTAGTTAAAAAAGGTGAATGATCCGTCATGCGAGATTTTTGTGAACTCTCACTTGTGGTAATCTGACCCGATAAATCTGGCTTTCCTGTCTTAGAAGACATTGGAGTGCTCATTGAAGACCTTGGATTCGTTGAAAAATCCTGAGTTATTTGCGGATCAGACCGCATTGTGACGGGAACGGAGGCACCCGTAGAAGGCTTCGCCATTCCTTCTTGTGCCTGATTTGCTGGTAGGCCATTTAAATCCACATTCTCTAGGAAACTAATGGCTGCTTCCAGATTAGTAAGACAGTATGCTGCCTCACCATCGAGCCTGCTTGTCGCTCTAAAACGTTGAATAAACAACAGATTACTGATGATGTTGATGCCTTCTGCCGGGGTACTTATTAGGGTGTATATTAAAGTTGGCAAGATCTCATCCGCAGAAGAGGAAGAGGGAAGAACTTTTGTCAGCGTATCGACGATTGCCTTGTGGGCAGCAGTCAGATGCTGAAGTTTGCCTAGTGGGAACTTTTCATCGTTCATCCTCATCAAACTCTCTCTAGCAGAGCTAAGGTAATCTGAAACCTCAGTGCCTTTAGCTCCATTCAGATCCCACATCTCGATTCCCAGGTCCTTTGGCTCAATACCAATCAAAGCGAGAGCTGCTGTTTTTGAGCGGAGTTTCTCATCCCTGACTTCATCCAAAGTAGTTTTGTGACGCCATATTTTCTCGTACACAGCCTCACAAGCACGGCGCTCCACCGATTCCTCGAGGGCATGCCGTTTGTATTGGAGCATCTTTCGGGCCCTCCTCTTTTCCGCCACTTCCTCCGCAGTCAGCATTTGTTGATTAGTAGTGGGCTTTTCAGAACCCCTTTGGTCATCTTTATTTCCAGATGCGTTAACCAGTGGATCGCGTGTGGATTTCCCAGAAATTGTAGATTGGGAAGAAGAAACAGGCGGCGGGCGACTCAAACGAGAGGAAAGAGTTGAAATGTGGGTTGATATATGGGCACCGGCACGCACGTAGAAATCTTGAAAAAGATCCGAAAGCTTGTCTATCGACGGTGGAGTGGCATATACTTTGGCGCTGAGAGATGTGATAAATCTGGGTGATGACCGTCAACAGCGTGGCCAAATTTGGAAATTGGAGGCATATTACCTACCTGTCGGTCAAACTAGCTAGCTCTATGGGAAGCTCAAATTGATCTACCATGTTTTGCAATTGTGAAGCAGTGTGGTCGGACTTGTCTACTGGTGATCCATCCTCCAAATCTAATGAGTCCCTTTTGTGGAAAATATCGGTTTCTTCCTCAATGGGCCCAGGTTCCAAACTTAAAAGGGGAGAATTCACCTGAGCAAATTCTGGTGTCATGATACCGTGGACTGTTTTTGCACGGTTCTGGGGAAGCGTGCTGGGTAGAGTGTCTTCCATGCGAGAAAATGATTTCGACCCCTGAGGGGCATTTGGACGTGATGCAGAATCAAGGGACATTTTGGCAGGCTATGCTATGAGCTGGCAAATATCCAAGATCTGTATTCAAATGAAAATTGACATCCCAATAATCATCACAAACATCAGCATATACCAAGAGACCCTACTCTAAACGGGGATGAGCTGATTGGCGATTGAGGGTGATGAAATGGAGCACAGCACAGTTGTCATTAAGCCATTTCATGAGGGTGAACTGCTCAAACGGCTGACGCTGAACGTAGCTCAAGCGAGAAGTTGTGCTACGGGTACTCTGCTATAGCAAGTGGGTGAGAGTTGTGAGAGCATTATTGATTGAATGACGGTGCTGCTGTCTCCAAGGTTGAATGCTTATCCACTGCTTGCAGGTCACGGAGTAACTAGATGGATCATCTGACTGCCATGCGCTGCTGGTCTGTGTCGCCTTCCGCATATCTCCCGGATATATTTATGATACTTCAACCAACGCTGGCCAACGTCATCATCCTCAACTATTAGGCTGATACATGGCCATATTCCTACTCTACATCGTTCTACATCAGCTAACTTTATCGAACAACACTCTCTATGGCTCTCAGATTAGTAGTTAGTCAGTGAGACTGTTTACTGTTTATATCTTGCATCTTCAACATGCAGCCTTTCAGATGGAAGAGGAAGAAACGGTCATTCGGTTTGATCCTGGGCCGTGATGTCCTGGTTTCCCTGCTAGCTCTATGCCCAACTCTGAGTGTTGCTTCCGTTCAGAGCCCCCTTATAGATCCTCAGATCCCACTCCCAGGCACACAGCCTGTTCAAGGAAGTCGTGAATTTGTGAGTATTTTTTAATAGCTATCCCTTCCTCTACCTTACGATAGATTTGCTAATCTTGCCTGTGTCTGTTTTCAAGACGCTACGACATATCTTCCATCACGGAACCTACCGAGACCCTCTCCTCCATAAACGACTTGATATCCAACCCGATGCCGCATTATGGGTTGCGTCGGAGGATGGCCAGGGACGGGAACCTGTTCCTCGTCTGCGTGCTTCCTCAAGATCTGTGAATATCCAACGCCTTGCAGACCGTCGGGTCTCCGTTATTGAAGACCACCTTATGACTGCGAGAATGACACGTTCTCCCGTAACATTGTCTTCCGACTCCTGGACTTTAGACGAGGTGGATGCTCCTGACGTTACCGATAAGGAGACCATTCTTTCCTTAGCCCGAATGACCGCCAACGCATATATCATGTTGCCGGGAACAGAGCAATGGGCTGATGTCACCTGGCGCTTCAACCACTCTCAAAGTTTTGGATGGGAAAGTGATGGATTGAGGGGCCACATTTACGCGGATGAGTCGAATTCTACAGTTGTTGTGGCGCTGAAGGGAACGTCTGCAGCACTCTTCGATGGCGAGGAGACAACAACAAATGACAAGCTTAATGACAATCTTTTTTTCAGCTGTTGTTGTGCCCAAGGCGGACATTATTTTTGGCGCCAGGTCTGTGACTGCTATTCGTCAACATACACCTGTAACGCAACTTGCGTACGAAACGCACTGATTGCAGAAAACCGCTATTATCGGGCAGCACTCGATCTTTACTCCAACGTGACTGCAATCTATCCTAACTCTGGCGTCTGGGTTGCGGGCCATTCTCTAGGTGGTTCAGTTTCCAGTCTGCTTGGTATGACATATGGACTGCCAGTGGTCACCTTCGAAGCTGTTCCGGAGGCTCTACCAGCTTCACGTCTTGGATTGCCTGTTCCGCCAGGAACTAATCCTCATTCATCTCAGTCGCGGAATTTCACTGGCTCTTACCATTTTGGACACACTGCTGATCCCATTTTTATGGGGACATGTAACGGGGCAACATCAGTGTGTACACTCGGGGGCTATGCCTTAGAGTCATCTTGTCATACTGGCCAGCTGTGTACTTACGATACCGTGGAGGATTTAGGCTGGAGGGTTGGGATTGGAACTCATCGAATACGTGCTGTCATTGCGGATGTTCTTGAGAAGTATGATACTGTGCCTGAATGTGCCCCGTTCCCGGAATGTGTGGACTGTAACAACTGGAAATTTTTCGAAAGCAATGGAACAGAATCTACAACAAGTTCTGCACCAACTACCACGGTAACTAAAACAAGCACTTCGACTTGCCAGACGCCTGGATGGTGGGGATGTTTGGATCCGTCAACTACAGCAACAGCAACAGCTACAGCGACGATAACAAATACCTCGTCGGCAGGTACCACCTCGACATCGACATCCACCTGTAAAACTCCTGGATGGTTTGGTTGTAAGGATCCCACTACGACTAGTGTCATTTCACCATCACCTACCGCTTCTATCACGCCGACAGCCTCTCCAACAACAACGACTGCTTCACACACCTCATCCTGCCAATCACCAGGGTGGTTCGGATGTAATGATCCAACGAGCACGCCATCCCTTTCCACATCAAGGCCTTCCCCAACGGCTACGAGTTCCTGTCAGACTCCGGGCTGGTTCTGGGGCTGCCACGATCCAACGACGATGGTGGCTACAACCCACCAGATCACATCACCACCTACAAGACCAAGCATGACTTCCATACCACCTTCTCATACCTGTGCGTCTTCCAGGTTCTTTGGATTGATCTGTCTCAACAACCCTCCCGTACCTGATTGATTGTCCTACTCATCTCCTACCGGTGGCCCTCCTGATGGTTGGCATTGCGTAAGGAGGGATGGGTTTTTCAGATGCCGGGAATGGAGTCGTGGGCGCTGGGATCATACCTAAATTTATCTTTGATGATATGAATTTTTCATACTGATCACATTTTATTTTGCTAACATACTTTTCTTTTCTTTTTGAGGATTTCAGTTTGATTGCGGAGGCTGTACGCAATAACTGTTGATTTTCATCTTTGGCAGTGGACCAAGGCAGAGATGACGGACCTTTTTTTTTTATTTGTTGACTTGTATGTGGTCATTTTCATGAAAATATGCATTGGGAGTTTGGAGAGCTTGGATAAGGTTGATTTCTTTTTAGAATTGGGAAGGGATTACACCTCGACAGATATCATCATATACAGTTTTTGTTTCGGGACTAATACCATATATTAGAATATCATCTACGGAGCTATATTTGCTTCATTAATCACCATTGATTCAACTAACACATCTTTAAAATTAGTTGTATTTAGTTTGGTAGTTAATCATTTTAACATGATAACCTCCAATCCAGGCGGACTGAAGATGAAAGGGCGATGTATTTCGGTGATGTTTGTTGTAAGAAGGTTAAATTCTCCTCGCCATAAAAAAAAAAAAAAAAAAAAAAAAAAAAAAAAAAAGGGCCAAGTTTCGAGGGAACTTTGCTGAAGGGATTTTAAAATCTCGGCTAGAATCACCCTTTATGCTTTTAAACCAACGACAGTAAACCCATTAAAACTACGGAGCACATACACTGGTCATTTCTCACTCACACATCTCTATATGCTCTGAAGGCAGTGATTTTATCATATTCCTCAGACCCTTATAAACCCCTAATCCTAATATCCTACCCCTACCCCCCTTACCTGACCCTGAGGGCGGAGGTTGAATAAGAGCGACGTGTGTGTATTTGTGGCGTGTGTGCAGAGAGTACGTGGACTGTGTTTAATAATGGTTTTAAAAAAGTGGGCCCCTTTTTTCAACCGCGTTCAACTTCCTTAAAAACCACGCTCGACTGTAAAAACCCCCTGCCTGGAAGATAAACCACCCCCGGGCCAAAAACAAAAAAAAAAATAATAAAAAATAAAAAAAAATAATAATAAAATAACAGGGTCTAGACACGGAATACCATGTACGTACACAAACCTCTCGCAATGATCCCACTCCTGGATAACTAGCTTTCCATTCCAGCCAAGTAGAAACTCCCTAGCTTATACCTAGGTATATAGTCTGGCACTGACGCATTTGATCAGGGTCTGTTTATGCACTAACAAAAATTTACCGAACAATTGTCCAATAATATTTGGCTGTGAAGCGTGTATTGTCGTGGCGGCGTTGCGACCAGTTGACGGGAACTCTTGGTTCCAATTAACGGTCCATGGAGTGGATCATCCTCTGGAGCTTTATTTCTCTGCAGTGCAAGACCTCTAAGCAAGCCCAGGGAAATCCCCCTCAACTGGCCCCTCATTCCAACGTCAGCGATTGCCACTGATTGGATCCTTCAAGTTAGGTTGTTCGGGGCTTTCTGGAGCCCAGTCCAGCTCGCCAGAGTCACAATTGAGCTAGTTGCATTCCTGCGGTAAACGTAGTTGGGGAGAGTTGGGATAGCTTTTCCCACGAGCCATAGTTCGGTGATAGCCCGATCCGAGTCAGCTGTGGCAGAGTTGGAGCCCTGACTCTCCTGGGAGGCGCCAATTTTGCCATGTGAGTTTCGTAGTTTGGGGCTATCCACGCTGCTAGTCGACGCCATTCCAGAGTGGGAAGTGGATTGGTAAGCGCTATGGGGATAACTAATTAGTTAGTCAACAGGTTATTGAAAGCTTGAAGATGGCATTAGTTCCCCCTCAAGGACATATATACATCGATAGGGCATTAGATCAGCGTCCAGAATCCAGCGTGCTGATCCACCATTTGTCTGTACATGCCTCTTGTTGAGCCCAGTCATGATTTGGGAGCGGCTAGTTAGGGATTTTCCGACGGTTAACTGAGCTAATTGTGTGTGACAACCCAGATGAGTAATTGTTGTGGTTCTGGTTGGTCCCAGCCCATTTAAATGAGGGAATCCAAGAGCTGTTTTGGGTTTTCGTGTAGTCGATCATTGCATATTGGACTGATGCCTGTAAAAGGTTAAATAAATGCCGCTCCGTCTCTGGACATTATGATATGAAATAACTATGATTTAATATTACTTATCAACCTCTCCCTCCTTCCCTTCCCCTTCTCCCTGGCTCTCTCCTACGGTTACTTTTCCCCGTCCACCCACGGGTTCACGCATTTTGATTCCCTTGATGGCCGAAACCGAGTTAACCCACTTCAGGATCGCCCCGCCTGCCCTGGTGTCATCCTGGCACACTGTCGAACGCTAAGACTGGCCTGACGTAACTCTTGAATATCCTGCAATATTAAATCATTGCTCTTTTGCGACCAAACTGCCTCATATTGCGGTTCTCGTTCTCTTCTTTCGGTTTCGGGAGCTTTGTCCTACGATTGCTCGAGTAGATTAAAAATCCTCTGTGGGAGCGGCAGGAGACGCGAGCCAAAAACTCATGGCGGGTTCAGGTTCATATACATATGTTTGAATAACTTCTGCGTTTTTTTTTCTTTTTCTCTTTTTCCTTTTTTTTTTTTCCCTTTTTCCTTTTTGTTTTTGATCTCTCTTGCATTTGTGATTCTATAGAGTGTTCAACTCTTGCATCGGGCTCGCCTATATCTTGACATACAGAAACATAAAGTATGTCAAAACGTGGAAATATGTGTCTGACCTTGAGAAATTGGTCTACTGTAGCGTTTGCCCATTGAACCAAACTTCGCGTACAGATGGTGAGTATACAATTGAACCATTGCATTCCACTTTCATATTCTCAAACCTTTTACATTCTGTTCTTCATTTTCTTCTGCTTGATGTCTCAGACCAAACCAGAGACTAGTTGTACTCGATTTGTTGTTTGCTTGCTAACATCGTGGCTAGATTGGACCTTTAAGGGTCGCAGTTTGAAAGTCCAACCCGCGTCGCCATCACAAGTGCACAATTTTGATACAGCTATCGATTTCAGCCAAAGAAAAGAAAAGAAAAGAAAAATAAATAAATACAAAGGATTTAGAGTGACGAACGTAATAGTCTCTCACGGGAAAGATTCGGCTTGCCTCGTTTGTCTGTTCGAGAGCATTGGGAGCCTGTATCATCATTACATTTCTCGAGTTGTCGAGGAAACTGCCCATTTTCGCTATATGAAAGCCCGGAGGAGTTATACTTTAATACTTCTATTCTGTAATTTCTGATAGCAAATATGGAAATTACTTTTATATCTATTCTTGGTAGGTTTCCGTGTTTGAATTTTATCGGGATACTTCTTCTATGTTCATATGGAAATGTGTAAATCTAACATTTAAGCCAGATTTGACGCCAGACGCTCGTATCAAGTATACCTCTGGTGCAATTGAGGATATACTCGGCCACAACCCGAGTGAGGTAGTCAACAAATCTCTGTGGGATTTCCTTCATCCGGAGGAGCTCGATTTCGCGAAACAGATCCATTCGCGGAGCGTCAGGCATGACATGGCTGCTGGGTTGAACTACTTCCATCTCAAACATAAATTTGGCTACTGGGTTCGGGTTGAATGTGTATTCACAGTGGTGTACGATATCCTAGTAGCCAGCACTGGCATTTACCAAAGAGGGCCTAAAAGCGAACGTGAGTGGATATGCCGGCACCCCTTACATCCCTTCCCGGTTTGCTGTTGAAACGTGCCTTAAACGAGACTTGAATCTAACGACAAGGTTAAAAAAAAGAGAGAGCGGCTGACGCCCCCGTTGTCAGACGGTTATTCACCTCATCGCCGCAGAACCCTCGATATGATATGCTCGCATGTATTTCAAGGAAATTCAATTCATTCCCTACGAGTCTTTCTCACGAACCACGCGCAGCTCTATTCCTGAACCGGTTTACTCGTTCCTCGAACATATTATTTGCTACTTCCAGTGTAGAACGCGTTCTTGGTATCAGGCCTCCGGACCTTGTCCCCGAAAGCTTCTATCATTGTATGGAGGAGTGTTGTTTGGAGGAGGCAGTTCGGTGTATTGAAAGTGCGAAATCCAATGATACTACAACATATCTTCGGTTCTGGTTCCGGAATCCTCTATTGGACGAGAATGACATGGATGACGATACTGTTTTTAGCAGTGAAGAAGAAGAAGAAAGAAGTGAAGATGAAATGGAGAACGATCTTTTAGAGGCTGAAATATCTAGAGGAGCCTCTACACATGCCGACCAGTATCTGACAAACAATCATACCGTGAACAAGAGCCATCTCACTACGGATTTACATGGCGACGTATCGGCATCAACGTCCTATTCCCAAACACCAGCCAGTAACTACTCTGGGTCACGAATTCAAGTTGAGGCAGTAGTATCCTGTTCCTCTGATGGTCTTGTCGTTGTTCTGCGCCGTGCCCGACCACCCATTCCTCACTCCATTGATACGCAAGGGCATCCGGTATATGCAAATGGCCTCTTAGCTTCTTCCTGGGGAACCAACTATGCAGCATCGGGGCCACAGAGTGACTCCGCCATGGAAGTTTCCCCAAGGCCGCAAGCTTCCGGCGGGCCTGAAGAGAGCGAGTTGGTGAATACGATTCGTGACGTTGCAGCCCTTGCCTGGGCGGTTGTTGGCGCTAATAGTTCTTTCAAATTGAATGGACGAGGGTCGCCAACCGGTGAATCGAAGCCTCCTGATTGATCTGTGTGTTCCGAGGAATCTGCTGGATGAATATTCTGCTGGGTTGGGGTTTCGGGGCCTGGATGAGTCCCGGTATATTGGCTAATTGAGAAATAACGATTCAATCCGCTTACCCAGCTGATATTTGCGTGAATTCGTGGTTCTGCGGAGCCCCTCGAATTAAATCACTCTTTCTATTACCGATCTCGATGCCTTTTGGAAAAAAAAAAAATCCGCCCGGACGTATAGCACAAGCCCCCTTAAGACTTCAATGATCCAGTGGTCTAAAATTGATTTAGGTTAGATACCCTGAGTTTAGGAAGCCTGTCTGATGTCAGCTGGAGGATTCTTGAAATTTTTAAGTGAAATTTGTACAGCTTTTGTTGTCTCTTCAATCTATTTGATAACATCTGCAGCATCATTTCACGTTCACATATTGAACACCCCTTACAACAACCATGCTCGCCTTGCCCTGGCGTAGATTGCATTCTACCTGCCGTGGTGCCCGCATTTTCTTTTTACTCTTTTGACGTCATCTTGCACAATTTCAGTTATAATACCATTTAATATGAAATGTTCCTCTGATATACCTCGACCGAAAGCTCCGCTTCCAGGATGTGGTTTCTAATGGCAATAATGTTTCTTGGTAACTAGCCCGTGGTAGGTGAGCACTGGTACGGATAGCTCGCTCTCGACAAACATTTTAACTAGCGCGAAAGCCAATTATGGCGATAGCTCGACGGACCGGAATGACGGAACGAAGGAATGAATCATCACGACAAATACACGCACGCATTACTCTACGATGACCTTAAAAAATGTTTAACTCCGTGCTGAAAACGTTACGGCATGTAGCTTGCAGAAGACTGATACATACAATGCATGAAGCTCATGTACGTGGCTTTTACCTCCTACCAAGGCCAGAAAAATAAAAAAAATAAAAATAAAAATGAAGAGGGTAAGAAAGGATTTATTTTTAGTTTTCATTTTCATTTTCTTCACTTCTCCTCCCTCGTATATGGCGTTCTAAACTTGGAACAACTTTGAGAAGTTGGCTTATACCCAAGCTCTTCTGCGGGGCAGAGAAAACAACACCTGAAAGAGAAGACTAGGTTGGGGTTCGAATCCTCCATCCAACAATACAGTCAGTCCCTGTTGAGGTCTCATGGAACCGTGGTTCATAGTTGTGAGATGCCCTGGAGAGGTTGTTAACGGAAGAGAAATTAGGGAATCAACAGAACTAGATAGGCAAAAGCAGAAAGGGAATTCATAAATTGCCACATAACGAATTGTTGCTGTAAAACCGGCCCGAAGCTGGAGACCAAATATGGTCTCTCCGTTAATCGATGGTAAAAGTTGAAGGATATGAAAATCGTTGAATCATAACCTTCCACAAACCTTCCGAAGGTCCGGGTGCTTACGTAAGTAACTTGCATCGGGGTTCACAGTCACGTGGAGTGTAGTTAATAGTTTTGGATAATCTCAAACCCTTTTGGGAAAATATACATCCCATTCTCGTAACAAACATAGATGGACATTCTGATGTTGCTAATTGCCACGACAGCGCCAAACCGTGTAAAATGCTCACAGCTCAATGAGAGACTCAACAGGTGGATCATCTCCGCTGGTTGCAGCGCATAGTTATATCGCGTCGTGTTGAAGATTCGCCGTCCTATTGGCTAGTGCTTCACTAATCTACGGTTATGGCGCTTCATCTCATATCGACCCTAATTAGAGGTATGGAATTGTTCCTGTGAGATCGTTTCTACGGTAGCCTTCGGCAGTCGGTTAATGGAGCAGAAGGTCTCCCTGAGCATTGGAACAATCACTGCTAAGTTAGACGTCGTTTTAAAATGTGTTTTTTCTCCGCACATGTTGCCGATATGCACCCTTATTTGATAAAAATCAGCTATGTTGTGAAGGAACACTAAGCCCTTCCTGGTACATCTGTGGATTTTTTGTTGCCGGAAATTACACCATGGGCCCTGTGAAATGTTCCATTTAACAGGGCTCTACGTCTGGGGCTGCTTGGACTGCATCATCTCCTGGCGTGTGCACAGTCTGAGCGACGATGTTGTTAATAAACATTGACAAGTTGGTGGGTCCCATATATGGACCCGCCAGGGTGCACTGTCACTCATCTGAGGGAATGTGACACCATGTGAGATCTTGATAGGGCCGTATTATTTATCAGCTCAACGCGCTATCATAAGGGGCCAGTCATGAGGGTATGAGCTCGGCATGACTCTGTTTTGAAAGATGGCTACACTTAAAGACGGCCATGCTTCTTATTTCTGCCTCTATTTCCATCGTATGTCAACTTGAGTGACATTATACAAATGTCAAGCATGTCTACTTCGATGGCCGTACTTTCCTTTGGCTTCAATTGCTGGAGTGCCGCTCATCTACGGATCGCTGCTGCTGCGGTATTCGTTGTCGTCCTCGTCTCCTCTGCGCTTCTGCTCGTGCTGCGCAAACAGAATTTGAAACAGGATAGCGCAATATACACCTATCTAAAGTTCTTCTATGCAAATTTTATAAAGCCTCATGATTTCCATGGTGAGGGAGGCCAGCAACTTGCTCTGGAGAGTTTCTATAAAACCCAGGTAGATTGAAGATACCACACCCTGATTTGCTCCAAGTTTCTGAGTGACTCACTGTGCAATAGGCCGCTGTATACGATGCATCTCGCAAACGACTACTTCGAGGCCGCGAAGATATGCTTGGCCTATTGGCGGCGCAATTGAAATACAAGAAGGAAAAGGGACAGAGTCTCTTGCGGAAGCCGATATGGGTTGATGTATGTATTGCGTCATAAAATGGGTTTCACCATAGAGGTACCCTTTGCTTACGGAATAGATTGGTGGAGGTACCGGGTAGGCTCGATTATTGATTACGTCTGGTTTAAAATGAGATTTTTTTTAACACCACCTAGATACAACATCGAGGCAATGGCTGCCTTTCTTCCTGTGGAATCGTTTTTTTACCACATCTATCTTGTTGACCTCTCTCCTTCACTCTGCGAGATCGCGCGTCAGAGATTCGCTCGACTTGGTTGGAAGAACGTTTCCGTTGTCTGCCAGGATGCGAGGGAGTTTCGTCTCCCAAATGTCATAAGGGATGAACTTCAGAATTCCAAACTCATATCACACTCGGAAAATGGCAAGGCAGATCTGATCACATTGAGTTATAGCCTATCCATGATACCAGGTATATTCCTTCCCGCAGCTCTCTTGCAAAAATTGTAATTTGTTAACACGATATTCACTTCAATGTCTAGATTTTTACAACGTTGTTGATTCATTAACTTCTCTATTGAGTCCATTTGGAACTATTGGTGCCTGCGACTTTTACGGTATGTTAATGAAACCACAGGTACGGAGCCTATACACCCTTTTAACATATGACCAGTGCAGAGTATCGTCGACCTGACATGTCGTAACTACACTGGTGGCGTGTTCAATCGACATGTTAACTGGGTTGGAAGAGCATTTTGGAGGGCGTTGTTCGATGCAGATCGCGTTGGGTTGGACGCTGCTCGCCGAGATTATCTCGAATATAGATTCGGGACAATGCTATCAGCTAGCGGAAGGAATTACCTTCTCGGTGGTATTCCTTATTACATTTTTATTGGATGCCAAAAGGAGATTTATGCGAGTCAGTTGCATCCTGGAAGTAAGGAAGTACTCGAGAAACTCAATGCGGTCTATACGGAATCTCCATATTTGTCTGCAACGAACCATCGCTACGAACCATCAAAAGAGATGAAGCGACAAACAGCTGAAATCAGATCTAAAGCTTACGAATCAGCTGTCGTCAACTTGAGCGCGAATTTACCTCTGCCGTCTTCGTTCTACCAAAATCACCATTGGCGGATATATTACAACGATTTACTGAACAAGCATACGCAATTTGGGAATGAGTATATATACGCGTTCACATGGGAGGACCCTCGCGTGGATTACCGGTTGTTGAACATTAGCAGTGACGACGTTATTCTGGCTGTAACGAGTGCAGGAGATAATGTCCTGGACTACCTTCAGTACAATCCGCGAAAAGTACACGCAGTCGACCTTAACCCAACCCAGAATCATTTACTTGAACTCAAGGTCGCGAGTTTTACAGCATTGGGTTACCGCGACTTCTGGAAGATTTTTGGAGAGGGTAAACACTCTGACTTTAGAGATCTGTTAATCTCTCATCTCAGCCCTCACCTGTCCAGTCAGGCATTCCAATACTGGTTGGACCATGCAAGTGCTATTAGCTCTCCATCCGGGGTTGGTCTATACGAAACTGGAGGTTCTCGATACGCGCTCAAGATGGTTCGTTACCTGTTTACAATTTTCGGGCTTTCTGCGGATGTAAAAAAGCTATGTGAAGCCCAAACAGCAAATGAACAACGCGAGATATGGCCCCGAATCCGCCGTGTCCTCATGAGTCGACCGGTATACTGGGCTGTGGTGGGCACGGAATGGTTCACCTGGAAGGCAGCAGGAGTTCCTCCGTCGCAAAGAAATATGATCGTCACTGATTTTCTCGAGAGAAGCGGGCTCGCTGGAGGAGCGAGAAAAGACTCAGAAGTTAGTGGCCAAGCTATCTGGGAGTATGTCGTCAACACTCTGGATCCAGTTGTCAAGGATACTTTGATTAGCAACGATAACTACTTTTACTACCTTTGCCTACAAGGTCGATACTCGAGAAGGTAGGAATGAACCTGCGAGACTGTCCATCGGATATGAGAATAAATTACTAAATTCAGTCAGATGCCATCCGAATTATCTAACTCCTAGAGCTCATGTGAAACTCTCTGCGCCAAATGCTTTTGATGGGCTCCGAATCCACACAGATGAGATAAACGAGGTAGTTTCGAGAATCACACCAGGGACCCTAACAATTGCGGTGGTAAGATTGATTCTTATTTACCATTCTCCATGCCACAAAACATTATTTTCTTGTCATTAACCGTACACATTAGATAATGGACTCAATGGACTGGTTCGATCCCTCAAAAGAAGATGCGTCGAAGCAGGCAAGAGCTCTAAACCACTCCCTTAAAATGGGTGGTCGGATCCTCCTTAGATCAGCCTCGATCAAACCTTGGTATATCAAGAATTTTGAAGAGAATGGCTTTACAACGCAACGCCTTGGTGCCAGGTTCCCCGGCTCGTGCATCGATCGGTGAGTCTTTTTCCAACTTTAGGGGCTTTCCACCGAATACATCGTTTTCATCCTTGGAATTCTAACGGAAGAAATATTAGGGTAAATATGTACGCCTCGACGTGGATCTGTAAGAAGACAGCAGAGATCACTCCTGCCAATGGTGATGCCAGTACAACTTCACCGTTAACGCTGGAAAGAATAAATTCATCGTCGAGTGTGGACGATCTTGAAATTTAGATCAGACAACAAAGAGTTCTGGAGAGGCAAGCGTTTCGTTCAACTAGGCTATTAAAAAAAATTCTCCTGTTGGGAAGTCCTTTTGATTTGGTTTTGTTCCTCAATAATTATGGACTTGATCCCCGATCTACTATTCAAATAGCGTCTGTCGGATAGCCTTGCTCCTTTTTGGTCTGTGTCTTTTTGCTCTCATCTACAACGAGTGGACTTGAGAATTTGTTTAAGTTCGTTGGGTGGCAAACATCCTTATATCTGTATTGATCAATTCAATATTGCATACGTGTACGTGTCAAGACTTCCTCAAACCATAGCTCTTGCCTGGCAACCTTCTACATGACATGACGTGAGGTTCCTTGTGCATTCATCCAGTGCGGCTGTCATATCCGTTCTTATGAACCTGCCGAGAGATCTTAACCCAAATTTAACTGGACGTTGCGTCATCCCCACCTTCGTATATATCTTGCTTGCCAAACAATCTCTCACCTTCTAATGCCACGTAGGTCCTGGGCCGACCTTCAAACCTCTCCTGTTCCTTTTCCTCCAACAAAGGGACTGTCTCCAGGCTTCCCAAAGGTGCTCTCCTTTACCATCGTTCCATATGTCACATGTCGCTATGTCCATAGATTTTCCAGGGCTGATGTTGACACACTTCGCGATGTTACCATTGAATTGATTGACCCTTTATTTAAGGGCATTGCAATCCATGCCATGGGACCAAAACCAGCCCCCCCCCCAAAAAAAAAAAACTCTCTCATGACATTCCATTATTGAAGGCCGCGGAAAAGCCGATGCTACCTCGTCATTCAACTAACGACATCTTTTGAAATTCTCTTTTGGATCTTGCTGTCCAATGATATATATTACCACAAAATAATTCCAGGAGAGTTTGGCGGGGTTGTCAAAAATGAATAAAATTACCCGATAATCGGAGAAATATAGGAAGGATGCTAGTTAGTTATGCATTGAGCAGGAGACTGTGAGGGTGAATTCGGTGTGGGGTTTTGCGGAACGATTGGACAATACAAAGTACTGTAAGCTTTTTGAGGTGGTACCAAAAGGTGAGTGCGATCGCAAGGTCCTTTTGCTAACTGCTTCAATTGGCATCCGGTTAAATCCTTATGTGGCGAATTTTGTGATGGAAGAATTCGTGCTGGCCACTGATAGGCTCTGGTTGCACACTAATTCCGGGTCTAATCAATCTGATAAGATTGTTCTATTATCTAGCGCCTGCCAAGAGTGGAGTTATCAATCTGATAAGATTGCGCATCCCTCTAGAAGGATACGGATACTTAATCAAACTGAGGGGCTCACGTACTGGGATTTGACGGAACGACCATGTCATTCTGGTCGCAGCCGTGCGGGAACGGAATTTCTATTTCCGGGTGATGGGATGAAGAGTGGAATTAAATTGCTCTTAAAAGGTCTGACCCCTCTTGACCTTGCATTGCTTTCGATAAACTCCCTCAGTTTCCATTCCATTCTACAAGTGGTTTAGAGTAGTTACTTATCAAAATGACAGATACACAGCCAACACTTAATGGGCTTGCGGCCAAGATCACCGAACTTTCAGATACGCTGACCAAGTACCTTAATGATAAAAATATTCCTGCGCCAACATTCGCGGCGGACAGCCCAACCGGCTATGTCAACCTGTCACCAGAAATTTTCATGGTACGACAAGAGCTTCTGGACGCATTGAATGATATGTGGTATTTGAAGCAAGGCCCGAGCGAGAGTATTTTTAATTACGTTCACACGGTTAGAGCCTCCCAGCATTTCATTTACTTCGGAATGGGATAGAAACCTACTAACCTCAATAGGCCATGCCTGATGCTGCAGCCCTCAACACACTCAATTATTTCGACTTTGGTCTGCTGTGCCTGTCGAAGGCTCTGCTTCATATGCAGATATCGCGAAGCATACATCTCCACCCGAAGATGTCGCTCATCGTATCTTGCAACATGCTATGAATCTTCGGATATTTTCCGAGACTGAGCCTGGAAAGCCATCGTCACGTGTTCAGCATACATCCCGATCAGCTGCACTTGCACGCTCTGGTGGTCTGAGGGCCCTTGTTTCCACGATCCTGAATGATGCAGGGGCCCCAATGATGGTCCTGAACGAAGCACTAGAGAGATACACCCGTGGGAAACCAGCTCTAACACAGGAGGTGGGCGAATCTTCATTCGCGTTGTTCCATAGTAGTGGGATATATGGGAGATACAACACCTCGTGGGAGCTACTGGAAAATGACGGGATAGGTGAGAAGAAGGGCTGGCGAGCGAAGAACTTCGTAGAGTTTATGCGGTATGTTAAGGAGATCTTCCATCTTGAAGATGTGGTGCTGGAGTCGTACGACTGGAAAGCAGCAGGGAAGGCTGCCGTGGTGGATGCGAGTTATCACTTGCTATAGAGACCTGTTGTTGCGAATGCCTTTGGAATCTGACACTGGAATCTGGCTAATATCAATAACCTAGGTGGGCGGCTCTGCTGGGCATGACGCGGTAGTTCTGGCAAGGCACTTCCCAGATCTGAACATCATAGTCCAAGACCTGCCGAAAGTCCGGCCTGTGTTCGAAGCGGACCTACCCTCAGATTTGAAGTCCCGCGTGTCTTTCATGGAGCACGACTTCTTCCAACCGCAGCCGGTTCAAGCTGATATCTACGTGTTCAAAATGATTCTCCACGACTGGCCCGACCATGAGGCTGCGAGAATACTGCGTGCCTTGGTTCCTGCGCTGAAGCCAGGTGCGCGGGTGATCCTTTTTGAATATATTGGCAAACAGGACAGCACAACGGGAGCTCAATTGCCACGTTCCTTTCAGCAAATGGGCACAGCAACAGATCTGAGATTGATGGCGCTGTTCAATGGCAAAGAGCGTCCAGCGCATGCTTGGAAACAACTTTTTGCTTCCGCAGACGAGCGTTTTGAGATTGCTAGAATAAACGCGAATCCAGTGGCTTTTTTTGTTGTGGTTGAGGCTGTTTGGCGGGAATGAAGTTTGATGTTCGTGACGCCTTGACACAAATAAACTATGCAAGGAGGAGAGTCCGGATGGATTTGTTAACGATTGGGGTTAGCAGACCGAAGCTCAAATTCTTCGAGGCTTTTCGCTGTGGTGGTCATTCAAATCCTAGGATTTTAAACCTAAAAATAACAAAGCCATATTTTATATTTTAAGAGCCATTCCAAGGTTGATATCCACCACCACCAAGAGCATGACTCGAACAGTCCACATTCTAGCTACCAAGGTAAGTTAGTTGACCACTTGGAGTTCTCAGTTTTCGGGGAGCTTGAAAAGGCTTAGCTTGGATAGGGAGGGTACCCGCTAATTTTTAAGCTTTCGTTTCGGGTACTCATATTGGGTTGCATTGTGACTCTTTCTCGGGAGCTCATAATTTCTGCCTAGATTACTCCGTAACATTGGCTTAGATCGAAATCAGGTTTCGTGACAGGAGACCATGCCTCAGTGATTATCAGAATCCTCTAAATATTGGTTATTCATATTAAGATGTAGACCAATTCAGGCTCGGGCTTTAAATAGTTAAAAGCAGACACCTCAGAAGAGGCTCCTAACAAGAAAAGATCAGTTAATTCATGAAAGTCAATGAAAATGGTCACTCCTCCACCGGCAATCAGAATACTCCCAGCGGAACCGAAAGACAGTCATGCCCTCGCCGAAGTTGAATTTAATGCATTTTCTGTTGACCCTGTTTCCCAGGTTATGTTCGGAAAGCCCACACCAGAAATGATTGATTTTCGGGCCAGAGAGTTTGTGCAGGGTATGGAGAAGAAGGATCCTAGGAGACTCTATCTAAAAGCCGTTGTGAGTGAAGACGATAAGATCATCGCCCTGGGTGTATGGTATTTCTATCGGACCGAGGAAGAGGCCAACGATATTGAGGTCCAGGATGCGAAAAAGAAGCAATGGCCGGCGGGCGCGAATGTGGAGGCATGCATAGATTTTCGTGAGAATATTTATAGAATGCGGGAGCGGATGCGTGGAAAGAGGCACGCTTGTAAGAATTTCCTTCTCTCACCTCTGCAGAAGCATATTCTTTCTCTCCCAGGTATAAATATTTGCGTTTAGCTGCACAGGATGGCCGATTTCACAAGTTTTGAGGTTCCCCTCAAACTCCATTCCCGTATGTGCATGCATAGAGCTTTTTTCTGATAGTGTACAAGTCCTCAATGTCCTCACGACGGACACTGCCCACCAAGGCCTTGGTGCTGGCTCCGCCATGCTGAAATACGGCATCGAAATTGCCGACAGAGAAAACCTTCCCACCTGGCTAGAGGGATCTCAAAAGGGGTACCCATTGTATAGGAAGTTTGGATTTGAAGATGTTGACCGATTTGCTTTTGATCTATCAAAGTATGGAGGCGAGGGGGAGAGAGTTCTCGTTGGGATGCTGAGGAGTGCAAAACAGGACTAGGTTTTTGTAAGTTCACTACGGTTTGGCGGAGGTTCTCGGTCAATTTTGCTTTTTGGGTACAACTGTATGTAAATCGTCATAGGATGTTTTTCTGCCTATATAATGAAAGTCCCTGACTGGCCACGATCTGAAAAGGACAGGTTTCATTATCCTATTTACAGCAACATGTCGAGAGAGGGGGGGGAAAGCATTGGATTGGTACATATCCTTCAATGGATGTTTATGTTCGTTCCTTGGTGGCCTAGTGTTTGAAATCTCCATAGATAAGTTGTAGGCGATCGAAAATTACTATCCTATCGGAGAAAGGTAACTTGAGTGGGGGATGGGATGGGAGAGAAATTATGTCATGTCTCATTGGAAATTGAACCCGAAACAGATTGAGATGCCCATCAAACTGACACCTCAACTGTGACATCGTCCAAAAGGAGTTGTTGACATGGGCTGTTTGAGTGGTCATCAGCCAAAATCTCAGATATTGACCCCTAAATTTTAGCAAACTGCAATTTGTCAAGTTATTGTTTTGAGTTAATCAATCATATCGAGCGGTAATAAATAGCGCGAATCGTCGAATAAGCAGTATTGTTGCCAACAAAGGCATCAGTTCCAGCAAGACACCAATCGGATATCCATATCGGGATATAAAGCTCAATGCTGCATGGTTCCCATACCTGCACTGTTCCTTGTTAACTATGAAATTGGGAGAAGGTTTCCGGGAATTCAGATAAAAATTCACTGACATTACTAGCTTGGCTGTTCGTCACTGCTGAAAGGTTGTTCGTGCTACCAAAGCGACTGTCGGTTGATTCCCTATATCATATAGGATGTGTTTAAGTTTATCCAAGATTGCACGATATGTGGCCATACCACCAAAAGCTCAGCCGGTAACTACTGAAAGATCCAAAACAATAAAAAAGTGCCCATAACATATGGTTTACATGGCGGTGAAATTCGAATCAAGTAAAATCAAAGAAACCTGGGGCCTCGTAGACACCAGCTAGTCGCCATATTCATCCACAATCCACTGGCAGAAGGCCTCCCACGATTCCTTCCAAGCTCTCATTCTCTCCGCACGGATCCCAGTACCATTGATCCCCAGTTCAATGTCCTGTAACCACTCCTCCTCAGTCTGATCCTCATAGATAGCCCAGCGAACGCTATTCTCAGCCAGAGATCCCAGCCCAGCAAGGCCCAGATTTTCCCACGCCTGCAACACCTCCCAGAAATCATGCGACATGCCTGATGTGCCTTGGCCCAGTATCGCCGGGTCGTCGTTGCTGAGAGAGGCAGAGACACCTTGAGCAAGGAGGGCCGGTAGAGGATGGGCTAAAACTGTCGACGTTAACCGCAGCACTTCGTTTGAAATCGGACAGGTTTCCAGAAGGATTTTCTTCTTCTTGACCATATCAATCAATGTCGGATGTTTGTAAAGCGAGAAACCGTGTCCGATGCGCCTGGTGCCGAGCATAATGGCATCAAAGAGATTTTCATCCGTACTATCACCGTCACCGAGACATTCCCCCGCGTGGAAAAAGAACGGGATCTCAAGATTTTCTTCATCGCATTTCTGCCGGAACCATAGCAACTCGGGGGTTAGGTCCTTTAGAGTGCGTCCCGCGTCTTCTTGGCCCACGAGATCGTACCCTGCGATTAAATGCGGATATGCCTTTTTGGCTCGTATGCAATTTTGCATATCTAGTGTTTTGTAAAAAGGAGAGAGAGTGAGTGAGAAATGCAAAAAGATGGATATTAGCCGGCCGACTGGAGTAGAATATAGAATATAGAATTTGAACATACTCTGAATGATATGCTCTGGGCCATTTGATCTCACGGCAGTCCATATAATGCGGCCTCCCCAGAAATTCTTGCCCTCCTCGGTTGCTTTAAACTTCTCAATCTCTTCTCCGATAACTCGTACCATGCCATTGTAATCTTCAGTTGGATCGTCCTCACCCTCGCGCCGGTATGGGGGTGTAAATGTATCCCTCAATTCTACCCACTGCACCCCATCTTCCGCAATTGTTTCTAGTAACTTCCGGATAAAGGCCCGAAGAATGGGCTCATAATAAATAATCGAACCCAGGATGATAAATATGGATGCAAACTTCCTCCAAATAGCATCGACTCCAAGATGATGCTCAAGAGACTCTTTCTCAATAATGGATGTCCGCTCTTTCAGCCACGAGATAAACCCCTTCCGGCCGCCATCGGGGAATGTATCCGCAGCCACATTGGCATCAACCAACGTGCCAGGCTCATACTCCGACGCCCAGACCGAAGCAGAGGCCTTCGGAGCAGTACTGGAGTAGATGAACTGAACCGCAGCTCCGTGACGGCTACCCTCAGAATCCAACGGCAGCGGAGAGTAAAAATACATCCCCGGTGTTGCCAGGGTCGTCTCGTACAGCCAACCAAGATCCACAGATGCTTCCCTGTGGCAATGGAGGAGCGCACCCTTGGGAATTTTCCTGGCAATTTGCCATAGCTTCGTGGATTCCATACGTTTCTTTGCCAATGTGAACATCATTCCGGGATACAACTCCTCGTCGCCTTTATCATCGCAAGCTGTTCTCCAGATCTTGTTCTGTTCTTCATACCGGATTCGGCGAACGATGCTACAAGCTTTTTGGGCCGTTGGTGACAGGGAACGGCGGAAATCAGCATCTAGAATGTCATGTCGCATGTATCAGATTACCAGCGATTGCTGTTGGATGTTTCATTCTTTCCAAAGATAAAACAGAAACCAAAAAAAAAGGGAAAATTGCGGTTCGTTATTGGATGTAAAATAGCTGACCGTTGCGGTGTTCCTTTTCTTGCGATATCAAAGCCTGACGGCCGTGTAGGTGTTTTGCGACTGATGGACTGACGTCGTCAGGAATGCAAGCTGGAATGCTCCCCATGTTGAAAGACAAAAAATACGAAAATATTAAGGTGTCAAAATTCAAAATTCCCACCAGCTTAAATAACCAGGTCGAGTTGCTATCTCTTTTTCACCTTTCAAACTCGTTAGTGCCAACATGCGATCATGAACCACGGTGCCAAATATGAAGGCTTGTTAAAAAAGACAGCAAAAATTGGATAACAAAAATGTTCTGTAGGCAGTCGCTCATTATAAGGACAGAGCTGAAAGGGGGAATTGAGCTGATTTTAAAGGCTTCTTGTGTTGGAGACTAGAAGCCTGGTCATCTAAATAAGCTCAAACGGCCTTGTTTCGACGTTTAGTTTGAGGCAGGCAACTCCGCAGAATTTACGAGAAAGCTCTTCGCGCGGGAGTCAAGTCCATCCGCAGAATGCCTAAAGAAAGATAAAACTGCATTCCCGCATTGGGGTCAACAGGGATTTTCTCAGATCGTCTTTTCTTTTGGCCGAATTCTGGCGGATGGCCGGCGAGTTAACTGCTGTCTGGAATGTTACGAGCATGGCGGTTTGCTCCTCCGTGAGCAAATTTGGACGATCGTCAAGTGTTAAGCCCGAGTGCAGGCGGAAGGGCGGAGACATTCCGGATAATTGCTTTGGACTTACATGTTCATTTATATAAAGAAGTGCATATAATTTGCCATTTGGTGTTCGCGGAGGTCGCGGAGGTGGCTGAAAGTAGTTAACTATCGATACAACTTATCTCAAAAGAACGAGCAAACTACTTCCCCCAGCAGCAGGTAATTTACAACGGACGCTAGGACAAGGTTGAGGTAAATTGTTCGATGGGCGACTTAGCTTGAATCATGGTTAACTTCAAACGTTGTTTCAATTGTCTAATTCCACTCAGACTTAACGGTATATTTAAGTTCACCGCTGTCGTCACTCTCTGATCTCAAACTTTGATGTCGAAATTTAATCTTAATTGGGGGTTTGTCTTCAAGAAGCTTTAGACTCACGACCAAGAAATCGATAAAATCAAAATACAATGATGAAAGACTGTATGATCTCACATTCCGTCAATAGCGTTTAGAAGGGGGATGGGGCAAAAATGATGGGTAATTCGAACCTATAAAGCTCTGCCGGTCTGTCTGGCCACTTCGAATATATATATATATATATATAATATATAATTTGACGAATAAATGAATATCTAATTCTGGGACGGAACCATCACCACATTTCTGCTATACATCTGATCCAATATATATATCCTTCAACTCACCTTGAAATTATGTCTGGAATCGAAGATCCCTGGAACGCCGGCAAACGCGCACAGCAACAGGCGTCGCAGAGTGACCCCAGGCGGTCGAGCAGTGGTATGCAAGGCTCCGAGGCATACAACCCGGCATACGACCAAGGCGATGTCCCTCCCCCCGAAGATTTTGACCCGCAGCCAAGTCAGCGCTACGGTGAGCAGCATCGACAGTATGGGCAACTTTCCGTAGGCCGCAGTCCTCAGACGTTGCCGACCCAACAGGCCCAGGGCCGCCCGCGATCCCAGGGTTTAGGACTCCATGGAATGAAGGGGTCTGACAACTTGGAAGATCCGCCTCAGCTGGGAACAAGGTCTCAACGAGGGTCGCAGTCGACGGAGGCTTCTGATATCACCACGGAATCCAAGGATGCCGGTGACGAGGAGGGTGACAAGTCAGGTTAGTTATTTTTATTTTTATTTTTATTTTATTTTTTTTTGACTTTCCGCCGCTCTTCAAATACACCATTGCTAACAATATGTAGGTAGCATTTTTGGCAGGATTGGTGCTAAGATGGATGATAAGGTGTCTGAAGCGAAGGCTAAAGTTAAAAATATCCGCTAAATTGACTCTGGAGCATCTGAAACATAAAAGTGCTTGAGTTTGGTTTGGGGAGTAATGATTTTATATGTTCTTGCCTTTGAAGTGTCTCTTGTATGGAAAGAGCTAAAGGTGTGGTGTCGTTCTCGTAATTTAAGGAAAATAAAAATTGATTATCCACCAGTGAAAATTGAAATGCTGTTAAGCGCTTACTCCCACAAGAAATGTTCCAAGAAATGTATGGCTTGGGTAGGACCCCGCCATTTCCAACGGTTCGACATATCTTATATGATGGCTGTTGGTGTGATTTTAATGAGGTAAGATAGATATATATACGGCAGCGGTTGGGAGCCAAAAATATTTATATACACAAAAAAGAGCAAAGCATCTATTCGTTCGACCATTCAGGCTTCTTTTTTTCAGCGAAAGCAGTCATTCCTGTAAAGCTTACGTTAGCGGCACCACCTATCAATATAAAGGAACTGGGAATGAGTGATTAAGACCATACCAATTTTCTGATCTTTACTGCCAAATAATCCATGGAATAGCCGTCTCTCAAATTCAACTCCTTCCTTCAAGGACAACTCCTGGCTCTTGTTGACAACCTCCTTCGCAGCAACGACTGCGACGCGACTGTAGCTGGCAATGGTACTGGCCGTCTCGACTGCAGCCGCAACTAGCTCATCCTTGCCTCCATCAATGACTTTCGCAGCTAGGCCCCACTCACCTGCCTCTTTTCCACTGAAGTTCCTGCCAGTAAGGATGAGTTCCATAGCTCTGCTCTTCCCAATAGCTCTGGTGAGACGTTGGGAACCGCCAGCACCGGGAATGGTTCCAAGTTTGATTTCTGGCTGGCCAAATGTTGCATTAGATGTGCAGTAGATTATATCGCACATCATTGCAAGTTCACATCCGCCGCCAAGGGCATACCCAGACACGGCAGCGATGACAGGGGTACGAATGGTATTCGCAAGGTGCGACCAGGAGGCGATAAAGTTGTTTGAGTATGCAGATGCAAAAGTGAGAGGTGCCATTTCCTTGATATCCGCGCCAGCTATAACCCGTGAGGTGTCAGAGCTTGGGAGTTGAAATTGATGACGAGGAAGAGACTTTAAGTAAAGAAGTTACCGGCAAAGGCCTTTTCACTGCCAGTAAGGACTATGGCACCAATATCCTTATCCTCATCGAACTTGGTAAAGGCATGGTTTAGTTCGCGGAAAAGGGGACTGCAAAGTGCATTAAGAGCCTTTGGTCTGTTAAGAGTGACTATATGAAGCTAGCGGGTCAGATAAAATATCATATCATACTTCTTCTAGACTATGTTGAAATGAGCCCTCAATTGCAGCTAGGATGTGTTTAATACATACTGAGGCCAACACCCAGTTTTGGCGTTGAGGTGAGGATATACTCATAAGCTGGTGAAGCGGTGGAATATAGTCTGCTGCTTCTCACATATGAAGCAAGGGTGGCTGCAGCGGTGCGGGTAGCAAGACTCTCACATCGTCTAGCAAACATCTTGGGAAGTGGCAATTGTCTAAGCTTCATCAATCGATTAGAGCAATTGAAGCAGTAGTTGATAGACCTGGGCTCTCTTGTCTCGTAGTATTGTGGTTGTTGACGTTAACTTTTTAGTTTTAACTAAAATGATTTAGATTGCCGAGTCGCGGAGTCTTGTTTAAGGTTTATCCGAAGCCAGCCGATAACTAATCAAATCACGTGCAACACTACAGAGATTAACCAAATATTGACTAGCGCAGCATCCACCTGTGGCTTGACGCTGATGTGGCTTTTGAACCGCCAGAATTTCAGCCACCTGTTTGAATCGTTCCTTTTGTTCTAAAGACCTGCAAGATTTCAACGACAAACTACGGATTTACATATCCTATCATTCAACTCCCGCTTTTTGATAAACCCTTTTCCTGTGTGAATTCGAGAGTCTATTTTGGTCCATGTCAGATATTTCCTCTTCTGTGGATTTGTGATACCTTCTATTCGATTTTCCTCCGGTAGTTCGGCACAATGGATGTATCTGACCCTGATCAGACCCCTTTTACAGCCGTGACGGCGCACACTTCACGGTTGACGAGAGTAGGTGTTTCTTCAGCCAAATGTATCAAGATGTAGCCCATTATTGTTATGCTGTTTTAGCAAGCCTTGGATCTAATACGTATTCCGTTTCTTGGTGTTGTTTGGCATGAAACTAACTGATGTTTGCGATGTGCAGCGATACCAAGCTTATCTTGATGCCGTAACCCCTTACGCCGCCTACCGATGGATAGGAACCGGAGTTTTGCTTGCTATCTTTTTCCTGAGAATCATCATGGCACAAGGCTGGTATATCGGTACGTCCTGTCGTCCTATCGTCCCAACACCACGAACTGGCGTGGCCCCTTCCGTCATGCGCCATCGGCGGTTTTCTGAGATTGTTTTTAATTTTTAATTTTAATTTTTTTTTTTTGATATCGCAGTGGCATATACCCTTGGAATCTATCTCTTGAACCTCTTCCTGGCCTTTCTACAACCAAAGTTCGACCCATCTCTCACTCAGGACGAGGGCCTGGAGGAAGGCGAAGACCAAAACACGCTCCCGACCAAACAGGACGACGAGTTCCGCCCGTTTATCCGGCGACTCCCCGAGTTCAAATTCTGGCATTCGGCTACGAGGGCAATTGCAATCGGATTCCTTTGTTCTTGGTCTGAAATATTCAATATTCCCGTCTTCTGGCCCGTTCTGGTGGTTTACTGGTTGTTACTTTTCAGTTTAACGAGTGCGTAACCCCAGTATATTCCTCATTGAACCTAGTTTTGGCCTACATTAAATCTGCGGGTACTGACATCCTCTCAGTGCGACGACAGATCCAACATATGATCAAGTACCGCTATGTCCCTTTCACGTTCGGGAAGACTAGATACGGCAGCAGCTGAATTGAGGGTCTTCCAACCCCATATGATTCTTTAGCTCTTTAGAACCACAAATCCCCCGCCTTCTTTCTAGATAATTTTCACGTACGATCTATTTTTGGTGTGCCTACTCCTGCGGATAAAATGAATCTGCTCATTACTGGCATTGAAATGGAATGGAACAGAACGGTATGGCACATGGACATGACATGGTAATATGTATGTTTTATCCTTCAACGGCATCGGATCCATTTCCTTATTTTTTTTTTTTTATTTCTGTGTATTAGAAGGTATAGGTGCAGCTCCTGTTTCGTTTGTTACACTGTTAAAAAGAGACCGTACGCGCATTTCATGAAGATCGCCCATTTTTTCGTTCTTCTCTTCTTCAATTTGTGACTGGTCACACGGACCCATCTGCAGTATTTTGCGGTTCCGGGCGCCGCTCTGGTTGTTTCTATTTTCTTCACCTTTATTTTACACAATAGGTTGCGTCATTACGAACCATGGGCATACAGTGAGGATCAAGAGCACAGGGGGAGTTTGTCAATGTTGTTGCCATTGCTTGCTCTAAAGCTGTATGAAATTTAACTGCCCCTGCATAGTCCTCCCCCCCTTTTTATCCTTTCACCTGCAATTATGGATGATTCTTGTTGCAACAGAGGTTTCTTTTGGACAGCTTGTAAAAACATACACATGCACATACTTATACAATGGAACTACGGTTCATCAAATCCCAGGCTTGTCATGTGCATGGCTGATATAGAGGATCAGTAACCTGTTTTTGAAGACGCATAGTCTTCGCTTGGAAGGGTCACTAAATGGCTGGCTGCTGGTCGGATTTGTAACCCGCAAAAGTCCATGACCGAGAACAGACAGGGCCCATATGTTCGATTTACAAGTTTTCAAAGCCAGGACTGCGAGGGATCATGGGAAACTAGGTTATCCCACGTCAACTAACTTCATCCTGATATTTGCTGTATCGGAATCTTTGGTTCAAGAAGCTTTTGGAAACACTCCCTCTGCATGTTTTCTCCAAAGGCGCGATCCCGGGTTGTGCCTCATTATTTAGGGGATTTTGGCGACCTGCTAAAAGGGGAGAATGACTAAACAGTCCTATAGAAGGTAGGCAGACAGATTTTCGAGTGGGACTAAACTTTTGAGACAATATGTTCTAATACCGTCTCATATAGGAATGGCTGAAGAAATAGCTGTAAAAATCCAAACAGAGTATGATTCAAATACAGAGCTATCTTTTTAAGAAGATAATCAGCAAGGCACAAGTGAAACGAGATAAAACAAGAAGAACTCTTAAACGATCCGGCCCTCCCAAACCGCTAAGCTGTAAACGAAAATGGAAAGGGAGGAGAAGGAAATTCATCTCAAGTCAAAAGCCATACTCTCATTCTGGAACCCGTGAAGAATTCGTATGTATCGATCCTTGGCCAGCCTATAAAGATTGCAGCCACGTGTCCCCTCGATCTGGTCCCGGATCCGAGTCTTTATCAAAATATTGCTTCGCAAAAGAGACAGTTCAATCCTGCTTTGAACAATTTCTCATTTATGTTCCTGTCTCTCAGTTCGGGCCCTCGCACGATGCTACAAATGAGAAAGCTACCCTGCTCCAAGCCGTGATTAGGTTCTGGAAGGGTGATTTCAGACTTCCTGACGTCTCCTGGTTCGATCTTGTAGGAGGCGGGGCGCTCGCAGGAGAGACAGGAGCACATGTCCTCGTCGCTGTTGGTGGCCAAATCGGTGGCGGAGAAGGAAGAGGGATGATACATTTTGTCTGGCCATACCTGCGATGGGAAATCTTAATTAGAAAACAAGTGGTAAAGATATCGCTAGCGGGAGGAAGGGCGTATGATCCCTATTGAAAAGTCGTGCATGATAGATGCGCTTCAGGACGGCGAGTAGTGCTTGAAGGTGTTGGTTTAGAAACGGGAAAGGAAATCCATATATATATTCTATAAAAAGGAAAAGGATCACTATTGAAAACTACATCTTATTGCTTTTACTGTCGGAAAGCTGCTTGGCTTCTGCTGCAACTATCATCTGGCTGTAGACGGTCCCCGCGAGCATACAGGCTAGTTGGAGTTGCCAACGCACTAGTAGACGAGGTAATTGTGGAAATAAGTGATGAAGACCCAGATATCGGTTGCTCTCCGTCTGAGTCCCGCCTTTTGACCCCAAGGACAACAACACCTACGCCCACTCCAAGTCAAAGACCGATGCAAACGACCGCAACGCTGTGTTAAGGAATATCCAAAGCCACCTAGAACGAGATGGTGTAGAGGGCTTCATATCAAGGTCTCTAGAGCAAACCATGGACCAGAAATTGATACATCGGTTGGATATGCTGCCAAGGAGATTCTCTGCTGAGATAGTTAATGTTGCCAGATGCCTTGTGAGATGGAGTTATTGATATGAAGGGCAAGAAGCGCTCATTGAACAAGAGAGAAAAAAAAAAATTCAAACCTTGCGAATATTGATGGACGCCGTCAAAATTTTGAAACATCCATCAAGTTCCACTTATTGGCCATCTACTTTAACTCTTATGTCCATCACCCCAGTGTCAGCAGGCAGTGACAAGCCAATTGCGGCTTGGCTCCTAGTTACGTTAGCTGGTTGGTTAGTTACCGCCAAGTTCTGAACAACTGTTGTCAGCAATCCCTTTACATGATACGAATTTCAGTGTTATTGGTCTTACTGTGACTGTCTAGGCATGGCTGTTACCAAGAGTATCGAGTGATTCATAAGTGACATTAGTTACCGATAACTACTTGTTACGTACATTCTGATTGAGCATGAATCTTTCAGCTTCTTTCTGGCAAATGTTTCGAAAGCTCATAAAATAATTGGGTGTCGGGCTGGAGAAATGGGAGTGTTCAAGACTATTCATTTTATATCAGAAAGCGATGTAAACTAAGCCAATCAAACTCTCGAATTTCCTTTTGGACTTTTTCTTATAAAACATTTTACTTATGGAGAGTTCAAGAGCCGTTTGCTCACGAGGCGAATTTTAACCTATGGGGATCAGTTGGTTTCTCCAAAGAGGGGAATGAGTGTTCTACCCAGTTTGCCAGAGCTGTGTGAGTTTGGGCCCCTGAGATAACTCGATTGATTGATCAAGCCTTGCTAACTGGTGCTGCTTTGACTTCTTTGACATCATCAGAAGTATCACCGGAACTACTATTCCCATCAATGAGGTGTTCGTCTCCAAAAAGGTCGTTCATATTTTCGAGAGATCTTCCTCGAGTCTCCCGGATGAAGAAGTACACTGGTTGGAAGTTAGATTATTGAGTCGTATAATACGTAATAGGTGGAGAGTGGAGGTCAAACCATAGGGGAAAGCAGCAACGTTGAACACTGCAAACCAAATCCACGCCTTCCATCCAACATTCGCGATTGCAATTGGTCCCGCGTACACGGTGAGAAACGCCATAAGCCATTGGGATGACATACTGAGGCCGACACCGGTATGGCGGTGCCGCAGTGGCATCGTCTCGCTGACGTAGATGTACTGTGAGGAGAAAGTCAGTCACGCAGCCTCAGCTTTGCAGCTTTTTGCTGACATACAGGTAAAGGAGCCCAAGTTGGGCTGAAAACCAAAATCCAGCCAAACAACATAGCGGCAGCTGCTGAAGAAGTCGTCTTTTTTCCGGCGGCAAGAAGGCCCGTGAAAGCTATTATGAAAACAGATTGGGTGGCAGATCCCCAAAGAAGCCACTTGCGACGGCCAGACTTTTCACAGAAATAGGAACCTACGAAAACACCGATGGCGAGAAGGGTCGTTGCCGCCCCAGACAAGCAGGAAGATGTTTTCGCGGGAAGGCCGATGTAAACGTGGAAGATTGTGGTCATGTAGTAGAAAATCATGTTAATGCCCATCAGATACGCGACACCAACAAGTACAACACCGTCTCGAATACGCCTCATTGCTTGCGTCGGAGACTTATCAAAGATGAGGTTGGATAGTTGGAGCTTCTCCTCTTTCTCTTCCCGCAACTCCTTCAAAATTTCACCTTGGACTCTCAAAGCAACCTCTTGGTCTGGATAGAGCTGCTGAAGAACGTTCAGCCCTTCCCCGTCACGATTTCTGAGATAATACCATCGTGGAGAGTCTACAGGAAGCTTCCAAGTCAATGAGAGTATTTTATAACCGCCCCAGGGAACTTACCCATATTAGGCCATGTAAGGATGATGGTTAGCAAAGACCAGATGACCTGCAGTCCAACAGGAACACGCCATACAACTTGGCCGCTTGCATGTGTGAATGCAAAGTCGCTGCAGACACGAATCTCAGCATGCGTCGATATCCACCAACAAATAGTGTGCTATGAGATACTTACACCCAATAAGCCAGAGTTGTTCCAGTGCAGGCAAAGCCCATCAAAATACCTATCAATGGTCCTCTCATGCTAGTGGCTGGAGTAATTTCAGCAATGTATACGGGCGCAGAGGCAACAACAATGCCATTTCCAATACCCTGCTTACGAATCGTCAACTAAGTGACTATCCCTGAGGATGAACTCTTGAATATGAAAATGACCTACAATGATAGTGCGACCGGCAATCATTTGTCCCGAGGAATAGCTGGCGGTCGATATAATCGTCCCGACAATTTGGATAGCTGCTCCTGAAATAACCCACATTCTCCGCCCAACTCTATCACTCCAGGGTGAGGCGACGATACAGCAACCTAGCCATGAAGCAAGCAGAAAGGCTGCCACAATCATCGACAGAGTAGTGGTAGATGGGTGCTATGCTCACATGAATACGTCGAACTCGTTAGATTTGTTCTTTCCAATCGAGTATAGATCACACACAGTCTTACCTTCATTGCATCCTGAAACGGTGCAGTTTCCAGAACACCCCCCAGCACTCCTGCGTCCCACCCATATGACATGAAAGCCATCCGAGTGCCCCATAGAGCCAACGCTGGTCGGATTTTCTGGGACATGATAGTAATCCTGGAGTTGAGAATTCGAATGTTACGAAGTAAATGAGACGAACAGTGACGAAGAAAAAGGAATGTGTCCAACGACGATGGGTGAAGGGATTGTATCCGGAAACGCTGTGAGGAAAAGGGATGATGTTTCAAATATGCGAGGGGGGGAGCTGAAAAAAGAATGTGATGATCAAGCTCTGGGAATGAAATCGCATTCTTCTTGCTCCCGGCAGAAACTGGGCCATCGATGCATGTTCAGACCCTCAAATCCCTGGCATGGCTGGATGCAAGCGATCGTTCCGGAATATTTGAGGCCTGTAATCCTCGCGCATAGATTTCGAGAGCTTCATTTCCTCTCCGGATGCTTCCCACCCTAGCTTCTGGACTGTCAAGTTTCCCCTACAGAATCCCGTTCCTCTTCATATTATGCTGAGCGGTTCCCCCATGCGGCTTATCTGCTACTACGGATGTGATATCTGAGCAACTATGCTTGACAATGGTTGTGCAGAACCAATCATACATGGGTATGGCCAGGGCTTTCTTCAATTGTGGAGCACAGAGTTAAACTAAGGATATGACATATCAGATAGCGATCTATGACCCTGGGACTCGATTTATGGATGCCATGTGCTTGAGAACGAAACAAAGTAAAAAGCAGAAAATCATTTCAGAGCCTCCTCAAACTGTCAGTCTTTCTACCACGTACGTTGTCTTTATTTCTGTTTCGGTGTCCATAATGCAACACCACATTTTATGCAATCTCTATATCCCGCGAGACAAATTACTCAAGAACTTAGGTTCTGAAAACCATTAAACTTTAATTATCGCTCGGGAAGGCCAAAGACGGAATAGCGTGAGGATCAGCGAACATCAGAACAAAACAGAAAGTATCCGACTGAAAGCCAATTGGGATCCTTCCTGGATATAGAGATGGTATGGAACTCTTCCAAACCTGATGTCACCCTAGAACTAGTTACTGCGCTTCTGCATTTTGGCCAACTAAATCACATGCTCCCTTTGCTCCTCTGCGCTAATTAGTGGATACTGGAGAAATAGTATCGACTTCGAACGTGCTTTCATTGTTGGTTGCGCTTCAAGGTACCCTTGTTGCTTGCGTGAGATTCCAGTGGGTCACATAAATAATAATAATGAAAATACCAATCTATGTGCTGGTTTGCGGAACCATCAGGGGTTTGAAATCACCCATGTCTGTGCTGATATTACTTGTCATTTTTGGGGATTTTCTTGAGAACTGAGAGAGCAAGTTGGGGGGAGGGCGGGGAAGGGGGGATTTATCTGTTTTATGTGGATTTTCACCCCTTAATTCTTCCGCTTGCACGGACTTTGGAAACAATCCGAATCAAATTCTCGTCACATCAAAGAAGGCATCTTGATATCATTTCTGCCTGCTCACGCATTGATATTTTCAAAACCTGGCAGCGATGTTGGTATCTACCGTCATTGCTGGCTTGTCAGCTACTTCGATATCAATTGGGATTGGATTGGGTCTTCTTTCAGTCATCATCTCTCGCTGCTTCTACAGACTCTACTGGCACCCTTTGGCAAAATACCCCGGCCCATATTACGCCGCTTGCTTTTCTCTATCTGCAGCGATTATCTCTGTTCTGAGGAAGGAGCCCCAGTGGATACAATCTCTGGTGAAGAAATACGGGAGTACGGGAAGATCACAATCCCTCGGAATCGACTTTTGCTGGACTTAGGGTCTCTAATCATTAATACCTTGCAGACGATACCCCTATCCGAATTCAGCCAAATTTGCTGCTTTTCCCGCAACCTTCAGCCTTGAAGGAGATATACTGGGATCCCAAATGCAATTTGAAAAGTGGACTTTATGGTACGGGCGCCCTGGGCCCCCCGCATTTATTCACAACTCTCAATGGTGATGAGCATAGAGAGTTGAGGAAAGCACTTGCAGGGCCACCGGTATGAGGGCTCTTAAACCTTTTTGACTCTAGAGAAGCTATTTTATTGACTCAGTCTTCTTTTAAGTGGACTATTGGTTCATTGAAAAGTAAGTGGGAGAATAGATTCGACAATCAAGTCCAACTGCTTGTTAAAAAGCTACGTGAAAAGGCCAAGGCCAAAGAATCAGTTGTATTATCTGACAAAGTAGCGTGAGTTTAACAATCCAATAATACCTATTTCGCGCGATAGGGCTAAAAGAACATCGCCGTACAGGGAATTTGCTGCCGACATTATGACAATGATTTCTTTCACCAATCCCTTTGGTTTCGTCAAAAACGGGAGAGATGAGCGTCATATTTTACGAAATTGGCGTGAGGGGCTTGACTTTTTTGGGTTCATGGGACGTTTTAAATTTTTCCAGACACATATAATTACTCTCCCTGGCCTTGCTGCGCGACTTCTGCCGAAGCTCACGGATGATGCGGGGATGGGGTGGTTAATGGCCGAAGCCGATAAGCAGGTGTCTCAGCGCGAGTTGGAAATGAGCAAAGGGATCGTTAAAGAAATTCCGGATTTTCTGCAACAGTGAGATATTCCCGGAGTTTTTGGTCCCATTGTCGTCAGTCATTCCAGTCATTGAAGCTAATGTGAAGTAAGTTGCCTTGATGCTCGCATGAACGGCGAGCCACTTAATCCTCTTCAAAAACGCGCTCATGTTACGCTGCTTATCCAGGCCGGTGCTGATACGACTGGAACTGCGCTGGGTTCCACTTTGCGATTTCTAATTACAAATCCAGGGAAACTCCAGAAAGCACAGGAGGAGATTGAAACGGCTGAAGCTGCTGGATTGCTCTCAACTCCAGTCAAATACGAAGAGGTCCGCCAACACCTACCATACTTCGTGGCATGTATTAAGGAGAGCCTAAGGCTCAATCCGCCTGCCACCAATCTCTTTGGGCGTGTTATTGGTGCGGAGGGTAAAAGAATCGATGGATTCTTCATACCTCCAGGAACCGAAGTTACCAGCCATGCTTATATCGTCCAGCGACATCCAGAGCTATATGGACCGGATCCTGACACTTTCAGGCCCGAAAGGTGGCTGGCCAGTGACAAAAAGGCCAATGAATTGGACTCAGTAAGCTTTGTGTTTGGAATGGGGCCACGTGTTTGCCTCGGGAAGGATATTGCTATCATGGAGCTTTACAAATTACTACCTGAGGTACGTTGCTTGAACTGCTATTGTTTTCTGACTTCATTTGGCCTTGTGTACGCTAAAGGATGACTGTAGCTTGTTCGACGTTTCGAGTTTGATTTGGTAAAAACTGGGGAATATGTCGTTGCTGGAGGAGTAGCTTATAACAAAAACTTTATTGTGAAAGTAAACGTCCGTGATTAGGGGAATATCCTTTATTTTTGATAGGTCTGCGACCTCAATATCTGGGTGGAGGAATGACATTATTTTAGATAATTACCTTGGTTAAAACCTCATTGTAACTTATGTCCATCTCAATCTCGTGTCAACATATCCTGCTTTTTACCCTTGCAATATCCGTTGCTTTGGAGAAATGTTAATTCCACGTCGTTATCCCACTCTCAAATTCATCGTCTTTCTGAGAAGCACCCAGGCAAGTTACTTGCTGGGATGTCAATTTGGCGTGGTTAGAAGGGGCTTGAAAGAGCCCATTCTCATGGAACAGGCTAGACACATTTGCTGCACGGACCAATACAAGGTCGCCTACTGGGCTCAGAGCTGACTTTGCCTCCATTCACTATATATAAATAAATATTGCTGGAGGCCTGTTGTCTGCGTTCTCGACTTCTATTGAGATCGGCATCACCCCATAGTCCATCGAATTCGGTCTCACTGAAGCAAAGGTTCGGCGAGTCACCCACTGACAATAATGGCAGGTAGGAGGTTATTTCTACGTGGATGTTTGTATCCCGCGTGTTATCTGTTATGCGACGGAAAGTAAGTAAAACCCAGGGAACCGTTGATTGGTGTGTTTGTTGCAAGAAAGAAGGGAAAAAAAGGAAAACGATTACCTGTCGCATTTCACATTCTCCAGTGTAGAATTTCTCTTGCAGCCTCATCATGCACACTGATGTTTCCTGGGAACCCCCTGGTGCGAAATCTCCCATTGCCTAACAGCCTCCAGGTGAACAGCAGCTGGTTGTTCCGTCGAACTCCGTGTTTTGCCGGTCGACTAACTACTGAGCTGCCGCGCGATGACAGCGGCCCAATTTAGGTTGTCAGCCTCCACTGAAGTTTGGTTCAACCCACGGCCCGGTACTAACGCGCCCCACATTTCCTCAGGGATCAGCGCTAGCGTGCCCAGGCTGACAGGGGTCTTATTTAGGGTTTTGAGCCTTTTCGGACGTGTACAAATGATCCGCTCATTTGCTCTTGTCTCTCCTCTCCTTGCAACTCCCAAGCTCCAGAACACAGGTCACCGATGATCCTTAGGATTTTGCTTCCGTTTAAGGTTCCCTGTCATAATTGCTTCAGTTATTTTTTCTCGCTTTTGCAGTGTTGTTATTGGGAGAAGCTTGACTACCTTGGCGGCGTTCAGAAAATTGATATGCCTGCTCTGAAGATCACATCATGGGCAGTCATCCCGGGGCCCGGTTGAATTCAGCAGTGACAGCTGCCTCATCACACTTCTTCTGCGCACTAACTCTTCCAGCCTCGTCTCTGGACTGTCCTTTGGGAATAATAATTGTCTATGAGCTTCTCCTACCCTGCCTGGCAAACTTCCTATTTCCAGCCTTGAGCCCAGATTTATGTGACAGTTTGAAACTCAAGGGTTGAGGTAGAGTTTAAGACGTGTTTGGCAAATAATGAGAAATTTGTGGTTTCTGAGTCCTATTGGACTTCTTCACCCTTGGGAATCCCTGTGCGGGCACCTGGAAACGGACCCCTGTTCACAGTTTCAAGTGGAAGTAAGTCTGGTTTATGGCGTGGGATTCTCTTCTGAACCCTGCTGTTGAGGGTAGAAAGTCCTTGACGATACTGCACTCCCGCGGATGTGCTGTAGATGTGCTTGAGAAACTCTCCCGAGGTTGTTATTTTCCGTGATAGAACATGGATATGGTTGAGATTCTAGTTTGGTACATCGTTGGCGACAGATTGCTTGCTTCGATCGCTCGTCTTTTCTCATTTTCGTTCTAAGAGAGGTTGAGCCTGATAGCGACTCTGGAAGGCTCAATACGTCTTGGGTCAAAGATAAATAGGGGGGTTATATCTCCGTTATTTTACTGCTGGCGGATGGGATCTACTTAAAATATTCCATCGATCATACAAAAGCAGTGCTCTCGCACGTTTACGCCTAGATCTTCGGATGGAATACCCCCAGCTTATCCTGCTCTTGGGTGGTTTGTTTTGATCTCTTGGTCATCTATTCGTTATACAGTTCAAGGTCTTTGGGAAGTCAACCGCAAACACAATGGCTTCCAGTCTTCCCAAACTTTCGGAGGCCCAATTGAATGAAACTCAAACTGTGAGTCGACGGTGGCTTTGTTGTTTACCTTCATGGCCTTTCCTACGTCTTGAAATTTGCTAAAGGTGTTGTTTAGTACACAGAACGTACCCTGACGATATCGTGTTGCTGTATCACGGCGGTAACGATGATTCTCCGTACACTTGGTCGTTACTGCTTGAAAGTCAAGAATGACAGGGAACGAATTAGCACCGCGGGACATTTCCTCGGGCTTGATGATGGTAAGTAATATTTCCATGCAAAATATTATTTATACACCCAGTCTACTGCAGTTATTCTAATCACTGAACATGTAGTTTTTAATTTCCTTGCGTTGGTAAGTTGATTCAGGGGCATACCCTCTCAAGTGGTGTCTAACTATGTTCTCCCCCATCAAGGTGACCTTCTATGGTTTAAGCGCTTCGGTATTTCTTGGTTAGTGGCGCAAAATCCCTCGATCTTTCTTACACCATTCTCTGATATGCGCAAAGCCATTGATCGTGGAATGGGAGTTCATTTGGAGCAAGTAATAAAAATTTATGGACCGGAGGCAGTTGATCGGTACAGCTTTGTTAGTATAGTCGTTCTGCTCTGTCATTGACTCCCAAATGGAGATGCTGACTTCGAGAGGCAGGCTATCTATTTATGCGCATTGTTCTACAATTCGACGCTTGGTTTTGTGAAATTGTCTGTACTCGCCCTCTACCGGCGCATCCTTACAGGACTGCGATCCAACAGGTTATCAGTTGCCAACTGGATCATCTTCGTCTTGGTAGCAACCAACACGGCAATAAACGTCTTTGTTGCAGCTTTTCAATGCAACCCGATCAAACGAGCTTGGAAACCGACATCCGTGTCTGGCACATGTATTAATGCCAGTGCGTTCTACATTGGAAATGCAATCACGGGGATCATAACCGACACGCTGGTCTATCTTCTTGCCATTCCAATTGTCAACCCTTTGCAGATGGAGCCTAAAAAAAAGCTGTTTACACTTGCAACACTTCTCGTTGGAGCCTTGTGAGTACCTCGTTTTCGACGCTTTCGAACTCCGTTTCGTCTTACAAAATAAACCTCTCTCACTGCACCCAATATACTGAGTTAATTCTGTCGAATAGCGCCGTAGTTACTTCATGCGTCCGCCTCGCATTTCTCCCAAATTTGCTCAAAGACCCCGACATCACCTGGGCTATGGGAGTTCCCATGGACTGGTCAATTGTTGAACCAACCGTGGGAATCCTCGTCAGCTCAGTTCCTGCCATTACGGCTATACGCCATCTCTTCACTTCCCGAGAGTATGGGACGGGTTCCAGTGCAACAAAATCACAACAATCTGGCCATGTGCAGCTGTCAGATTTTCGGCCGGCAGGTGGATATATCAGCAAAACCAAGGTTTCTGGAACATTCAAGTTTCCGGATGAGGATAATCGCAACGCTGACAACGACAACGATAACGACAGCGAAGAACACCTTGTCCGAGGGGTGTCTAACATGAAGGGGATTTCGCGTACGACAGAGGTACAACTATCATATTCCACAAGGTAAGTTGGCCCCCAGAAAGCTGATTCTCAGCAGGAAGGGACTGTTGTTAGAAGATGGATAACTAATCTTCTGTTCGCTAGTAAAAGGTAAAATCTCGCAATGGGAAGGGAAGAGAGGGGAATTATGCTTGCGCGGATAAGTCATTTTATATACGGATGGGTTTTAAAAGAAGGACAAGGAAAAGGGAAAGGGTAAGATATAAAATCTGTCAGAATTAGATTGAAGTACTTGCGTTACATTCATTCTTTTATCCCATTGTTGATGAAAGAGGAGTAACGTTACCTCTCTCATCTTTTCCCATTTTAATTCTATTCACGGCCGAAAAGAATTTTTGAATAGATGACCCAAAGGCCATCTTTCGTCTCAGCTCTGTCAGAACAAGCAGGCGTTGGGTGGCGCTCTGAACTCTCATAAGTGGGACGGAACTCAGTAATCTTATTTTATTCACTTTTCTCCCCCTTTTCTTTCCCCATGGCTTATATTAAATGGGGGGAGATTTTATGTCTAATCAAAGAAGAAAAGGAATGCTTTCAGATTAACTTATCATCCGGAGTATATTAGCATGCTTTCTCTGTTACACATTTTCTGAAGCCTCTTACCGATTGGCTCTGCGATAGTTACCAATTCACAACTTTGTCTGGTCAAATTCAGACAGCAAGCAAAACATGCTAATTTTTGCTTGCCGCCATGGCGTGGGCCCATCAGTTCATACTTCTCTAATAAATGAAAGTTAGACAAGTCATTTTGGACGTCTGGAGGGTTCCTGGCCTGACCCTTCGTGTGAGGTCAGGGGGCACACTACTGGATGGCATGCTTCATTGATAGTTAACTTACTGGCTCGAGTTACTACCACGCCAAAGCCGTGCAATAATTTTTGCCCCCGATCCTTTGCACCAGAAAACAGAACACGCAAACAATAGATAAACTAAATGCCTGCATATATACTAACCGGAACAAGATGCAAGGCAGCGCGTATCAGAAGAATAACTACTAGGAATCTAGGTAGCTCTGCCATTAACCAGGATCTCATCTCATTACTTACCTTTTAATCTATCTGTATCCGTGGACATTGCCTGTCAGTGTATCATGCTATCCTCAATCGAAATTTCAAGTGCGACATGGTCTCCTGTAGTTTGTCATCATACAAGGCTTTCGTTGCTTTGTTTTACCTTGCGAAAAAACACGGTTCCCAACGACAGTTTTACAGAGAGATTGATTCTGCCAACCAAAATCCAATAATTAACCTACTAATTAATTCCACATCTCCCTGAACTTCTGGTTGGACTCTTCCTGCAAGCAGTTTGAAATCTTTTCCACACACTACAAATTTTCCATCCCTTGAAGCCATAGCGTCTTTATCCTCTGTCCAATCGCCTGCCTGGGAAGCATTGTCGTTATTGCCATCGTCACTTTTCCTCAAGCCAGCTGTCAATTAACTACCTCCTTTGCACCATAGAAGACTTATTGAGCAAAAGCTAGACATCACCCTTGCGAATAGTTGCCGCTATCTTTCTCGATAGCGCTAACCGGGCCCTAGAGGCTTAGTAAGCTACCGCTCACTTACGAGGGCCCGCCAGCTCAACGTAATCCGCCATCTCAACGCGATTATTTTCAAAATATGATTATTTTTGCAAATCCCTGTTCTTAATATGCAATAACCACCCAACGTGATGTCTTCTACATATATTTTAATAGAGAATAAGATCGCAGATGCATTATCTTCAATATCCGATGTTGAAAATCCCAATATTAAAGCATTGGCGCGAAAATTTGAAGTTCCCTACTCCCGGCTGCTGAATTGTTATAATGGTCGCGTCTCTCAAATTGAATGAACCCCTGCTAATCGACTATTATCATCTGGCCAGGAAAAATCACTCTGTTTCTATATAGAATCTCTAGATAAGCTAGGCCTACCTCTCAATCATTTGATGATCTTTGGTGCTGCCAAATTTCTACTTGCGCAGAGTCATACCAATCTCACCACACCTCCACCCGGGCTTGGAGAGCACTGGGTCAAAAGATTCCTTCAATGTCATCCAGAGTATAATGTACGCAAGCAAAAGACCATTGATATACTGCGGAAACAGGCTCACCAACCTTCATTCATTCTTGATTGGTTTAACTGCTTTAAGGAGATAAAAGAGAAGCATGGGATCCAGGACTGTGATGTCTACAACTTTGATGAAACAGGGTTCAGAATAGGAATCAGCTGTGATCAGTGGATTATAATGCAAGATCCTCAGAGGAGAACCTATGTTGGCAGTTCAAATAACAGGGAAACTCTTACAATCATTGAAGGAATTGCAATCAATGGCTTTACTATCCCTTCTTTATATATTCTCACTGCAAAGCAGCTACAAGAGTGGTGGACAGATGAAATAGAGAAGAATGCCATGATAGCTACATCTGACACTGGCTACAATAATGATCAGATCTCTTTTCAATGGATTCAGCACTTTCATCACTCCATCAAAGCCTGCATCAAAGAAACCCACCGTCTGCTTCTATTAGATGGATTTGATTCTCATTGCACCCTTGAATTTATGACTTTTTGTGACAAGCACAATTTCTTCATGCTATCACCTCTATTTGGAAAGCAATGTTCAAGGTTCATACAATCAAGCAAGGATGGAAAGCAACTGGCCTGGTTCCATTCAATCCATCAGTTGTCCTTAATAAATTACATGAGTTTGAATCAACTCCTATGGAATCTGAGGGGTCTGTTTCCACTGACTCAGAGACCTGGTATACTCCTTCCACCATACACCAATTCAATCAATATAAGTGGAAACTGGAGGCTTTGGAGGAGGATGACAACTATGACGCGGACTATATTTATATTGGGTTACAAAAACTTTATAAGGGTAGTATTGCAATGGCCAATACAGTGGCTCTTTTGCAGGAGGAGCTAGCTCAAACCTCTGCTGCCACACTGGCTCGAGAACACCGCCTCCACGGCTTGCAGAGGGTGGTTATTAAGGGAGGTGTCATATCCGCAAGCTACTGCCGCAAAATGACGGCAATTAATAAGAAGGTTGATATGGAGGAGGCATTGGAGAAATTGCGGCCAAAATGGAAGAGGGTTATGAAGGAACTTAAGAGGTATTGCAGAGATAAAGGCATTTATGTGAATGCCACCAAATTTACAAGGAAATCTCAGAGATAATTCATTTACACTATAATCTACTTGTATATATAAAATATAGAGCAATTCGTTGAAAAATTAGCTGAATGTCATGGGTATAGGCAGGCAGTAACGTTGAGATGGCGGATTACGTTGAGCTGGCGGGCCCTCGTAAAGAGGGCCCGACCGGCAGGTTGCAGGTGAGCGGTAGCTTACTAAGCCTCTAGGGCCCGGTTAGGGTACCAGTGGCCGTCACTACCCGCAAATATCTCTCTCGGAAAAGCATCTCAGACACTTGCAATATTTCTGGTTCATACCAGCGTGGTGAACAACACCAAGGCCACGTCGTAAAATCAGGCCCTCTGAGACAAAACGCCTCCTCAGCTCTACTACATTCTCCCCAAATTCTGATGACGCCCCGCAGATTGGAATCCATCCACTGGAACTGTGGGATCAAAGGATTTCATAGATGCTGGACTCTGCGGTTGCTGTGTCCCACATGCCGTCTTCTCGAGACAAATGGTCTTTGCCCTTTTTGCCTTTCTTCGCATCATTCGGAGCGCCCTTTTTTTGGCCTGCTTCTCCTTGGAGAGCTTCCAAACTGGGGTTCACAATTTTCCACTTTTCCTCCGCGTTTTCTAACTGGGTTTTGTAAAGTTGTCACAGGTCTCTTCGCAGGCACTTCAGTCGTGATTGAAGAGGAGTGCTGGAGGAGCTCCTTGCAGGTGTAGTGAACAAATGAGAAAGAGTTTTGTGCATTGGTAATTATTGAAGACCCCTCCCGCGTTGACAACGTCAGCCGTGCGAATGGTTCTCGACAGAGCAACTGAGAGATCGAGCGAGTTGTCAACAGGAAATTCTGGTTGTTTGAAGTTTGATCATGGAACTCCACAGGAGCCTGCAGTCTTCGCTCCTCGAGAGTGAGGTTACCCCGGCATCCCCCTTGATAGATCCACAATAACATGCCACTGGATGCATAAAGGCCAGAACCAAACGCGCCATCGAGACCACTCGGAGCAAATGGGATGGGAATCAGTGAAGCCATTATAGTGAAATCATTTGCCTTTCTTAAGAGTAAGAAACATTCTCCCCTCCGGCGTATATTCCCATTCATTTAGCACGAAACTGCCGTTTTATGCTCTACGTCTCCTTTACACTTGGTTCACCTAGATTACCTCATTCTTACTCATCTGGCCTTTTTGAGGAACTATCTCTGCTTGTGAGAAGCAGTTGTTCCCCAACAACACCGTCATCGACTTGCCCCAGTGTAGTGAATTTCGTCAAAGACGATTCTTTCTGACTCAACATGACCATGAGCTCACATTTGCCGGTGCAAGGAACTATTTATCATTTTAATATAATTGAAACTAGAACATGATTTCGACGGATATACTTATTTCATATTACATCTATAAAAGTTTTGGGCGTGTTTTATGAAAACACTGTCAGAATAGAAGTAAAAACAGGAGCACTTTGAACATATATATAAACTAATATAATTTAAAATATACTTTCTTGATTGAATCAGGAAAAGAGTTTTTAATTTCAATGTCTGAGACCGAAGCAACCGCCTGGTTATTAAAGTCTATAATTATTAGTTAAATCAGAATAATTTAACTAACTACAGCGTACAAAAGTAATTTACTATTTTTATTATATAGACATATTTACATTTGCTTTCCATACATCAATTTTTTTTTTCATCCTGTTTAAATTGTATTATTTATAGACTTATTTCCCTTGCGTTTTACACCGTTAGTTAAAGTTATACATTGCTAAAACAATTAATTTCTGATCGGAGGACTTCCGTGGAGCGCAACCGCGTTTCCGGGCATTCTTCTCGAGCGACGGGTCGGCCTTGTTCCGAGCGCCTCCTGAATGCAATGCCGCAACCCGCTCACTATCGGGGCCTCGCGGCGCGGGGAGGGGTAAGGTTGCCCCGGCTGCTCGGGAAGTCAACTACAGAGTTTACGACCTCCCCCTTCACAGTCTGCTGTATCTACCCTGGAAACCATCTGATAGTTATCCAGGAACAGCTGAATCACATCTAATTCTAGGGGAAACAGTGCTCTAACTCACACATAAATGTAGTTAACTAAATATAAAAAAAGGAACTGGCGGTCGTCTTATTTTACACTGTCCTTGGGTAACTAGCTAGCTAGCTGTTGCTCTGCTAACTAACTAGTTAACTCGTTGGTTCGGGACCGTTTCCCAGCGCGAGAAAGCTCAGGACTATCCCCAAACTTCCCCACATCAGATGAATCATTAACTTGTTTAATAGTAGTAGGTATAGAATTACGGAGCAGGACCGGAGTCTCATCAGCAATTTCGCCTGACCATGGGGAATTGGCAACACAATGACCAATCGTCTGCTCCCCTGTTAAGTGGTCCGGCCAGGAGGGTCCCAGTTTTCATATAGTCCTTGAGTTTCAGCTGGAGGGCATCAAAAGCTCTTCTGAGAGGGTAACTCTGACTCTCCCTCTTATTACATTTGTTCAATCCCCCCCGTTCCTGTCAGTTGGCGAACTATTTTATCATTTGTTCTATTAATTTCTCCCTTTTTGGGGGGCGTGACGGGGACTATATAGTTAACTAGTTAGTTACTGTTGGGACAGAGCCGCAGATTAACGACATCCAACTGACGTCATGGACGACTGGCAAAATCATCTCCTTTCGTCTTCGATGGATGAAAAGCTGAGGCACCACTCTCCAGAGTCAAGTTCCACCTTGCAGGAACCTTCACCGAAGCGCAGCGCTGAAGCTGCAGAATTCGATGGCTCTGATGGAAAAGTAAATCGAAAAAGATCGGCCAAAGCATGCCAGTCATGCAGGTCACGGAAAGTGAGATGTAGCGTCAGCGACCACGGCGTTCCGTGCTACAATTGCAAACTTGATGACGTCGAATGTATAGTCCCAGAACGCAAAAGACCAACACGAACAACCAAGAGGCAGTACGTTCTTAACTCTGTCTTTCGCAAAAACAATGGAATGGGTGCTAATCAAGAGCGCTTATTGCAAAGGCGTTTCATTGGCGCAGTGATATCCGCAGCGGTTGTGCGTATGGGCAGAGCTTCTCCTGACAGTGGACTCTCTTCGCCGGGAAGTGTACCTGAAACTAGCCATGGCGACTGGGACAAGGGATTCCAAAGAACTCTATTGTCTTCACCGAATTCGTCTCAACAAAACGCGACCGAAGAAAACTCGGAAATTGCGGATAATCCACGGCCATTGTCAGATCTACCGCCATGCGACGATGAATTAGCTCGATGGTTCAGCGTGATGCCTCCCCGAGTAGTGGATAAGATGTTCAGTTATCTTCAATCCGTCAGCCAAAATGGAACCCTTGAACCATATGGTGAATCTGACTCGTCACACAGTGACTCAACAATGCATTTGCTTCCCTCAGGCTCGAAGCGGAAAAAACGCTACGGTACAATATTATCCCGCCGAAAACCTGTCCGAAACTGTGTGGCTTCCCGGCCTCCAGAATACCCACCACAGGTAGTCAGATTGCCAACACGAGAATCGCCACCACGAGAGTTGCCTCTATCATCAACTCAAGAACCAAATGAAGGAAGAACGCTAATCCAACATTTGCGAGATGACAACGCTGCTACGTGCAGCAAAGAGAAGGATCTAGAGGAAGCTATCCACAGAAGCGATAGCCAATTGACTAAAAAACAGTCTCGACAATCGGGAGATAAACACTCGCTAGACACGTGTAGGGAGCCTTCTTCTGATCTAAATACCAAAGCAACCTCCGTCCTTACCCCGCCTCCTGAGCATTATTGTGCTTCGGCTATGAGCATGCAGGCCTTTCAACAACTCGAAGCTCTACCCACGAGCACCCACAAAGAACCATATCCAAACCAGCCAACTACAAAGGGAGGAACACAGCAAGAGACACTGGTTGCTGGAAACGGTGGACTCGGGGGCGAATTTCAGAGTAACTTTGATTCCATGATTAATTTATGGGTTGGGGATGCATTCGACGTTTCAACATTCCAGTTATGAAATGTCTTGCTCTGGTTTGTTTTGGGATATTTATGGCGAAATAGATGGCTCTTTTTTATTTATTTTATTTTATTTATTTTATTTTTGCTGCTTGGCAATTGGATCTGTGGTGTTCTCAAGGTTGTTTTTGGAGCGAGGAAACTTCATTTTAAATCATTTTTCATGGATTCTGCATGTTATGTTATTTCCATTTATTCACCTAACAGAAAGAGTGAAAAAAAAAAACAGCTATATCATCTTGCCACCAACCTCTTTCCCTCGGAAACCTCACCCCCCTTACAAAAAAAAAAAAAAAAAAAAAAAAAAAAAAAAAAAAGAAAAGCCAATGATTAAAAACAAGCTGCCTGTCTTGCCATCACATACCTTCATTCGCCACAAGGAGTGGTTGCCGGTAGTCGGCGGCTTTATCAACGTATTCTACCAAAGCGCCGAAAACCGGGGGGAGATGGGGGTTTAAGACCAATAAGCCGACATGCCTTGGCAGCCATTTATTGCCAGGAGCCGGACGTGGGAGTTAGTAGAATGCTACGAAACTGTGACAGCGTGCTACCCAGGCAGGTTTGGGTGCTAGCTAGTCGATGTATACGGGGACCATTTCGAGGTTATTTCACTTTAGCTTAACGCCCTGTGCTGAAAGCACTGGACGAACTCGACCTTGTTACACAGTACAGCTTCTTCCAGAGCAACTTTGGCAGCCCAATCTGCTCCAGCCTTATCGACCAGTGTTTGCAGGAATGGGAGCGAGCATTGTTTAACAGCTTCCCGGATATGGTCCGCTTTAATCACCGCTCCATGCTCGATTAAGAACTTGGCGACAGTTTCATTGTGTGCGATGGCAGAAGTTAGAGGGGTTGCTTCTTGTGAGTCGCAAGCGTTTATATCCGCACCTCTGTCGATGAGCATGGAAATCGTTCCCACAGAACAGGCGCGGACAGCTACGGAGAGCGGTAATATTTTGGGTTTTGTTTCGTTGAGGAAACTGGCGCCCCGGTCGAGGAGAAAAATGGCCATTTCCACATCGTTGTTAGAAAGGGCTCCGGTAAGGGGATTCTTGTCTAGACTGTCCAACCGCGCTGGCACACCTCTGTCCAACAACCTCGTTGCCAAAGACAGAAGGCTGTTCTTCGCTGCACCGCAGAGAACCGAGTATCCTACGTAGGTCATATCATCCTCATCGTTCATATACAAATCGGCGCCATGGCTCAGGAGAAGCTTGGCTATCTCCATGTTGTCTACGTAAAACGCGATCAGAAGAGGTGGCCACATGGCTCCCCAGTCATTGAAGTTGACATTAACGCCAGCTTCTAGGAGAAGACCCACGCAGGATCTAAATCCGCGATCAATGGAACAGATGAGGCTATATCCTAGCTTCTGGGTGATGAGATCTTCCTTATTAATATCATCATCGCGATCGCCGTCAGGCTCCGTCATGGATTCATCCTCGTCCAACTTGGCAATCCTATTTATGTTATGCTTTACGACTGGGAAAGCCAGTGCTTCGGTGAGCCGACTGATGACGTGCTCAGGAGGTACAGTTTTGAGGCGATCTCGGACAATTGCATTCCAGTCCTCTAGAATTCAACAGATAAGTTTCCGAGAGCATGATTGATGGCTGAGCATGTGTATAACGTAACAAAGGGCCTGGAAAATAAAATAGATATAGATATAGATTATAGATAGCTTACTGCAAACCAAAAGACTGGCAGAGACAGTGTGTTTCCAAACTACATGCTGGGGTGTTCTCCCGGATCTCCACGCCATGAAATACGGATTGATTGCATGGCCCAGGATAAGAACCCGAATCTCCAGAGGAAGGTCCTGGAAGAACATATTGTTTACTTCTTTTGTCTGTTGTTTAAATTGGCGGGGAGTTGAGGCGAGGGTTGTGGAGTGTGGTACTTCTCACGGTGGTTAGATGGGAGGGTAAGTTAAGTTAACATTTACTGCAGAATTCAACACAGCCGCAACAGTTGGCAGGCTTCAACAAGCTGTATTAGGCTGCGATTGCGGCGGGATTGGAACATGCGATAGATACCTAATTGCCCTTGAGTGGTTGGAGTCATGATGTAGCCGCGGGATAGGCAGCGGGGTCAAGATCGTCTAGACACAAATGCGATAACTAGTTAAACTAACGTGAAGCGGGGCGGGCAACTTCTGGTTCAAACAAAAACTTTGTCAGCCTCACAGGTTGCCAACCCTAAAGTAAATCCACCCCCGGTCAGTGGTAAACATCAATTATCAAATTTTTCATACTCTGTCAAATCCTCTTTCTCAGGCAAAGCGCTTTTCTCCACACCTCTTTACGACCCCAATTGTTGTTCCGCGACATTGTTGGCTGGCGCCTATCTGCTCTAACTATCTCGTAAAACCTTACAAGCGCCCCCGCTGCTCGTTTTAGCTGGGGCGTTTCGACCGGTTTGCTAGACCCACTGGCCGTGGCGGTGCCTAGTTTGACTGCTCATATTCTTGTTAAAGATTCTTATAACGAAGTCCCCAGTCACTTCAGGTTATCCCTTGTTTGCTGGTAACCCGCCCTGCTTGCCAGTGGCTTTTCCTCTCAAGGGTGAGGGAATCGGACCTTTAGTTTCGGAGTCACAGCTTTTGTGGCTTTCCTATACCTCCTTCTGGCGCTTCAAGCCCCTGTTCTGGGGTCGTTCTTGAGCCTCAGCAGCTGTTTTTACCTTTTATCTTTACAATCTCCTGTACTGTTCTGGGTCATACCAGGCAAGAGTCATTGCTATCCACTACTAGCAAGTTAGTGGGAAATTAAGAAAAATGGATAATATAAAAGATATATCATCGGCTCCGGCGCCACCCCAAGTGGTCCATGAGCCTCCTGAGGAGGATAAGCAAGTTCAGTCACCCACACAAGATCAGAAACGTGTGGAGCAAGTGTCATCTCCTATTTCTGCAAATACGTCGTTATTTGAAGTTCCTGCTCCTCCATCTGCTCCTGATAGAGACGACCCCAAGCTACCAAAAGAGGAGGAAGAGGAGATGTTTCACGCCTTGCAAAGCATATTCCAGAGCGTGGAAGAGGAAGACGGGAGCTTTGGCGTCAAAGGGTTGTTGAATCCTCTGGATGAAGTGGATGGAGAAGCTTGCTGCGGCCAAAGGAACCTCAATATTTTGAAGGGGGTGATGGATAAACTTGGTCTTCTCTGGAGAAGCGGTTCTACTTACATGACTCGAGCTGCTGAGGTGCTAGCGAATGGATGTCGAGACCGTATGTTTGCCAGGTGTTTAGCTTACGGGTTAATATGAGTAATGATGCGCCATTTTGCTAATCCGGTGGATAACGGCAGCTTCGTGGCGGGTACCGTATGGTCAAAGTGGGATATTGGAATTCTTTCTTCGGATTATTGCAACAAATAACGTGGATGACGATATCTTGCTACATTCCTTGCGACTAATTGGAAACTCCTGTGCCGATACGAGTGCGTGATTTAGAGTGAAACATAGCTTCCCCAACCCAGTTTCCCTGGTCTGACTCAAGAAACAAACAGATGAAAATAGGCAGCTGGTCGTCGATAAGAATTACACACTTCCAATCATCAAACTATTCCGGAATCCCGCGGTGCTCTATGTTGCTATACCCGTGATATACAATATTTGTACTGATTTTGGTCAGTAGGGTGATTTACAGCCGCACTTACCCCTGAATCTCTTTACCAGCCTAACTTAGGTTCAATAGAACCTGCACAAGCTCAAGTGGCAGCAAATGGCATTGGATATAGCCTCCTCTCTCTCCTTTCCGAAAGCCTCATCGAAGAAAATGCTCTGTTGACATATACGTTTGAACTCCTTGAAACAGCAACCGACCAATGTTAGTCAATCCGCTCATATTTCCCGTACTGAAGTAACCAAGAATCTGATAGCAGCAGCCCAAGGAGTTGCAAGGTCACCGGATGACACTCTCCCATTGATCATCAATCTTGCATCAGATGAAGATATAGATTTTAACCGTTTTGTAAACATAAGCAACTGCCTTGCTTCGTATTTGCAAAACGAGCGCTTTCAGAATTTAAGCATAATTGGCAGGTTTGTCGAAGGAGTGACATCCATCCTTCGCCGATCATACGATATTGCCCCTCGCGATCTTTCTCCAGAAGACGTTCAAATACTCGCACAGCTGCGGTTGAGACTCAACCAAGCGCTCTCAGACATCTCTGCCCTTCCGTTGTTCTCTCAGGAGTATCCTCTCAGCAGTAAACTCTCTGAAACCCTGCGATCGTGGCTTGAGGAACCCGAAGGCCAATTGCAGGTATGTGCCTGCGTCATGCTCGGCAATCTAGCCCGGGAAGATGCCATATGTATATCGATGGTTCAAGATTTCAAAATTCATGCACCTCTGATATCAATTCTCAATGGCAATACCATAGGCGCTGTTCTGCACCCCGTCCTAGGGTTCCTGAAGAACCTCGCCATCGCTGGCGATAACAAAGAGCACCTTGGCTCAGCAGGAATTATCAAAGCAGTATCTCGCCTCTGGGCATTCGAGAGCGTTCCCCAAGTCCAATTCTCAGCAGCCTGTCTCACACGCCAAGTGATTGTCTCCTCGTTCTGTAACATCTCCCGCCTGCTGGAACCCCTCTCCGCTGACCATGATTCCCCCTCAAATTCCCGCACGTATCTCTCTCTGCTCCTTTCCCTTTTTCAAAAAACCGACTCCACCCCCATCAAGATTGAAATCGGCCGCACGATCTGCGCGATATGTCGCTCCATAAGCCAACGGCGGCAGCAAAACGGAATTGACTTGGCCGTCGAAGTTTCGATCGTTTCCGAACGGCTGTATAAACTGCACGAGAATGTTGCGTTGCCCATTGGAGCAATGGTAGCGCAGACTGAGTGGCCTGTTGTGCAGAGTGAAGGGTGGTTTGCGCTTGCTCTGATGGCATCTACGCAATTAGGTTCACTGGCCGTTGTCAATAGCTTGCAGAGTATGAAAGTTTTCCAACTGGTCATCGACACAGTTAAAGCGGTTATATCTGAGGTGTCGATTGGGGAGTCGGTGCAGGAGAAGACGGAGCGGTTGAAGAAGTCAAAGGATCGGGACAATGCGATCATCCTTGTGAATGGATTGTTGAAGAACAATGTAAGTTTTGGATTATTGATTTCATTTTTAATGCTTGTTTTGTAAACTGATTGAGCTCGGAGCTAATCATTCAGTAGCCAATAACTCTCCCCAACGCAAGAAGGGAAATGCTCGAGGACCTCATGCGTGATGTTGCAGGGACTTATAAAGCGAGCTAGGTTAAATACCAGCGACAATAGTGCACCCATTTCCCCCCGCTTTTCTTGCTGATCAATTCATTTTATCCAAAGTACACACTGTGTACTGATGATGCATTTTCACTTGCTATTTCCCGTTTTCTTCGTCCTATTGTCTATTTCGCACTTCCCTTGATCTGCTAATGATGCCATAAGTGCATTCATATGGAGTGATATCATTTTGATGCTTGAACCTATATCCTTTGTCCTTGGTATATTGGGCGTATGTCAGTGGTTTGACGGAGGAAGCAGAGCGTTGCTTGCGTGTTTTGTATTTTACTGATAGTCCCTGAACCCCTTTCTAACATATGAGCTGAGAGATATTTGCATTGGTATATCATACATTTCCCCTGGTTTTTCCCATGTTTGCCTGTGCACCTTATCTACGAGCGATGGCACAGAGTGCGATTTAAGACTAGATTAGACAGTTATGCATAACAAATTTTGCCCCCTTTTGACCTGGTGGGAGAATATCGTGCCAAACTTTTGAGTGAAACGATGCAATGACTAATGTATCAAGTGGTGATGTAAAGGATATGTCTCTATGTATATTTATGTCCAAAATATAAATCAAGAATTATATGTGCAAAGAAAAGGACTCGCACCACGCCCTGTGCTAAAAGTCTTTATATAGGCTTCCCCTTCTTCCCCTCCTTCCCCTCCTTCATCAACTTCTTCTTCTCTTTCAACCTCTTCTCCATCTTCATGAACTCCCTAATCCCCACCGGAATCCCAGAAAACAAGTCATCGGCATCCTCACCTGCAATACCAACGCTCCAATTCGCCTCCGACCCACCCCCATCATCATCCACACTCAGGCTAGCACTCTCCACCTCCTTTCTCGGCTTAAACCGCATCTCCCCAGCCACAACGGATTCTCCAAGCACAGCTCCCTTCTTCCCCTTCCCCTTCCCCTTCCCCTTCCCCTTCCCCTTGCCCTTCCCCTTCCTCTTCGTTGCCTTCTCCCCCCTCCTCTTCGCCTCCCGTACCCTCTCTGCCCACGACTCAACCTCATCTCTATAATCGTCCCAGACACAATGTACACAGCCGCTCATGCAGCAGTTATCAGGCTCGTGGGGGCGGGGAGGAATGGGTACGCCATTTACAGTATGCCAGGTAGATTCCGGGGTGTCGGTATCGGAATTGTAGCGGCTAGAGTAGCCCGGTCCTGCAAGACGGGTGCCGAAGACTATGCTCATTCTTTCGGCCGGGGTGAGTTCGGGCGCCGGGGCGGGCGCAGGTGTGGGCGCGGGATGTTGGGATTGCGTGTTTGAAGGAGGCGATTGTTGCGATTGTAGATGGACTTCGCGCTGTGACTGTGAGACTTCTTCTTGTAGTAGAAGGGGCCGAGTGTGGTGGGCGGGATGTGAGGGATGGGTCGCGGAGAGGATATCTAGGTAGTAGCCATGCAGGGGGTGTGCCTGGAGAGGCTGCCCAGAGGTATTTGTGTTTGTTTCATACTCTTGATTCCTCTGGGAATGAACCGCGGTTTGTTCATGCAGCGTTGCTTTTGAGTGCAACAGTCGGCGCGGAGTTCGCCGTGATTTCCATGTACTTGGGGGGGAATAGATTATAGCGCGATGAAGGCAGCGGGCACATACGGTACCCTGTTGCTGGAAGAGTTGTCTGAGTACGAGGGACAGATGCTCCATTGAGGGAAGCTGAGTATCTGTAAAGAATAAACGAATAAATGAAAGAATAAATAAGTGAAAGAATAAATAAATGAAAGAAATTTACGATGTTGGATTATTTTCAGCCAGGAGTAACTAACTATTGGTTATTATGTCATCGTGCAAACAGTGCAAACAGCGATTGACAAATCCCGGCGAATTGTTGATCGATAACAACCGACGACTTTGTTTATGCTTCATACATCATCCAATACAGACATGGTAAGTCTAGCATACAACATCTTTCCAGTTTCTAATTTCCCGCTGGCCACTGACATACCTCTAGCTGTAGCGACAAAACCCTCTCATCCCTTCACCCCTCCCAACTCCACCGCATGCAGACGCGTCCGCCTTCATGCTCGATTCGCCTGCGAAGCGGCGCAGGTCCAATTCCTCCAGCGCAATCGCAGTCAACGCGTCAAACACTGCCCAACAGCCTCAAACCAATGGCAATGATCTTCAACCACCGCAGCGACCAAGTCGTGCATCCTTCCAGTCGCCAACCAGAGCCAGCCTCGCCCGCTCACACCCCGATGTTCTCTCCCGAGTCATGAGTCGTTCGCCTGCAAAAACCGCGCAACTAAGGCCAGTAAGTCGCGGAAGGGAGAAGGGTAGTGGTGTTGGTGGAGGCACAGAAGATGGATGGCTTGGAATCCGTGCAAGTGGGCCGCAGTCGTTGCTTTCTACCTCTGCAATTGCGACATCGACTGCGACTGCGACTATTGTGGCAGACCTCCCTATTCGCCAGCCAAGCATAAACCCTTCTTTGTCTCCGCGTCATAGATCGAGTGTTCCAGTGCCTCCTGTGGCGCAGCCACTCAGTAAACCCTCTCAACCACCGCGGTTGCCGATCTCTTCAGAGCCCTGGGCACAATTTTCCGCGCTACGGCCCGGCACTCGAGCTCATGATAACCTGGACAAAGAGTCGGGGCTTGTAAAAGAAGCATCGGAGGACATAGTTTCCGGAGAAAGACGTACTCGATCTTCGTCGTCGCCGGGGCAATTGAATGGCGAGCCCGAATTGCCGCCTACGCCCACCGAGTTGGGTTTAGAGAGGTTGCCTAATCGCCCGAGAGGGTTATTGAGCAGCAGTAGTCCGAGTTACCGACAAGAGAAGAAGAGGGAACGAACGCTGAGAGATGGGGCGAAAAAGCCTAGCCCTCTCAGACCTCGAGATACAGTACCTGCCGGGGATGGTGGTGGTAATGGCGATGGCGATGGCAATGGCGTTAGATCCCCACACTTTTTATTTCCTGAGGAAGAGGTCCCAGATGAGCCGGGGGAAAAGCAGAAGCTGCGCAATGCGCTTGCCGCGCAGCTCGCTAGGTTGAAAGGGGATATCGCAAAGATAGAATATGAATCTCAACGATATGAAATACCAGATGATTATCCTGCGCCAGATGAGGAATCTATCAGGAATCTAATGTAAGTGGCAGTGATACTCCCTTTAGGTGTTCAGAAACGTATAGCTGACAACTTATTCGAAAGCGAACTTCTAACAACCTCAAACCCTTCATGCGCACCCCCACCCCCATCTCCTCCTTTCCTGCCTCCACTTTCGTCTGTCCTCTCGTCCCTTCTACCTTTCTCCTCTGGTCGATTTATCCCCTCAATTGAACTGGCTGCTCCTCCTCCATCCCCTCCACCAAACAACCCTTTCGCTCTCCAGCAACCAGCAGATCTAACACCATACCTCACCCTCTTCGCTCCCCTTTCCCTCACCGCGCATACCGCTACGACATCTTCCGCCCGGAATCTATCAACCTCGACGCAAGAAACTCACTCATCTTCTCCCTTAATTACTCAAACACACCACCTCACTCTATCCGCCCCCTCTCCATTTCCTTCCCATCTCTTCCAAATCCCTATATCCCTTCAAACAAACCCAGAAACACAAACTGTTATCTCCATATCCACTCCAACAGAGCTGCAATCCACAGATCCCAAACAGGCTGGCATAATCAGTAGTGGTCCTAATATCCCTGCACCCCTTTCCTCATGGTTAACTGCCCGCCTATCAAACCCTCTTTTGCAACGAGATATTTCCGGCCTCTGCTGGGGTGTATCACGGTACTGGGAAGCCGATATATCCCGCGCGAAGATCTGGGTGCAACTTGAGGAACTACGTGATCGAATATCAACACAGAAATCACCCTCCTCTCAACAAGCCAAATATAGCAAAACAAAATCCTATTCCACCCACACACTCCTCCCACATCTCGGGCGCACTTCCTTCCTATTCTCTACCATCCCACAAAAGCCACGAAGCTCAATACACCCCTCAACACCAACACCACAACTACTAGTAATATGTCCGCTTACATTGGATTTATGGACGAGTGAGCCACAACTTGAGCCGGATATCAGCGTTTCTGTGCCTAAGTCAACGTCAGCATCGTCGTCTATGGCTTCGAAGAAGGTGGAGAAAGAGGCGAAGAGGGTTTTTGCGAGTTTTATGAAGAGTGGGGGTGAGAGTGGGAATAGAAAGAGAAAAGGGGGGCATGGATATGCGGCTGAAATTGATGGGGATGCAGAATTGCTTGTTAGAGCTGTAGAGGGGGTTGTTTGGGTTGTTTTTGGAGTTGTGTAGGTTTTGCATGAGAAGGGTTGGGGCTTAAAGGATTAGGGGTTGTATATGAAGTGTTGTATAAGGTGGTGTCTTGCTTTTGTTGTTCTATGCATGAATGCTTCTTGTAGCGTGGTGATTTTAAATACGCATTTTTTAAATTGATGGTTTTCGTAACGCGGGGGAGTTTTTTATTGCACTCCGCCAATATGGGACGGCAAGTGTATGCCAGATATTCCTTGACACATCGTGTTTTTAAACGATGAGGATGAGGATCGAGAGAATCTTTCTTATGTTAGATACTCAATGCGTTCTATCGAGATTCTCAGTTTCGAAATATCGATATACCCCATGCTGAGGATCTGGTTAAACTGGTTTTATAAAGAATCGCATATTATACATGTGAATAAGTCTTTTTCCCTTCAGTCCTCCCCTTTCCCAGTCCCAAGGACAATCAAAGAAATGGCTGATATAATGAAGGGTTCAAAAGGAAATGTAGTTGTATAGTGATTGCCATATCTTGTTTCCACTTCGTAGTTCTTTGATTGATCCACGGAGGAAGTTCATGCTTAGAATGGGAAAGCAATTAAAGGCAATATGAACTACGGATAGATAGCATGAATGCCATGCGCGGATCACTATAGGGATACAACAGCGGTATGAGTTCATATGTTTACAGGAGATATTACTAGGGTCCGGTGTAATCTTGCATGATAATCTCCGGTTTTCTCGAATCGTACAGCTTCTATATTTTCATTTTCTTTTAAACTCCTTCAATTTTAGGGGTTCAGGTCGCGCTACCCAATCATACCTGATGGCCGTCCAAAATTGGCGGTGGAACAGAGCCCGTTAACCTTCTACGTACGTTCCATAGATAGCATTGCAGAGCCAAGGGAAGAGAAAACACACGAATAGTGAGAAAGTGCGGGAGGGAGAGATAGCAAGAAAGCATGTCAAGGGCAATCCATCGTATCATTAAAAAGAGGGAAAAAAAGAAAAATGAGGTTTAAAAAAATTCATGTCGCGGAATTTTGCTCTATATTCCCCGGACCCAGCTTTAACAGACCACATGCAACAAAATTTCTTTGGTTTCCTCTTTTCCATTTTTTTGCCCTTTGTTTTTGTATATCACCCAAGCATTATTCGACGAACCCAAGCAATCCGCTCAGTCATGAGAAGTAGCACTAAAACAGGAGAGGAAACCAGCAGGAAAACAAAAGAGCAGAGGGAGAATATAAGGTAGAAAAACTCGGAAAGCAGATGATTGGCCATGGTTTTCTTCGCTTTCTTTGCCGGTTTTCCACACGCGCAAAAGAAGAGAGGGAGGCGCGATGGGACCTTAGGGGGAGAAAAAACAACTTCGGCGTTTATATTCGTTTCCTGTTTCGTCGTGTTCGTTTTCTTCTTTTAAACGAGAGAAAGGAAAAAGAAAAGAGAAGCTTTGATTTCCGTTTCTTAAAAAACTAAGTTTTCAATATTTTTTCTGCCCTCTATTTCTTCGTCGCAGCAGCCTCATCAGCCTTAGCCTTAGCCCTCTTCTCTCTTACGCCCACTAGTCTAGCCTCACTCCGTGCGTCTCTGAGTCGTCGATATGCAGCAGCCTCACCGGCTGGGAGGTCGTTCTTGCTGATTTCCGAGATGGCCTCAGCACGGCTGATGTTGCTGATTGGGAGAAGGGACTCGATGCTCTTAGAGAAGCTATCCTGGGCAGCCTTGATTTCGTCTGCGGACGAGTCGAGCTTCTTATGTTGACCGGCACGACGGGGGAAAAGGATTAGGCGAGCCTTGTACTCCTTTAGGCGGGCGACGTTGGCAGTGAGAGATTCAGTGGAGGCATTGACGCGTCGGTGGTCAACGGCAATGCCAATGGTCTGTGCCAGCTTGCGAGGAATTCCGGCTTCCTGTTTTTTTTTTTTTTTTTTTTTTTTTTGTGAGTTTTCGTGGTTCATTTATTTGGTTTATACAATCCAACTCGTGTTCAGGATGTCTTCGACATCCATCTGTCCGCAAAGGAGCCAATGTCTCAAGCGAGTATGAAACAACTAGCCCCAATTTGAAAAGGAAGAAAAAAAATCAACTGTCCAAGTACCCCAATCTCCACTCCCTTACTCATGAAAGAATATAACAAAAGGAACCCCATACCTTCAGCTCTTGAAGTGTGAAGCCACGGCCAGCTCTGACACGACGATTGTACTTAACAGTGGGGCATCGCACGATGGGTCTGAGCTTGTCGACTGGGCGGGGAGCGACGGCAGCAGCCTTCGCGAGACGAGCCTCCCGGCGACGGTGCTTACGACCAGGCTATATAAATCGGACGTAACTTGTCAGTTTTGATCGTTCATGAAATTCCATCCTCAGACCGATTTTTTTTTTCTCTCCTTTAATCTTCTTCAATGCTCACAACCTCTGTGGAATTTGGTCTGTAGTAGACGGATGGATGGGTGGCTTGGGGTATTCTCTCTTTTTATAGTATTCTCTTACCTGATCGAAGTGTACCCGAACGCGGCGAGCCCAGTCCTTGTGGAAATCTGCATACGAAAAAAAAAACAAGTCAGAGATATTTGCCCCTCTTTTATTTCTCAAATAAAACGTATTATCGCGAATAAATCGAATAACAGACAAACTTACGGTTTTTCGGGATGGTCTGGTTATGCTTGATCGCCTATATTATCCACCGAACAACATCGACACGGTCAGTCATTGTCTCTATATCTTCATCTCAGATCCTCCCAATTGGATCCTAAACAGGATACGAATTTAGAGAGGAGACAGAAGGACACGTACCATGATGACAGATGGAGACCAAGATGTCGAGGCCGGGGGTGGTTGGAGGTCGTTGCCGTTGGGCGCAGTTCGGGATGAAGTTGAGATCTTTCAGTGCGAGTTGTTTTTTTTGGTGTGGTTGGTCCGGCAGAGCCGCATTGGCTCGCTTAGCAAGCAGGCTTGGAAGTTAGCCCTAAAGTTTGCCCAATCGGGTAATGACCACGACATCGAGATTTCGTAAAATTATTCAACAACCCAAGAAGGGATTAAATAAGGAATGCTGGATCATAGAGACTATAAGGCTGAAAACGGGGATATTTGAGATGTTCATAATGACTGTTCATGAGCTTGTTGTGGTGTGCAAGACACCTACACAGACACAGCGAAAAATAGTGATGGCGATGGTATTTATGGAGGGTAAAAGAAAACTTCTTTCATACATTTGTTGCACTAACGGGCATTAATATACTACTAACTATCAACTATCGCCTACATACATTTGCTCGCATGCCTCTTCCACGTACAGTACGGAGTATAGTCTTCACTATTAACATCATCACCAACCGGCTCCAATAAACCCCAACAAACCCGATTGGAAGTAAGGAAGTAGAAGACAGGAAACTAAAACCACACAAAGAAAACGCAGCCCCTATCTCCAAAAAATAAAATCATAGACCAGGACGGAATCACTTCCTTAAGTCCACCTAGTCGTAAAGCACATCACAAAGACAGAAAATAAAAACATTTATCAAGTCATAATAAATAATAATAATAATCACACACCACACCAACCCACAGAATCCAAAAAGGAATGAAACGACAAGGACAGAGAGACTCATATCAAACCATCGCAAAAGTAAAGAAAAGAAAAATCGCAATCAATAGAGAAAAGAGACAAGACAAGTCACAAAGGAAATAAATTACCGCAAAAAAAAAAAAAAAAATCAAGACTGAATCCCCAGACCCAACACCTCTCCAACCTTCAGTTTCTTCGCCGCAATCTCCTTATCATTCCCATAACTACTACTCTTCCGTTTTTTCAAATTATCGCTTCCCCCCGCCCGATCAACACCGGGCTTCTTAACCTGCCCAAACAACTTACTTTGCAGAATAGAGCTGGACTTGGAAAGATTTGAAGACGTTATACTCGTGGGATTCTCCTGCTCCTGGCTGCTGCTACCACCAGCGACCGGGTAGCGACGGAGCATGCTGGTGGCCAACGAGCTGGCCTGGGAAGCGGGGATGTCCTCATCAGTAACTGCTTCCTCATCTTGTTCGGAGGCGGATATCGTGCTGTCCCGAGAACGGCGATCGCGCTCTTCACGGTTTGAGAGGGAGACGGAATGATTGTGGTGACGAGCGTCTGGAGTGCGCTTGTTGATGGGGGTGAAGAAAAGGCCTTGGGGTTCAACGGCGCGGGAACGCTGCGGGGTTACTGGTAATGAAGATAGAGAGTGGGTTCCACGGGAATGGCCCTGGCCCTGGTGCTTGTAGGAGCGGTTACGTGCTGGAGTTGAATGCACGCTGACATTCTCACCATGTAGAACTTGACCTGCCGCGAGCAGTGCGGCAATCGGATCCTGGCTCCCAACCGTACTGGCATGGCTGCGGGCACTGTCAGGGTATCGGGTCGCTGACGATGTCGCCTTTCTTTGCGGGGTTAGAAATTCGGCCTGGGGACTGGATGCTAATGATCCGTGGTCCAGCATGAGTGTGAAGTGCTCCCGGTTTTCTCGGATACGCTTTTTAAGACGACTGTTTTCTTCACAAAGCAGCTCGTTTTTGTCGGTTTCTTCCTCGATGACCCTTTTGGCCCGACGGAGCCGACGTTCGAGTGTGATGATCACATCCTCGAGCTCCCGGATTCGCTTCAATGTAGCGTCTGATGGTGGGGTTTTGGGAGACAGCTCAGGCGATTTCTCTACGCTGAGACCGCGTCGATGGCGATATTCTACGCTCTGTAAAATCTCGACTTCCCTCCTTGCGAGTTGCTGCTCTACCTCTGCTCGCTTGACCGCTTCGCTACTAGTGAGTGATAAGAGGCTATGTTGGAGCTTGAAATGAGCGGCTGACATGCGGGATTCCTGTGCGAAAATTAGGAGATCCTTTGCGACTTTACGTAGCTGCGCTTCATCTGCATTGTCGATATCCCTCGATGAAGGGAGATCATCTGAAGCTCCATATGCAACACATAGCGTTTGGTCAATGGTATCTGGTGGTGATGCGAGGAAGGGATTGGAATCTGAGCGGGAACGGCGGAAGGGAGTGGCCACATTGGCGACATGTTGCGATGATGGAGGAGGTGTCATGTCGGAGGAAACGGACTTCCGAAGAGGTGACCGCAATTTATCGGGAATGGAGGAATTTTGGTCGATTGCTGGCCGATCCGGAGAGGCAGATAGGGAAGCTCTGGAAAGAATCGGGGTGCTGGGGATTCTGATATCTGCGGGGGATCCCAATGAGCTCTGGGAGGAGCGCTCTGAAGAGCTTTTGGGCTTCATGACCTGAATCAGCCCCACGGGGAGAAGAGAAGAGGAGAATATATATGTGTGAGTCGGATTGATCAGAATTTTGGATAAAAATTTCGGAAAGATCCGCGGGTACAGGTGGTGAATATTTAAGCAGTATTGGTATGTGACGATGATAGAGAGCCACGTCACAGTCGCAACGACAGTAGTATGACGGGCTTTAGCAACTCGGAGCGGAACACGGTAGCCCCGATGTTCAGGTCTCTGCTTTCAGCGGACTAGAAACCAAGGAAACGGAAAAAACTGTGGAACAAGATGCCCAATCAATGACGACGTGTTTAAGAGTCAGGGTATATTTAGATAATTGATAGATGAATCACCACGAAAGTGGCTATAACCTGAAGTGGAAGACTCCTTGGGAAAACAAGGTTGGATAAAGGAGATGGGGCGGGCGAAGTGACAGGATTATCACGATTATTGTGGAAGCAACGGATGCAGCGACCCACTTAAGGTGAAGCAACAGGTGAGACAACGTCGACGACCAGAACTGGAGACGGGAGGAGCACTACGACTAGAAGAAGAAAAGAAAGTGGAGAGTGGAAAGAAACAGGATGGAGATATGTAAACATCAAGAGATTGGATGTTGTTGTTGGTCACAAAAGACGACTTGTCGGAGGTTGGAGATTGGCTTGGAATTGAGCCGCGAGTCAATAATAACGGGTCCCAAAGCGGAAAAGTGAGGAGGCTGGGGTCTTGGCAACCACGAGCCACGCGTAGGTCACGTGGAGTGGATGTCAGATGAGGCTTAGCGTGGGGTTGCCGAACCTTATTATGGACGCTAACCCCCAAATGGCTAGCGGAAACCCTTCTCTGGAAAAACAGTTGATCCCCCTTCTCAAGCATTGTCCTAATAGGGGAAAGTCCAAACAAAAGCTTCAACCTCAAGAGAAGAACCTCAGGGATGAATCTCAGGGAGATGAAGTATGTTCCTTGAATAATCTCAGCTCTCTGAACAATCTTGCTACAAAGACATCTCAGTTTCGGGACGAGTAGAAAAGAAGTTGGAGAGCAGACTGCTTGTTGGAACTAGTGGACCTGGTGGAACCTCTTCCCTTTATATATCTTCAATTAATCAACTACTCCCACCTCTATTAGCTATGCATCTCGTCTTTAGCTATAGTTCACCATCAATCAACCTGTAGATACTTGACTTGGTATACACACGCTTACATATTCCCAAACTATGGACCAGAGTTATTCCACCCCAAAGCGCCCCAGTGGCATTCCACGGCCCATGTCCAGACTCCCACTGCCAACCCATTCAACTACCAAATCCGTCAGACCATCCCCATCTCACGAACGACTGCAGGCCGATCCCGGATTGAACATAGAGCGATTGCGAAGACCGTCACAAGAACTCTTTAAGAAGCCTCCACTTCCTTCCCCCGCAAAGTCTCGAGGAACCCTGCATGACCATGACCATGAAAGCAGAAGCAACCAAACCAGCATTTATTCTCCAACAGACAAGCCATCCAGGCCATCACTCTCCGATCGAACTATCGAAACTATAGCTCAAATCCCCACATCTCCCTCCCCTAGCAAGAAGAGATCTACCTTTTTTGCGCCAGAAAGCCCCATGACACATTTCTCGTGCACAGCTTCTACAATAAACAACCGCCATTCGCGACCGTCCTCACGTCAAGATCAATTGTCTGGACCTGTCCTCCAAAACCCCTCTACTGTACGGACCGTATCCGCCCCGCGGACGCCTTCTAGCACCTCCAGTTTGACCCAACCAGTTCTCAAGAGATCGGTTTCATTGGTTAAAGATTCTCCAAGTCGGCCCTCATCAAATGGTCCAAGTATTGAACCAAACCAAAATAAGACTTCCAAAAGAACATCTCTAGCATCAAAGAAAGAGCCAAAGACAACAACGGCTACTCAACGGACTTCCTTTTACGGAGGAGGCAAAAGCATGGCAATGAGGCATGCCAAAGGGCGACTATCACTAGGTACCTCATTTGCGGACCTACCTAGCAATGAGGGAAGCGCTACCAAGGAACCTATTAAGCCATTTGTACCAAAATCTCGAAAGCCGTCTTCGACACTTTCCTCCAATGTCACCTCCCCCACGTCTTCCACATCAAAAATCTCATCGCGGGCTTCCATGACCTCAGACAGTAATCCATCTGATTTAGCCACGCGGGAACTAGACGCAAAAAAAGCAGCAAAATCTTCAAGTGCTTTGCGAGAAAGTATCGCTAAAGCGAAAGCTGCTAAGAAAGCTGCAAGAGAAGGCTCTGTCAAAAATGGTGTGGTTGACAACAATATGGATCCCGTTGACTTCGGCGATCCTTTTGCCCAGTGGTCCAAAACAGACCCCAATAAACGGGTGTTGAAGAACAGGACTAGTGCAGCAAGGACGTCTGGTCATTTAAATATCGCCGCCATGGGCTTGAGGATGATCCCGGATGAGGTAATGACAATGTATGACTTTGACCTGGAAAGTGAGGGCGAGTGGTATGAGAGCGTTGATCTTATAAAGTTTATTGCAGCGGACAATGAGTTCCAGTCGTTACCGGATTCTCTGTTTCCTGACGTTGACTTCGATACTCTGGAGATGAACGAGGATACTAAAGGTTGTCAATTTTGGGGACTGGAAGTCCTCGATCTTCATGGCAACCTCCTTACTACTTTACCAAATGGATTGCGACGGTTACAGCGGTTGCGTTCCTTAAACCTTGCCCACAACCAACTAGACGCGGAAGCCCTCAACATCATTACGGAAATTGTGTCTCTAATTGACTTGAAATTAGCAAACAATAAACTTCAAGGCAGCCTGACACCTAGTATTTGTTCCCTTTGTAAACTTGAAGTCCTGGATCTTCGCGACAACGCCCTTACTGAACTTCCAGATACCCTAGCCAACCTCTCCTCACTGCGTGTTATTAACGTTGCTGAAAACCAACTAACCTCCCTCCCGTTTGAGGCTCTCACTGCACTACCACTCGTCGAGGTCAATGCCCAGAAGAATTGCCTTCAAGGCCATCTTCTTCCTTCAACAGTTACCCGTTTGAACACGTTACAAATTTTGAATGTAGCAGGAAACCGCTTGGAAAGCCTTTCTCCTGCTGAACACTTAGAGCTACCCAACCTCCAGCAACTGTCAGTAGACGCAAATCGGATCAAGGTGTTGCCAAACATCTCTACTTGGAAATCCATCCTTACTCTAACCGCCGAAGACAATGCCCTCTCTGCCATACCAGACGGCTTTTTAGAACTGGAGAACATTAAAGTCGTCGATTTTACGGGTAACAATATAACAACGCTGGACGAGAAGATCTCCCTGATCGATAGTCTCATTTCCTTCCATATTGCGAACAACCCATTAGTGGAACGCAAATTCCTTACGATGGACACCGATGACCTGAAAAGAGAGCTGCGAAACCGCTGCGAGCCCGATGTGCATGAAGCAGGGGAAGAAAATGGCTCAGTCCAGACAGAATTCACCCTAGCACCGGAAAGCCCTACGCCCCCAAGCGCCTGGCGCGTCAGGTCCGGAGGTGTCCTCGATCGCTCATCCACGGATATCTCTGACCTCGACCCAGCAGACATAGAGCCCCTTCTCTCCTCATCCACAGGAATTAAATGCCTCTACCTCCACCACAACCGCTTCCACAACCTGCCAACAGCAGGCCTCTCCCTAATCGCCCACACACTCACTGACCTCGACCTCTCCCACAATCCCCTCTCCTCCCCGTCTTTCCTAACAGCCCCACTTACCCTCACAAGCCTGCAAAACCTCACGCTCAGCGCCACCGGGCTGACCAGCCTAGAACCGCTCCAAGCCCATCTCTCCGCTCCACTCCTTACTCTCCTCGATGTCTCCAATAACCGCCTAACGGGACCCTTGCCTTTCATCCGGTACAGCTACCCGCAGCTAATCACCTTCCTCGTCCCCGATAATCAAATTGAGAGCTTGGACTTTGATGCCGTGCAGGGCTTGCAGGTGCTTGATGTGAGTAATAATAACATTTCTTCCCTGCCACCGAGGTTGGGTCTTTTGGGCGACACCGAGGGTTCCGGTACTGGCTCTGGGTCTAGACCGGGTGGTAGGGGTGGAGCATGTTTGCGCAGGTTGGATGTGGCGGGGAATAGCTTCCGTGTCCCCCGTTGGCAGGTTGTGTCGAAAGGGACAGAGGCTGTGTTGGAGTGGTTGAAGAATAGGATTACACCGGAGGAGTTGAAGGAGTGGGAGGTTGATGAGGATGAAGTTGATTAAGTTGATTGATTGATTGAGATGTAGGTGTGCTGTTATTTCAAGGTAAGCGAGCGAGGGGAGGTAATGCACCGTCCAAACCAAGGTCATCACTGCTCCATTTCGTGATTTTACTTACTTTGAAACTTCCGTGGACTTTTTTTTACTTCACTTAATCATTTATTTACTCAGGGGGTGCCTTTTCGCTTCGTCTTCTTCCTCGAGTTAATCATGGTATGCTGCCCACAAGAGCTCTTGGTTTATAGCGTGGAGCGATTCTCTATTCCTACCTCTGATATCGATTTTCTTTGAGCCTTTCCTTCTTTTTAATTTTTAATCCGTATTGGCAACTTAGATTTTCCCTTCTGGCATTCTATTATTTTTCTTTTCTCTGTCTTTTTCTGTCTTTTTCTATTCGCTATTGCGATCTCAAGAACTAGACATTTTATTTAACTATTTTGTGTGTGTAGAATAATAAACTGGAAATTAGATCATCAGATCGTTAGAAGTATCATTGAAGATTGTCACCAAATATGGTGGGGTCGAACACATCATAACGATCCTTGCATCCACAGATGACATGAGCAGGTTTGAAAATTGATCCATTTAACCAATTCTTTTCCTCTGTAGCAATAGCAGTAAAAGGTTTTCATCCTTTAACCGCCTCGCCTCTAGATTTCGCAATCTCCTCGACAACCCTCGTCCACGTATCCACCCACTTCGGAAATTTATCGTCACTTGTCGTATTCTGCATGTCTTCTTTCTCTCCACTCCCTCTCCCCTCCTCCTTGGCTAGCACACTGCTTCTGCCATTGGTGCCCAGCGGTGACCGGGCTATATCCGCCGCCGCAATGGCGCATTTGCGGAGCTTCATCATATTCACGACTGCATTGTCGATGTCATGGTCGTACAAGGAGCCAGCCGCTTCGTCCACGAGGTTGGGCAACTCTCGCAAATGTTGGATGAGGCGATCGAGTTGGGAGATTTGCGGTGGTGATAAGGGTGGTTGCTTTTGTTGTGCTAGGTCTTTAGATGTAGAAGAGGACGGAGATGTTTTCTTTTCCAGACGTTGGGATATTATAGCTGGGTATATCTGCGCAATGGGGTTGAGGAGGCGGAGAATATGCGACTTTTCGGACTGGAGGCTTGCAGTAATATCTCCATCATGGCTTTTATCAGTGGCCGCTCCTTTGCCGTGAGACGCGTTCTCATCTTCCATATTCCCCAATTCATCGCTTTCTTCATCATCCCAAAAAGCATCCTCATCGCCCCCTTCTTGTTCGGGATTCCACTCCTCTAGCTCCCTAATCCCGTCCCTCACCAGCTCAAGATACTGCTTCGCCTTCCTCGCTAAAAACTCCACAATTCCCTCCTCCGCAAACGACACCAGCTGGTCGCACGTCTTCCACACTCGTCCCGTCGACGCCATGACTTCCGCCTTCTGCTGCTCTGTCACTGTAACTGTCTCCCACATATCACCACCGACTCCCAAGGAAATCACCTTGACATGCCCTGCCAAACTCCTAAACTCCCTCAGCGCATCTTTAACCAGCAATTTCGCTTCTGCATGAAATGCCTGTGTATATTCTGATGGTGTCGTGAGGAGCGCAGCAGTGACCAGTGAAGGGGAGATGGATTCGTTCACCGTTGACAGGACGGAAATGACGGCAGAGGGAGTAAAAGGGGCGTTTACGGCTAGGAGAGATAGCTTTGTTACTTGAGCTTTGAGGGCTGTGGCGGAGGTGGAAAGGAGAGGGAGGGGCGCGGGGTTTTTGTCTTTGTTGTCACTGGGTTTTGATTTGGAGGGGTGGAGCGGGGATGAGAGACTGGCGCAGAATTGGTCGCTGAGAATGAGGGTTGTTTCGAGGAGGCTGGGGAGTGTTGGCGGCATCTTTTTATTTTCTTGGTTTCCACGGTTATGATGAGAAGAGGTACGGGGGGAAGGGGGTGAAGGGTCTGTAGAGGGTTGGTGAGTTAATTAGATGCTGTCACTTAGTTGAACCTTCGAACTATTAGTTGCTCTACAAATTACTGCCAGCAGCTGGGTATCACGTGTTTTGTCAGGCCCCCTAATTTGCATCTTCCTTGAAAGTCTCATGCATGGGAAAACCTCAGAGTTAGGAGCTGGAAAACGAAGAAAAAATATAAAGTATTCACTAGGAAATCTCTATTTTGTGTCGCAAGCCAAAAAATTCATCAAGTCATATGCTCCCCAAGCAGTCAGATCTCATTCCAGGTTCACCTCAAATTGTCAACTCCAAAATGTTCTAACTATAACTTAATAACTAATTGTGCAGAGTGGGACCCCGCAAAATACAACTTGATGAGCAAATCTAAAATCCAACCGCTTATTCCCTTCGTCTTTCGAATTTGCTATGAACTGTTCAGTTAGCGCATTCCACTTCTTCTCATTCTACTTATTTCGCGGGACATATAGATCTGCGTAAACGCATATAGGAAAATATTCGTGACGCAGGGAGTAACTAGGAAGCGGTTTCCGACTCGGTAGCGTGGCGAATCGGCTGTGAGATGGAGGGGGTAACTAATTGTCAGCAAATGATTGTGCCGGGTATCATTTCGTTTCCGGGGGAAACGATCATTGCACGGGTGTGTCCACGCTCAATAAATGTGTGTTACATATCTAACTCACATTTTCGGTAACTAGATGTTAGTTAGTTGTGATGATCGAAGATGTTTGGACAAACATATTGTACAGCGCTGCAGATACGATCCTTGTTCTAACTGCATTGGAGTTTCGCGAGTTCCAGCCAACCTGGATAGCATGGGCTGTTACATGAGAAAGTATTAATTAGCATTTCAGTATGCCGCTCGGGGAATTCTAGATGTGTGAATCCAAACCTACCATTTGGGTAGCTGTGAAAGTGGCTCTGTCATAATGCCCCACGAAACCCATTTGTTGAGCTTATTGCTATCCACAACATACATGAATATCAAGAAGGGAAGACCCCGTATTTGGCCCACCATGGTTGGAATGGTGAGAGACATAAATTTCTGATATGTACGCCAGTCCTATCACTGTTATCCTGTGGAGCACCTATACATGTAGTTAGTATTATCCAAACAGAATCACGAAGGTCAGTTTCAGTGCACGTACACTTTGTGGAATAGTCAAGAGATTTATTTTGAACGTGTCAAAGCCGATTTTTCTCAATGTCAAGGTAAGAGACATTGCCGGCGTTGTTGAATGGGTAATTATAGTTATCGAAACAAAACTGGCTTGAAGAATAGCTATCTCAGCCCTAATATATAGTTACAGCGGCCATAAATCATAGTCTCCTAAACTTTGAAGCAGTAGTTTTGGCGTAAGTGGTTGCCGATTATGCATACTTCCTTTGCTTGGATCGTCTCTAATAACTCGGTTCACCATAATAACATTTCCTGTATACTTGCACATTTATTTCGTCTACATTGAAAATGTCCCCCTCCGCTGTCGAAGCTCCAGTGATGTTGCTGCTGAAGATGGCAAATCCATCAAGGATGCCGAGTCCCTTGTACCGTGTCGAACATGCTCAGGGTCGAGCCCCTAAAACTCTAGGGCGCGCTGGATCAGTTCGAGTCATTAGATGTGACACTAGTCATTGGCAGGGAGTATAACAATGTCAAGCTGAAGGATTTACTTCGAGCACCAACTTTCAGAGATTTAGCCATGAGTTAGTTCCTAGTGAGTTCACGCAGACTTTTTGCATCGCAAACGGATGGTTGTTGACCTATTTGCTTCAAGTTTCTCAACGCGGTGTGTAATTTGGAGTTTGAAACTTATTAAGAGCTGTATACATTATGCAGCTGGACAGTTATCAGTGATATTAGAAGCGAAGCCAATTATTGCTCCTTCATGTTCATCTATTTCATATTATCCAACTTGTTTCAGGGAGGGCCATCCTGTATTTCCTCTTTAAAATTCAGAAAGGTTCTTGGGCTGGGAGGAAGATATATGAGGAATGCATATGGTTATGTGTATACGTGGGTCTCTTAAGGTCCAAGGAGTTGAAGCCCTCGACATTGAATGCATTTAGATATTTGATACAAGTGGACGTGTTAAAACAAATCGCCAAATTGCCACGAAATCACATGACCTTGTCACTCCAATCAAGTCAAATAACACAATTCCTGTACAACGCCCTCTTGGAGACCACGAACCCCTCGAAGGAAAGGTAACACGATCCATCCATACGGATTTAAGTTGGTGGCAATTTGGGTGATTCGTTTTAAACACGTCCACTGTATCAAACACTGGATACATTTCAGTGTCAAAGGGGCTCCCAGCGATCCAGAGCTTTCCTATTTAGGACTAGTGCTTGCGCATTTTATTTCTCTGCCAACTCTGGACCACGGAGATTTTACAAGCTGCAAACCACAACCACGACATAGGTAGGTTCATATGTGTGCCATACAATATAAACTCCATCCAGAATGCCTACGGACGGCGATTCTCTAATAACACACTCCCTCCTGCCACCTTACACTTTGTCGGAAGACTATGGGAAGTTCGAAGCCCTCCCGCACGGCAAAGTCCGCCGCTCCACCGCCGCAACCCCTACCATTGAAAACCTTCATCGTCGACAATGGCGCATATACCATGAAGGCTGGCTATGCGCCTGATCAACCAAGTGCTGAATCTCTCGATGCGTGCCTGGAGATTCCAAATGCACTAGCTCGAACGCGTGACAGGCGCGTCTACATCGGTGCCCAACTCTCAACGCAGATATCGGACTGGAACGAGGTAACATTCCGACGTCCCGTTGAGAAAGGTTATGTGGTGAGTTGGGAAGCAGAGAAGGAAATTTGGGACCACACTTTTTTTGATGCTGGTACGGCACGCAAGCCGGAGGTGCGTTGTGCAGATCCGGAGAATACGACTTTGGTCTTCACGGAGGCACCGAATGCGATGGCTGCGTTGCAGAAGAATGCTGATGAGATTATTATGGAAGAGTGGGGGTTTGGGGGATATGTGAGATGTATTGGTGGGTAGTTTCCCAATTACCCCATGCACGGTGTTTAAACAACTGCAGACAATTCATATATATTTTAATGTCTACAGGACCAACACTCAATGCCTGGAATGAAGTTCATTCGCTATTCGGAGATCCAGCGACCTCAGATCCGAATTCTAGTGTTTCTCCCATTGAATGCCTTCTCGTCATTGATTCTGGATACTCACATACCACTGTCACGCCCGTCTACAAAGGACGACCGCTCCAGCGTGGTATTAGACGGCTAGAAATTGGTGGGAAATATCTTACGAATTTCCTCAAAGAGCTAGTTTCAATTCGACAGTACAACATGCTTGACGAGACATATATAATAAACGAAGTCAAAGAAACCGTCTGTTTCGTCAGCAATGATTTTACCGCAGACCTAGAACGAACGTGGAAGGGGAACGGGAAACGAAACTCCCACGGGAGTAATGGCGCTGAAGGGATCGTGGTGGACTACGTTCTTCCGGATCCAAATTCACACAAGAAGGGCTTCGTGCGCCCACATGAGAGTGTTCTGTCTGGTAAGAAAAGGAAAGAACTTTTATCAGGCTCCGCACCAGGAATGATGGCCGAAGACCTCTTGGTGCTTGGAAACGAGCGGTTTACTGTGCCTGAAATACTGTTTAACCCAGGAGATATCGGTATGAAACAGTTGGGAATTCCTGAAATCGTGATGCAGTCATTATCTGTGCTTCCAACGGGCTTGCATCCCGCATTTCTGGCAAATATTATGGTTGTCGGGGGAAATTCGCTGATACCGGGTTTTATGGAACGACTGTATGTCATGTATCAATTTTGATAGTATTGTGTTGATGGATGCTGACATGCCTTCTGCAGGGAAACTGAACTCCGGAAACTCGCCTCAACGGAATGCGTTGTGCGTGTTAAAAGGCCAGATGAGTAAGTTCACACCTCCCTCGCTTTCTTTCCCCCCATCATTTTCACAAAAAGACATATATTTCTTGGATGCGATAATTCCCTTTTGCCGAATTTGCTAACCTGCTGTGATGAAATAGCCCCATACGTTCTACCTGGCTAGGAGGATCTAGGTTTGCCAGCAATCGGGAGGCCTTGAAAGAAGTCGCTATAACACGCCAGCAATACCAGGAACATGGCTCTGTCTGGGCGGGAAGAAGGTTTTCTGGGACCTAGAGTACACTTTAATCCGGTTCCGATCGAGAATATATTCATGGCTGAAGATTTAAAATAATTGACTGGATGGGCATTCAACAGATCTCATACCCAACTTTTCTGATGCTGCTGCGCTTAGTGGTGTGGACGCTTTGAGCATTATGCCTGCCGACACGCATGGAGAGACATCCAAGGGATGTTGTATATGATTCGAAAATGGGAGCAGAGTTGATGTATCTCATTGGAGTCGGCATGCATAGCATAAGACAGATTCTCAGAAACTCACTTCGCCTCTGAGGGCGTTGAGGTCTACGTCAGACTCATTGATTGCTAATGGAGCTGTGGAAGTTGCATCACCCCATCAAGAATCAGTTGAGATTGGAATATTATCTTCTTTCCGCCTTCACGCCGTCTTACCAAGTCCAGTCCCGAGGCTCATATCAGAGGCATAATCGTTTTGGCATGTTCTAAAAGGTTTTGCATTCCCTAGGGGCGCTTGGGCTATGAACTGTGATCGCTGCCTTTGAAGAAGTCTCTGTTAGAGCATTAACATGTTTATGTATACCAGGTGCTTCTGCTCTTTCCTCACGAGCAAATACTTCCATCTATGGTACCCGATTCCACCGACTGTGCTATCAACGGGACGTCATGCGCCAAATGCCTGAGCAGTCCTAAGAAGCCACTGACCCGGGTTTGAAAATCCTACCTGCCCAGATACTTGTTGTTTCTGTTTGTTTTATAAGCCTATGTGTAGGAAGTCCGGTAGACCCCTTCTAGTTAGGTTGATCTGTCCAATTTATACCAGCAACCGACTTAACCCTTGAACAATAATACCTAACTGATCCTCAAAGGTCAACCGCATTGCAGCCCCGCAATCTTCAGAGATGTCCCCCATTTGGGAATTCATGCCTCGCTCCCGCCCCCACCGCCGCAATTGTAAATCGGCAGCGTATGTGCCTGGAAGATGGTTATGGTTGGTTCTTATAGTTTGAGAGAGTAGCTCACTGATACATTGTTATGATAGTAGTGTTCTTTCTTTTCCCTCATGTATAAATTGCAACCTACTTTTGCTTCTTAAAATCTGCATTCTGCATCTATGCTGCATCTATGTTTAACTACATAGTCCTCAGAATCTGTTGATAATCTCTCGAATTATTAGTCCTAGAATCTCAAAAAGAAAGGATTTCGTCCATCACCCTGACATCCTCATGAATTTCCCAAGAGACCGTCTCCCATTATATGCGCGAGAAATTTGCCATTTCGTTTACCTGAACATATTCCACTGTCTTCATGAGGCATGCCTCTCGTCAGCGGTTCTCCTAGCCAACATCAACCGGATACGCCCCCAGCAGGTTTAATTCGGAAATTACTTCAGTAACTAACTGTAGGGCGAGCAGCCTTCCCAACCAATCGATTTGGATGAAATTCCTCCATCTGTCGTCAATTCAAAATGTCTTTTGTTTTTCTCCATCCTAAAGCCGTAGATTTCTTAATTTTCGTTTCTAAATATCTACGGAGAGCTTTCATGGGTCAATCTCGTCAACAGCACCGAATATCTGGTGATTGCAAACTTATGGGGAATTGTATGACAAGAGAAGTGTCTCCTGCACCACATTCTTCCACTTCAACTAGAGCACAGACATTGAAGCTGTCGCGGATTCACGTCTCCGGATGGAGCACATTGCAAGCAACCCTTCTGTCAAGACTCAGATGGATCAGCTCTGCAGTCGTTTGTGTCTCCCCAGAGCTGCTTTTTTTTTTTTTTTTTTTTTCTTTTTCTTTTCTTCTTTTCTCTCCCGCAACCGCCCGTCAAGTGTCGGTGGAACTGTGCCGTGGCAATTGGGGAATATTTTTAGTTTGTATTTGCGGGGCTAGAAGAAACTAGGCTTTGCGATAACTAGTTATTGGTTCGTTTTGGAAAACTAATGGCGACCCCTGAATGGTTCATCGGACGCAATTCTGCATCAACGGCCCACCAGAAATAAATATAAAACAAAATACGGGTGCTATTCTTGTTCACCTTGATGCCCGTACGAGGATAGCTCGGGCAGTCAATTCCTCCAAACATCTAACCTTGGTTCTAACCCTTGAGCCCCAAATGAAGAGGGTTTTCCACAATGAACTTCAGCTCTCATTTACCGTTGGAACGGAGCTCCCAGGCTGGGAGTTTCACAATCCAAGCGTCCTTTTTTGGAGCTCTGGCATTAGAAGGTGGACAAAGAGAATATAGAAATGGGCACCTGTCTCCCTTTTTTTTTCTTTTCCTTTTCTTATAATGTTATCTTCCTGTTGTTGATCGTTTTGAAGGAATGTCATAAGACTCTTTAACTGCTGTCCATTCAAAGCAGAAATAGTTAAGGCATTGGGAGCAAGTCATTAGTTATAGTTACAAGTCAACTCCAGCTATAAAAAATGCGGGGAGAAAACCCTAAGCTTTTTTTTTTTTTTTACTATGTAACTAACTAGTTGATTAAATCGCATCGTCCCATTGAGCCCCCAGTTAAAGTCCGCGCAGAATTAGTTAGGGTTGTGCCCAACTCCGCCTTGTCTCGTCCATTATTTCTCGCGGGCTAATTATCTATTTCTTATAGTCCAGCCACTCGTTAACTAATTATCAGTCAACTAACGCCCCCCAGCCCAATGGGGTCGCATAGCCTGGCCGCACTGACAAGGACGCCCTATCAATCAGCCCCGCCATGCATCGTCTCGTCGACCAGGGCTACAAACACTTCCACCGGTGGGTGCCATGTGTCTCCTGCACAGCCAGCCAGGAACTTGTTCACTGGTCAATAGTAAACGACAAATAATAACTAGTTACCTCTTGTGGCCAGAGCACGGGTTGTAGTTGGTGCGGCTCAAAACCCGATTTCTTTGTATCTTCGAGAACGCGGCCCTGCCCGGAGCTGTTGTTTTATCTTCGATCATTGATTGTCAAAAGTCAGGCTTCCCTCTTTTCCCCTGAATAAGGCGCCTGTTTCATCATCTCTTTGAAATGATTGTTGGGCGTCGGGACTAGTTATTTAGCCCTGCTTGTTCCAACGATAAAAAACCGTCTGAACATCTGCTCATTTTTGCGGGCAACTGCACACTTTCCATACGGCAACCTTCGGGCGTCCGAAAACCCAAGATTTTAACCGCCGTCTTCCCTCCACCGCTGTCAGCTCCCTGACCATGATTTGAGTATAATCTTTTACCACCTCGTCACTTTTATTTTGTTCGTTAACTTAGTTATCGGCGTGGCCTGCTTTTATTTATATGCGAGGGTTTCTTCCTTTGGAGTGCTACTGGCCATGACGACCGCTGCCCCTCCCAGAACAGAACCAAACCCCATTTCATGCGCCTGCAAGCTGGAAAACAGCTCTCTTAAACTTGCAGAATGGCCCCAGCTGGTGGGGCTAGCTGAGTTGGACCAGAGGGCTGATCAGCTTGAGCCTCTCCACTGGCTTGTTCATCCATGTCCTGCGGAACTCAAAGTCACGCCCGAAACCCTCTGTCCAGATGTCGCTACCATCGTAAATCAGTCTTTGTCGATTGATCTGTATAAGCCAAGCGCTCCTCCTTCCACAGATGGTGCCTCAGATGTCGGTCTGTCTGGAGATCGAAAATCTGTTGTGTCTGTATCGCAAAGCAGGCCGCAGAATGGCTCCACTTCGCAGCTCCCGCGCCTCTCGTCCGTCAACAATTCTGATGGAACCCGGTCGCCTTCAAAGTTTTCGCTGGACTCAGCGACTATTAAACGGCCCTTAGGTTGGATTACCGGTAAGACACCGAATCCTTCAAAGGGGCTCAGGGATAAATTAAGGGAGCGTAATACATTTAAGTAAGTCGCAGAGAATATTTTCTTATACACTTGGGGAAATCCCACATCTCTCTGTGATTATTCGCTTGTCAATTAGCTGACATGCAGCCATTAGGGAATGCTCGAGCTGTCTTGACGATATATTGGATAAAAACCTCCTCGGCCTGACTTGCCAACACAAGTATTGCTTGAAATGCTTTCTCCAACTCATCACCACTGCCATGAAGACTGAGAGGCTTTTCCCTCCAAAATGTTGTCTAGAGGAGATACCATCGAAGATGGTACTCGATAACCTGGGCTCCTCTCTAAGAGAAGCCTATAAACTGAAGACGCAGGAATTTGCTACTCCTGAACGAGATCGATGGTATTGTCCCTCGTCAACCTGTGGCAGATGGATCCCCTTGAGCAAATTCAAAAAGAGCCTGAAATCCGTTCAGAAGACCTGCCCGTATTGCCGCGTAAAGGTATGCAGCCTCTGTCGAGGTCTAGCTCATAACAATCTGGATGACTGCCCTCAAGATCATGGGTTGGAAGCTACTCTCGAAGAAGCTGAGAATCACGGCTGGAAAAGGTGTTACAACTGCCACTCCATGGTTGAACTGACTGCCGGCTGCCGGCATATCACCTGTAAATGTGGATCTGAGTTCTGGTAAAGACTCAATACTTTTCTATAATAATTTTTCAACCCAATTTCTTAATAGATTTTTCCCCCCTACAGTTATTCTTTATAAATATCTGACACCTTGTGTTCAGCTACACATGTGGAGCTCGATGGCACACCTGTGCCTGCACGGAAGACGACCAACGTCGCAGGCAAAATGAGATCGAGGCTCGGCGGCAAGAAAGGAACCAGGCAGCTGAAATCGAGGCAGCTGAATTGGCCGCAGCACTTGCTGAGATTGAACGCTTGGAGCGCCAGGAAGCTTTGGAAAGAGAACGATTGGAAAAAGAGCAACGTCAGCGCGAAGAGATGGAGGCCCGCGATAAGGAGATGAAACGAATGATGTATATTTCCGAGAGAGTACGGGGTCTTCGAACAGCACTATCTGCCCTTAACAAGTCCCAGCAGTGCAGACTGAATGAGAGGCATGAAAAGGCTGCGTTCGACCTCCTAGGCAAAACCAGAGCGGACACTTCCGAATTCGAACAGCAACGGGAAAAACTCATGAACGGTCTGCGATTGAACCAGAAGCAACGTAAGGATCAACTGTTAGTTTCACAAACGGCAGAACTCGAGAGCATGACTTTGCGTCACGAAGAAGAGGAGGACGAAACATTTGTGACAATATCCCGCTATCTAAAGGGGAAACCCAACCGCGAGAGCAGGGAGAAATCAATTATCGACAAGCTTAAAATCAGCCAGGGAAATGAGCGCCAATCCATCGAAAAAAATCACCAGGCCGCAAAACTCGAGTTGGAACAGATGAATGACCTAGAAGCAAAAGCCCTTGAAGAAGGACTGAAACCCAACAACCACTCAACGCAAGAAGAAAAGCTTGAGATGGTCTTCAAGCTGTCACTGATGATTATCGCTGACCGCTGCTGGTTCAGTTCCGTCGTGAAGACCCGCTGGCGGATGCTCGAGCAATATAGGTATAGAATGATAGATGCCGGTGCGGACATTGAGGAGCTACCTGCTATCGAGATCGTGCCGAAATATTTTGAGCTTTCGGCGGACTCGGCCGTTGTAGGCGCAAACGTTCCATGCATTCATACCCCTGCATCTACATCTGCTCCATTACACCCTGTATCTCCTGGGGTTCCCGGGTCGCTGCCAGTGAAGACTGTCACTTCGACAGGGCATAGACGAACGTTTTCGCGGCTGGTGAGTCAGTCGCCGTTTGCGTCTCTTTCGGGATGAAAGGCAATCTCTGAGAAACAACATCATAGGTATTTTTTTATTCTTCGGTATTTTCTTGTTGATAGCGAGTTTTGTGATTGGGTAACATTTATAGCGCTTTGATGTATGTTTTGAGATTTATGTTTTGCTTGGTTTGTTGATTTCTGCATTGCATTTTGGACCACCCCCCCCCCTTTTTTTTTTTTTTTGCTCGTTACTATATCTACGTGGAGTCTTGTCATCAACGTAAGCAAATACCTCCAGTATCTGAAGTTGAACAGTGTTTATAAGGAGATGCATGACACTTACTTGAATTTTCGATGATCACATAGGTCAACGACAGGCTACACCAGTCGCGTACAAGCACCCTGTGCTTAGTTATACATTCAAACACATCTGCCATCTGTTTCCAATATGTCTTCTTGGTCAATGTCCTATATACATTTCTTGTCTCATTTACATTTTTTCTTCATTGCCCTGTCTTTAGGTTTTACATTCCTCTCAAATGTTATTAGCAATTTAGTTTCGTGATATCCCTGGGGATGTGTTAAAGAGACCCAACTCCTTATATAACCCAGTTTTTGGCGTTGGTCATTCTTGATCTACACCGATCTTTTTTGATTCCTCCTTTACGCTAGTCTGTGGGAAGGCCGAGAATAAATTTCTTCCTTTCAACGAGCCGTTTCTATAACTACGGGACAGAGGGCTGAAGACAACACAACGCACAAACCGTATTAAACACACAACACACTTTCAATTATCCAGGACTCTTTCAAAATCGTCCGTCATAACCTAAACGCAAGAGATGTCAAACCAATTTCTTCCATTGTCTATGGAAACTAAAGTCAAGGGAATGTACGTACCTAGGTAGTTACTATGGCATCTAAATTCTTCCGCTGGTGAAGTAAAGGGATATAGATGTTGACTGACATGCGAAATTATAGAGACTCCTGAACACAATGGATTCGTCTAAGAAACCTAAGGCGAAGGGCGACACTCCAGAGGCTCCTCGCAGAAGACTATCGGAACGCCGCAGTGCCGGCCCACGCATCAACTACAACGTCCGGGAGTACTACAAAGGCATAAACTTCAATGATAAATTGAAGGTCCCACGTGCAGATCCTCACTCGCAGCCAGGAGGCATTTCAGAAGCCCGCTCGTCTGAAAGTAGTGGCCATATCGCCGCTCCGCCTCAACCCCAACATTCAATGTTGACATCACCAACCAAGCCCCCATCGCCTGAGCTGTTGTGGGATACATGCCTGGAGTGTGTTGAAGTATTCTCCAAGTGCTCCAGAGCCAATAAATGTAAAGTCTATTCGGCCGGGGAGAAATGCCATTCTTGTATGGAGAGAGACAAAATGTGTTTAAAGGTTTGCTCAAACTGCACAAACAACTTTCCCGCTGGTTCTGTTTTTGCTTCCTATTTCCATCTCCCTATTCTTTTATTTCACTCGTTGGTGCTAAACGCCCAATCTCCTTTTCCAGCAAGGGCAAGTAAGCACAGAAGAAGAAAAGTTACTAAATCCATCTCCCTGTCCCATTTTCAGATTCCACGAAATCTCATCCCACGCGTCTCAAAGCTACAGAGCATCACTACCCGAATTGGCTACCTGGAAAGGGAAGATTCACCCTGGGACTTGCTCGAAATAAAAAATCTGAAAAGTGCTCTAGGTGAAGAGCATGGTAAATTTAGTGAAGATTTGAGAAAACACTTCGAGAATATGGGAACAGAAGTTTTACCATCATCTCCTAAGTCCAATTCAGTTCGTCCTAACAGAAACGTAACGCCTACTGTTACAACTTCTGTACACACTGCCAGCCCACGAAATGGGATCTCTATTAAACCGGATGGCAACGCCGCTTTCAGTATTACTGCGGGTACTATTAAGCCAGATCCCGAAGACTCCACTCCCACCAGAATGGATAAAAGCGGCACTAGGGCTGCTCTAGCTACGCACACTGCTTCTGTGAAGACTCTCTTTCCAAAACTGACGTCTACATTCCCGGAGATAGCAAACCGCTTGTTCAACGGAGACTTAGGTGCAGATACTTCGTATGGGTTTTCAATACCTAAAAACAACAATGGTGCTGAGTATTCACGCCCAACCAGCAGCAAGGAACCCACTGCAACGGCTCATTCTGAAAGTGGTTATCGAGTTGCAGCTGTCCAAGCAAATGCGGCCAGCTTTGCTGCGGCACGAATCCCTGACGAACGGACAGGAAGCAGCATTTGGGCATCTAGTACTAATCCCAGCGCTGAAACCCCTGATGTTCTCCCTCAGTTGCTGACAGTGCTGGGATCAATCGACAATAATCTAGCGCGGATTGTTCATGCCATGGAAGTAAAGAAGAATGGAGGTAGAAGTGTCAGGAATGAGTTGTATTGGGAGTGATTGATGGCTGGAAAAAGGGGGGGAAGGGGTTTTGTATCGGGGTCTAGTGGTCGATGGACTGTTATCATTGTCAGTAGTTTGGAGAGTTTGAAGATGTATTAATGAATGAGATGAATGTACTCCGATTTTTTAATCTTAACTACCATAAAGGAGCTACAGTGGGGTGGTGGATACATTCTGGAAATACGGAAATAAAGAGTACCTTGTCTCACAGTGGCCAGTAGAATACCCTTCAGACGGATATTTAGCATCAAGGGAAATAAATAAAACATGATCCCAGATATACAGTTTACCTTTCTCTATATATGTGCAAAGTAGAATACATGTGCTCGACCAAGGAAAAGAGGCCGTTCCACGGGGTTATTTCCAATTCGTAAACCGATCAAAGGATTTATCTCACGAGATATTTTCCCCTGCAGTTTCGTCAATCAATCAATAGTCGTAGAAGCCCTTTGAGCTCTTCTTGCCAACCCAGCCAGCATCGACCATCTTCTTCAACAATCCGGCAGGCCGATACTTGCTATCTCCTGTCTCCGTATGCAGGACATTCATGATGGCCAAGCAGGTATCGAGACCAATGAAATCCGCCAGTGTCAGGGGTCCCATAGGAACATTAGTTCCATACTTCATAATGCTATCGATATCCTCCCTTGTTCCGACACCATTCTCAAGACACATGATAGCCTCATTGATATAAGGCATCAGGATACGATTGGCCAGGAAACCGGGGGAATCTGTGGAGCGGGCGGGGATCTTGCCCATGCGCTTGACAAACTCAATGGCTGTGTCGATGGTGTCTTGGGATGTTTGCAAGCCTGTGATAATCTCGACGCCTTTCTGGACGGGGACGGGGTTCATAAAATGGGTGGAGATGACACGGGAGGAGGCAGAGAGGTCTGTGGGGTTTTTGGTGGTGGAGGCAGCGATCTTTGTGATGGAGATGGAGGAGGTGTTTGTGGCGAGGATGGCATGGGACGGGGCTATTTCTGCTAGCTGGGAGAAGATGGAGGACTTTAGGTCTGGAATTTCGGGCACTGCTTCGATTATGAAGTCCACATCGGAGATGTCTGAGAGGTTCGTGCTGGGAGTGATCATGGAGCGGACTTGGGCAGCATGAGTTTTGGTTATGCGCTCTTTGGCAACGTCCTTTTCGAGAAGTTTGTCTGCAGTTTGCATTGGGAGGAATTAGGTTCTCAATTCGCGTTTAAGGTCATGCAACTCTTCTCTCTTTTCGCTTTTTTTTCTTTATATATATATATATATATAAATAAAAATTGGTGGGTTCATACTGGCGAACTCCATGCCCTTGTCAAGGGAGGCTTGAGAGTTATCTATCAGGGTAACTGGGACGCCAGCCTTTTGAGCTGCAACAAGTGCAATTCCAAGTCCCTGTTTATAAATGTATTAGCATCTAGTTGCCTAATGGCAACGAAATGATGAAGGTGTCTCTAGAGTACCATCTGTCCTGCGCCGATGACACCCAGTTTTTTCACTTCCGCAGCTGCTTGAACAATGGGGGATGTGCTGAAGGACCTTGAGGCCATTGAAGGAACCCCATTGGCAAGGCGCCGCCCTACAGTAATGCGGAACATTGTGTTAAAAGGGCTTGGATGTTATATCGAATGGCACTTCACAAAGATACTGGTTCGGATGTTCGTCGTTGAAGTTCAAATTGTTCCGCGTACAAAATCCTCGCTCGGCGGCCTGTAAATGCACGTGATAGGATAGCATCTTCGGCTGAAAATCGGCTATTCTCGGACTGAGGAGGATCTATAATTCCGGGGAGAAATTGGTCAGACGCGTTCAGAAACGCGTCTGACCAATCGCGACGATTGTTTGGGCGACTTTTTCAATTAAGCAACTTTCGACAATCAACAGCATCATGAATCATGAATATATGACATGACCATGACCATGACCATGACTTCATCCATATTATATTAAGTACAGCAGCAATTCCAATATGAAGTTAGAACCCGCCCAGCCGGTGCAGGTGGTGGACCCTGAAGTCAGAGCTTATGTCTACAGCCTAATAACTGCGGTACGTCTACATCCCCATCTCAACTATTCTGTCCCAAACACACCTACAACCGCTCAATTTTGAACACTAATGTTTCGTATATATCCATATGAATAGCTTGGGGGATCCGGCAGCAGTGATACAGGACAATATGTTCTAGGAGACGATGCCCTCGCCTGTTTGCGCGATCTCAAAAAATGGCTGAAGTTTTACGACGAGAAAGCCAATCGCATGGATGTGGCCAGGTGTTTGGCCGAAGCAAACCTAGTAAACAGAGACTTAATTCCCATTCTTAAACTTTACGGAAATTTTGCACCTTACGGCAAACAAATGTCTCGAATTGCTTTGGCATGCTGTGAGGATTAGAGTCTTCTCCACCCCAAGTTTGATATTCGATGGAGGATGCTGACATATATAATATATATGTATATTAGTGGAGTTGCTTGTTCCTCTAACATGGCCACTCGAGATCCATAGCCAGATGACAGTAAACCACCATAGGCATATCCCTTATTTGCAACATTCTCAGGTTTTGTACAAGCGCGGGATTCTTGGGAATGATACCACAGCCCTCCTTCGGAAGATCATCCACATCGCATTGCCAAGCATGACCACTGCCCGATCGGATCGTTCCTCCCGAGATGAGGGAATCCTGAAACTAATGTTATATCTCTTTCGAAATCTTGCCGTAATAACGCCCGCTCCACATCTAGCTACGGAGGGCGACGAGGAGGAAGCCTCAAAATCTGCCACAATAAACGCCTTCCAACAACAGGACGTGTTTGCACTTTTGTTGACAATGTGTTCGAATATGGGAAATGATTTTAATTTCCAAGATGTGATTATTTTGGAAATTATATTCCATATTATTAAGGGAGTTGATGTAAAGAAGCTATTCATGGACAAAGCACAAAGGAGTGTTGCGGGGACGGACGACCTTGAAGTTGTCCTGGACAAGGAGTCTCATTTAAAACGGGAATATTCCAAAACAGCCCCAACAAGACACGGTCGATTTGGAACTATGATTTGGGTTAAACGAGACGATGAAAAAATCTCAACGCTTTCCGGCCAGGATATGCTCAAGGACGATTGGACAACGATGATGAAAATGGATAAGACAAAAAGATGGAACAAACCCAAGCACAAAAAAGGGGTTGTTGATTTGTCAGTCAATAACTTTAATATTTCAACCCCTTTGACTTCGTCGGCGACTGAGCATTTACGAACCTTTGTTGAAGAGTTTTTGGATTCTGGTTTCAACCCACTTTTCTCAAACCTCCGCAAAGCCATTGAGCGCGAGGCTGACCGTGTTACTGAGTTCACCCCGCGTCAATTCTTCTATACAATAGCCTGGTTTCTCGAGGCTGAGAGATTTCGACGTTCCCGCAAGCAAGAAATTCGACAGCAAAATAAAAATGTCACGCGGGATATCGAACCAGATAGTTTCCAGCTTGTTGCTGGAGTACTAAACCAAGAAACGTTTATCGCTTTAAGCAGGCACATGCAAAACTGCTTGGATTACAAGGATTGGCAGGACCTGAATGCCAGCATGCTATGTTTTACACAAATTCTTCTAACAGTCCAGGATATGTTTCATTCTAGTATCAGTGAGGACCAAGATATTGCAGAGAATATTTTAAACAGAATATTCTACGAAGAAACGACACATGACAGGATATTGGCAATATTAAAAGGCTACGAAGGCCAGGGTTTTTGGTATTTGGATGCATGCACTGAAGTAGCCCACGTTTTCCTTCGATTATTGGAACAGTACTCAAAACAGAATGGGCATATGCAGATTCGATCCCGCAGACGAGCCAGACGGAAACAGCGTAAGGAAGCTGCCTCGAATCCAGAAAACCCCGAAGCGGACAATAACTCAGAGTCTGAGGAAGAAGACACGGCCGTGGCGGACGCATCTAAAACGATAGTTGAAAGAGCTTTTGACTTCCAACGTTTTGCTGCCAAATTCTGTACCCAGAAGTCGGTGAACACATTCCTCGCGTTAACCTCCTATTACAGGGAGCTCAACGACAGCCAACTGAAAAGGGCACATCGATTTTTCTACCGCGTGGCATTCAAGCATGAGCTAAGTGTTTTGCTCTTCCGTGTGGATATCATTTCTCTGTTTTACAGAATGATCAAGGGGCCCGGAGGTCTTGATACGACCAAGCCGAGTTTTGCTGAGTGGGAAGAATTCGTTCGACGAATCATCAGGAAGCTCGTGAAGAAGATTGGAGAGCGGCCGGAACTTGTTACCGAAATGCTATTTAGCAAAATTAACGCCACAGTCTATTATCTGGAATACGGACACGAGAAACAGACGTTGTCTGAATCACAGGCGGCGGCTGAATTGGAGGTGAAACCTAATGCTGCCTCGACTCTATTTGACAGAATAGAGATTGTTGTGGCAGCACTTTGTCTGGAAGGAAAGCGGAATCTAATACAATGGCTGGTTAAAACTCTTGAATGTGCAGTGAACGAAAGAAGGAGCTGGGAGCTTGAAGCTGAAGCTAGACAGGCTGAATCTGGCGAGGGACAAACCGCCAATCCCCCTTCCATAAGTATGTACAGTGAAATCCTCTTGGAAATTCAAGTTCAGTCTAACCATTTTGCCAGCTGTTATACCCCATGATGATGCGTGTCGTAATGCCATGTTCAAAAACGGCCACCTTCGGCTTCTTATGACATTGGCTGGGCTTGAAAGACTTGGTGTCGAAGACATAATCGACACCTCGTGGATTGTCCCATCCTCATTATCCGCTGAAACTCTAGAAGAAACCCAAAAATCAATCGAGAAGAATCTTGAAAACCCGCCTACCGAGTTCAACGGTTTAAACCCGAGCGACTTGTTACGTCGCAAACGAGACGTTAATCCCAGGAAATCATCTGATGAACGAGGACCCGGTGATGTCGATTTCGGCAACGACTCAGAAGGGGAGGACGATATTGATGGCATTCTATTCGCACCAAATCTTCGCACCCGGACCGACACACTAGATGAACTCAAAAAGAAACGACTTAAACGAGGGAAGCAGAGGAGGGGGCAAGAGGGTGATGATCCTGATGATGCGGTATTGGAGGCGCGTCGCCTAGCGCGTGAGGCTAATGCATTGGAGCGTCAAAGGAAAATCAAAAGTAGTTTATATATCCATGCTAGCGACGAGGAGTCGGATGAAGAAGCCGACAAAGAATTCTTCGCCCGGGAGGAGGAAAGGCGGAAAGCCCAGGCTAAGCGCGTCAGAGAGGCTTTATCAACTGGCAGGGTTGCTAAAAGTGATGGTGATGATTCAATCAGACCGAAATCTTCCAGTAAAGGACGGAAACGGAAGAGCGCGGCAAATGACGGCCAAAGGGGAAAGCGACGACGAAGCAATCCGCTGTCTGACGACAGTGATGGAGACAATGCCAGTGACAATGAAGACGATAGCTTGATGGCTGTGCAAGAAGCATCGTCGCCATCCGAGTCTGTGTCTGCATCAGCATCAGCATCAATACCTCGACCGGGTCGAACGAGCGAAAATACCACTCCCCCAACCTCAACAGGCCGTGATCCGAGAGACGAAATGAACGACGACTACTTTGAAATTAACCCGTTTTCCTTCAGCAGTATAGAGAATAATGGCAAAGCGGCTGAAGGTAATGCTGATGACAAGGATGAAGAGGATGAGGCGATCCAGAAGCCCCGTCGAGAACCGCGTAGATATTGCGGGTTTATTATTGATAGTGATTCCGAGTCAGAGGTTGGCGGTTAGGATCTCCATATCTCTCCATATCTCTCATTTTCCCTTCGCTGTATGGCGTGTGTGATACCCGGTTTCATTCTATTATGGCTGCAACCTAATTTTCAACAACGGATTTTGGTCTTCCCCTGGCAAGCAGGGCTATTCGTTTTAGCATGGTAGTGGCAGGACGCGTTCCATTGTATGTACGTATTTTGTTCCTCTGGGGAAGAGGATTTGTTTCAGCGTCAAACTAGCGGTTTTTAAACAAGGGCCGCTACGGTCATTTGGAATTAATTCTTCCAGAGTCGTACAGATATTTTTGTGTTTCCTCAGCCCCAGAATATTTTCCACGCATATTTTATCTAAAGTCTCAACTGGCTGGTCTTGAGCGCTTCGTTGGTGTTTTCGTATATTCATAATCCATCCATCTCCAAGGATTGCAGATATTACGGGAGTTTCACCCCACATTTCACGTTGGATGGCTCGAGTTCGAGTTCGAGTTCGAGTTCGTCCGATGCGCACTCATGATTCTGTCCAGAAGAATCTGTCACTCAATAACATCGAAGTGGCGCCTTACGGAGTTCACATTTTTTTGATGTTCCTCAAAAGAAACCTGAAAACGAAAGGCAAATTAAGACGAGGAAACAAACAAGAAAACATATATATGTTCACGGCATCCCCCTGTATGGGAATCCTTTAGCTGTCGTCTTCCTCTCCTTCACCACCCCGATCACCCAAGCCCAGAAGCAAGTAATCGCGCAAATTTAACTACGGTGAGAACCATCGCCATCCATTCGGCCAGGGGGTTCCCAAAAGTCCCGCACCATCGACATCGCATGGGGAGCTCCCGTTCGCGGGCTACCTGACAGTCGGCTCAGCGTCATGGCTACTTTCTTACATTCCAAGTTGGGTAATTATAACGAATATGCTGCCATCTGCAGTGACTAGCAAAGCTGGATATATCCCAATCTCCATATACCCAGGGGATCTCCGCATAATTTCCGCATTAATTCCGCATAACGTTCACATACATAAGAGCAGACTCCCATTAACAGAATTGTTCAAAATGCATCCAACAGAGAAACTGTCTCTGGATGCCAGTGCACATAGCAGTGGTTTTCCTATCGTCTCTATTGTCAACGGCATGACGGTGCATATCCGGTTTTCCCAGTTTGGAAGCATTGGCTGGCAGCCGCAACAACGGCTAGCGGTGGAGCAAACACAGATGCAGGAGGTTATTTTGGCCCTGGCTGGGATGATAGATGACTATTCAGGTGTAATTCCATGTAAGAGGTGTGTGGGATGAGGCGAGAAAGAAGAAAGAAGTCTGTAGCTGGATGTTTGTGAGCGATATGATATTGAGGATCTGGCAAGGGGTAGTGAACGTGTCCGAGGCTGGTATATGGAAAATGTATCATTGTGAAATGCACAGCTATTACTGTTTAACTCCTCATTGCATACTACAAACCTGTGAATATCCCTTATGCATTTTTATGTGTTTTTGTTTTTGTTTTTGTTTATTTTTGTTTTATCTGTTATTTATGCTGTTTATGCAGTGGAAGTGAATGAGGCCAAACACACTTCCTAAAGGGGTAATATGCAACTCCCATCTTAGAAACACTTCTTCACCTTCACAGCTTCATTTACTTGCTTCAATTCACTTCATCTCTTTTATATTCATCTGCTTTGTCTTTTTTATAAGTGAACATCCTTGGTCAGTGACTACATTTGCAGCAGCATTGATTTCTCTTTTATGTCTGTATTAACAGTCCGGCTATTACAGAGTCCTCTACTGCTTCCCCAGCCATCGGGACTTTATAATCAAACCTGCATCCACAATTCCCCAACAACATACTTATATATCTCTTCGAGGACATGCATCCCATATATCAAGGCCAAATAAACATGTCACTGGCACCGTATCCTACCCCGTCTCCTCACGTATACCCGTCACCGCATGACGTCAACATCGACGCGGCTTCCCAGTATAGCCGGCGGAAAACATCGCTGACAAAGTCCCTTCAAACCTTTGCAAAGAATACATTTCATCGCAGACATCGTCATACAAACACTGGGGATTCAAGCCACAGCACCACACCAGCAACGTCGTTCACAAGCAGTTGGTGTTCCACAAGCCCTGGAGCATCACAGTCGAGGTCCGAAGAGGTTATGGAGCGCGTAACGCCCGTGCTGCGAAAGCTATCATTAACATTGGGGGGAACTTCACAGGACCAAATTCAAAAGCCGAAAGAAATAGCGGGATCAATTCAGGCGGGACAAAAGCCCCGTTTGGGCAGAAGAGATGGGTTCATGGACCTCCAGAAACCACCAGCACCTGTAAATTCATGCATTTCTTATGAAGAGAACGGATCTGAGCGAGGTCAGACAAATGGAGGGCAACAAAGAAGTGTGCAGTATGCCAATACAAAGGACGGAAGGGCACCTTCTCAGGTGTCACGAATTCCGTTGCCTAGTCCCCAACCCGACGGATACTCCAGAAGAAGACATACGAATGCAGGTCTTGTGTTTCCGAAGTCAACCACATTCTCTTCACTCAGTAGTTTAAAGCAGGGATACTCTCTATCTCGCAGCCAATCACTATTATCCAAAAATAATAAGGGTTCATGCAGACAGCCCGAGCTGCTGCACCAACAACAAATGGGGGCAATGGCACAGAAATTAGAGACAGCACATACAGCAATCGCCAACAAACCCTCACCTGAGTCATTCGGGCCACGGCAATATCTTACCCCCCAACAACATTCACATGTGGTTCCTAAAGGTAGTTCGTTGACAAAAAGTCGGACAACCATAAACTTGACGTCATATGCTAGACCTCATGACTTTTTTGAGCCAGCTGAAAGTTTCATTAATCACTATCAGAGGATATCCCATAGCAAGCACAATATAGTTAACGATTGCGGTCACAATGGATCGCCGCGGGGTCTAAGAAATCACTATAACCCACAAAATGCTGGCGTCAAGGATGTCCATTGCTCAAATGCACAGAAGCCAGGGAGCCTGAAAGAGCAGAGCCCAATGGAACTCCCCTCTCCGTGTTCACCACCCGAGAGTGACAGCGACATCAGGAAAGTAAGTTCGTTAGAAACTTTCCTTCCCAGGATGATATATACCTTCTACCACTCCATATACCATACTAACACCGGAACTCCTGCTGTGCGGGTAGGTCACCACTGCCAAACCCCACCAGTACTGGTTAGGGCGCTTCTCTACGCTCACCAATGGTTTCCACTACGAAGATTCCTTTCGACAAGAATCAGACGCTGTCACAGGCTTTGACGCATCCGAACCATACTACATCAGCTCATCATCCACGGCAACTTTGGACGATCAACGAGCCAAACGAGCGTTCGTATTTCTCGAAAACGCCTGCACGACTGCAGAGGCACGAGGAAGCTTTCTGGAGTTTAGATATGAGTATTCGAAACGCTGTGGCGATCGGTGGTCGAAGTGGTTTGCTGCTGACCAGAATGTTACATGTAAAAAGAGGTACGGCGGCAGCACGTCGGACTTGAGTGATGAGACATTGATTTCTGTGGGCGAGGTTACCGATATGGAACGGAAGAGCAATAATAATGGCGCTCCGAGAGGCAGGGGGACAGAGATTGGAGGGATTGGTCTGATAAATATGTTTAGGACGGTTCGGAGGAGTTTGGTTTGAGATCGGTGGATGATTTTCTTCTTTCTTATGGTCTTTCTGGTGATGAAATATCCTATTCGTCCCTATTTGTGCTACTTTAGTTTTTTTTTTTTTTTTTTTACGTTTCCAGCATGTTTGGAGTTCAGCAATTGGAAACTTGGCGACGTTAGGAGAGTATTGAGTGCGAGAGCTTTGGCTTTTCTTCTGTGGCTTCAGTGTTGGGATAGAGATGGATGGTTGCTGAGATTTCAGGAAACAGAAGTTATACAGGAGAATCAAGCTAGAACAGATTAACTGTTCGATTTTCTTACAGAACTTTTGGTTTGAGAATGGAAATGATATGGGGGGGGATCCACTCCTCATTCTAGCGAGGAGAACAGTATCGAAAATGTAGCGCAGGCGTCATTGTCTCGCATATTGCAACAAGAGGTGATATCACCTTGCAAGGTTTTGGATTTAAAAAAGAAAAAAGAAAAAAGAAAGAGAGAAAAGAGAAAAAAAAGGATATCATCATCAAAATAAAAACACGGGAAGAAAATTAACATCAAGGAACCATACCATAGAATGACACAAGCTCACAAAAATCTAGTAATGGATTACCTTGGCTTAGCTCTTCCCAGCCCTGCTCCTCAAATACGCCGCAACTTGCTCATGCCTCGTGACAAAAAACATTCGCCGCTTCTCAGACTTCCACACCAACACCCCAATCTCCTCTGCATACCTACACGGCCCATCGAACTCTGCCAGACTGACAAAGTCTTTAAAAAGGAAACCTGGCGTCGCCTTTATTCGATCCCGCTCCAACTGCCACAGGCGGATCTGGTCTACAACTGTGGGCGGGAGCACAGCGGGGGCGCCAACGGTATGGGAGGATTTTGATGCGTGGTACTTGCGCATTTGCGGATGGGCGTGGGTAGTTAGGTAAGAGATTATCTGGTCTGCAGTGATTCCCATTTCGACGGCGCGTCGTATGGATTGGCGCGTTATTTTTCCTGTGATAAGGTTGGGGAAGCGGTATTTTAGAGTTGTGAATAAGGCGATTAGAGAAATTTGCAGGGGGGAAGATGTGTAGGCATATAGGCGGTAGTTGGTTTCGATGACAATGAAGCCGGTGCTGGGTTCGCTGGAGTTCGCGGCAGCAGGACCGCTTGGGCCTGTGAGACTGGTGGATATGGAGCTTCCGAGTGTAGCGGAGTCAGAAGTAAGAGTTGTTACGAGCCTGGTGGGGTAGAAACGGGTTGCTTCTTGTGGGGGGAAGTGTTGATATACTATTCCGAAATCGGTGAGGTCCGTGAGAGTCTTGAGTTGAGTGGATGTGAGGTGTTTCTTCTCATACGACTGCCCGAGCTCTAGGCTGCTGAGGACGAAGAGGAATGAGAGGACCTCGACACTTTCTAAGCCTATCTGTTCGGCGTTTTCGACGTAGAGGATTAAGATGTTCCAAACTTGGGTGTTGACGTCTTGTAGGACGAAGGCGAAGCCCTCTTTTGTAATATCGACTCTGCGGTCATGGACTTCCACCAGATGGCAGGCTTGAAGGAGCTGTTTCACACCCTTGCTTAATGTGACTGTTTGCTGGGCTCCTAAGACGCTCGTCCCAACCATGTACCCTAAAACGCCTTCCCACTGGCGACTGGCATATTCGTCCAGCTGAGCAACAGTCATAAGATTTGCATCCGGGGTTACAGATGGTACTCCGAAAGATTGCTGCTTATCTCCTCCTGTGAGGGCTTGTCGAAGCGACGATGCGAACGGCTCCGTTACCACGTATGCTCTAACATGATCCGTGGTAGTGGCATTTGAGAGGATATGGAGTCGACCCAATATCGACAATGCATTATCTCTCTCACTTCGTAACCCCGTAAAATTAGCCCCGCGAGTCTTGCACATGAATAGCTATATCAAAAGCCGCTCACCGTTTGCTCTCCGACTTCACCCATAGTTCAAGATCCGCAGCAGGAAGTGGATCCTTCAGATAGAGAAGTGCCATGACGAAACATTTCGCTATGTGGCATTAGCTAACTCAAATCTGACTCTAGTCTTACAGGACAAAATCATATTCCTCATTTACCCAGGTACGGCAACATTCGCCGGAAGATAGCTAGAGCCGTGGATGGCTGCTGGTACAGTCTGCGGAAGACGGTTCCTGGCAAACTCTCCAGATAGTCCATCGAGCGGGAAGACGACACAGCCATTTCTATGAAAAATGGCACCTAATGGGCCTGTCTCCGTACTTAGTTGTCACAGATCTATCATAATCATAGCGCTTCCAGTGGGTGTTTCGGTTGATCTTCAAAAAGCGCAGGTTGGTTACAGTAAAGTGTTTGTTTTAGGGCAGAAGGTTGAAGATGAAGTTGAATATTCGGTACGTTACGGCGAACTCTAGAGACCAGAAGTGCACTCAGGAATGGTTACGTAATAATCAGCCGTCCCATCGTTAGTTAAGTAGTTAATAGACTAAGTTCGGCGTTTGGTTCTAGATATGAAAGATATATTAGAGCTCCAATTGCTTTTCAAGATAAAGATATATATAAGGAGATCGTTTTAAAATGACTTCTTTAAAATTTGTTCAATCGGTATGTATCTACACCGCGAAAAGCTTTCAATATGGTTTTCATAACTAATTCGCGATCTAGGTCTGGCAGTCCTTCAGGACTACATCCGGTTTAGAACCGAGGTATTCATACCCTCACTTCAGCAATTGAAAACGTTGGTGATAATGTATGGACTACCAATTCTTGCATGTAGGTTGTTGGATAATGTACGTGATTGATCCTCAACCCATGCATACACCGTGACTGGGTCCCATAGCTATGTCCTCCGCGTCAATATATATGCATTCATACCGGTTCTGAATCGGGAAACTTATCAAACCCTCCGATGCATTAATAGCTTCGAGTGACAGCGGCACGTCCCGGTGTTGTTAATTTCGAACTAGATATCCAGAAGGAACATACGGTTCGTTCTTCTAATCTACCAAATTCCCAAGGGGCATGGAGAGCTTAGAACTAACCTATGCGTCTTGCAAAGAATCGCCTGGGAATCCTCCATGGAGGAACCATTGCGAGCATGGGTATGTTACAATATGTTGCAGCAAGGCTCTTATTCCCTGCTCTGTAAAGTGTGAACTCTCACTCACCCTTTCACAGTTGATCTGGGGGGATCGCTAGCCGTTGCCTCGAGGGGACTCTTCGCTACTGGAGTCTCAACAGATCTTAATGGTTTGCTTCCTCTGGATTCCTAAGTCTGAGGCGACCTTCCAACTCACTATTGTTAGTTACGTATCTCAATTCCGGTGGGAAAATCGGAGATAAAATTCTTGCGGTGAGTGGGAGAGAAGCTGTGGTTAAACTCTTTTTCAATTTGCTAATTGATGCGTCTAGGAAGTTACTTGCGATAAATGTATGCATAATTTCACCTATTCATCCATAAAGTTGTTAGTGAATCCATCTCATCTAATTGCATTACCTCAAAAAATCTCAGTTGGGAAAACCCTCGCATTCACATCCGCCAAGTTCACAAATTTAGAGAACGAAGTTGTGGCACGGGGTAGTCACACGAAGTAAGTAAACACCTTTTCCAACAACTTCCCTCGTTCCCCAAGATTCGATCTCCTCTTTTCCGCATCGTTTTAAATCTCCGATCTTAACGCCAAACAGATTCGTGGCTATCGCATTCAAAGACCCGAAGAACATCGTTCATCAGCTTCAGCCAGAAGAGGAGTCTGAGGGTGGAAACAAATGCTGAGAGTCGCACCAAATTGGACAAATATTGGGTCCGCTAATTTGGTGCAAGTCGGCAAAATAGATGATAGGAGAACTGGAAGTTGATTGGCGCATTGAACATATTTAATGCTTTGCACTATTTTGTCGGAATGGATGCGCTGCGTGGATTTTCATAGAGCGCAGCTAATCGTGTATATTCGGAATATATTATAACCTACGACAGCGGTTGTTCACATGTTTTATTTGTGCATAGATAAGACAATGGATGGTTTATTACCACTTAAATGTGAAACAAACCTATAGGGATGACCACAAGAAATACTATTCTATCTAGCCAATGGGTATTAGTGAGATAAATATATTATATAGCATGCGCCTAACATATAACATATCAGAAGACTGGCTCTTGGCTATACACAGCATGTTGTAACATTGGAGAGCCAGAGCTGTATAACTTAGTGTACACACGTCAACGTCAAAAGGAACCCGATAGGAAAGGTAAGGTGTCACAAAGAACGATGAAAAACATAAGAATGAGACTAAGTACCTTCCCTCAATTGCAAAATCATTAAAGAAGATACTTCATGTAGCCAAATCATTTCATATTTTATGGACAAAATAAGGCAGCACTTTTAAATCATGATTAACACGGTAAAGAAAGGCCTTGAAAAATCGAGAAGCTACAATGAACGCAGCACGCTCAAAATCAATCCAGAATACTCTCTGGCTGCAAATCACGCTCCTCATCCTCATCCTCCTCTTCATCAAGAGTAACCATAATCTCACCAGCGTCCATGAGAGCAGTTGTCGCCCTCCCCTCCTCAATTAAAGTCTTGATCTTCGCCTGCGTCATTTCATAAACGTACTGGCCCAAATGCTCGATGCCCTCCATAGGGGTGCCTGTAACGTCATCCTCAAGGGGTCTGGAAGTTGGAAAGAGCTCGCCGGGGACAAGTATGAGCTTATCGGGCCGCTCGAAAAGAATGTCAAAAGCCGGTTTGAGCTCGAAGCACGATTCAAACACCTCGCGGCGGCCGAGGATGTAGAGTCCTAGTCGCGCTCGGGAGAGCGCAACAGTGAGACGACGGACATCGCGGAGGTAGCCAACTGTCCGTGTGCGGGTGAGGGAGAGGAGAACGTCTGTGTTTATCATATGTTAGTCTGAATACTCTAAAAATATTCATTCCGTCCATTGGGAGTTGGAGATGAACTTACAGTCATTCTGCTCTCCTTGATATTTATCCACCGTCGTCACAATTTTGGGCAAGCCGAATAGGGAGTTCTTGGCACATCTATGGCTCAGGACATCCCTTATCAATGCCCTTTGTCCCGCATATGTTGTTAAGATCGATATCTTCGACGCAGGGTAGCCTAGTAGACGCATATACTGGTATAGAGCCACCGTGTACTCCGCCTCGCCAAGATTTTGAATGAAATGGGGAGAAGGCTCCCTTTCACCAACTCCTTGATAGTCTGAAACATTGACGAACTGGTAATCAAATTTGAAGCCGGGATTGGCAAGTTTAAACTCCTCATTCTCCTCCACGGATGGCAGATTTCCTAACCGCTCGTAACGCCATTTGAATAGCTCTGCAATTGACGGACGTGATCGACCCTGTTGATCAAGATTTATCGTCGGTACGCCCAGTCTTACAAGGCGTGAGAAAAGAGTTTGCTCGAAGTTGGCATACTGACGGAAAGCCATGTTTTGGATAATAGGGGAGTTTTGGAGATGGTCGCCGCAAAGCACCACACGCTGCAATGGCAGTTCACCGTTCTTGGTATTTTGAAGCGCACAAAGTATAAAACTTTCGATCTCAGTGACCTGGGCAGCCTCCTCCATTACGACGTTGTCATAGTGAAATCCGAGGCTGGCTATCTCCTGCCTTCTCATCGCGGCATGTGTCGATGTCATGGCGATGATTCGTGCTTCTTTCACCAGAAGGTAATTGGCTTTATCACGTTGCAGTCGCAGTATTTCAAACGGACGAATGTCTTCAAGCTCAGAAAATAATTTATTCAGATGCCTTTGACATCCGTAAATGACATCAAGCACCTCTTCCTTGGATGCATTCGGGTCGAAAAGGGGTTTGGGGGTATTTGAGAAGAAGGAATGGAAAGGGAAAGCATCGACAATGGTTTCGCGGGGACAGTCTTCGGAACTAACTTTGTCCCAGTATTTAGTCCACGCTGGCTTAATATACACAGTATTGAAATAGCCTGCGGTTTCACACGAGTTGCCATGAGCACCCTCCGCACCGATCGAAACAGCGAGACGATCCACTTCGGCAAGGTACGTGGCCCGATTCTCAAGGAAGGTATCCACTCTGCCGTATTTGCTATAACTGGCCTCAGTATCTAACTCCTCCTCTCCGCGACCAAGCCGTAAGAGATGCCGTTGATCGATATCCAAGGCCATAATCTTTTGGAAAAGTTGATTTAGCGCCTGGTTACTATGGGCGATAAGCAATGTGCGCTCGTAGGGAAAGTTGTGGTAAATGTTGCTAATGATCTGAGTTGAAACGTCCGTCTTGCCTGTTCCTGGAGGGCCGACGATAATCGTCAAGCCAGGCTGAGTACCAGACACAACAGCTTCGACTTGGGCCGGCGTAAATCGTATTTTGTTCAGTTTCGGCGCATCAACCGGGTAGGGCCCGGGGTTAGGTGGCCGATATGAGGAAACTCGTATCGAATTCGAGGCGTTCTCGGTCACTTCGACCTGATCTCGACGTCGCTTCTTTGATGGGTTCAATGTGGTCGCTTTCGGGGTATCTTCAAACATTTCCAAAACATAGGGTGGGTCAAAGCTAGAAGATTTGTTACCAGCTGGCTCAATCCTCCGTCCAGGGAAGCTTTCGACAAGATGCTCCCAGTTCAAGAAAGTATCACGAAAATCGACAGATTTCACCTTATTGCTGAGTTCTGTGTATCTGGCGCCCGCTGGATTTCCGTAGCCTAGGAAAACATCCTGTAGCCATGATGGAAGATTTGTATCTGCAACTGTCAGGCTCCGCATAGTTTCAAGAATTGGCTTGAAATTATTTTCTCTAGCCTTCCGCCTAACAATCACATTGATGAAGGTGTACACGTCCGATTTCCCTTTTGCCAGGCTCTCCATGTCGGCCTTGTATGATCCGGCATCGAGGTTTACAAGTAGCCTTCGCATCCGCGGTCGTGGTCGATATCCGTTTGTTCCATCACTTTGAGGCTCCCGCAAGTATCGTCCGTTCTCATCGAGGACCTGTACAACTTCTGCCGTTCTTACATGTAATAAACTTACTTCGTTCTTTGGATCCTGCCCATTACTAAATATCTTCTTTATCGATTTTTTGGGCTGGATTGCGAGAAGGAAAACAACATCATCGGGCCGAAGAGTATCCCATTCCCTCCTAACACTTTCCCCAAGTCGACTGACGTCCAATCCAATTTCAGCACGAACGTATGCAGGATTGGTTGATCCGACTTTTGCTGGTGCAACCTCGATGATAGCTGGCTTAGCGATCGGAATTGCCATTTTAGAGAACCCGCCAAACGAGACTGTAGCAGTGTCTCTCTGGAGGTGTGGCTGTAGCCGTTTGACTACTGCTTCGAGGTCCTTTCGGATCTCAAAGAAGGACTCCGAACGATAAAGCAGAAAAGATCGCCAGAGAAAATCGCCAACGCTCAGATACTGTAAATTCAGCTTTGGGATGGCTAATGGTCGAGAGCCGTCGTAGGACTCATTGCGGATTAAAGCGGGATCATAAAGGTTCGATTCTGTGGGTAAGACAGACAGCTGCGACGCGGACTCTTGGAATGAGCGATGACGCTCGAAAGCCGAGAGAATGATTTCGAGGATTAATTTGCGATCCGGTGTAATATTAGCTTCCTTAGGATAGGTTGTTCTAAAACCAAGATAAGAACAAAGCGCTCTCAATTCTTCATCGGTCAGGGAAGACAAATGTGACTCGAGTTCAGAACGTTGTTCGATGGAACCATAGTTCGACAACGCCAGGATCGTCAACTTGTCTTTGAAGTGTTTGATGGCGGTTCTCTGGAGGTGAGCCAGCTCTCCACAGTGGACATCGTAGACTGTTTGAGGAGGCTGGTGGTGACCCGACTGATCGTCTACAGCAAAATTGATAAAGTGCCTCAGAAGGGTATAAAAATCGCGGAAGAGTGCGTTTGATTCCTGATTGTAGAGCTTGGACGTGCGGATGACAGCGAGAATGTTGAGATCCTTTAGGACAGAATTGAAATACCGTCTTGTGGGAAGCTGGCTGTCCAGGTCAATGAGGAATTCCATGAATCTTTCGCAATATCGCACGTTGTCCAGATCACTGCTATCAATCAAGTTGATTCGATTTAGGAAATCAAGCACCATTGAATATAACCAGGAACGCTCGAACCGAAGCCTTGCCTTTCCGGCATCATCGGCTTTCTCGTATCGTTTCGCAGCCATTCGCCATCCCCTTTTCAATGATTCCATTTGATCGAGTAATTTGTTCCTTGAAGCGTCATTATGAAGGTTGTGCCAAATGCCAATTGTCACCAAGGGGGCACATTCCTTGACAATAAGCGCATTCTCCAACGATTGGAAGGCGCTGATTACGAACGACAGTAAATATATCTTGGAGTTTGTTGGTAAGGTTGTATCGAGATTCATAGCAAGGATACGGCAGAATAGGTTTGAGAAATCCGTCGGCCTGTCGGTGAAATGCTCTGCGGCGAAGTTAGCATTTTAGCTTCTAACATACTACGTCTCTATACATGGACTCGCAGCGGACTTACTCCATATTGGCAAGTGTTCCCTCTGCTTTACTCCAGCGATCAAAGCGATTAGCAGGACGTGGTAATTGGATGAGTCTTCGGAGTATGTTGGCCATAGAAACCTGGGTTCGTCTGTCAGCATGGGTCTCCCTCGCAGGAGCGCAATATAATAACAGCAGCAAAGCAAAGTATAACCTACTTTTCCAGCACATGGAGATTTTCTAATATCAGAAGAGATCGAAGCGCAAATTTCTCCGATACCAGACCCTCCCAGATATCGTTCTTTATGACTTCAGGTTTTGCCTTCGGAGCTTTGGGCAACTTCAGCCAGTGGGATCTGGCGAGATTCACCCACCGGTTGTCCTCCTGGAGATCATTCACTGTCGGGCGAAGATCAAAACTATACGCCATTGCTGGTCGCATCTGCAGTCCCATTGCCAGCGACCTTGATGGAATGTGCTGAGATTGTCAAGTTTGTCTCCAAATTCCAAAGTTCAAGATCCCAACATCCCAAGGTCCAAGTTCGGGTTGAAGTTCGACGTTATTTATCCAAACCAAACAAAAATAGGTTTTGGAAGACGCGCAGAAAACGTCCGTGCACGATTTGTCATGCCTGCAAAGCAAAAGCCAACATCAAACGGTTTCAACCCACGGAGACAGCGACATTTGTTTATCTATTTATTTGTATAACTGCATGCCAAGGAAACACACGGCAGTTTAATCGTGCTCTTCACGCTCTCTGAAGGATGGCTGGAGAAGATATTGCTGCCGTGAAGGCTTATCGCCAATTGGTCCAGGACCTCTTGGACAAGGCCGCAAAGGTCAAGCAAGACTCCAGCATCGAACCCCCGTTGAACGAGGCGGACCTGGGCGATGCGATACGACACATACAGTCGAAAGAGCAGAGTCCGCAAGCTCAGTATGCCGTGGTGGAAACTGCTTTTCGCCAAAAATTTTACGCTCTGCTTGTCAGTTGTCTCCCTCCCGCGGCGCCGCCAGCTCGAAGCCAGCTATCTCTAACCACCTATATTTTGATATACAGGCCACGACATCGATTGATGACCCTTCATTTATTCAGATATGGAACCTTCTAGATATCGTATCGATATTTTCAGACAACGGTGAGCTCCTGCGCAAAAATAACTTCGAGTTTCCAAGCTCTGACGACTTGACAGAACAGTGCGAACCCGGTCTTTTCTTCTGGCTCATTGAGGAGTTGCTGGATAGTCAAACCATCGATGGCTGCCGCAAAGTTTTCGATTACTTGGAATCGCGGAGGGAACGCAATACTACAGTATGTTTTTGGATTTTAGACCCTGGAGAAGTTCGTTGCGACACAAACATTAAAGGTCTATGTCTACAGAAACACTTCAAACAAAAGAGTTTGATCATACTACGATCCTGCAATGAGCTCCTTCGACGACTTTCACGAGCTGAGGACACAGTATTTTGTGGCAGAGTTTTTATATTTCTCTTTCAGAGCTTCCCCTTAGGCGACAGAAGCTCTGTCAACTTGAGAGGTGAATTCCATACCGAAAATGTGACCACCTTTGACAAGCTCCCCAAGGCTCAAGAGGGCAGCGGGATCTCGGTGGATGTGGATTCCCTTGAGGGGAAATCTTCCGCAGACATGAAGATCGAATTGTCTGAGGCCGCAGCACAACAAACCAACGGAGAGGCGACTCCTAGTACAGCTGATGAACACCAGCAAGGTGTGAAATCGGCCATACAAAAGACAACGGAACCAGAAGCCGCATCGGTCCTGACTACAGATGAGCTCTACCCGATCTTTTGGAGCTTGCAAACCAACTTCTCTTCGCCGACTACACTGTTTGATCCCGCCAATTTTGCAGCTTTCAAAACGGGACTTGAAGCGTCGCTGTCTACTTTCCAAAAGGTAAACACAGATATGCAGGTCCGGATAACAAAAGGATCGGAAGAAACGCGTCGTGGCCCTAAGCGAAGGCGGATAGGAGACAGCACAGAAATGACGAACAGTTTCAATCCCAAGTACCTGACCAGTCGGGATCTGTTCGAATTAGAGGTTTGCACTTAATCCAGCATATGATCATAAGCAGTTACTTACTTGAAAGTAGGTGAACGATGTCGCTTTCCGGAGGCACATTCTTGTCCAAGCTCTAATCCTTTTGGATTTCGTCCTTTCCCTCACCCCGAAAGCTAAAGCGAAGCTTGCGGACTCGACAAATAAGGCAGTTCTGTACAACTATGTTCTCAGCGACGACGATGTGAGTTTTCCAATCTCAATTTCGGCCTCCTAGACGAGAATTTAATTGTTTTGTAGGCAAAATGGGCATCACAAATGAAAGCCTCCATCGCCAGCTATTTGCAACAAGGTTCAGAAGGCAAATTTTACTATCGAATGGTAGACACTGTTCTCACCCGAGACAAGAACTGGGTTAGATGGAAAGCGGAGGGATGCCCTCCAATCGAGCGTACCCCGGTTTCCATCCAGGACTATTTGGATACGCAGGCCAGTGCCATAAAAGTGACAACAAGCAAACGACTCAGATTAACCCCTTTTGGATCACTAGATCTCAATTTCTTAATGGAAGATAAAAATCTCGACAGCGTTGCCCGTCTAAAACATCCTGATAGGTAAGTCTCGGCGTATATCGCGTAATATACCAGTTCTACCAACTAATCTTGTCCTTCAAAAAGGTTCACTACCCCCGATATAGATTCGTATCTGCGTGGCGTTGCCGACGATGAGTTCAATATCGACATGGCCCAATCACGCGAAGAGAAGGATGAAGCAATCAAGGCTAAAGCAAACAAGATCTGGAGAACGCTCCGTCTTTCTTCTCGGAGTAAACTGGCATTGTTCGACAAGATCGAGGACGGAAATAATATCAAGGTTCTTTTTGAGACCCCACCGGCTCCAGAAGATGCTGCGGTACCAGCAACAAGCAGGCCACAGCTTGCCGTGCAGAATGGAGTTAATGGCAATGGGCAGGATGGACCTTCTGCTACAGGGGAAGTGAATGAATCAAAGGAAAACCAGCGACCAGTGCCCTCTGCTGGATCAGTGCTGCAGCAAGATTGAAAGGGTATCATAGTTGATACGAGGACACCGAATTTTCACTCCTCAGGTTCCTGTGGGAATAGATATTAAACGTCCTTTGGTGGGCACGATGGAAGGAGATGCTCTCCCAGTAAAAGCAGATACTCAGTCACGGAAGGAAGACGGGACCTCTTTCGCGTTTGCCTGACGAGATATATAAGTTCAGCATCGGATGTGCTATCGGGGATCTCAGGGGAACTTCTTTGACTACTTCCTATCCAAGCTTGACCGGTATTGCGCCGCCTATAGGACGGATAATTCGACTTACAAGACGCGACCAGTCATAGCTACCTGCCATCCGCGACAAGCTAGCGCTGCTACCGGCTGCCGTATCTATAAGGGATGCGAAATCCAATGTCTACGGGGAACCGAGTGGGATATCAGTTACGGGTGCCAAATTTTGAAAGGGAGCTGGTGTTGCTGACGCAAGTGTACAGCTCCGTCAACGCTCATCAATTGTCATGGTTCTCACACCTGTCATTTGAAAACAGGGTGGTCGGTAACGGGTGCTTGCTGTTTGGGTTGTAATATGATATGATATCTTATAATTTAAACTGCGAGATAGATGAGAAGATATAAGAAGATATCATTCATTCTGTCCGAGAGGAATGCATGGTTCTTGTATAATATGGCAAATGTAGAGCAGATAGTGGTCTTCATAGAAGGATCATGGAAGCCATGTTCATAAACATTTCACCTTTGCTATTGTAGGTTCTTTTATGTTACCTGTTCTGCAATTTTACAACCTAATCTAAGGGCTATTGCACTGCAACCATAAGAAACTGATTTGCATTCTTAAAAAAATATTCAATAAGCTTTTTGTGAGTTCGTAAAAAAACTTTCTTGATCTTGCTTCTAGATAAACAAAGCTCAAAAATATAAATATGTCTTTGCTCAGTGCATCAGGCTTTGTAACGCATATTCAATTTCCCGCTCCTCCGCCCCTTTTTTTTTAATCTAACCTCGTTTTGTCCGACGTGTTAGGTGTCCATGAACCTGAACGTAGAAAAGGCTCTGGAAAAAGGCAGACGCTGGCAACATCCTGGTAAAAAACGCGTCTCTTCCGCTGAAGAAACTAACATTAGTTATCGCTTTTTCACGCTGAGGATTAGTTAACTATGACCCGCATTAATCCCCTCATATTATCAGATTTGTCTTTGGAAGAGATTTTCCTGAAGGTAAAGAGATGAGAAGATAAATTTGCGGTATGTTCATGATTGAATCATTATTCTCCGCGGAACCAATTTAAATATCCAACCTTCTTAGCGCACATCCAGAACTTCAACAACAACCTCACTCACTCTGCTCATTAAACATCATCACCACCTTCTTTTCCACCCCTTCAGAATATCCATTCGTGTCTCGAAGAAATAAAGGCGGGGTAAGCATGTTTTCTTGACCTGATTTTGGTCCGCGGGTATTTTGCAGGCCCTAGGGTATCCCTGCCCCTCGTTTCTCTTCATTAGACCCGGACCCTGGCTGCTTATTCTCAGTTCCAACGGTCACCTCGCTCAAGGTTCGCTGCGGGCTTATTGGCCTGTCAAACTAACAGTCATCATGAAAGTCATGAAGTCCTACGTCAAATCTCAAATCATGTTTGCCTATTGCGCTGGAGGTTCCATGTTTCCGTCTATATTTGCCAGATAAAGCACGTCGAATACAGTCGGCTCAGTTGTTGGTGATGGATGGTGCGCGTCACCCGTTCTGTTCACGGCAAGTTAACTATGATAGTCTTGGTGATCTTCATGTCGGTATCAAAAAGCCCGTCTTCGGTCCGCTGATATCTCAACTAGCGCTGCCATCTGCTTGTCAACGAGTGGACAAAACCTTGCATGCAAAGTAGCCAGATGGTTCTGCGCCACGTCGATCAAGGTTCTTCTGTTTCTCTTCTTTTCGTCTTTGTTTTTCATTATCTTGTGGGAATTGCTGCTCCAAGCTTAGTGCTGAAACAGCATCTACCTATCACAAGGGTAACCTTATCTACGTGGGGATGACCTGGAGACTGGAATCGATCGCCAGCAACTGAGATCGCGGTACACACAGTTCGGCAGCAGTATCGTGCATCTCAAAATATCTTCGCGTTTTAACACCCCATTTTTTAATTGCGATTTCTATTGGCGGACAAATATCCTTGTTGAAAAGATTTGTTCCCCTGATGATCATATTCATTTATGCGTACTTGTATATCTGCTCTTGGTCGATATGTTCCCATGACAGCTTCTCCCTTTCATCCCCCAGCTGCTCTCGCTTTGTGTCTCGAATTCTCGTACCTGACACCCCTGTAACTCCTAACTGGGGTTGTGATTTAGGGTTGTTACCTTTCCTATTGGGAGAATCGTTCATTTCACGCAGCAATCGCCAGGATCGCGTAGCACAGGCTACGCCACTCCGAGACCGATCGATTTTCTTGCTGGATGTGTCAGAGCTGGCTGCACAAAAATAGCCGGCCCGTCCCGGCATTCTCTCTATAGTTCCTCACTTTAACCCCCATTTTTGATTAGCTCCCGTTATTCCTCCATTGACCTAGTCTGCAAAGATGTCCACCCCAGAATCTCCTGATTTTGCCGTCGCTGGACAATTAACCCCAAGTCCCGTATCAACTTGTTTTCACCCGTGGAGACTGTAGGTCCCAGCCTCCTCTTTGGCCCCCTCATGGATCATAATTTGATGGCCACCATAAGTAGGGTCTGTCTCAGCTCCTGGGATGCCCCTTGAAGCGCTCCCCCTCGGGCAGAGGATCCATGTTTGCACTTCGACTATTTGTCTGTGCTGTCAGCAATTTTATCTTAGGAAATAGCCTAGACCACGGCCTTCCCGCTTAGTCCTTCGGCGTGTCCTGTCTGAGGAGCTTCTATTTATCAAGCTCCGTGGCTTTCAGCCTCCCACGCCGTCGTACCGTTATTAGAATCTTATCTGGACCTGCCTTTCATCGCTCGATGGAGTGAATCCCAACCACTGTGGACAAAGGATCGAGTCTGAAAATACGTGATTTGTTGTTGGGGAATATGATGAACCTGACGTTTGATTTGTGTTTTGACTGTTTCCCAAAATGTCAACTCTTGACACCCAGAACTGTCAGCACATAAGTCAACTAAAATTGCAGAAGATGTTTGCAGTGAGAGTGGGACCCGCTCAACCCTCCCGCTTTTCATGACACCCTGTACCTGGTTGCATTTAAGACAGGATTTCAGAGAGGCGCACGAGATGCTAACTGACGATAAGAGTTTGTTTCAAGCAAAACTATGTGACATATCTGGAGGCACTCTGCTATGGTGCCAGCAAAACTGCTGACAAACGGTGGATACTTTCATGCAGAGACCTCGTAATAGGAGCAGATAGTGACCCCTTCTAGTTGGTGGACCTTTTGCTTGAGTGAATTAACCTCGCATCCGTCCTAATGCCAATTGTTTTATATGCGGGCATTAGGCAAAGGTTCTCAGCACTCCCATCGAACCGATTTCCCCAGTCCTAGTGGACCCTGTCAACCATCGTCGCTAGAACTATGGGCAGTTTTCCTTTGATTTTCCTGTTTCGTTTCCTTGTGGTTTATTTACCCAACCACCTCCCCTTTGCTGTACACAATATACCCTTGACATATGAGAAGGACTGCAAGGAGTTCTTCCTCTTCTGCTTTGCGCTCATTCACTGATCACGGGCCTGAAAATTTATCACCAACTCCTTTGATACGGTGCATAGTGACTTTGGTAGGAAACCAGCCTAACAACATTCTTTCTCCCATTTTTAATGCTCCTCCATGAAATCCAATATATCGAACGCGTTCAACGATTCCTCCGTTTTTGCACAGTGAAAATTCAGCTACTCTGCTGAGAGAGAAGCTCCGCTGTCTAGGTTCCAGTGCAGTCTCACCCTGCACGAGTTCTTCCTCATGACGAGCTGCTGGAACTAATTATCTCTTGACGTAACAAAGTTTATTATCCCTGATTATCACCCCACTCTTGCCTTCGTTGTTTTTGCTGGATCTTTTAATTCAATGTTCTCCTCACACAAGGGAATCAACAACTAGCAATTTCCACGGAAGAGGTTTTTTTTTCGTTCCTCGACTTTTGGAAATAGTCGGCTGTTAAACAAGTGATCATGTTCCCCTTCGTTCTTCATTTTTACCCCTGCCAGGGAGTGTCATTAGTCATATGAAAACACGAATACCTCGAGGTAATGAATATTTTGACTACATCAGTTTTCCTACAATCATTTACTCCGCGCCTCCCTCTACCCTCTTCCGTGCTGGTAATATAACGAAACATCCATCCGCCAGGACAACAAGCTCTGGTTTGTGACAAAGAAAGTTCCTGTTTCTTCGATTTTCTTCTCTATTTTGCGTCTCTCCCACGTTGGAGCCCCACTTCCTCTTGCTCCCGCAAAGTAACAGTGACTGTTAGAGCACGGAATTAGCGCAAACCGTTATTAGCTAAGTATTCGATACAACTTACCTACATTTTTGGGGTGCCGTTCAGACGCTGAAATTGAGACGATCGGGGGTTATCTGGGGCATAGTTCTAGGGAGATAAACTTACCCAGACTGTCAGACTTGCTGTCGTGATATTCATTGTATAAGCCAAGTGTCAGTCACTTGTGGAGAAATTATTAGACAATCCGGCTGACACAAGAAAACCCGAAAGCTCTGAACGGAGGTAGCTTCAATCTCAATACCATTGATTGAACCTCACCGATTGTTAGCAAAGGACGACTTTGATGGTTGGCCTCCGTTTCCCTTAGCATCAATTTTCTGTGAATGAGCGAATGACTGCCTAGTCATTCAAACCCAGAAGGAGAACATATCGTGTTACAATTTCTTGCGATTTGATCACTTATGTTTCCCGTTTCAATTTATACGCCCTTTGCTGGCTGGTGTAACCAGCAGTTGGAGTCTCGGGAGTCCGTTACCCGACGCTTTGAACAATTTTCGACTGTCATTAAAGGCTGTGATTGTCTCGGGGCAGACATTGTCGGCCAAGGGCGCATCTGCTTGAAATTAAAGGTCCCTTTGGATAGTTCGCCAATCTTCGAAATCAAAGAGGATCCTGCCATTGATTCTAAGGGTGACAACGAAATTGAGACGCACAATGAAATGAGAGGTGCGGAGCCAGAAGTTTGTCTGACTGAAACTGAGGATATGGATGCAAATTCAGAAATATATTCTGCAATGCCGTCAGTTTCCAAACGATTAAATTCTGGAATCCCTTTGGCATCGAATTCTGGAAGTGCCAAGTTTGAAGCTTACGATGATATTGATGAAGTCGGGGCCGATTGGGACAACGAAATAGATGTGGAACTAGACCGCAATCAGCTTGGCCCCCATGGGAATCACGAAGAGCGGCAATTGCAAGCTGAAGAAGATAATCATTTGAAAACAACAGCTGAACTGCTGGCGGAGAAGAGGAAGATGAAGCGTTTTCGGTAAACTCTTTCATGGCAATTGTCAAAATAGTGCGTTATGCTAACTATAATTACCAGACTGACTCATAATCAGACGCGGTTTCTGATTAATGAATTTACTCGCCAAGCTCATCCGGATGCCGCTCATAGGGAACGCTTGTCGAAAGTGATACCTGGTCTGAGTCCGCGCCAGGTGCAAGTCTGGTTTCAGAATCGGTAAGCTAACCGATACCGACCTGTTTGACCTCCTCACTGGTTCATGTATTTGCTTACACCATTGGTAGGAGAGCAAAGTTAAAACGTCTGACAAGCGACGATCGAGAGAGGATATTGAAATCACGGACGTTGCCTGATGACTTTAACATAGTTCAAGCCCTTCATTTTTCCTTTGTGAACAAGGACCAGCCTTCAAGTTCTACAACTTCTCCCTCACAAACTTTCAAATTCTGCCAAGGAGCAGACACATATTCGCCCTTGATAATCGATGCTACCAGAAGAACACGCGAGGAGGAGTATGTGGCGGCCCCTTTAAACACTACTTCCGTATATGGAGGCTATTTCCCACCGTCAACACTCTCACCAGCTCTTCTTGGGCCAGAGCCGGAGCTATTTCCAAGCACAACGGAAACCAATATCAACCCAATTTGCACGTCCATCTCCAACCCACGTACACCAGCTTCTCGATGTATGAATATGCTTATACGATCCAACAACTTCTCTAATTCTTACTCTCGTATCTCTCATACTCACGTCCCCTATTTGCCTTTCCATGAGACGGAAGCAAGGGCAAATGCAGGGCTTTTGGGGTCTCCCCTGAGGGCAACCATATCGTATGCTGAAGCCACTCTGGATTACGGGGCTCCGGATGCTTCTTACACAGAATTGGATATCCATTTCGGTGACCAGTCGTACGATAGCTTTATGTGGCAGAGATCGGAGGAGAGCAGTTCGAGCAAATCACGTATGTACCAATCGCCTAACAAAAAACAGAATGGGTTACTAATAATCTGGAAAGTAACCGGCAGTCAGCTTGGAAAACGTGAGTTCTCCAAAGCGTTATCTGCTCGGCTCCGAACAGCGCCAGCCTGGTTTCCTGCCAAAATTCAGTTGAAAACAGAAATCGATAAGGGCAACGGTCCGTAATCCGCTTCTCTGCCCGCGGCGCCTTTACAAGAGTATCAAATAGCACCTCTCAGTCCCACATTTTGCTCAACCCATTTGGCATTTTATATGAGCAGCACAGTTCGCCAACAATGAACATACCAACCTCATTTTTATCTTTCAGTTCGAACGGAAAGGTGTAGGGCGATCGTTTTGGTTCTGAGAATTTTTCAGAATAAGATTCATATGCGGTCTCTACTTGATGATCCGCGCAGCAGGAGGAGCTCCGATAGTTACTGCTCAAGCTTCAGAAACTACAAGTAAAATAAATATATTTTGATATGTTCAATGACTTGGATAAACAATTGCACCTCACCTACTTTTGTTATTCTTGTTAAATTTTGATATGACATGTATCCCATGTCTTATTTATCATGGGGGGTATTTGCTTTTACGTTCCGGGCCTCCTTCGGGTTCTTTTTTTTTTTTTTTTGTGTGTTTTTTCTTTTTCTTTCTTTCTTTCTTTCTTTCCTTTTTTTTTTTGTTGGGCTTCGTTCTAGGTTAAATGCATGGGCTTGGAAGGATGTATATGACGGACAAATGGATGAGACATTGGTGTCGCCATTTCTTGTTATGTTTCCCCTCACATAGTTAAGTTAACCTTCTGGGAGGTGTTTTTAAACGCTTTCTTGTCCGTTTTAACTATTGTTTAATGCTCTATCTATCACGTGGTTGAACTTTGAGAAGCCCAAGAATGAGATGGCCTAAACAACAATATGAGCACAAGAAAGGGACTTCAAACAGCTGCGAACATCGAGACAGACACTCTTCGCTATGTATGTTCAATAACTACATTTATACATGAAGCACACATGTATGAAAACTGAACACAATCATTCAATCAATTGACTTGAGGGTCTCATATGCGATGGCATCTTAGGGCAATTTGCCTATTATATTGATCGCTGCTGAGTTTCTTAAATCTCTTCCGGGGTCTCCACAGCGTCCTCAGGCTTTTGAATATCATCAAGGCCCTTGAATATGTTTTCGTGATCTAGGATAGTTGTGTGCCCCGTACGTCGGTCAATTTTCTGCCTTGGGAGACTCCGATCGCTAAACCCTTGAACAAGAGAAGGGAGGACGCCCTGGATGTCCAACTGCCCCAAAGGTGCAGAGACCGGTGGTCATAATAGTGAGCCTGACCGTACTAATCAGCGCCTAAATTCCAACTAGTTTTCGGTGTTGTTTCCCGGATTTTCGTCCAAGCTCTCATGCTTTGTTCCGCATCAGTTTATGCAGTGTATCCATCACCAAATTGGCGAGAAGCTATTCGCTGAACATCCAGGGTTTGGGAGGACAATACAGTATACACCGTTGGGTGGCGGCTACACCCACATCTCCGCACCGAGGTTCCGTATCAACCTAGTCGGGCTTGAGAGTCGCTAGACGTATGGAGATGCATCCATGGATTCGATTTCATATTATTTGCTTCTTTCCCCCGGATCTCAAAGCAGCCAAGGCCCCAGCAGCAGCATTGGATTTTCCTCCATCCGATTCTCCACCTTGCTCCTCTGCTCGAATATCATACGGATTTTCCCTAATCTCTTCTCCCCTGAACTCTCACTTTCTTCGTGCAAGAAGAGCGCAGGAAAAAAAGAAAGAAAAGAATAGAAAAGAAAAGAAATGAAAAGAAAAGAAAAGAAGAGGTTTTGTTTCTCCCTTATGTTTATCATCTCTTAATAAAACGCCGTTAGACCCCTAGTTTTAATATTCTATTCTCATCATATTTCAAAATTTATCGGTCTTCGTTGTACAGTTCCCTGGTTTTATTCCTTGAGACTTCTCTTCTGAACCCTTGCTTCAAAGATGAACTCTGAGAAGTTCAATAAGCTCATGAAGGCGATTCATGAAGCAGAGCTGCGAGATACTAAATACAAGGTACTTACATTGATGAAATATACAATGTTTTTGAACTTCCTACTTCATACCTGTGTTATCCACTGTTTACTTTCCCAAAGTTCAACCTGGCTAAAGTGCACCATGTATTGCCAATTTAAGGAGAAAGGAGAGAGAAGGAGATCAGAATCACACTTACAAAACTACTAACCCAAAACCCCCGCATCCCAAACTTGCAAATCCAGGGTTTTAGCCATGGCCTCTTCTGCTCAAGCGTCCGCTACGACTCCGCCACCCTCGGCCCGCCCGCCAAAGTCTCCTTCCTCCTAAAAGTCACAGATCCCTTCTGCAACAAAACCAAGCAACTGCACGGCGGCTGCGCCTCTACCTTGATCGACGTAACTTCAACGGGACTGCTAATCGGCCTCTCCAGGCCTGGCCTTTTCTCCCGCGGAGGTGTCACACGCACGTTGCATGTCAAGTTCTTGCGGCCAGTGCCGGTGGGCATGGAGGTACGGGTTGTCAATGAGCTGGTACATGCGGGGAAGAGGTTGGCGTTGGTCCGACCGGAGATTAGGAGGGCGGATACGGGGGAGCTTTGTGTTGTTGGGGAACATGATAAGGTTAACACGGATCCTGGGGTGAAGAGTTTGTGACGTGGGGTTTGGGGTGGGTAGGGGAGCAATGAGGCATATTTATAGAGGGTTAGAAATATTTAAGTGGGTTGATAAAGTTGAAACTAGACTCCATGAAATGTCGTTTTGTTTGTCTTCACAAGGGGTTCTGGTAGATGATTCTATCAAACTTCGCTGGTACCAGATACACCGGCAAGGAGGTCCGTCCCCTTGTCTGTGCAACTGATAAATTCATTCACACTGGCCAACTTTTAAAATCAAGGAATCTAGCTTTCGAGCTGTAAAGTCTCCGAAGGCCAGCATCTTGCTGGCCAATGATAGGGGAAGGCACCGAAATATATAATGAACCATTGGCTGAAAAAATAATGTCATTATTTCGACCATAATAGTTAGGACTCCGTAATGGTACACACAAAGCAGACATAGCATATCGCGATCCCGCGAATCAGTTAAGAAGCTCCTCTAGCCTGGTTTTACAACCCTCCGTTCGTAAAGCGAGTTATAAAAAGAAAGAGAGAAAAGAAATCAAAAGGAAGACGAGACATAAAACGCACAAGGCTATTCATTCTTAGACAAGATCTCCTTCGTGCGATAAGGAGTCACACAGATGCGATGCTAGTAAAGGCGGGCACTAATATGAATGTAGATAAGGAGTTTAATTATCTCGTTGTCTACAACACATACTTTGACTGTGGTATCATGCCAACCTTGCACCTTGCAAGAAATTTGCTGGCTGTGGTGAAGGCTTGAGAAGAACAGGTAGAGGTGCAGGTCCATTAGGCACGAATTTTACGTTAAGAGATTCGTTGAGTGACCGCCATCAAGCATTTGGGGGGAAACCAACGTTTTGAACGAACCCCCGTCGTTCGAGATGGTTGTCCAAATCTGCATATCGGAGAACGAATTCGCGCTGTATTTCGGGAACATAAAGCATCATGTTAGGTATATTGTCTCGTTTATTGGAACCAAGTATTTGAAAAAGATTAGATCAACACAAGGTGGCCGAAATAGCACTGCAGCATAAATAAATGGAAAAACTCACCCTGACTTTCTTCCAGGTAGAAGGATCCCACCATAGGTAGAAGCCACGCTCACTGAGCCCTCGTTCCAGTTCAACCGGACTTGGAAACGCGTCATCTCTAGTCAACCATGCACGCTCGACCTTGTGATATCTCCATTTGCGACTCATGAGCTCTTCCGCTACAAGTTCCTGCATGATATCTCGCGGCATGCTGTAGAATATGTAGAACAGGGTTTCGTCACTGAAACTAGGGATACGCGACTGCAGTGGTTGGACATTTGCAACGTTGTAGCAAGATGGTAAAGTGTAATCAACCTGGAGTGGCGCTGACGCCCTTATCGCAACGAATGGGGAGGCAAAGTTCGGGTGCAGAGGCCTGATATGAACAGAATTGTTAAGACATCAGTAATATTAAGATTCTCTTCAGGCAAAGCACTAGAATGGCATATCTTACTCTGGGTGATTTAGGTCTGGTTCAAGCTCCGTCAAATCTTGACCGACTGCAAGGGCATTGACATCTGGATTATCGCTATTTATCAGACTAAGAAGGCCTTGGAGCCCGAACCTAGCTTGGGGAGTCATCCGCATGAGTGCGGCCAACTCAGGAGATTGTTCTTGACCCTCAGTTCCAAAATTGCCAGCTTGTTGCTGGCGGCTTTGAGTTGGAGGCTGTATGATGCCCTGACCTTGTTGCTCAGAGTATGTTTCAGGTAGAATAGTCCGTTGCAGAGACTCGGTCCCGGGATCCTAATTAATGGTTAGCATCGGAAGTTCGACAGTAGAGATGGTCCTTGCCTCTTTTTCCTGGGAAAGGGCGCCATTCTGAGTCTGACCCATCGAGGATCTAGATGTCGAAATAACTAGGAGTGTGTGCGTTAGTAGTCACAGAGAAAACATGATAACCCCAAAAACGCCCTGGTAACTCACCACCTGACCCGCTTGCCCCTGGAGACACGATTCTGCTGTCTTGCTGTCCATTGACCATATTTCCGAGCAGAGTACGCCCCTGAGCCGAATGGTTTTGAGAGAGATTAGGAAACGTCATTCCGGTTCCGTAGCTGCTAAACGCTCCGGATTGAAGAAGGCTGGTGCGTCTTTCCTGGCCAATGTCCGCTGGCGCGTTTCTCCCTAATGGTGGGAACTCGTCAACATTTCCTGTTTGAGGTTGGCTTCCTCCTGAAAGCTGACCACTTATGCCTTGACCTCCATTCCTGAAATCATCCATTTGCGTTACAAATTGTGTTGCGGAGGGAAAGAGATCTTCGTGAGAAGCATGTGATTGCTGCTGTGACTGTTGTGTATGTGCCTGAGCTTGCGACTGCGCTTGGAGTTGCGAAACCCGGGACGGCGTTTGAGACGTTGTAGGTGTTTGCGTTTGCCTCTGGAGAGCACTTTGCTGAGTTGCTCGCTGGCTTGCGTTGGCCCACGTAGCTTGTCCAGATACGGGAGGAGGTTGATGAGGAACACTTGAGAGAGAGGGGAATTCGCTGGTAGAAAGTATATCGAAAGTTAGCCTATTTGCTTGCTGATAGGAACGCGACCCTCTCCTGCCACGATGTGTACCTCCTCTACGCCCCATATTTTGCGTGCAGAGAATTACTCTGTGTAGGGTTAAATCAAGGGAAGCGTGCATGTTTTAGTGTGATCATAAGGGTGAAGAGGTAACAACACAAGAAAGACTGTATAACATCATAGAAAGGTGTTGGTATAGCAACTCACGAGAGGTCTAAGGGTGTTGCTGTTTGTGAAGCACCTATACTTTGTGCAAAGCTATTCATTGTGTTCACTGTCCTTTGCTGGCTACTTTGTAGCCCAGGCGCACCTCCCATTGCCAGACCAAATCCCCAGTTAGCACCAGTTCCTGTGGCAGATTCCAAATTAGCATTCCAGCCTGAAGCTCAAGTTCGGATACCAAATAATAATCGCACCAATTTTACCATTTGGAAGTCGTGTTGAGGTTAATGAAGGATTGGGAGTTCGTGTCTGGGGTTGTTGCTGGGTGGGAAAGGTTGACATGCCTCGCAGAGGCTGCTGGCCAGGACCTGCATTGCGATTCAATACGTTAGTAACCTCTTTGTTATATCTAACCAAGAAAAGGATGTTGCGATATCCCATATCGACGACATGAGATGTGCGGAGGCGGAGGAGCATTTGCCGCGTGGTCTTCAAATATGGAGGCTTGGAGTAGTTGCTATTGCCCAGCTAGGGGTATATCAAGCTTCCACCCAAAGATACATTGAAGAAGAAGAAACCACAAGTCTATTCTCTTGCGGAGAAGCGGTGGAAACTAAAAAGGGAGAACCCAAGCACCCAGGACCGAAGAAGTGGAGTGGGCTAGCGAACGCACGCACCTGGCCTATTCATGGTGGAAAGCTATTCTGGAGACGCCTAAGAAGGGTTTATTTGGTAGAGGAGTTATTGTGAGAGAGGACTGATAGTTTCAATGTGCATGAAGAGGATGGTGTGGGGAGATCAAGGGCATCAGATCAAAGGACATGTCCATCTGGTCAAATGCAACCAAATCAGAGGTTGAGATCAGTCAAGCGCTAGACGCGCGTCTAATTATGCATGCACGGACCGTTCGGGGCCCGTCAGCTCCTCCCGTAATTTCACTCTCAAAGCTTCTTCCACATCTAACTTGAATCTGTACCTTGACTCTGAACCCCACGCCGAATTCCATGACGTTTGTTTCAGGACTGGAAAAGCTGCACTTTTAGATTCTACATACATGCGATATCGAGAGCATTCCATCTCCTACAAAGCTGGTTGCTTTCCTTTCGCTTGTGGTCACGATCCAGTGCACAGTTCCTAGGTTTAGATCGTGGCCCCCCGATCTGATACGGAATTTAATCTGTGTTAGAATAATAGCTTTATGTCCGATTTGCAATTGGCCTGTGCTATGGGATGAAAAGTCTCTATATGAATGTACCTGGGATCTCGGTAGTTACTGACGGGAAGCTGTGTGAAAAGAGGCGGCACAGTATGACTGGGGAATTGTAGTGTCAGCCAACTTTGGATATGAAAAGCAAACACAGAAAATAGAGTATAAGAAAGAGATGCACATTATGCATATGATTCCGAAGACAGCTTCAAACCTTCAATCATCGAATGATACCACTTTATTTCAAATCGAATCATGTTCCCGTCTTCACCTCCCATACGATTCCGTCCTCTCGAGTCCTCAGCTAATCGCCCTCGCACGTGATCTCGCTTGTCAACCTCCCTCGAATCGTCAATTTAGTTGCTCCCAGTTAGCCTAGTGCAATTTCGCCTACGATGAAAATTTTCAACCTCCACTGCTCCATCCAATATTCTTTCCAACTACTCACTCTCACAATGCCCTCACGATCCATCTCTCATCTTTTGAGACAATATGGAGGCTCTCCTCTGGTCGAATTGCCTCCTATTTTCCTCGCCCCTTCCCTTCAATTCTCCTTAAGCTATCCTTCCTTTCAATGCTCCAAATTCTCAACCACCCAGGCCAACGGCTTGAAGCGAGATCTCAACAAACAGCGTGGTGTCTCCGCTATTCACAGGACCGGCCCGAAACATAAGCTTTCAGTGTCAAAGTACCCTCTACCACGTCCTGTTAGTCCTAAAGAGCAAGAACAAAGACCTACCAATCCCAACCATGGGCTCTGGGGTTTCTTCGGCCCGGACCGAAAAGCTATTCCAACACCAGAGGAAGAATATGCACATGGTATGCATTTGCCCTAGATATCAATGGATTTGAGTGGAAAAACTTTCCTCCTAATATACACTACAGGGCGAGCTTGGTCAATTCAAGAACTTCGGCAAAAATCATGGGACGACCTTCACTGCCTCTACTGGCTTTGTGTGAAAGAACGCAACAGAATAGCAACTGCTAATTATGAAAGGCAGCGGTTGCATGCTGGTTTTGGAGAATTCGAGTCTAAGAATCGTGACAAAACTGTACGTGGTATTCTCTAGAGCATCGCTTATTGTATTGCGATGCCCGGACATTTCCTTCTTTTATTTTTATCTATCTTTATGACGAAACTTGTTTCACTCGCCGATATGACTTCTATTTGGGACCGCTTAAGCCCATAGAAATGATATATCTTTACGAATATTTTTTTTCTGATCATGCACTCTGTCTTTGATAATTTGCATGGAAATTTTCCACTTGGTCTCGTTTTCGTCTTTCATCTTTCAAAAGGTTCTCATGGGCTAACTCTGAAGTTCGTGGACAGGTGCGGAGTACGCAACGATCCATCAGACATGTTCTTCTTGAACGATGGTATGCCTGGGAAGACGCGCGAGAACTTTACGAAAGCGGCGCATATTCGCCTGCAGAAGAGGATGTTATGGAGCAAGAGGATCAAGAGCATGAGCCACCGGCGCTAAATGTGGATGAATCTCGAAATGAGAAACCCGCTACACTTCCTTGAATTGGCTCTGATACTTGTACTATTAGCATATTGTAACACTAAAAAAACAGGCTATCTGTTCTAGGAGACAGATTCTGCACTGGCCATCAATCTTACACAATATCATAACGAACATCTGGACTCCGTACACTATTGCCACTAAATCAAGTGTTTATTCTCCAGCTGGGAAATCATTATGTTTCTTTTTAAACCTATAACTTACGGTACATATATGCGCAGTTGAATGGGAATGTCTCCTCCCTACGCAATGCATGAAAATGTTACCTTCCAAACTAGCAGCAATGGAGAAGTAAGCTTTCAATTAAGAATAGAATAAAGAGGGCTAAAAATCGCGTTTTAAGAAAGCTATGTAAAGTTTATAGAGGGATTGCTGAGTCGTCAATGATTTGACATTGCTCAGGCCAGAAATAAAAAAGTGGATTATTGATCACATTGATCGCTAAGTGGTTGAGACCGTTAAAGCGTGCCCGCCACAGCAACCCAGAGCTCTTTGTTTCGGCCCCAATCTCTCCACAACTTGAAGCTGTCACATCTTTACTATTATTGCACATACAACAGCCTATTTCTTTGTCGTTGTTCGGAATTGTTCTCGACTTTCTGAAGTGAAAATCCTATTCATCTCCAACATGGAAGATATCTCGCCAGAATACGATGTTGTGGTGATGGGCACCGGTATGAACTTACCCTTCAGCTCGTTGAAGGATTGCGTTTGGGCTGCCACTGACCGACTTTCTACCCCCTAGGTTTGACGGAATGTGTTCTTTCAGGGTAACTACATGGCCTCTTGGACCACGTTCAAATAATATATATTAAAAGGCAGAGCTCCGAACTAATCCCCTCTTACAGTGTACTCAGCGTGAAGGGACAGAAGGTCCTCCACATTGACCGTAACGACCACTACGGCGGGTGAGTTAGCCTCTTCCCAAACTCGCGCGGAACCCTGTGCTATTAATGCTAACTGTGTAATAGAGAGTCCGCTTCCGTCAATATAGAAACAGTTTGTTTCCCTAGGTACCGTGTTGTTTGTCGGCCCTTATCGCTGACGATGATCACAGCTTTTCAAAAAATTCCGTGATGTGAAACTGGGTGAGGAACCTTGGAAAAAATATGGCCGAGTGAACGACTGGAACGTTGACCTGGTTCCCAAGCTGCTCATGTCAAATGGAGAGCTGACCAACATCCTCGTTTCCACGGATGTTACCCGATATCTCGAGTTTCGACAGATTGCAGGCAGCTACGTGCAACAGGGTTGCGGATCCAAAGCCACGGTCGCTAAGGTCCCGTCCGATGCGGGCGAGGCTCTTCGATCCTCGTTGATGGGCCTGTTCGAGAAGCGACGGGCGAAGAAATTCCTCGAGTGGGTTGGAGAGTTTGACGAGAACAACCCGGCCACCCATCAAGGTTCGATAGCATCCCGCCGCATAAGTCGGTTTGATTGAGGTTCAAGACGTTGCGAAGGTACTAACGTGGTTCTCAGGCTTGAACATGGCAACATGCACTATGAAAGACGTCTATGATAAATTTGGGCTAGAACCTACCACCAAGGACTTCATTGGGCATTCCATGGCCCTTTATCAATCTGACGACTATATCACGGAGGCTGGCAAGGCGAAGGAGACAATTGACAGAATCCGCCTTTATGTCAACTCTATGGCTCGCTATGGCAAATCCCCTTACATCTATCCACTCTTTGGACTTGGTGAACTTCCCCAAGGCTTCGCCCGTCTATCTGCCATCTATGGTGGAACATATATGCTCAACACCAACGTCGACGAGATTCTATACGACGGTGAGAAGGTTTCCGGTATCAAAGCCACAATGAAAGACAGGAGTGAGCCCGGAGAAGGCATGACCTTCACTACAAAAACTAAGAAGATAATCGGTGATCCCACCTACTTCCCTGGAAAAGTCCGGGTTACCGGTTACCTTCTCAAGGCCATTTGCATTTTGACGCACCCAATCGATAAAACGGATTCGAACGATTCTCTACAGCTGATCATTCCTCAATCCCAAGTCGGGCGAAAGCACGGTTGGTGCCTCAAGCATATCCCCCCACCCCCTTCCACCATAAAAGAAGTCTTCCGTTTCTAAACATTTGAACAGATATTTACATTGCGATGGTGTCTTCTGCCCACAACGTCTGCCCAAAGGGCTACTATGTCGCCATCGTCTCCACCATTGCCGAAAACGAAGTAAACCACCACATCGAGCTGGGGCCTGGCTTTGAACGCCTTGGAAAAATCGAAGAAACATTCATGGGTCCTCCCATCCCGCTGTACGAACCTATTGAGGATGGCAGCAAGGATCACATCTACATTTCAAAGAGCTACGATGCCACCAGCCATTTCGAGACTACAACTGGTAAAAATCATTCTTCTTCTTAGTTTCCCCCCACACACCTTAAAGTTATGGGAGGCGCGCTAACCAGTTGGTGAAATAAAAACAGATGACGTCAAGGATATTTACAGGAGAGCGGAGGGACATGAATTGGTGGTCGAGGGCTTGAGGGACGGAGCTAATCTTGTCCAAGAGGAGTAAATGATAGTACATAGGTTGAGGCGGACACGAAAGGTTTTGTCGAAAGATTCTATGCCTTGGGGATTATGCAGATATAAGATTTTTCTATGTTTTTTTCTTCCTAGTTTTATGTTTCTCCTTTATTTAATTAACAGTTCATCTTTTAGCATCATCAGTAGTAGCCCTCAAGGATTTAAGAAAATCTATGATTCCCCTTCCTTCATAGGTTTTAGATGGGAAAATTGGAGACGTGGACTATATTATTCTATGGGTCGTTTGTGTCAGAGGTCTGCTTGATGCTTGAGGTTTAAACATATACAGAATAAATTCATGCCATGCTGTGAGGTTCAATCAGAACTAGGGTACATATATCTGATATAAATCACAGTGACATTGCCAAGCTCATTTTTCTAACCAAACAATGGACACCTAGGAAATATTGTGCTTTGAAAAGTGTATAATTCCTAGAGATTTTATATGGGCTCCAATAGCTAATGTTGGAGGGTGGTATTAATAGCAGCTATGCCGTAATACAGTTCTGCCTGGCGCTCACACTAAACCAGTTAAGGTAACTAGTTAACTAACTTGACTTCAATGACTAAGCATATTCTCACGTGATAGAATTATCCACTATTCCCGAAACGGTAAAATACAAATACGCCAAGACTTCGGTTCTCCTCCTAACAACCAAACCCCGATTTGGAAGGATAACAAACCGCATCATATCGAAGGAACGACCAACCTCAAGCGAATGACGACAAACTTCAACATTGAGAAACGAAGAGGAGAAAACAAAACTTTGTTTCTCCATTAAGATATAGCCGTGTTTAATAATATCAACTATTCCGTCCGTATCAAGCAGCACCAAATTCAGCCGCGAACCAAACCACCCGAACCACGCGAAACGAACCCTGGCCGTCTTTCACCCCCACCCCCCCAATTCAGGCTGTGTACCGCGGGTGGAGCCGCGGAAATATAGACAGCGATGCGTATCGTAGAAGTTGTTATTGATGTGAGTACAGATCGAGAAGATGCGGCAATGTAGGTGGGAACATTTTGCTGACAAGCTGGTTTTCAACATTTGCAGGGCTTTAAATCCTATGCTGTGCGCACCGTAATATCGGGATGGTACGTTTCTATTCTTCTTTGTTCTTTCGTGCTGCTAATTCTTGCATCATGGCAAAATATGCACATTATGGTGGAAGAGATTTTCTCGCATGACCCCCCCCGGGTTCCACCACACTGCTAATTATCTATGAATTAGGGACGAATCGTTCAACTCGATCACCGGCCTCAATGGCTCCGGCAAATCAAACATCCTTGATAGCATCTGCTTTGTTCTTGGAATTACGAATATGAGCACCGTGCGCGCGCAGAACTTGCAAGACCTCATCTACAAACGTGGTCAGGCAGGCGTAACCAAGGCGAGCGTGACGATAGTATTTGACAATCGCGACAAGTCTAAGTCACCCATTGGGTTTGAGGAGTATGCGAGCATATCGGTTACGAGACAGATTGTGCTTGGCGGGACCAGTAAATATTTAATCAATGGGCACCGTGCACAACAACAAACTGTGCAAAATCTCTTCCAGAGCGTCCAATTAAATATCAATAACCCAAATTTCTTGATTATGCAGGGGCGAATCACGAAGGTGCTGAATATGAAGCCGGTGGAAATTCTGTCGATGATTGAAGAAGCAGCTGGAACTCGAATGTTTGAGGATAGAAAGGAGAAGGCTGGAAAGACGATGGCAAAGAAGGAGATGAAGGTGCGGGAAATCGAGGGACTGTTAAAGGAGGAAATCGACCCGAAATTAGAGAAATTACGAGGGGAGAAAAGAGCGTTCCTCGACTTCCAGCAGACACAAAGTGACCTTGAGCGCTTAACCAGACTCGTTGTTGCACACGATTATTTGAAGAATGGAGAACGGCTACGTTTGGCTGGAGAAGAATTTGACAAGAGGAAAAGAACAGTCACCGACTTGGAAAATAGCATTGCGAGACTCAAGGGTGAAATTGCTCACCTGGAAGAGGATGTGAGGAGGGTAAAGGCAATTCGCGAGAAAGAGCTCAGAAGAGGGGGGAAGTTTCAAGCACTGGAAGACCAAGTGAAAACGCATTCCCACGAAATGGTGCGGTTGGCCACACTTTTCGATTTGAAGACGTCAAGCATGGCGGAAGAATTAAACAAGAGAGAAGCCATGCAAAAGACGGTTACCGAACTGCAAGGATTATTGAAAGAGAAGAAAAAAGTCTACGATAAGTTGCAGGCCAAGTACGATGCGGCAAAGGCTGAGCTAGACAGCCAGACTGCTGAGGTTGAGCAGAAAGAGGAACTTCTTCAAACTTTACAGACAGGCATTGCATCCAAGGAAGGCCAAGAAAATGGATATCAGGGGCAGCTTCAAGACGCGCGAAACCGCCTCAGTTCTACGGCAACCGAACAAGAGCAGGCCAAACTTAAGATCTCCCATCTTGAAAAGAGGATAAAGGAGGAAGAGCCTCGAGCGAAGAAGGCCAAGGAACAAAACTCGAACCTCCTTAAGGGTCTTGAGGAACTTCGAAAACAGGCAAAAAAACTTGAGTCGGACCTCGCCAGGCAAGGGTTTGAACCAGGAAAGGAAGAAAAAATGTACCAGGAAGAATCCAGATTGCAGAAGAGCATCCGAGAGTTGAGAAGTCAAGCCGATTCTATGAAACGAAAAGTTGCTAATATCGACTTCAACTACTCAGACCCTTACCCCAACTTTGATAGATCTAAAGTCAAAGGGTTGGTAGCGCAACTTTTTAGCTTAGACAAGGATAAAATTCAGGCTGGAACTGCACTTGAAATATGTGCCGGTGGACGCCTTTATAATGTTGTCGTCGACACTGCTGAAACTGGTACGGCCCTGTTGCAAAATGGGAAACTTCGAAAACGTGTTACAATCATCCCATTGAACAAAATTGCATCCTTCAAGGCCTCTGCTGAGAAGATCGGAGCTGCGAAGAACCTGGCACCTGGAAAGGTGGATCTTGCTTTATCCATGATTGGATATGACGACGAGGTGGCTGCTGCGATGCAATATGTTTTCGGCACTACCTTGATTTGCCAGGATGCAGACACCGCGAAGAAGGTTACATTTGATCCCTCTGTGCGTATGAAGAGTGTTACTCTAGAGGGTGACGTGTATGATCCTTCAGGAACCTTATCAGGAGGCAGCTCGCCAATCTCCAGCGGCGTTCTCGTTATCCTCCAACAGCTGAATGATATAACGAGGCAGCTCATAGGAAACGAACGAGCTCTACGTTCTCTGCAAGAAACCATGACGAAGGAGAAGAAAAAGATGGATCTTGTGAGAGCTACTAAACAAGAATTTGATCTCAAGACACATGAGATTAAGTTGACGGAAGAACAGATCAATGGAAATTCGTCCACCTCGGTAAGTTTACCAATCCAGATTTCTCGAAGAATTCGAAGAAGTATAATAAGTCACTAATAAATGACAGATTATTCATGCTGTTGAAGAGATGAGAGCCAATATTGGGCAACTTAAAAATGATATTGAAGATGCTAAAAAGCGCCATGCTGAGGCTAACAACGATATTAAGCGGATTGAGAAGGATATGCGAGAATTCAGCAGCAACAAAGACAGCAAGCTTGCCGAATTACAATCGTCGCTGGACTCGCTCAAAAAGGCACTGAGCAAGAACTCGATTTCGGTCAAGACACTTCAGAAGGAGCTTCAAGCATCACGACTGGATTCCGAACAGGCTGGAAGTGACCTAACAGCTGCAGAAGAACAGCTTGCTGAGGTTGACCAGACAATAAAAGCCCAAAAGGAGGAAGTTGAGGCTCTCAAAAGGGAGCAAGAAAAATGCAAGGTGTGTCTCCAATTGAAACAAATGTTCGTGCGTTTTCTAAATAGGCTTGCTGATATCACGAATAGAAAGCGCATGATCTTGCTCAGGCTCAATTAGAGGACGAAAAGGCCAAGCTCACTGGTTTTGACGACGAGCTTCGTGACTTGGAGGAGGCATCTCGATCCAAAGCTGCACGAATTACGGAAGAGGGCCTTGAACTGCAGAAACTAGGCCATCAAATTGAAAAGTTCCAAAAGGATCAGCAAAATGCTGCACAGCTGGTAGCCAGCATGGAAAAGGAACACGAATGGATCGTCGAAGAAAAAGATAGCTTTGGCCGGCCCGGCACGCCATATGATTTCAAGGGCCAGAATATTGCCGAATGCAAGGCGTCGCTTCGTAATCTCACTGAGCGATTTCAAGGGATGAAGAAGAAGATCAATCCGAAGGTCATGAATATGATCGACAGCGTCGAGAAAAAAGAAGTGGTGCTCAAAAACATGATGAAAACTGTCATCCGGGATAAGAAGAAGATCGAGGAAACTATCATTAGCCTTGATGAATATAAGAAAGAGGCGTTGCAAAAGACTTGGTCTAAGGTTAATGGCGACTTTGGCCAGATATTCGCGGAGCTACTTCCTGGAAGCTTTGCTAAGCTGGATCCTCCTGAGGGGAAGGAGATTAGTGATGGGCTTGAGGTGAAAGTTAGCTTGGGCAAAGTGTGGAAGCAGAGCTTGACGGAATTAAGTGGTGGACAAAGGTATGCCCTGTTTTGTTGCTTTGTTTCTGTGAGTAGTGCCACTAACAAAGCCACCAATGTGCAGGTCTCTGATCGCGCTCTCCCTTATCATGGCTCTTCTCCAGTTCAAACCAGCACCCATGTACATCCTCGACGAAGTCGACGCGGCCTTGGACTTGTCTCATACGCAGAATATCGGACGTCTGATCAAGACACGTTTCAAGGGTTCACAGTTCATTGTGGTCAGCTTGAAGGACGGCATGTTCCAGAATGCAAATCGGATCTTTAGAACGAGGTTTAGTGAGGGCACCAGCGTTGTCCAAGCACTGACTCCAGCAGACTTGAAGTAGGCCGGCTGCGGGTTTTAACTCTTGTTTTTTCCTTATCTTTCTCTTAGTTTTAATAAGATGGGATTCTGGGGAAATAAACATTCTCTCGTTGGATTTTTTGGAATATAATGGTATTTGTTTTGGTCTATGGCTGGAAGCGATCAGGTTTATCTTGGGTTTTTTTTTTTTTTTTTCGTTGACAATGGTAATCATACGGTCTGGCGTTCTTTGATTAGGGCTTGCGAAGGACGAGAATGGAGGTGTTATTTTGCATTCTTTTCCGTTTCAAATGATCTGAATGAAGGACTTGTTTATATATTTCGCATGTGTCTTTGTGGTTAGTATCATTCCGTCTATTACGTCGTCTTCCTTATCCCTTAATGAAGTCATATCATTTATAGTTCCTGTGGCGTGTTTAGATGGTATAGAGAACTTGTGATGTTCAAGCGTGTCTTAGCAAGCGCAAAACCCAAATGGAAGATGAAATGATATACAGAACCTCAACAGATGGTTTTCCCTATTGACTTTTAAGATAGATGCCTCAAAGTTACTAACAATTCCATGAAAAGCGGAATATATAAGCTTACGCATTATATACTACAGACGTATGCGGAACTCCATGACGACGGTGCGCCGTTGCTCTCAAAACTCCTGGCCACCATCATCAGCTTTACAAAAGAAAAAGACAACAATGGGAGGTTTTCTTCCCACGATCGAAGTAAAAGTAGCAGCACATTGAGAGCCATCTTCCAATGCTTGATCAAGTTGGCGATTCACCTCAGCAACCGTTTCTTGGATCGCTACCGCCTCAACTGGCTTGTCCTTGGCCAGCATATGCGTCTCCAAGATATTTGGTAGCATAATCTTAAGTGCTGCCTGACCAACGCTTGTCATTTCCTCTGGCTAAGAGGAGGTATACCATCAAGCTTCCCTTCGTGTTACATCCTGAATCCCTATTTTTTTCAAGGATGATACGATTAGATCAGGGAGGGTGTAACCTCACTGTTAAACTATTGCCGGAGCTATATATGGCCCTGATCAGAGAGGATGAGGGAAAAGGGAAATGTGGTCGCAGGCTCATCCATACTTTAGAGGGATGCCGTAAGTGGGCATGCGGTCCCGGGAGAGCTGCGATATACTCCATATGTTGATTGTGCGGATCTGACCTAACATTGGCCCATGTTATATCTTTCCATTGAAGACAACCACCGGGCCCTTGAAAAGGTGATTTGAGCATAGATCAGCGTATGAGATTTCCACTAACTGTGAGAACTCTGGGGGAAAGGGAGAAAATAGACGTAGCGAAGCAGCTCCATCGGGTTTGATACCACTGCCGGCACCTCTACAGTTTTTAATGCTTGCACGACAAGCTTTTATTTGCAGGATTTAAACCACCTTCTCTGCCCTGATTGCCACATCTCGCTTAATATTTTCTGTGGGGATTGATGGCTGTGGCTGCAGTAAACTCTCGGCCCGTTGAACTAAGAGAGGATGCTGTGTCTTTAATCTAATATGAATTTTTAGCCATTAGCAAAGAGATATTAATATATACAAAGACCGTCAAAATAGCTGCAACCAACCTTTTGTATTTTTACACCTCTACGAGAAAGATTATGCTCCACCCTGGCCGGAGTAGATCACGTCCGTTATTTTTAAATGCGGAAATATATGCGATCGTTCAACTGGTGGAGGTAAATGGGTTAACAAGACTAAACTCACGTACACTTGGTGGTTACCTCCCCCCATTTTCGCGGCCCTGCGACAGACTCAAGTAATCACTGTAATCTCCAGCGCTTGAAGTAGTGGAATAAATTTTATTGGTATTATGACAGCGTTAATCCTTGAGATTTAGACCCGCCGGTGGCTGATGTCGAAACTCGGATTTCCAGTAATATCAGAAGGGAAATAAACACACTCCTGATGCCTGGTGTCCATAGCTATATAGATAGCTATACCTATGAATACAGCAATCTCAAGAGGTTGCCACATACTATATGTGTGGTACCATTTCCCACAGCTTCGGCCTGGGAGAAACGGAAGATAGAAGCATTGCAGGCATTTCATACCTACCAGGTATGCAGACAGTTGCTTGTAGTGTGCACATATCAAGAGTTGTAGTATGTGGTTGCATTTGGCAACATGAGGTATCCAATGTCTTCGATTGATGTTTTTGTAGAAGATGACGTAGGAGTTGGGAAACCCGAAGTGTTACCAGGTGAGATGTTGTCAGTTAATAGACGACTTTGGGATCGTTTCTGATCAATGCCAACTACTTGACAACGGAATTTGTTCTGGTGAGAGAAGAAAATGGAATCTGTCAGGTGTTGAACGCTCGAGGCGCTTAAAGTCACGTGTTCAAACTGCCACGGCTAAGATATCGACAAAAACTTTGTTTGGCCACCTAAGCGCCCGGCGACGTTTTTTCCGCGCTCCGCTTTATATCATTCCCCTCAGCTTGCACTAGAATCCATCCCCATTATCCATACTTGCAACTTGTTGTCCTCTGGTCCTCGTAAGCATTTTACAATTTCGCCACTCTATACAGTCCTTACATCCATCATAAAATCAACAACTAGCCTCCAATCTCGATCGTCGGAACCCGACCTAACTCTGAAGCACGAACAAGTCTGGCGCGCTAATCCGTAAGCAAAACCCTCATACATGGCCGACGCGGAGCCATCCCTCAACATCCCTTCTCTCCTTACCCTCGCTGTCTTCTCTTTCTTTGTAATCCGGTGGTTCTTTGGACGAAACGGCGCTATCCCATCGAGCGATGCCGCGGAGCGGCAGGGAAGCGGAAGGCGTGTTGATCCCGCTCACGTAGAGCAGCTGTCACAGATGTTCCCTCAACTGGATAGGAGAGATATCATGTGGGATTTACAGAGGAATGGGGACAGTATTGCTGCAACATCGGAGAGAATATTATCTGGCGGAGGATTGGATACGGTGAGTTGGAAACCTGTGTTATCCCCTTCTCGTCTCTCAAGCACTATTTTGCCTGTATCTCGGAATCTCAGCAGACCAGTTTCTATATTAAAGGGGACATCAGACATTGGCAATATCTAACACTTGAGGCTGAAGGCCCGAGTATCTATTAAAAGGATAACATGCTGACACATGTTGACTCGTTTTCTCTTTCCTCTAGCCACCACAATCCTATCAGCCTCAGATCCCTGTCCCGTCAGCCCCAATGACAACCGCCGCCGGTTCAAACCCCCGATCCACACCTAAACCACAAGCGCAAGACCTCATATCACGATACAACCTTTCAGATAAAGTTAAATCGGAATCAGCGCCAATCGTGGAAAGCTCGGGCTCTGAGACAATTTTACACCAGGAAAGTACATGGTCACAAAACCGAACCGAGAGACAGCGCCTTTTGCAACAAAGAAGAGACGAGATGATCCTGGCTGCGAGGAGGAAATTGCAGGAAAAAGATAGAACGGCCGGGCGAATATAATTGGGACTTTTAGGCTGGTCGACCTGTATATCTCTTCCTAATCATGGAAATAATTTCCCTGGCCTGACGCACCTCGAAGTGTTTTTTTTGTCCAAAATACATGCGTCGCCGGTGCAGTTGTTAAGCCTTGGAGGTGGGGCTCCATCTGTCAACCATAGTATCTGGATGACATTTTCTTGTTTTCTTTGCTGCACTGCTAAAGATTTGCTTTAAAGTGTGCTTCTTGTTTTGCTTAATACCATTGTTATACCTGCCTTAACTTAGCCATGCATAGAGCCAAAATTATGTATTTATTGGACCCCCCCCTGTTGACACCTTTGCTATAGTACGTCGATTGACAGATGTCCCAGACATATGCATCTCTTACAATTCCATGTCGTCATAATCGTCATTCGTTTCACCGTACTGCCGATTGGCTGCTTCTTCTGCTTCTTTTTCCCGTGCAGCTTCTTCTTTTGACGTCCCGAGTTGTCTAGGAACAAAGAAAAGAATCAGCGCAACTAGTATAAAGCTGCAGAGCTGTTAAAAAAGTATGGAATATCCCCACCCTTGTTAACCTTGCGGGGGTGTATAATGTCCACATACCTAAAGATCTCTGCCACTCCAGACATGAATGCTCTACTCTCCCCGATTTCCATAGCTCCCACACCAGTCAATTGCAATCCGTCTCCTCCACCAACCGCAGTGGCATCCAGTCCTTCGACTTGGATTCTCATCTTAGCCATTCGTACTTCCCTCAAATCTCGTATCAGCCGACGTATTTGGTCTGCATCAACCAAATCGTCGCTTGCGACATCTAACAGCATGGTCGCAAGCTCCAGCCAGTGATATGGAAGAGAAGGGGAGACGGAGGGAGAAGTCAATCTATCCTCTGCGGTATTTTGCAGTAGAAACGGTGGTGATGGGTAATATATTTGGCCGTCCAGTGTATACTCATGTGTTGGAGGTCCATTTCTGCGGTTCCCCATTGCACCATCTCTGTCTCCGGCGTTGTGGGTAAGTGGTGGAGGTTTAAGAAACGCGTCTCCCAGCGAGTCGCGGTCAGTTTCTACTTCGAGAATAAGAGAGAGCGCTTCGGGATTTAGCCAGGGAGGGGGAAGGATGTTTGCGCGTCGTTGTCGTTTGAGGAGGAGGGCTAACCAGAGTGGGAGATTTGTTCGTCGTGGTGGGACGAGCGGGGGTATGAGCCCCTTGACAGAATCAGGAAAATATGGTTAGTTTATTACGTCGGATGATGGCATTGAGAATAGCAAAATTTACGGACGGCATAACTGCCTGCGAAACTGGCCTTCTGGATTCCTTTTGGAGCCCTTACAAGGCGGATTGTAGGCTTTTTTTTTTTTACCTATGCTTTATTTCTCGTAGCAGACAGGGTCAACTCACTCCAAGCAATTCGAGCTTCTCAAGCCGCTGTCGGGGAATGACGGTGACCATTTCCATTTCACAAAGGAATGCAATTTCGGGGGGCGTAATACCCCTGGGTAGAGGGAAAGCCATGGCAGGCAAATTATGATAAACACCGGTGCTTTGCGATTTTCTGATCTGATCTCCCGCATCTTCCAAAACAGTTCACTCCCATAAGTTGAGATCGCGTCGAATCTCCAGTAGTTAAAGGGTTAGTCATTTAAGGTCATGTGATAACTTGATTTACTTAAACTCCAAAACTACAATTGATATAAACTGCTCCGGTTTGAAGCAGAAGGGAGGGCAAAATATGCATAAGACTCCCTATCATTACCCCCTGTTGATAAACTACTCAATGTGGTTTAAATGCATATCGGATTCGATCCCTACAGTTTGCGACCAAAAGTGCGTGCTAGCTGGTTCAGGGAATTGGTGAAAGAAGTTGGTCTGAACAAAAAATCACAACAGATCCCCGATCCTTTGTGGGTAGATGATTTTGCTGCGGAGGCGATATGGCGCCTGAAGAAAAGTCAGTACCCAAAAGGACACAGAGTTGGTGGGTAGCCTTACCTGTAACATCGACAGCGTTATTCGCATCCACTCTCCTCATCATTTGGCAACTCCTCATCAACTCTGTGGTCCCGGACCCCTATTTGGACGAGGTGTTCCATGTTAGACAAGCACAGGCATATTGGGTGCATCGGTGGCGGCAATGGGATCCTAAAATTACCACTCCTCCAGGAGTATACATATGCTCATACATAATCGGGGCTGCTTTATTCGCCGTCGGGTTACGGCCAACGCACCCCACAGCTTCGTTTTTCCGCTACGGAAACAGCATTGGATTGTTCAATATCCTTCAACTTAAGCTTAGAAAGCTTATAGGATATATATGGAATGACAATCTCGTGTCAACGACTAAAAGTTCGGCTGTTTCTGTTTCGCTGAATTGTCAAGAGCTGTGGGAGAGGAATCTGACAGTGTTGAATATTTGTCTCTTTCCTCCGCTATTTTTCTTTTCTGGACTCTACTACACAGACATAGCCGCTCTCTTAATTGTGGTGGAAGCTTATATCTGTGATTTCAGCCGGAGTCATCACCGTGATGCCCGATCAACCTTTGGTGATAATATGGTTGCCTTATCCTGGAGAGATTTCCGGTTCTTGATATACGGCTTCCTTTCTCTGACATTCAGACAAACCAACATCTTTTGGGTGGCTGTCTTTCTAGGAGGGCTACGGGTTGTGAAAACACTGCATAGGGTGACAATTGATTGTCAATCCACCGACGTTTGGAGAATTGCTCAGGGTAGCTGGGAACTCCATCAACTTTATGACCCTCCAGTTAGCCAGGCATCTTTCCAAGGTACTTCTCACGTCGTGGGCGAATGATGCAGCTTTCACTAACTCGTTCGATAGACTATTTAAAAACGTTGGTTTCCTTAGGCACCTCAGCTGTAGCGCATATTGCCCAAGTAATTATTGCGCTGCTCCCCTACTTACTCTTTCTTGGTGCATTCGGACTATTTGTCATATGGAACGGATGTGTAGTTCTAGGTGAGTCTCCATTCAACATTAAATTATGTATGATTGATCCCTAATTGGAACTCTTCAGGCGACAAGGAATTCCATACTGCGGGCCTCCACCTCCCGCAAATGCTCTATATATGGCCATACTTCATATTCTTCTCGTGGCCAATAGTCTTCATACCCTTCGCCATATCCGTCCTCCAACGGTCCTTAACGAAAACTCTTCTCAGCATGAAAACTGCAGCAATTTTTCTTCCATTAATGCTAATAACCGTCCACTTTAATACTGTTGTCCACCCATTCACCCTAGCCGACAATCGCCATTACGTTTTCTATATATTCCGCATTCTACTGAGGCATCCGCTAATAAGATATTTGGTCACGCCCATTTACTTTATTTGCGCATGGGCTGTCCTTGCAACTTTCAGCGCAAACTCTCCATCAGGTTCAGAAACCTATGCGCCAGATGATAGCAGCTCTAAAAGTAGCCAAAGTCCGCCAACGAAGGCGCGAGAGAATGATCCACCTCGAGTTCGAGTTAGTTTTGTTCTTATCTGGCTAATAGCCAGCTCTCTTTCTCTGATTATGGCACCTCTCGTTGAACCGCGATATTTCCTCATACCATGGGTGATCTGGCGGCTTCACGTCCCGCAGCCATCAACCAGAATGAACGGGCTCCCAAATGGTTTCGGGAGGGAATTTAACCGTGCCAAATTACTACGATATCTTCCTCTACTCTTAGAGACTGCGTGGTACATTGTCATTAACGTAGTTACCGGGTATATGTTTTTATATCGAGGGTTTGAGTGGCCACAGGAACCAGGGCCGGTACAAAGGTTTATGTGGTGATGATCTATTCGGGAAGTTTGTGGATTTTGTTCGCTTGTACGATATATTTAGTGAGACAAGGGAATACGATAAGCATTGGTGTCAAGTGAAGGGAGAGGGCACCTCATCCTATCTATTTTAGCTAGTTATAGAGACAGATGGAATACATCCTTGTTCAGCAAAGTACTTCCAACCACGGTCCTACAGAAGATCCGATTCATTTTCGAACTTCCCCAGAACACTTCTAGAATCTGTCATCCGACCATTACTAGTTACCTAGGTACGTTATTTGCATTGGGTAGGGTGGGTGTTTAGTCTGCAAATTAATTATACAGAACTGTGCTCTGTACCGCGACACAGATAGATCCGAGACTAAAAAATTGCAATTTTATTTCATGCACAGAGCCCAAAGTATTCCCGCTAGATGATCTCTTCATAGGGCTGAATCCCAGACATGACATGCCCCTGGGCATGTTCCCCTCTAAGCATCGACACGAAATGCACATAGCTAGTTATTAAAAGCAGTTGTAAAATAAGACACAAGCTGGCCCAATTTGATGTCATTATTCATATATTGGGACCGATATAAAATAGCTCATTCCAATAGCAAGTGGACATGAAGAAACAAAGAATCCAAATGCTAGGGGAGCTTCAAAAGTACCAGAAATTTTTGAACCCTGTTGCTTATGGGTTGTTCTTGGACGACAGCGTGGAACAAGGCAATAGGATGCATATCAGAAAATGGCACTGGCGGAGCGGCAGAGCAGCAGAAGCAGCTGCACATAATTGGCCTGGGGCGCGCACTATTCTCTCAACATTCTTGTTTACCGTTCATGGTCGGCGTAATAAGCCTCCAAGAGCTCGATTTGGGTCTTGAGTTGCAAAACAGTGTAACTATCACAGTGTGTGGGCCACAAGCAGAGAATATGTGAAACAAGGCCGGCTGTGTGTAATTGCTCAACAGGGTAGAGAGTGACGAGAGAATCGTGACACTCAGGCAAGCTCCTAGTTCCACATGCTGATGGAAGAAAAGTACTGACAGAATTTGCTAGAGTAATTATTATCTAACTATTCCACCACAGTTGTGAGCTATCCAAATAATTGAATCGCAAGGTCTTCAAAACCGTAGAGGAATAGGAAATGCCTATCGCTCTTTTTACGTGACAATGGAGACCGGTCTGTCTGCAAGCAGGAAATCGACCAGCTGACAGTCCTCACTCTCATTTGCTGTTCCATATCCTCAGGCGCTCGTTTCCTCTTTGTTATCGTGGTTGTTGTCGAGGTTCGGCACAAGTGTAGTTGATTCTGACGGAATCTTCTGAAAAAGGGATCAACATAACACATACAGCGGATATATTCACTGGTCTGGGGCGCATGGAACATCTTTGCGATGCAGTTAGCTTCCTGTCCTCTTGCTTCACTTCAAAGTACGCGCTATACCAGACGTGAAAAGCATAATGAGTGCACAACCCCATGACTTCGCATCCACCATCCTCGCATACGAGCAGATCAATTCTTTCAAAATGTTCATTTATCATATATTCTGTGCATAGTTTCGCTGCTGGTGCCCTCAGGGGTCCAACTGCATACGAAGTCTGTTGGGCAGGCTGTGCTGTGGTAGTGAGGGCTTGTTGTTCGGGCTGTCGGATGTACTTGGGGAGCCACAGCCGTCATAATGGCCCTCACCACGATCACAGCTTGCAATTTCTATCTTCGATGCCTGTCAGGCGGCATGTGTGCGGCGGGTTTACTTCCTACTCCTAAATGAAGGTTTGTTTTGAAGATGGAGAGAGGCGAAAAGTTCGACTTAGTTACTGACTGTATCTCACCCTCAAAAGTTACACCACTTAATGAACTTGAGATGTATTGTCAAATTGCTTTGTTGTATGCGATGAATTAGACTCCAGATGGGCAAGGAGCATATGAAATGGGAACTGAGTTTAATATCGGCCGTGAATATTTTGACACGGAGAAAAAGTTAGTGATTTTTCGGTTCTGTGCTATTGAAAATTCAGCTGCGACTTTGCTCAAGGGGTATATCTAAAACTTGAAGATTCAAGAGAGCTGTGTATTGCTTAATAATATAGTGTGGGTATATTATGAATTCCCTGGACGAAAGGGGAAAGGCTTTAAAGCATTCGAAGATGGTAACATGAACTTACATGCATTGATAGCCACACAGAAGTCACAGATAGTTTATGACCAATATGAATTTTGATTCATCTTGATGTGTAGTAATTTGTTTATAGCCAATGAGGTGGTTCATGGGGTGAAAATTATTGCGACAACACCCCTGCAGAGGCTCGATCAACCCTGTCAACCTGTAAACATCTGTATCCATATGGCATTTATCCCCCTATTAAGCGTGTTCATTTTTGCTCATTGAATTGTAGACTTCCGATTGCTAACCAGTATACTCAATACGAAATGAAAACATCGCTGATTATCCTTCGATTATCTCCAGGCTCTCATAGAATTATATATTAGTGATAGACATGTAACTTACTTAATATCCAGTCCTTTTGCAAACTTCAGCCATCCCCATACCTGGTTGCTCTGACATTCTCTTTTAAAAAAGAGCAAAATACCACCTAGACAACCAAACTAGCCAGCCCTAGGCCCAGCTAAAGCAAAGAACTCCAGGGGCCGTACACAGAAAGCTCCATTGACCTTCAATTTGTGACCATTATCCGCCAGCTTCAGATCAACCTTCCGCACTATACTTATCAGCGTAATGAGACACCATTGCCAAGCAGGCACCGCCCCAAAGCAACGCCTCTTTCCATTTCCGAATCCCTTCTTCACCCCAGAGGGAAGCCTGTCATATGCCTCTCCGAGCATTCGCTGCGGTTTGAAAGCTTCTGGGTCATCAAAGACAGCTGGATCACGATTGACGGCGGCGAGAACTGCGATCATAGGCTGGTTCCTTGGAATCTGATACTTGCCACCTGCCAGCTGAACGTCACCTGGTTGGTCGGAGGGTATGGGCTCGATATTAAATGCAGGTGCGACGGCGGAGAGGCGATGCGATTCTCGGAGAATGGCTTCGCAGAATGAGAAGCTGGATAAGTTGGATGGTGAGATTTGGCCATCGGAACCGAGAATGGAGTCGATTTCGTCCCGGGCTTTTGAGATATCTTCTGGGTTTTGGAGCAGGTAGTATACCGCAAACGCGACTAAGCAGGGAGCTGTAGCTGAGCCGATGAAAATAGTGATTATTTCATCAATCACTCTTTGTTCCTCCAGAGTTTCACCAGTTTCTGGATCTGGAGTGTTTAGGAGCGCATTGAGCATGTCGTGGTTTGGTGTTAGCTCAGATTTGCGGCTAGAAATGATTTCCGCTGCATAGGTGCGCATTGTTTTGATATCCTTGTCGTATTTCCGTTGATAAAAAAGGCTGGTTAGAAGTTTGGGACGGTTGGGCCGCTTCATTGCTTCGAGGGTAGAGCTGTTCATGGCTGCAATCATGGGTGGCTCAGGTCCTTCGAAATAGTTGGCGGACTGGTTGAAATAGCAGGCTAGAACTGATTGAAGGTCCGAACGCTGCAAGTCGCCAGTCACATCGATGCGCTGATCAGGTTGAGAGGTCCACTTGGAGATGAGATTCGAGGCACACTCGATCATTTGGGCAAACATACTTTCCGCAGCGGATGGGGTTACCATTGGAACCATAATTCGATGCGCTACATCCCAACTGCTTTCATGATGATATGCGGTAAAAAGGGAGTCATGCACCGCTTGACGGATCTCAACTACGGGCCCCGTTACACATTTCCGGAATCGACCCTCATCACAGATTTCCTCGAGGAGTGCTGCGCTTCCGATAAAAACGATTTGGTGACCAAGGGCTTTGACTTTGAATATCTCTCCTGTTAAGTAATCAACACCTGTATATCCGTGCTCAGCGACGAGATCCCTTGGACATACCGTATTTGTCCGCAAGTTTTCTTAATGAGCCCCAGGTATCCTTCGTGTCGATATCGAAAATATTGCCCAGGATTGGCACTCCCGGAGGCCCAGGGATGGGAGTCGTCATTTTTGTTTGCGGGGTAGGATAGGGATGTATATTCTGCAGCTTTTCAACTGGAGAATGGGTTGGGTGGCTTAATATTTAAACGAATGGAGAGACATATTGGACTTGGATTTTAAAGAGGTCCAGCGGAGTCAGCTAATTTCTTCTCAACATCTTCGCCCAGCCACCCATAAGGCAGTGACAGCTGGGTTGATGAAACCCAAAATAAACGCATCATGTTTCGCAGCACTCTCTGAATTGGGAAATCGAAGATTCGCCAGCCAGTTAGCATTCAAGTCAATCTGCCTTCATAACGATCCAATCGCAACGCAGCCCTCAATATTTGGACAAGCCGTGTAATCGAATCAGGATGCGGACATAGTAACGAGAGGTGAGAAACATTCAGCCAAGCTAGTTTATGTATGGTTCACGACTTTATTGAACCACTTTTGGCATAGAGCGTGCATGTTCGTTTGCCATGGCTCACAAGCGACACTAATCGAGAAGCTCAGCTCCGGAGCAGCCCAATTAGAGGCCAGCATCAAATTGTAGTGGAAGAAACAAAACAGCAATGTCAACAACGATTGGCCTAGAATTGAAACAGGCAAAGTCTCCATTTAATCTCGTTGTCATCACAGCAGTTTACTGCTGTTCATGTAACTCTATGGAGCATACGCAGTATACAGGCCTCCTTTTCTTTCTGCGTCAGTTAGTTCGAATGTAGAGTTATATAAGGGAAAGACTAATTGGAACCGCAGTTGGGGGAAACTTGGAAATTATATGCACATAAAAAAAAGAAGAATATGGTTTGGTCCTTTCCATTGGCAAGCAAAATCCACCCACAAAATTTTACGGAGAGCTGCATCTAGTGACCAAAAACGCCCAGCCCAGTCCATCACAGGTTCCTGGAAAATTTGGTCGTCGTCGTTGTCTCAATAGCCAAGTTGTTATTCGACATACATTACTGCATGTATCGTGATTTGCCAGATTCCGGGATAACTCTGAAATCCCTTGGGAGAAGGTAAGTTTGTTGACGGGATGAAGAGAGATGAGGTTGAAGATATATGTAGGCCAACGGATCAACCTCGGGCCGGGAAGCGGGGAAAGGATTATATCAACGCGTGCCAGATTCCGTTCAATATTTGATTCAGAGGTTGCACTATTAACACAAACAGAGATTAAACAAAAGATTAATTAACTATGGCCTCGATTCCCTGCAGACTATAGGACCGTATCCGAATCAGAATATAAGTTTTATTTTATTTTATTTTATTTTATTTATTTTTTTCAAATGACTTGTGCTCATTCGCTAGCATAATAACTACGTGCACCCCAAGACACTCACAGCTAGCTCAACTACAAAATCGAAATGTTTGACACAGTATGCAGTCTTCCCCTGTCCGCCGACCTCTTTGCTCAGGAAATTCACCCAACAGAACCTCTGGTTTCGGTTGGCCTCTCCTCAGGCCACGTTCAGACATTTCGCATACCTCCAACGAGCGACGGCGGCCCTGGCGCAACCAAAAATGGCTGCGGCCTTATCGACACTGCTTGGAGAACAAGACGGCATAAAGCAAGTTGTCGGTGCTTGGGCTATGGAATTGATGGGGAGACATTGTATTCCGCGGGCGCAGATGGCTGGGTTAAAGCTGCAAAAGCAGAAACTGGCGTGGTAAATTTGAAGATTGCCATTCCGAGGCTTGGGGAAGGGTATGTACCGCCCTCCTCTTTGTCTATATATCCAATCCTCCCCTGCGAATACTTTCTCTCACAAATGTGCTTTTTAATCCATATTCAAAGTTAGATATTCTATTAAAGAACGACACTTGTTTTATCCTCTGTTCTCCTTTTTCTGCTCTTGAACTAATTCACTTGCTCTTCAGGTCTCTCGACGCGCCCACCGTAATCCATGCCCTTTCGCCGGAAACCCTTATTCTCTCCACAGACTCTGGTGCTCTCTATCTTTACGACCTACGCGCACCTCCCTCTTCGATCTCGCAGAAACCACAGCAAACACACCATCCGCATGACGATTATGTTTCTTCACTGACGCCACTCCCCCCATCTGAGGCAAGCACTTCCGGGTTTAGTAAACAATGGGTTACAACCGGTGGCACTACAATTGCTGTTACGGACTTGCGCAGAGGGATTCTGGTTCGCAGTGAGGACCAAGAGGAAGAACTGATAAGCTCTGTCTACGTTTCAGGATTGAAAGCTGGTGGCTCAAGCAAAGGTGAAAAACTGCTCGTTGGAGGAGCAAGCGGAGTATTAACTCTCTGGGAGAAAGGAGCGTGGGATGACCAAGACGAGAGAATTGTGGTGGATCGGCAACTTGATGGTGGAGAATCTCTGGAGGTGTTATCTTTGCTTCCTGATAATTTAGGAAGAGGGAAGGTTGTTGCCGTCGGTCAATCGGATGGGGCTGTCCGGTTTGTTCAGCTTGGAATAAATAAAGTCGTCTCTAGGGTTGTGCATAATGAGTTGGAAGGAGTTATAGGTCTAGGGTTCGATGTGGGAGGGCGAATGATCAGCGGTGGCGGGTCGATTGTTAAAGTCTGGCATGAAGCTGAGGAGCGAGAAGGCGATGATGAAAGCGGTTCGGAGGACGAGGACGTGCAAAAGCCTGAGCAAAGGTTTGTGATGGAGAGTAATGAGAATGGCAGTGGTGATGACAGCGATGGAGGGCTAAAGCAAAGTAAGAAAAAGCGAAAGAAGAGAAAGAAGGGGAGAGGAAGAAGTCAGAGTGGTGGAGACCATGTCATAGCGTTTAACGAGCTCGATTAGGCGCTTTTTTGGCTCTCTGCCCTCGGTTTGGTACCTCCGGTTATCCCTTTTCTTTCTCTCCCCTTCATCCAGTGGAGAGATTCGTGATAATATAACGGACAAAATGAGTAGTCGATCACATTCTGAAACTGAGGCACCCATTGTGCTAGGATTTATTTTCGGCCATTCCTCCTTCTCTAGATTTCTATTATTCTACTAGGTAAACCCGGGCTTCTTGAAATTCTGAAACGCTCTGTCTCGCTACAACCTCCGATTTATTTCTTCACGATGTCCGATGCTTCATTACATGTTCACCATGTAAAATTTAAGGTTGTTTCCGCCGAGGAAGTCTCTGGATGTCAAATTTCCCTTGGGACTTGCTGTGGTTCCTGTGGATGTAGAGAGAAACAAAGGAACAAACACCAATTTTATGAGCATTTTATCTATTTATTATTTGGTCTTTATGTCTTTAATGATTTATGGAAGATTCGTATAGATACCACTTTTTCCTGGGCGGGGACCAGTGCAGATAAGATAAGAAGCTGTCCCGTAATAGTTATTTAACTAACCAGATTTCCTTAGTCATCGACACCAAAGTTTCAACTGACGGACACCATCTTTTGTGCAAAACGAAAATCCCAAGCTTGAAGAAGTCGAGCTATACAGCCAAAATATAATAATCCATGTCCCAAGGCTAAAATCATATGATATTGGGTCTTAAGCCAAAACTATTCGATTATGGCATCCAGCTTAGAAGCTGCCCTAGTTCTTTCTACTCCAGACACTCGTATTTTAGACAACCCGGCTCCGCCCCGTGTTTGGAGAAACTTTTCTGACGAGGAGCTCCGCATTACATATGATATCAACCGGACATTGGAGGAAATACGGCAGGGGAAATGGAAGCGAATAGCACTACAGTTCCCTGATGAGATGCTTCCAGATGCGCCGCGGGTTTTTCAGCTTCTAAGCCGCGGCCTCGCACCGACGACTCGGACGACATATTCCGCCGGGGAGGAGCGGAACAGCGCAAACGAATATGGAACAGATTATACTATAAATGAACTGCAAAAGAATATGATAGAAGATGTCGTGAAGCCAAAGTTTGATGCGCTCAATATTGCGTATTCGCCTGCTAAAGACCAGCCCCATTTGTACATACTCGCCGACACATCGTACGGCACTTGCTGTGTGGATGAGGTTGCAGCTGAGCACGTAAACGCCGATGTGGTAGTGCATTATGGTCGAGCGTGTCTGTCGCCGACAGCAAGATTACCTGTGATCTACGTTTTTACGCATCGACATCTTGACGCCGGTCCAGTGATTAAAGCGTTTAAAGAGACTTATCCGAATCGTGAAAAGAAGATCCTGATTGCAGCAGATGTCACGTTTTCGGACCACGTCGACAGGATAACATCTATATTGACGGATAAAGAAGGATATACAAGCGTATTTGCCACATCTGTGGTTCATGACCCGTCGTCTCCGATACCGAACAGGACCGTTCCAGAGTCAGTTAGGGATAACCCAGAATCATTGCGGGAATGGCAGCTTTTCCATATCTCGGGTCCGCCAACTGCTCTCCTCCTCACTCTTTCATCCCGAGTTGCTGCCATTCATATTTACCCCACCGATCAGGGATTGGATCAATGTGGTGCTAATTCTAAATCCATAATCGCCTCCACGGCCGTCGCACTGCGACGAAGATATGCCATCCTAACATCTGTCAGCACTGTTCCGATTTTTGGAATCCTTATTAATACATTAAGCGTCAAGAACTATCTTCACATAGTTGAACATGTGAAGGCTCATATTGCCGCAGCCGGCAAGAAGAGCTACATGTTCGTAGTTGGCAAGCTGAATGCCGCAAAGATAGCGAATTTCGGTGAAATAGGAGGTTGGGTTGTGATAGGGTGCTGGGAGAGCTCACTCGTGGACAGTAAAGATTTTTGGAAGCCTATTATCACACCCTACGAGTTGGAACTTGCATTGAAGGGCGATGTAGATCGCGTATGGACTGGCGAATGGCGGAGTGACTACCAGACGATATTGGACACTGCAGAAGCCAGCAAGAGCTATGGGAATGGAGCTGCTGCTGCTGCATCCACCGTTGAACATCCGACAAATGACACTGAATGTAATAGTGGCGACGACATGGATGCGTTTTCCGAGGAAGAATCGGCTCCTCCGGAATTCGATCTACGCACAGGGCGCTACATTTCAATATCTACCACTCGTCCGATGCAACCCTCCTCCCCGTCTACGACTTCTAATAATACTCAGCGTTCATCTTCAAGACCAGTTGGATCTAACGCTCTCACAAAGCGGGAAAACGGTGATCTGGCAACGATAGGCGGGGTCATATCTCCGGGAGCAGAGTTTCTTCGTTCGCAAAGAACATGGAAGGGATTGGGAAGCGACTTTGATATCCAGTACGAAGAAGATGGGGAGAAGGACGCTATTGTTGTTGAAGGGCGTAGCGGAATTGCTAGGGGTTACACCGTAGGCGAAAATACCGAGAAACACTAGGAATAGATACCCGGAAAATCTGCGGACATGGTATACAGAGTATTCCAGCTAAGGATGTGTAAATTTTATCCACAAGTACATGTGTTAACTTATTGATCACATATTCCATTGTATTCATGAATTAGATCAACTCCTTCGAGGTGGTAATGTCACATGATCTTGACGTGGCGGCGCCAAGACAAGGATTTTGGATATTTAACGCATCAACCCTTGGAATGTGGAGAATTAGGACAATGACTGATGGTGGATGTTCATATGACAAGATATATGCTGTTTTAATCTGGTATGGTATCCTCAGCACTTACATCGGTTTATCTCTATTGATGCAGCTGTTGAGAACAGCCCACTCTCATTACTGTGCGCTGGGTTGTCAACTGATTTCATGTGACACAGCAACGAATATTGAGAAAACAGCCCCATTCCAACTCAGATTCAGACACATTTAATGCTTGCAAATAAATCTTTGCATGCTCATCCAGATAGCTGGTCCCTCTTGGCTAATACCTCGACCCGTCCCCCTTGTTTCGAGTCCTCCGATGTGATTCGTTTCCCTTCCAGAGTATGATGATTCTATCCTCAATATCATTTCATTCTGCCTCAACCTCCGCACCAGCCTCCCTCAATCGTCTGTCACCATGAACTCTATTCAATTTTCTCCGAACCTGTCCCAGGCCGGTAACCTGCAAGGGCCGGACTCTCCAGAGTCCTCTATGCACGCCGGTTCTACTTTGACTGACCCTGACGTGAAGATTGAAACTCCTACTGAACGATCACTATCTACGTTTGAACGAGTGTTCTCTACCCACGCACCCATATTTGAGTCTTTCCTCCTCCAGGCGCCAACAGATACCATTTTCCAACTCTACCATACCTCTCGTTATCTCAGAAGCCTTCTCAGATCATACCCAACAGCATGGCAGTATCTATCTTTCCGTCTGTTCTACCCGTCCGGTACCCAAACAAGGCTAGTCTCCAGTTGGACAGAGCTTTTGTCGGCGCAGCGGCAATCCTATTCTCTCGACCAACTACTTCTCCAGGTCATCCTGCCATTCAGCCCGACGCTGAGAAGCTTGGATTTGGATAATACGGCAGTGAACGGGCAAAACCTCACATCTACTGTGCTGAATATGCGGAGGGATACTCTCGAACATCTTTCAGTACGAGGTTGTAAGAACGTGTCATTGAAATACCACATTATCCCATATCTCACTATGTTTAAACTCCAATACGATGCGGACCTGCTACATAATCCTGATAATCCTACCCCAACAAAACGTCTTGCTCTTAAAAGCTTATATGCTTATCGATGCCGCCATCACAGACGTCGTCCTTATCTCTCGTCTTCTCTGCTCCGCCGGGATTCCGATGCTGATCCCACTCACGATTTTGTTACGCTGTGTCATACGCTAGGGATTTGGACAGATACTGCATGGTGCACCACTCCTGGGTGGCGTTGCTTCAGGAGAAAGGGCTATGTTTCATCCAGGTCACCACAGGGAACGCGGGAAGTGTGGGTTGTGTTTGACAGGTTGTGGAGATCAAAAAATTGGATTGGAGCAATAAATGAAAGGGATGGTAGAACTTCGAAGCGGGATGGGCGGCTTTGGGAGCACGACGAAACAGGCTGCTTTGGCGAAGCTCTGGGAACAGCTGATGGACCCGAATACGGAGAAGGGAAAACGGTCCCTACCCATCTACGAAAAAGTCACACTCGTTTTGTGAATAATATAACTTGTGATGAGTGCGACGAGCTTATTTTGGAGCGGTGTGAACAATGCAGCGTCTTAATGCACTGTGTTGGCTGTCGCAGGACTCTTTGTTATAGCTGCGCATTCGACCGCCCATATCCCCGAAGGAAACCAAGGGAGGGTGCTACGAGTGAACATTTGTGGTGGGCACCAGGAACAGCGATATCTCCATGCGCTATGCTGGATGAACAAGCTCTCAACAACCAGCCACCTGCTGGTTTCATTTACCCTAGTTTGAAATTTTACTGGTGCTGTACTGAGCCTTCATTTAGTGGTGGGGGCGGGATCAGCCTTGGAATAGCCAACAGAGATGTCGATCGGCTCCGGGCGACACCCCTGCCCCGCGGCCAAGGGTGGGAAGATCTCGAATTCTCAACGAATGAGTGGCTCAAGACTTTCCCCAAGGATGCGTACGGAAACCCACCGGACCACAGCCGTCCGGAAGGCCATGCGGAAATGATGCGCTGGCTACTTGGTCCACCCGACTATCAGGCATCTATCTGCCCCAGAAATCTATGTCAACAATGCTACGATAGGCCACAATGGAAAGTGCACTGTAAGGGTTGCACTATGCCTTTATGTATGGAACATGATCTGCGAGGTTTACGTCTTCGAATATGCGGATACCGGGATCTTGTTATGGAAAAAATGGATCTTGCAATCACCGCGTCATCTCCTGGAGAGGGCCAAGCGGAAGCACATGTTCAAAATACACCCTCACCAGCGGATCCAGGCCAACCTAGCACCACCAGAGGCCGGCCGGTTGCTGAATATTCGACATCATCACCTCGTTTCAACCTAGCCATGATAAATGCTCTATCATCTCAATTATCCGATGCCTCCATTTCAACCAGCGAACCCGTACCAACCCATATAACCCCATCCAACCAGCGCACTATCCATCAAAGTTCTATGATTCAAACTCCCTCCTCTACCTCTAACAATCACAGTCGCTCCTCATCCCCCGCCTCCGTCTATTTCGAAGCATCTCCAGAAGTCCGTAAAAGGTGGATGGGGTGCCAGTCCATCTTCTGCCCTCAATACAGAGCTGTGGGAGATCAACGTCAACGCTGCTCCAGCGTTCTACGAGAATGCACATCCTGCTCAGTGCATGTATGTCAAGACTGCATCCAAGAAAACCCGCCTTGCTCATGTTCATACTGCAATCTTAACTACATGTGTCCCAACTGCTATCTCGCCAAGGAGCTCGATGGAACCTGCCGCCGTATCGAGGAGGAGCGTATACAACGCGAGGAGAAGCAGAAACGCGATCTGGAAATGATCGAAATTGCCATGGAGCGCAACCTGGCTAATGAAGTTGCGTTATTTGCGGGTCAATTCTTTGTGGGGTTGTTACGGAATATTGGCGAGCATGAAGCCGAAGGACTTGGAAGTGACAGTGATGGTGAAGATGGTGAGGATGATGAAGGCGATGATGACGATTATGATGATGTAGCAGGGTCTGATTCTGCCTCTCAAAATCTCACCTCAGCCCCTTCAGGCGACAACAATAATGGTGATGGTAATATTCAAACCCAGAACTTCAACCCCACCCACCCATCGAGCCAGCTACATGTTCCCCAGCCGGGCCCTGCGATCAACGACGACTATGACGATAATGGCAGCGTATCAGAGGAGACGGAGTTACTGGGCGAATGATGAAGATCTTGAAAATGGTGTCATCCTTGTGCCTTACCAGACGATTTCCTTCCCCTCATGGCTTGCTAATCTTGAAATGTCTAGCATAGTGAATTTTTTTATTTTTTTTTCCCTCTCGCTGTTTCACCTTTGACTATGTTAATGCGTTTCTAAGGCTGTAGTCTTTCCTAATTTCTATTCAATGTCAGGGTTGGAATGATATGATTTTCTTGCTTTAAATCTAAGAACTATTGATATTCATCTATTGTCCTTCAATTACAATTTCAGTGCGTATTCTTTTGCAATTTTTAAAAGGTCTTATTTCCTTTTCATTCATTTCCATTTAACTCTCTCAAGTCTTCATTTAACATATATTTCTTTCATATAACTTTCTCTGTATGCTCTTCGTTGAGTATTCTAGTGAAATGAAAAGTTCCAGAAGATAAAAATCATCCCTAATGTATTCATTTATGGACATAGACTTGCATTTATGTTACATTAGTTATGGGTCTTTAATAATTCAGTCCCATTCCCTAACTTCTAATGAATAACTAATGTTCAGTTTAACTTCACTGAATAAATTAAAATAGAATGTAGTAATAGTTATTAAATCTGTGAAAAGAAGTATTTGAATTTATTACTTTTATGAAAGTACTCTTAACCAGTTTGTTGATCAACAACATTGTGCTGGTTAGTTACTCAACTTTTAAATTTATTATTAGTTTCAACAATATTCAACTGAAAAATGAAAAAGAATGATACATGTGTTTATTTACAGAGTTCATAAATGAGTTTTAAATGAGGATGGTGATGATAATGTCATTCTCATATATTAAAATATATGTATCCCCACCAGCCTTCACCAAACACCACATTCTTTTAAAGTTCCTTTGATACACGAAATAATACGAATGGAGTGGATCAAAACCGCCCCACTCTCTTCAAATAAAAAATTTAGAAACTCAAAATATTTAATGTGGATTTGATACTACGAAAGGTTGAAAATGAAGGAGAGTAAGTGAGCGAAACCCAAGGAGATGAAATCAGAAAGGTGGAAAGTAAGATGTTATTCATTAGTATGAACCAATCAATTCAAAAGTAGCCCTATTTGTGATAAAAGTGAGCTTTTTGAACGTCGGTGTTTGATAAAAGAATCGTTTCCATATGCAGGATGGAAAGGTGCATAAATTGCTTTCGTTGCAGGGGACGACTTCTATAAGGGGAACGAATAGTGTGTATGAAGTAAATGAATATAGTATAATATAATAAAAATAGTCAGAGATATAAATGAACATTTCAATGCTGTAAATTCTGAGAAGCTTATCTACTCAAAAATACCTGAGAATGAAAAGAGAGAACTAGCAGTGAATATTCTAATAAATACAGATGACGTGGAGTGTTGTGTCAACTGATGCGGTCACAGAAGGAGGAGTGGAGGACGATGAGTTCATGAACTAGATACGCATTGACGACAAGGTTCCTTCGACAGGATTGAGCTTTACACCCGAACGTACATCATTGGAGATAGGAAGATAGGTCCTTCTGGTGATACGGGACACAAACAAATCCCGTAATCTATTGAACTGTCATGCGTGGCAATGGGATTAAACTACTCTCTTCTCGGATAGGCCGGAGGTAATGAAGATAATGACCGATTTATTTGTTCATCTAATGAGCGTCTATAGCCCTCGCGGCTGGTTTCCGGGAACTGATCTGCGGTATGAGATCTATAGATCGCAGAAGGTGGAGGTAGAGGAAGCTGGATATCAAGCGATTGGGGATCAGAGCTTTCTAGGCTAGCATTGGTGAAACCGGTCCCCTGGGTTGACACAGATATGGACATTGAGCGGCGGGATGGATCTCTTGACGAGTTGGGCGAATATGGAGGAGGAGGGGTTTCTGTCGTTGCAGTTGACGTATTTCCAAAACTGCTTGGCACTGACACAACTGACGAGGCATCAGAGAGGTCATCGAAATGAGACGAAGCAAGTCCCCGCTCAAATTCGTTCGGATTTTTCTCAAATCGTGGGAAATCAGAGTGTTGGTGTTGAAATGCAAGCGTCTTTTCGTGGAGTCTCATAGGTAGTGGGGTGTATCTTGGTAGAGGAGCCATAGACAGATATGGTTCATCTATGCCGGGCGCATCCACGTCTCCACCGGCCCCGCGACTATGCCTGAAACCTGCTTGAGGATCATAAGGCTGCCGATGAAGGGTGGGAGAGTATGGGAGCTGTCGTCGGGTGGGAAAGAAGCAACAGAAGCTTCCAAGGAAGGACATCTTTCAGACTATATATCTGTCGATAGGAACGGGATACCGTTGAATTCTTGTTGAAAAGAATGAGAACGATAGAAGAAAGGCTTGTAAAATAGAACTTGGGACAGGAGATAGGAGAGTCTAGTGATAGGGCGAATGTTTCCCTTGTCCTTTTGGCGAGAGCCAGAAAAAGCCAGATCTATTTTTGGATAAACATGGGTGATAAGGGACAACTCAAGGGACGAAAAGATAAGAGAGGAAGAAGCTACACCAAGGCAAGGAAAGACGGCAACAAGCAAGGCCAGAAGGGGATTTACGCAAAGAGGATCAACAACAAAACCAAGATTCACAACATGCACAGTGGTAGGATTGGCGAGAATTGGACGTTGTTGTTGATGCCTTCAAGGACCAGCTTCGTACAACGTTGGATGTTTTGTCTTTTCCCCCCCCCCCCCTACAAGTAGTTAACTACGGGATGGTTTGCCCAAGACCCGACTCAGCCTCGATGACCGTACATTACAACTCCTGACGGCGGCTCCCAGTGATCTGGCAAGTCAACAATTGGGCTGTTGCTATTGGATCAAGCGAGGTAATTTTACATGCGCTAGTTGTATCCAAGGTAAGCTGATTTCAAGGCACAAAAAATGCGAGGATGAACTATTTCTCCGAAACCCCTCGATCACATGGTTCCGAACCTTATCTTAGCTTTTTCAAGGAGAAACAATGATCCGTTGAATTTCGAATAACAAGACAAAGAAAAAATGCCAGACCAAACGTTTGGAATGGTAAATTTGTTTCGACAACAACATTTCCCCTTGGCATTTGGTTTTCGCCCTCTATACTTCCCCCCCCCCCCCGCCCCATTTTGCACAGTTTGGGAGAAGCGATATAATGCCTCCCTTACAGCTTGAGGGAAATGACGACTACGAAGCTATTGCCCGGGCTGTTCAGCCGGTACCCCGCCATCGCTCCCACGACCCCGCCAGCAACGAGAAGCGAACAGATCCCTTCCAATTCGGCTCGCGCTATCTCGAAGAAGGCGACGATGTATTTGAATTCAACGCATGGGATCACGTCGAAACTGATGCTGAGTACCGCGAGTATGCGGAGCTTCAATATCTGAAGCAAAAGGAGTCGCCTGTCCCCGAAGACGCTCGCGAGAAATACAACGCCAACCCATCCAAATTCTGGAACTTATTTTACAAACATAATACGAGCAATTTTTTCAAGAATCGCAAATGGCTGCAGCAAGAATTCCCCATCCTGGCCGAAGTAACGCAAGCAGACGCGGGGCCCACGGTTATCTTGGAGGTTGGTGCGGGTGCGGGTAACTCTGCTTTTCCGATCCTCGCAAGTAATAAGAATGAGCGGCTTAGGCTGCATGCATGCGATTACTCTAAAAAAGCAGTTGAAGTTATGCGCAAGAGTGAGCACTATGATGAGAAGTATATGCAAGCGGATGTATGGGATGTTTCGGCTGAGGTAGAGGTGGATTCATTTCCACCTGGACTTGGACCAGATTCTGTGGACGTGGTTGTGATGATTTTTATCTTTTCAGCACTATCGCCCAATGAGTGGGGACGTGCGGTGGAAAACATATACCGAGTTCTGAAGCCTGGGGGACATGTACTTTTTAGAGATTATGGGAGGGGGGATCTCGCGCAGGTGCGATTTAAGAGCGGGAGGTGGATGGGCGAAAACTTCTACGTCAGGGGGGATGGAACGAGAGTCTATTTTTTCGAGAAGGATGAGTTGATCCGTATCTGGGGTCGATGGAGTCCTCGGAACGGAATTCCTGAAAACGGGAAGGGCATCGATGCACGTAGAACGTGCTCTTTCCCAGATGCGCCACCAGACGATGCCGGATTTGAAATATTAGACCTTGGAGTTGACCGGCGACTAATCGTCAATCGGCAACGGAAACTGAAGATGTATAGATGCTGGATGCAAGGCCGTTTTCAGAAGAGGAAGGTCGAAATGCGTAATTCCAGTGCTCCAGAACCTTTTACCCAAACAGTTGAACTCCCCAACTAAATGATACATTCCACGACCATAACCTTCCAACGCCGATGTCCCCTAGGTATCCGTTATGAATAGAATCGCGATTTCGCAAACCTTGTACCACACATGTTCCTCACAGTGCAAAATCCCGAACTGGAAATCATCCTAACGATGATACGTGAGGCCTTTGGGAAAGACGTCCTGATTCTCCATTTAGTTTTTCCGCAGTATGGAAAAATGCTTTCTCGGTTGCCATTTAGGGCCGTCTAGATCAAACCCTATCATCGGCATTTTCTTTCCCGGAAGAGATCGACCAATAATAAGTTCCTCTTCCTTTCTTTCATCACCAACCCCAACCGATATCCGCTTGAATCCGGGAGGTCAGGTAAAAATGGTATATTCACCAATGCACAGCCCCTTATCTCATGCCTCATTGGAGTAGGGGACATCCACAGCCCGTTGATTCAAAAATATAGAATATTGTGAACAGCCATAGAGAAGAATTAGATCCAGATGTAACTCTAGAAAGGATTGAACATGATGTACCCATTAGTGCAATTGACTTCCTTGCTGAGGGGTTTTCCGGTGTTCAACGGGAGGGAAACATTCATCTTCCCAACATTTCCATAAAAACATGAGCCCTGGAAGCACAAACACGCTGATCTCCATTCCGTTCTGCAAATTCTCTAGGGTCGCTGCCAACTACTTGGGATGCTGATTGCTGCTGGGAAGGGCTCGTCTCCGCGACGAACGGTAACGCTGGAATTGCAAGGTTTGAAATCCCGCTCCCAAAACTGATTGACTGCTGACACTTAGACAATGCCAGGAACTCTAATATTGTCAACGAACAAACGTGACCGAATCAAGACCAATTTGGGCGGCGATACACGGACATGATGGTTAAACAGCTCATTCATCTCTTCGGGGCGCAAAAATGCCTCTAATCTGTTTCAGCTACGGCTCTGTGATACGATCTTTTTAAGCGCTACTCCGATCTTCCGGGTTTAACGTGGGAGTTAAAACACATTCCTCTTGCTTTATTTTTTTTTTCTTTCGTGGTGTTGTCCAAGTCTAGCTGAATAGTGTCAGAACGGGAATTAACTAACGTCGTAGCCACAATATCAACCTCATCACTGCCCCGATTGGTCCCCAATGAGGCAAAATATCCGGAGGTATTGTTTGTTCGATAACGGCTCCCTCTCCTCCACAACACCCCCAAGATCTATAAAACTCTCGGCTCGCATCATTGCGTGGAAGTACGGTAGAATAGACGTCTGTGTTTCAAGGTCAACATAAATTCTACGTAGCATTTCCTCGGGAGGGTACCTAGGAACCTATGAAGATGAAACATGGATAGTGGGATCGTCTCTAGTTACCCTGCTGGTTATGGAAAGGGTCCTGGCAAGCAATCGAACGGCGCATCCTCAACGATGATTCTCATCTTCTTTATGGAGAATACCGGTCTTTTACCACTCCTAATCAGATATTAAGACTTCCTGGTCGTAAAATTGGAACGAGTCTAGGAATTTTCATTTTCATTTTATTTTTTGTTATTTTATATTTTTTTCATTATTTTTTGCTTGCAGCTGGCAGGTAGAAGAGTATTATGACGTCTTGACCTTAACTCCGACTCCTGAGGTCGAGCCTGTTTAATGAGTGATCTGTGCACGCACGGGTTGGGATTAAATATCTGCAGACCACTCTGTACGAGATGCATTTGTCGTCGCCATGCAGCAGATGTTTTCTGTCAACTAGCAGGAATTCAATGCCCTAGAATGGTTATTTGGGTGGTGAAAGTTAGGGAGTGTCTCCGATAGTATGGGGGGAACGAAGAGATACGATTTCTATCCATGAAATACATCCATTAACTGCCTTGTTGTCCCACCGGAAGAAGACAGAAGGATACTGCTTCGTCTGCTCCCATTCAAGGCAACTAAGTCATTGAGAGCTCAAGTTTGTGGAAACTGATTCGATCTTTTCCAAAGTTGAAACTGTGACATGCCAGCTCGTAGCCCTCACATGGTTTTGATCTGTTGCCCCCTAATTGCCACATGGATTCAAGGAACCCAGGTCGATCCGGATAGATATGCCCGTGTTATTCCCCAAATACGTAGATTATTCGGGTATAATTCCTCGCTTCTATCCTGTTAGATATTATGAGAATTAAGATAAGCTTTTGTCTCAGAGCCACGTACATAGGGAGTTAGTTTACTGGCAATCATGATAATAAAGTTCATTGAAGGGGATGTCCTCTGCTACCAGAAGGAGATTTTCTGAGAAATATTAAACTATAGCCAATGATATACGGAGTATATAATTGTCAGTCCACCTCAACATTTTAGCGTTGGGCATAATGGGGTACATTAGCCGTCTCATCCTCGAGAACCCCGGACATCCGCTGCCAACTACTTTAACTGCCGGTCCTATGGATGATCGGATCTTGATTCCTAATAAACAGTTGTTTACTGATAATCTTGGTTGGTTGCTGCTATATGACGGTAAGAAGGGGGCACCTCATCGAGGATGAAGATATGGATGGCTATTGCAGTTGATCACGGAAGAACACCCCAATGCCACTGATTTTATCTGTGTCATACTTCATTTGGTTTTTTCTTCTTCTCCTCCTCCTCCTCCTTCTTCTTTCTGTCCGGCTTGAATGGTTTATTTAGCCTGGGGATATCTCTGTCCATGTCAGGCCCCTGGCCTCATTTTGAGTCCCGTTGCGCATTTCCTAATCGCAGAATTCCAGTTCCTAGCTTGTTCGCGATGACGCAGCAATTCATCCATGATGACGGTGCTTCCTCTCGAGGTGAGGCTCGCAGGTCAGAGTCAGGGGTATTCCGTGTGCTTTTAAAGAATTTGTTCTTGTTTGGAGTTGTCCTGGTATGTTGAAAGAGCTTCTACTCGGATTCAGAGCACATCGCTTAACGGCTCAATGGGTTCACAGTTTTCCTCAATTGGTGGCCTTCTCTTTGGTTATGACCAGGGCGTCGTGTCTGGAGTACTCACTATGGAGTCTTTTGGAGCTTCGTTTCCCAGAGTTTATGCAGATAGCAGGTTCAAAGGGTGGTTTGTGTCGACGCTGCTGTTGAGTACGTTCGGATGCCCCCGAGAGTATCCTCAGTGAACCAAGCCAGATTTTAGAGCATATAAACTGTTGTTCTAATAGCGTTGTTTAGCTGCCTGGCTAGGCGCTCTGCTGAATGGAACTTTTGCAGACTACGTTGGCAGAAGGCTGTCCATTATCGTAGCAGTCGCCATTTTCTCGATCGGCTCTGCTATCCAAGCGGGAGCGGTTAATCTGACGATGCTCTTCATGGGTAATGGGAAAACTGCCTTTTTTTCCTCTCTTCTTCCAAGGACCAGTGTGGCACTGACAGGACGGACTGCGCTCCTTCATTTAGGTCGTGCGATTGGTGGTTTTGCTGTTGGGCAATTGACTATGGTTGTTCCAATGTACATTAGTGAGGTTTCGTTGCCCTCAATCAGGGGCACACTCATAGTATTTCACCAACGTAAGTAGATTTGGTTTTTCACCATTTGCAGTCCTCCAGTTCAATTATCCCGAAGTTTCTGACGTTGCGTACAACAGTTTCAATTACGCTTGGTATTCTACTGAGCTATTGGATTGAATACGGTTCAAACTTCATTGGAGGGTCACACTGCACCTCCAACATGACATACTCAGGAGGAACCCCTGATTCTCATACCTTCGACCCATATCATGATGTCGGCCCGAACGGTTGTGATGGTCAATCTGATTTAGCTTGGCGGATTCCATTTGGCATACAAATACCCCCTGCCATTATTCTGGGGGTGGCGATGTTTTTCTTCCCTGATTCACCTAGATGGTCGCTGATGAAAGATAAGGATGGGGATGCGCTTAATACGTTGGGCAGACTTCGACGGAAGTCCACCGACAATCCAGATCTGATGACTGAATATTTGGGAATAAAAGCATCTGTGATTCTTGAAAACTCATTTGCCAGAGAATACTATGGTGGTTTGAGTGGGGTGAAGTTGCATGCAGCGCAGGTAGTTATTTTGGACTCTGAGGGCTTGTGATATTGCTATACAAAGTGGATTTAGCTAATATTGTGGCAGTACTTCTCCCTGATTAGCACCCGGTCAAGATCTAAACGGCTGGCAATTGGATGCTGCATGATGTATTTTCAGCAGTTTATGGGGTGTAATGGTCAGTTGGTAAAGGAATCCTTGCGTCATTGATGTATTTATTGTAGACAGCAACTGACTTTGGAAATTACAGCGATGATATACTACGCACCTGTGATGTTTGGCCAACTAGGCCTTAGTAAAAATACAGTTACAAATCCCCAGACATTGAAACCACCAGTTGAACAGGAAGATCCCATTCTAACCACCCGGTTTCACCCAGATTTCACTACTGGCTACCGGTGTTTACGGTATCGTTAACTGTCTCAGCACGCTTCCTGCCCTCTTCCTTATAGATCGAGTTGGCCGCAGGATCCTGCTCATGTACGGTGGAGCTGGAACTTGCATCTCACTTACCATCGTGGGTGCCATCATTGGCCATTACGGATCGGCCCTCATTAACCACCAAGCAGCCGCATGGGCCGGTATGATTTTTGTTTATGTCTATGATATAAATTTTTCATATTCGTTCGGTATGTAATCTATCTATCCAATTCTGTTTAATAGTGAATAGGGGCCGTGAAAATCCCGAGTTTAATTCATATCTCTCTTGTAGAGAGGTCTATGCTAAAATCGACAAAACTCCAGCGCCAATTGCGTGGGTTCTTCCCTCTGAAATCTTCAATGCTTCCATCCGTTCAAAGGCTGTTTCGATAACTATCTCTGTCACATGGATGTGCAATTTGTAAGGAACCGCAAAAGAGAAAAAACCTTGGGACTATCTCTGCTTATACAGAGGCTAACGAATCCCGAACCTTGCTTTAGTATAATTGGGCTTGTCGCCCCCAAGATGCTCGAATGCATAACCTGGGGAGTATATATTTTCTTTGCGGCAAACTGTTTACTCGGCCTTCTCTTTGCCTTCTTCTTCATTCCTGAAACGAGAGGAAAGGTACGTTTTCTTTTTGTTATTTTTTCATTTTCATTTTTACTTTCCCATTCTTTCCTTTGCTCTGTTACATTTTATACCCATAAGCTACAAAGCAAGAGGCTCACCAGACACCCACTTTCTGTTAAAAGCAGACTCTAGAAGATATGGACCTCGTTTTTGGTGATGCAGCCGCGCATGAAGAACAGCGGCGTATCATGCAGATCGAGGCAGAATTGCGGGGAACGCCACTAGTGGCGATGGAGTTGGAAAAGCCCGAGTTCAAAAGTGACTTTGTGGTCACACAAGAGAGGGCCGAGGAGGGTGAAGCGAGGTGAGCTTTGACAGTGTACGGTGTATTCTTGAGGGAATTAGCAGACTGGTGTTTGATATGCATGCAATGTCTCAGAAGAAAGTGCATATATGTCAAAGGACCCCGGATACTGTAACTATGGTTGGTGATGAGAATGCTTTTGCCAGGTGGTACACACGCACACTGTGTGGGTTTAATAAGTTTAGAGGTCGATATGGAGGCAAATATTTAAGAAGAAGGGCATCCTCCCTTCCACATCGCTGCGGAGACCACGTCGTGTCCAATCCAAAGGCTCCATCCCAGCATTGGTACCATCAGCTCTGTTGTGTCTCATATCTGGATATGGCTCCCGCTTCGAGTACTCTCTACTCGACCAAGATTGCTCAGTTTGCTCGGACTATGACTAGCATGGAAATATTATGAGCGCAAGAGCTGCATCGAGATGCCAAAGTTCTCGTTCTACCTGCCACCATATCCTTTCATCCTCTTTTTCCCCTCCAGTGTGATTCTCCTCAGTTTTGCTGATGCTCCAATAGCTAGCTGCCTCCCTTGCACGCGGAGGACAATGGTAATATGGGGTATTTCATTTGGATGATTCGTTGGGCTGCAGTTGTATCCATAGAAAAAAACTAAAGGGAGAAGAATGGTAGAAAGGGGTAAAAGCAGGCATGAGTTGGATGCACTGTATGTGTGTATGAACTGGTTTTCCTTAGGATTGAAAGAATTGAGAATTGGACTCCTATCTCTCGGCGTCTAGGGGGGGGAATTGGTTTGAATAGAAAGCTTTGCGCCACCTGGTGTCTCGAGGACTTCATTCGCCCCTGGAAATATTTGGGAGGGCAACCCGAATCAGTGGATGCTGCACGCTATAGGTGCCCATCCTCTACTCTGGCCCCGAAGGACATTTGCGCACAGGCTACATAAAACAGGACTTCGTGATTTTCACCCTTTTCAACTTCTATGGTGTCATTTATGTTTTCTATGTTTTTGTATAGTACAGTAAGCGCGCCCCCCCCCCCCCCCCCCCGCCCCCCCCCCCCCAAAAAAAAAAAACTGACTGCAATATATGTACATAACAGCAGAACACGGGAACGAGTAAACTTAGGTAGTCTTTCTCGCCCCCTTCTTCTGCTCTCGGTCCAGACATATCCCACCCACAGCTGTTTAAAGCCCATTCGGCAGGTAGGTACTATATCAGGACGTACCGGTAGATAGGTTAAAAGAACCTAGCTAGCTATGAAGGACGCTCGATGCAAATGCGCGGTGATATGCAAGATTAACCATGGGCACATGCAGCAGGAAGACCATGCAAGCAAGGCATGCTTTGTCATATGTCACCAGCCGTCCTTCAAAGGCGTGGTTTGTTCTGTACCTCGCAAACAGGCCGAACCAGCTGGTGTGGAAGGGAGCTTTGGCCTTATCTTCTTCCTTTCCTTTTATTTCTTTTATTTCTTTCCGTTTCCGTTTGTTGAACAAACAAATGAAGGGAAAATTTTTGGAAACAGGCAAAAAGAAAGGTCGCGTTCCTCTCCTTCAACAAAGTCAAATCGTCAAAAAGCAAACTTTTGGTTCGAGCGACCTGTTGAACCCGCTCGGCATTTCAACTCAAAAGGCCATATGCTACTTGGGGCCATCGGCTGTGAGATGCTAGCGGGTATATTGAGTTGAATCTGGCCTTCCAAATTCTCTTATGTGCGTTTCATTTTCGACCCTCCTACTATACGGACAAAGAGACGAAGAACGCAGATAACCATACAAACAAGGGTATAGCTCTCACCTACACCACCAAAGTCGGACACTCCCCCTCAGCCCTTACAAACGCTCCTGTAAATAGATCCTGCATAGCTCCATAATGAAACAGAATTCCGCCGAGCACAGCAACGTGCCAAATATTGTGGCTGCCGCCAAGGTAGTCGAAGAAGCCCGGATGCCAGCGCTCGGGGATTTGCGAGGCATACACCAATGCGCCAAGCAGGTACACGCCGAGAGATTTCAGCAAGGGTGCGTAGAAGTACAGAGACCATCCCAAACTCCTTGTCAGGCTCAGTTGGGCGATTGGAGCGAAGCCAGTGGCTGCTAGGGTTACGTAGAAGGCCACACGGGCCCAGGCCATGTCTGAACGGTTGAAGGTAGGGTGCCAGGGGAGAATGACACCGGCGATACCTAAAGTGGACGTTGTGACAATATAGATCCACCTGGAGACTGGTTCGCAATAAAACGCTGTGTATTCTGTCGTGACGATGGAGGCGGCGACGAGGAGCGATATGCCCGTATAATCGACGCAGGCGAATCTTTCCATGAGCGGTTGTGACGCGATGCCGTTCATTGTATGCCATAGCGTACTGCAGACGAGGCATTTGCAGGCTGCGAGGAAGAAGATGCCGGCAATTGCGACGTCGGTGGTTGTGCTGGCGGAGAAATTTGGGTTGGAGGGGTAGAAGTAGAATGCAATGGCTAGGACGATGATCAGGCCAATGAAGTGTGACCAGATGTTGAAAAGCTCATTGGAGAACGTGAAGACGGACGTTACGCATTCGATCTTGGACGTTGTGAAACGGTATCCCTGCAAGATGTGCGGGTTGACACGCCAAGGGTGTGGAAGGTCTGAGTAGTGAATGAGACGTTGTTCCTTGGCGAGTTGGATGGCACGTTCGATTCTCTTCTGTAGAGCTTCCCGTGCGTGTTCGATACTTTCATCCATGACTTCGCGCGCATGTGCTAGGCTTTCGTCCATTACTTCACGGGCGTGCGTAAGGCTAGGCTCTACTGCACGCCATCCGTCATCCAACGTGCTGTATAGACCCCGATCGCGCACTGACTGGGCCGCCAGCTCGAGCTCACCCAGGAAATTCTCCATCAGACGCATGCTGGCATGAGCTTTTTGCTCGAAGGTTTCCTTGGTTGCCAGGACCTCATTGTAACGATCCTCCAGAGTCTCTACCAGGATCTTCGCCCGTCGTTTGCCGCTTCCCATCAGTTCTCCCGAAGCATAGCAGCAGGAATCCCGAACAGAGAGTAGGGCGGCATACCCTCGTTTTAACCTTGCATCGATGTGTGTCATGTGCGATTGTCGATATTCCTCCAGCCACTGTAACCGGCGCTCCATTTCCGTGAGAAATAATTCGACCTGAATAGTAAAGCAAAAAGGAGTCGATATGAATTAATATATTTTGCTTACAACGGGACTCTGTGACGTTTAGAAACATATGATTCTTAACTCACCCGCAAGAATATAGCATCTGCATCATAATCACAGGATAATCGTCTAGATGTATGAAAAGAATGTCTTCGCCGTGTGTTGCGCAGTAAATTGGCACGTTCATCGGGGACTGCAAGGCCGGACGCATTGGAGCTTTGTTTGGAGTCCGCGTAAGACTCTAAGGTGACAGACGGGCCCGTACAGGGCATGGTGGTAGCCTTTGGACGAACAGGAAACTCAACCAACAGGTCCCTTTTCCTATAAGATTGAATTAAAAGGAAACCAAGGAGATTTTGGTGTTGTTGAGTTGGCTGGCGGGGCCAATGGAGCTATAAACTGTGCGGCGTGCCGGCGAAAAGGGGCCGAGGAAAGCGAGAATGTTATGGCAGCAGTCTCATATAAAAAACGTAGGATACAAGAAGTAGAATAATTGACATAGGAGCATGAAAGAGAGGGAAAATGAGAGGAATTCTAGACGGGCTCGGATAGGTGGCGCGGACGGCGGGAGAAATAGGGAGAGTCGTCTGTGGTTGGTGGATACCCAGGCAGTTGGCGGTTAGGCGGCGATACCGGGGAAAACAATGTAATTAGGGACGACGGGTTTAAAGACGAGATCGTGGGGTAAGAGCAGAGAAAGAGAAAATTATCGAGAAAGCTGCTCAAAGAAGAGAGGAAAGGGGAAGTAAGAAATAATAATATAATAATAATAATAATAATAATAATAATCGATAGTCAAATCAACGGGAGAGGAAGATACAAGGAAGACAGACACACGAAAGAAGAAGAAACAATAAGGGAGGGAGAACTAACGTTCTACGTTTTAAGGCTTTAGCCCCTGCTACCAAGGTATTCAGTACCAATGTTTTAGTTATTCTTTAGTTAAGATTCAGCTGATATTTAGTTAAGCATTAGGCGGTTGCTAGGGAGCATGGCAGTGCTCAGCCACTGCACACACCTCCAGGCTGGTAGCAAGGACCATAGCTATTTATCCTGCTCTCTTCAGCCAACTGCATGCATCACAGGTACAACATACTCTTGTTCTTTCTCCTCTACCTATCTTAGTTCTCGTCCCCCTGCTAACTACATTCATCCTAATATACTCCCACTCCCAGCAAAACTGGCGCAAAAGAAAAAAAAAAAAAAAAAAAAAAAGGCCCTGGAACCGTCTTTTCCCTGCTGTCTCATGCCGTCATTCATCTTCACATATCTTCACATGGGCTCCTCCCCCCTGCACTTGTCCTTGTTCCAGAGAGTCCATCAAGCCGTCCAGCAAACTGATGGTATATGTAAAAGCTTCTTGCAGCCCCACCAAGCGGGGGCAGACATCTTTCAGCAATTATCACTACTTTACAACGTTTCACGTGGATGGCTGTTACGACAACAACTGGAACGCCAAACAACCCTTCCAGTTATTCCTGTTCTGTTGGCATTCTGATTTGCACACCTCCTGATTTTCAACCTTGATTGATATGATCGTTAGATTATTGAATTACCAAATATTTCAGCTGCCCTTGATAGATGTGCTCATACATGAATCCCATATCTGGCTCTGGCGGTGGTGGCATTGCGGATCAGGCCACAACTGATCCACGGATCTGCTTTCCATTGATCGAGAAGGTTTTTTTTATCGAAAATCAAATCCGTTCCCCTCCTCTCAGGTAGAAATTCAATTTTATAGCGGGATTACGGATATCCATGGCGAATTGTGGCCGGTCAAGCATGGGATTGACCATTGATCAGCCCAGGGTATGTTAGGGATCAAGCTTTCATTATCTGTGTCCCGGAAAATTATCCATACCCGCCGAACCAGCTCACTGAACGGAAGTCAATGATGTTAGTGCTTTTATTCCGCTCGCTGTCAGTTAATATCATGGCACTGGGATTCTCCTTACATCAGGGACGGACATAATTCTGGGGGTATTGCTGCTTTTCAGAACCACCGATGTTCTAATTATATCGGATCAAAAATATTACGTTCCTTCGATTAACTGATGAAGCTTGTTTAATCCCTTCACTAGCTAACTGGACGGCTGTATGGTTCTGGAGTAAGGGTTCCTCGGGCGAGAATAAACTATAGTTCACTCGGCTCTTCTTGTTGCCCTGATTTTCGCCCTCGAGAATAACCCTCCCCCCCCGAAGGTAACAGCTTGTTCCTTGGATTTTACCTCGCAGGATGCACTAATCAAAGCACTATAAAATCACCGTCAAGGTAATGTATAATGTTTATCTGAGTTTCTGGGCGGAGCTGCCGGTAAGTCATCAAGTAGTGATGCAGTTCCCCAGTTGTTGCACGGGACACATCTGCGCCAGGGAAACTTTTTCGCGAAACAAGCCTTGCCGGACAAGGTGCGCTCTTGATTTTCCTTTGAAGCTTTAAGACCTTTATAGGGCCAACTGGACGAGCACTGTTAGTTATATTAACTCGGCAAGACTTTTCGTTTACAAGCGAACGAACACTTGGTCACCTTTTAGAATACCATTTTCAACGCTTCCATGGTTGCTCCTTTGGGCTCCCTCTCGCAGGCAAATAGGCTTTTAACAATAGTCCGTTCAACCTCAAGCGTAGGCAGGGAGATAATCGCTGATAGAATTAGAGAGGGGAGTTGTCGCTTCTCCCAGATGTTGAAAACCTCTGCCTCTTCGTCATTGCTGAAGATATGAAGAGGAGGATGCCTCAGGAATTGTGTGCGTCTTTGGGATGTTTATGTCGACATATGCTGAAAATTTTGTTATAGGAGCCTCTATGCAGGTTATCCTTTATAGACGACTTGTAAATGAATAAACGAAAAAGAGGTAACACTATCTAATACAGGGTTTCAGCTGTTGGAGTTGATATTTTGAAGCGCCAAGTCGCAAGACGGTTGCCAAGAAATGTTCCCCCATTAATTCATTCAAGCTTCAACATTAACGCTCCGAACATTTTCGCAGACAAAGGTCCTATGCGGCCACAACCACAACTTCTTCATCACCATCGTCGAATACTCTGTAGCTGGTTGAATACATCCTTCCACACCTTACAAGATGCCCGTCGACGAAATCGTCGTTGATCCCTCCCTCCTACCAGTCCTTCAGACAAGCGCAGAAACCCTATCGCAATGCGAAAATCTGCTCGCCATGATTGACCCTAGAAGCCTGCTCTCTCCACCATCGCAAGACTTTATCTTATCGGTATCAAAACAGCAAAAGCTGGTCTTTTCTCTTTTATCACAACTGCGAGGACTGAACCGTGATGCTATTCTCAACGTCAGGGCCACAAAACAGAAGACTGCGGAGGCGCGACAGGAGATCGATAGGCTTCACCTACATCTGCAGAATCTATACTATGAACAGAGGCATTTGAATGGAGAGATTGCGGCGTGTGAATCTTATGAGTGCGAATTTTCCCCATGTTCATCTGTTTCCCCCCCCCCCCCCCCCCCCCCCCCCGGTATGGAAGGGTGTCCTGGATGAAACATAACAGGTGTGGGGGGGGGGGGGGGCCAACTACCACAACCCACTGGTTATTTCTAGTAGTTATTATCTTTTTTTTTTTTTTTTGTGCACTCCCCGGGAGGATTGAGAGTTATCTGAGCTTTGATCATTCCGCTTGGCTATTGTTGCTTGTTTCATAGTTTATTTTTTGTTAAATGATATGTGGTGCGAGAACATAGTGTATTCTCCGCTCTAAATAGTCGATCTTTTGTCTGACCTGTCTTTGTCTCATCTTTTATAAGTTATGGTTGATAGATATTAAATAGTGTGTATGATGTATGAATATATTAGTTTCAAAGTCAACGCACGAGAGGATGCTACATATGTCTAGCGTCTGTTTGATATATATATATGTAGTTATACA